TTTATCAGTACATGAGGTGACTTCTTGTCGTGTTATCTTCTTGTATTCGTGACACTGTTATCTTCTATATTTTATTTTTTTTTTTAAAGATAAAACGGGAAACGATATTATCGCTAGTCTCGTTGGGCCGGAAGAGTGTAATAAAAAACAAAAAAAAAAAAAAGAAATAAAGAAAAGGGAAAGAAAAAAAGTTTTGAAAAAAAAAAAAAAAAAAAAAAAAAAAAAAAAATACAATGATATCATGCTGCCGCCATGCCGACGACTGCGCCATTCGTAGCTTGATCCCCCGCGTCGTCTGCGTCCTTCAGCGACATACGACTGATGTCCTTGGAATCCACCGTCTCGGTTGTCTCCAGTGTGGCTCGTGGGGGCTGCTCAACCATGAACCCGCTGAAGAACTTGTCCATGCTCTCGTAGTCGTCCATGGCGCCGACCCAGCTGACGTATTGGTCGGGTCGTAGTATGACAGCACAGCCGCGGGCGCGGTCGACTCCGTAGTGGGTGTAAGCATCGCCGTAGCCTTCGTGGTAGCTGACGTCGTCGACGTGGATCTTCCAGTAGTCCCAGCCGTCGCGGTCATCCCAAGGGCGGAACACCGCTGGGAAGTCAAAGATTGTCACAGCCTTCCTTTTGGACGAGTGTACCGAGAGTACCTCAATCACCGAGTCGTACCGACCTCCAGGGGGTGTGAAGCGCTTCAGGAACGACGTCGCGGAACCCAACTTCTCGCCCAGCGCATCGAGTCGTGCCTTTTGGGCCGGATTCCCGACGATGTCCCCTGCAAACACCACCAGGCGCCACGTGCCATTGCTTTTCAGCAGTTCCTGAAAGTGCCATGGTCGCGCGTCCGCCTGGTTGAGCACCTTAAACGACGGCATGCGCATGCCCACCTGGACGCCGGCTGCCAGGTCCTGGGTACTGATGACACGCAACGTCTGCTCGCCCAGCACCTCTGTGCCATCGCCTTGCTCGGTGCTGTCGCCGGACTTGGCCACGATAACGCTCGCGCCGTAGTCAACGGCCACACCGCTAGCGAAAAGGTTTCCCTTTTCAAACGCGTTCTTGAACTCCTCCATCGAGATACCTTCTTCGTCCAGCACGTCCTTGGCTGGACGGCCCGAGAAGAGCCGGGAGAAGCGATGGTCGAAGTCGATCAGGTCCTTCGCTATCCTCCGCCGCTCCGACTGGTATGTCTTGAGGATGGTTCGGTTGCTGGTGCCCTTGACAACACTGGCGACTTTCCATCCGAGGTTGAACGCTGAGGCAAGTTGATCAGTCGAGACATTTCACCAAAAGAATAGAGTCATGCTTACCATCTTGCATACTGACGTTCATGCCTTGGCCGGCCTGTGAATGCAGTTAGCTTCAGAGCCACAATACTGGTGGTGGGTTCGGCGCAGGAGTACCTTTGGACTGTGAGTGTGGACGGCGTCGCCCGCTAAAAAGACCCTCTCCTTCAAGCTGAAGCTGTCACCAACACGTTGTCCAATTTGATATGCCGTCCACCAGTCGCAGTATCGGTAGTCAATCTTGTAAGGTTTCATTATCCTCTGTGCACTGGCGAGAATCGTGTCTGGGCTGATTTTGCTCCGATCCGCCCTCTTGCCACCTCCTGCATTCTCCATAGTCGTCAGTTGGATGTAGAGTCTGACCAGCTTGTTCTCTCGCGGGATCACCATCACACTCCCACTGCTTTCACTATGAATGGCACACCGCATCCGGATGTCGGGGAAGTCTGTGATGGGGATGATGTCGAGCACTCCCCAAATATAGTCGGTGGACTCGCCCTGCAGTTTGAAACCGAGCTGGTTTCGGACCCAGCTGTGTGCGCCGTCCGCACCGAGCATGTATTTAGCTTTGATCGTCTCCTCTCTACCCTCCTTCTCCCGTAGCGCCTTTGACCTCTCTAGCAGCTCTTGGGTGTCGTCCGGCGACAAGTTGCTGCGAAACAGCCCATCTTGTAGGCTGGAACCGTTCACACTGGTCGCGGCCTGTTTGGGGGTTGCTTCTAGCTCGCTGAGATGTCGAAGCTTGACGGTGATCGGGTATGCGTCGTTGTCTTCGGCGAGACTCTCGTCAAACTCAAATGACACCGGCATGACGCCATGCTCGACCTGGATACCCTCCTCCCATCCCGGCACATTTTGGAGTGTTCTCTTGCTATGTTCGGAAATGGAGTCAAGGAAGAATCGTTCAATGCGGCCCTGGTGGAGGACGACTTGCTGGAAGCGTGAGATATTTGGGATAGTATCCGGGATACGGTCGGAGCGGTGGATGATCCCCGTCTTTGGGTCGGGGTTCCAGAGGCAGATTTCGAGCATGTGGTTTGACTCTATCCAGGCGCGATGTGCGAAATCGAAGCTGTCAAAGATCTCGAGCGTCCGGCATTGAAGTCCATCTGCTTGACCGTTGAAAATCTGCCTTTTGGTTGGTATTCTTGATCAAGCAGAAGTAAATGGGTTGATCCAGCATGTTATTCACCCACCTTGGTCCCTCTTTTGTCCACTATCCTCGTCCGGATTCCACACCGACTCATCCAGTTGGCCATCATCAGGCCTGCTGGGCCTGCACCGATGATGAGGACATCAACCTCAGACCGGGGACCTGACGCTGTCGACCCTTGTGCCATAGCGGAGGAGTTTCGGCGTGAGGTCAAAGAGCACACAATAAGGAATCAGCTATAACCTTCAAAGGTCTGCTCGTCGAAAGAGTATGGCCTGTAGGATGGATCTGAGACATGATATGCGTCAGGAAGGTCTTAAGCATATATATGTTCCACGACGGTAGTGTAACCAGTCTTGACCATCCATGTAAGAACCCTCGTGGATCTCGATGTCCAATGAGAACGACTTGTGGGGTAACGAACTCTCGGTTGCGGCACCGGATCAGGGGGGAAATGCTAGGCAGCAAATCCGGGGATTCAGGCCACAGGATGAGATGGCATTTGTTTGTGGGTGGCCCTGCCCTTTGGCTACAGAGGCTGCTCATGTTTGGGGTGATGACTAGATCGTGTGATCGGATACTGTACAATCTGAAGGAGGAATCCACTGCCTGCGCCTCAAGGTGGGATGTTTGTTTGCACCCGCGGGGGTTGTAGACAACACTGACAACACTAGTATGTAAGGTCATCGGGAATTGTAATAGGGTATCGTGGGGTGGTTGTTGTTGCTGATCCGCGCTATGTGTGAAGCTGGACAGAAACATCATCATGAAGCTGATTTGGTCCTGGTGGTTCGTGTGTCCCAAGATGACGTTCTTTCAGAGGATTTTGTTGGCGGTCTAACTTTTCTCCGAGCCTTTGCTTGTACCGAGTACATGTTGTTCACCGTCGGTAGAGTAGCCACCAGTGCCACCTCAGCTGCATTGAATGCTGTAATTGTGCTTCGCTAGCGACCTGGAGAACAGCAGGCAATCATTGGTGGACGACCTAACACAACTTACGAGTACGCACCGTGAGGCTGAGCGTCAATGATGCCTGCGCTGAACTTCACTTCGAATCGGGCTGTCAATGCCGCCGTCATTGAGCGCGATATTTATTCAGATCCTCGTGCTGACCGAGCCGGCCTCCACCCTGTCTGACTGCCTCCAGATGTCGATATGAACCCTGATGTGCGACCCCCTCGGCCCCGTAGCCGCGATGACTTCGAGATCGCCATCATCTGTGCCTTGGTTCTGGAACGCAATGCTGTGGAGGCACTTCTAGAAGAAGAATATGAGACCGATGGCTTTTCGTACGGCAAGGCTGCCGGAGATTTGAATGCCTACACCACCGGACGGCTGGGGAATCAACATGTGGTGCTGACCTATATGCCAAGTATGGGTATCGCCAGTTCAGCGGCGGTAGCCGCAAACCTTTGCACCAGCTTTAGAGGAATCAGGCTTGCCATCACAGCTGGTATTTGTGGCGGCGCCCCAAAAGCTCCTGATGGTACCGAGATCCTGTTAGGCGATGTCATCGTCAGCATGTCGGTGATTCAGATGGATTTTGGCAGGCAATACCCAAACACATTCGTCAGGAAGAAAGAGATCGACGATACTCTAGGGCGGGCGAATCCAGAAATTCGAGCATATATCGGGAAGACTTCAGGCCATCTAGTCCAAGAGAGGCTTCGGGAGAAGATTGCCATCTTCTCCGCCCACATCTCCGCCACAAAGGGGTTTTCGGGATTCGTCTATCCTGTACCAGAAAATGACAGACTCTATCCTGCTGACTATCGACACAAGCACCGAACGCAAAACTGCAGTGCTTGTGGCCATTGTGTGGAACCAGACGACGGTGTGTGCGAGGCTGCCCTCCAGAGTTCCTGTACGGCTTTGGGTTGTGAGAGTGCCGGACACGTCTTCAACGAGCGCTAGGCGTATCCCCGGATGGACGCCAAATGACATCTGCAGCTATTCAAGATGCCAAAAAGCCAGCAATTCATACAGGACGCATAGCGAGCAGCAACACCGTCATGAAGAGTGGTATGCACCGAGATCGTGTTGTGGCCGAGGAGAAGGTTCTTGGGTTTGAGATGGAGAGTGCAGGTAGCTGGGAATACGTCCCTACAATTGCCATCAAAGGTGTGTGTGACTATGCTGATAGCCACAAAAACAAACAATGGCAAGCCTACGCGGCTGCTACAGCAGCCGCTTGCACCAAGGCGATGCTGGAAGAGTGGAGAAGCGTGCAAAGCCCGCCTCGGGATCCAGACGAACAGACACGCCGAGGTGAGTTCTGTTACAACTTTACAGAAGATGCTGATCTCTCTAGGGCCCGTTTCAATCACACATCCCGTGCACTGGACCATCACTCGCTCTGCCAACACATTGTTTGTCGGACGAAATGATGTGATCCATGAGTTGGATACCATCGTGTGCGAGGCTATCAAGAATCCAGCGCCGAAGACTCAATGCAGGATTGTCATTTCCGCTATGGGTGGCCAGGGTAAGAGCGAGGTCTGCTTGCAACTGGTCCAGCGCGTCCGTACACTGTGAGTCCACTTGTCGTTTGCAGCATCCCTATCGTCGACTAAGTATCTCACTCCCTACGGCCAGATTCTGGGGAATCTTCTGGGTCGACGTCAGCACCAAGTCTTCGGCAGAGAACGGTTTCTTGGACATCGCGAAGCGTGTAAACCCTCCCGCACAGACATGGGAGCACGGGCGGCAAGGGCTAGCCAACGTTCAGCAACCATGGATCTTGGTGTTGGACAATGCTGACGACCCGGTCATCGACTACTCCGAGCATTTCCCACCTGGACCGTCAAGCGTAGTGGTGCTAACGTCGCGCAATCACGAGTTCCAGCAATATGCGACTGCCCGGCACATTGATCTAGAAGGCCTTCCTGTCGCTGATGCCCGAGAACTCTTGTTAAAAGCGGCACGCTTGCAGGGAGATGAACGGCCGAATCTGACAGCTGATGCAAACAAAGTGGCCGAGCTGCTTCATTTGCACCCTTTCGCGCTTATTCAAGCCGGAACATATGTAGCACGTGGCCACTGCACCCTCGCCGAACACCCTGAAGTGTACGCACGTCAAAGGAAAAAACTACTCACCTTCCGCTCCATCCAGGCTCGGTCTCGGTACCGCGACGTTTACACAGCCTTCGAGGCCTCGATCGAAACCCTTCGTCCAATCTCGGAGGTTTCAGCCCACGACGCGCTCGAACTGCTGCCCATGCTGGCAGTATGTGGGGCGAATCGTATCCCCCTTGAGCTATTTCGAGTTGGCTGGAAGGGTGCACAACACTTCATCTCCAAAAATGCATGTGACCGAAGTGACCAGAGGCGATCGCTGACAGAGTGGCATATCTCTCGTTTTCCATTATTGATGCAAGTTGGTGCGGAAGACTGGGATCCCTTTCGCCTCATGGAAGCCTTGCAGATGCTGAAAGCATTCGGCCTTGTCTCGGTCGAGGAGTCTGACGAAGGTGACAGGCGCGTTTCAATGCACCCCCTAGTTCATGCCTGGGCGCGAGATCGCCAGGGTGACCAGCAACGGCACGAATCCTGGCTGAAGATGAGTTCTCTCATCGCCGTAAGCTCCATTGACGACAACTTCTTGAGCAAGATCGGGTGGCGGCTGCAAGCCCATCTCCAGGCTGTCACATTGTGGCCCATGCAGTCGATCTTTGGTGAGGACCCAGCCTCATTGATAGTAGACGTGTTGTTGCAGATTGGGAGTATATGCCAAACTTTCAGAGATGAAAAACAGCTCGCTTTGATAGTAGAGAGGTTGTTCACACACTTGAATCTAGACCCTTCAAAGGTGAATGAGCAGTGGGTGGACATATACGAACTCAAGGGGGCGAACTTGGGATTGTCTGGAAGATTTAACGAGGCAATAGCACTCCTGACGCAGGTGGTGGAGATGAAGACGGGCACACTTGCGAAGGAGGATCCTGGCCGACTACACTCAATGTACTTGCTTGCATTGGCATATAAAGGTGACGGGCGAGTTATGGAAGCATTGACATTGCTGGAACAGGTAGTCGAGATAAAGAGCCACACCCGCCCGGAGACAGATCCTAGCCGACTGGCTTCGATGTATGCGCTGGCGATAGTGTACTATGGTGCCGGACGAGCTCAAGAAGCATTGTCCTTGCTAGAAAAAGTGGTCGAGATTAGCAGTCGCTGAATAGTGGCGGGGCGTCCGGGTCTACCCGATTCGATGCATGCGCTGGCGACATTGTACCTGCTCGACGGACAACCCGATAAAGCAATCCCCTTGTTAGAACATGTGGTCGAGGCAAGGAGGCACACACTCGCCGACGAACATCCAGATCGACTGGCTTCGATGTGGAAGCTAGGAAGAGCGTACCGAGAGCGCGGACAACTCAACGAGGCAGTGGCGTTATTAGAAGAGGTCGTCAGCACTGAGAAGCGCATGCGCGTGCCGGAAGATCCATTTCGGCTGAATTCGATGGTTGAGCTGGCGGAAGCATACGTGGCTAACGGACAATTCAACGAGGCCTTGGTATTGTTGGACCAGGTGGTCGAGGTCATGCGCCGAACACTCGCCGAGGAGAATCCACGACGACTCAGTTCCGAGCATTCGCTGGCTTGCCTCCTTTGGGATCTCGAGAGGCAAAGCGACGCGCTGCAGCTGTTGACGCATGTTGTTCGGGTCCGAAAAAATGTGGGGGATCGAGATGGCCAGGATCTGAAGAGAGCAGAAGAGGACCTCGAGTATCTTCGAAGCGAGATGACCTCGTCCTTGTAATGGAGTATGCTCTTCGGTAGCACCTGAACTGGCACAGAAGGCTATGTGAACAATCAGCAGGCATGCGTTCGATTGGATCTGATGGGCCGAGTTCAGCCGGAACAGAACAGTGCGACTGTGGCACTGTCAGAATTGACGACCGCGCGATCGAGCGCAGTAGGGAGTCTTCTGGTTCTTTTTCTCAAGCCAGCAGGCTTTATCTCTGAACTCTTCTCTTATCTCCTGCCGCGTCCACCAAGATGAGTGCAAAAGCGAGTAGAAGTGCGCATCTCGTTGGGTGAAGGCTTGCTAGACAGACACGCAGATCCGCTCATTAGTTATGTTTCCTCCGGTCGTTACCGAAGGGTGTCGATGGGTATGAGCGAGGTACTTGGGTACGTCGTCCAGATGCGTCCATGTCGAGGCTGGGGTAGTTCTATCTATACAGAGATATGTAGCCAATGGAAATCCTCGTGAATAAACAGAGAAGCAGTTTCTGGGGACCCCGTGACCCCGCACCAGAAGATGGCGTGGGTCTTGGCGCCAAATCCTGGCTCTTTTGCTGTATTCGTCCGCCCCTCCGCTCCTCCGCCACCCTTCCTGCCACCGAGCCACCTATTCTAGTCTTCGTTTGGGCATTCGCAAAGGACCTATAGAACACGAGTTTGACGTCGTGCAGGTGATGATTTACATGGGCATCTCGGAATGTATCTGACTGGCAATTGTCAAGCAACAATCTCAGCTACCAGAAGCCACACCCTACACCTCACGCACCTGATCACAAAAGCTACCGGAGAAACATGCCTGGACAATGGGTTCTAGATGACTCTCAGAGTCTGTACTATCTCGAGCACGACGATGTACCGGAGAAGGTCCCTACCGACCAACTCCCGCGGCGCGTTTCGCGACCGGGAAATACGCCCTTTCGTCGTCCGAGTCAACAACACCACATACCTATGCGACACCAACATGTAGCACCTGGATGGGATTCAACTATAACGGACGCGGCCAAGACACACTCTTCGTTCAAGCGTCCGCGATTGTCTTCCGAGAGCGACGTCCTACAACATCCCTTTGCCTTTAGGGCAGGCCAGGATTCTTCGTTGGCGGATTGGGATCTGGATAACCTGACAACAAGCAACGATGTCTTCTCGACGCCAGCGTCTACAACGACAGTCACTACGACTAGTGCAACTCTACCTGGTGTTTTCGGGCCCACACCGCCGCCTGCCCTGGAAATATCAAGACGTGACCGCTCCCGCCATCGCCAGAGGAGAAGCACCGCTAACAGACTTGAACGTCGGCACCGCACCGAACGCACCCCCACCGCGAATCATCGAGACGAGTGCGATAGATCCCAGAAGGAAGCGCAACAGGCCATCATGCGGGCCCTTGCGCGCCTGGATCGAGCCACGCTGTTCGACCACACTTTCACGCATCCACTGTCCAGCCTGAGCCTGGCCATGGGCTTCAACACCAGCCTGCCCAAGTCGCAGTTCGACACGTACATTATGGCGCTAAGACAGTTGCTTCGTGGTTCCTCCGACCGGTGTTTCCTCAGGTGAGATCGTATCCCCAGGACACAATGAATCAAAAGTACCACCCGGTCTTTCTCGGCAAGGCATGCTAACGGAATCGACAGCAACGAACTGCAGCGCGCAATCACTGCTGAAGGCGTGCTGTGGGTGGTTCGCGAGGCGTGGCCCGCAGCAGAGGGGTACTGGAATTTGACGGTATGTATTTCCCAGAGACACAACAACAGTGCTAGATGGGATATGTTCGTTTGCTGACAATCGGAATTCAAACAAAATACAGGCCACCTTCCGAGGCTTCCTCCACGCCGAGCTCTGGCGCAATTTCCCCTGCCAGCGTTCATACAATCAACTCCCCCCCGCATACCGTCCGACACGGGCTCAGCTGTCGGTCCCTCACTCGCCCATGATCGACTGGATGCCGTGGCCCGATGTGCGGGACATGGCGATCATGTACCAGGACCAGATCGACGTGGACGCGCTGTTCCGGATGGCCATCCACAATGTGGTCGCGCACCGGAAACGGCGTGGTCGGCGGAAGAAGCCGTCCTTGCGCATCACTCCTTATCCTTCGTCGCTCTCTCGAAAAATCGACGACCGCGATGACGACTCCTCCAAAACCCCTCTCCTTCATACTCCGTCTTCTCCTCTTGATCCACCTCCTCCACATCTTTCTCCTCCTTCCAACCAACCCCATCCCGAACACAAAACACCGGAGACCACAACCACCAACGACGACGATCAGGACGACGACGTGCACGACAAAACCTCGTTCCGAGTATGGGACCTGGTATGTCTGGAAAAAGCGCACGGGACGAACCCCCTTGCCGAGCCAGGCCTGGAGAAGAAACCGGTGCCGCGGTCACCGGGCTTGCGCGCCCTCCTGCGCGCCTACGACCTCGAGTACGACGAGTTCGACACGCAGAAGCTCGACGACGGCTTCTTCGAGGCGTACCCGTGCCTGTACGCCGACACGGCCGCCTCGGCCTGGAAGGTCCAGCGGTTCCCCAACATGCCCGTCGAGGACGTTGGGGGTCCTATCCCGCTCAGTCGGGACGCGGTATTTCGCCTCAAAGCGCGCATTGAGTCTATGATTGGCGCGGAGATTCTTATATGAGTTTGACGTGATATCTAGGTACCTAGATACTGGGGACCTACTTGGCTGGCTGGCTTGCTATCGACCTAGCCAGCTGAATTGGTCGATGATGTATCATGAAGACGGGTACTTGGGTATCTGGACATATGATATGGATATTTGTATACGGGCCATTGATATGGAATGACACATATCCTCCCTTGGGAGGCCTTTATCTATTGCGAACGGCCTCACTGGTCTTGGTAAATCCCCTGGTTGGGACATGCAAAATCAGGCATGAGTATTCATGGTGTATAAAACGGTGTATTATATTATATCATGTAGTTCTTTATGAGAAAATGAAATGAAACTCAGCAAGGTACTCTCTGTCTTGCATCCCCCTTCTTGCGGATTTGCTCATGTAATGTACAGACGTAGATGATGGTACACAGTCATAACATGATCCTCGAACCACTTTATGGGAAGCAATATAGCAATCAGGGTCCCCTATAGTTATCCGAAACTTGAAGTAGCAAATCGGCAAAAACAAATCAATCCCCCGCACAAAACTCCCGCAGCCACGTCCTGGCGGGGACATCGACGGTGCCGTGGAACAGCTCCGAGGGCAGCTCAAAGGGTTCGTCTTGCTGCTGTGACTCTGTCGTCCCTGGAGACGGGTGCTTGTACGGGTGCTGGTGCTGGTGCCGGGAAAGGATCGGTGAGGACGCGCTGGTGTGCACGGTGAAAGGGCTGGATTCGTCGGCGCCGCCGAAAAATCGCGTGACTTCCGAGGGGTCGAGGTGGTCGATCTCAAAGATGCGGCCTTGCTCTCGGGGAGGAAGGGCTGGTGTCCCAAACACGGAGGGATCGTTACCGTAGAGTTCGGGGGGCACGTCGATGTCTTCGGAACTCGAGGCGGCGAACAAGGGGAGATGCATCTGGGTCTGCTCGGAAGAGGTGAGCAGGGTGGCGAAGCCGGGAGAGTCATCGTGGGCGGTATCGCTTTGCAGCGTTACGGGTATTGATGTCCTACTGGCGCTGGTCTGTGTCTGGCTCGTATCGTCCAGAGAGATGGGCTCGTGTCTCGACCCGGCTCGTTCTTCATGTGGTGGTCTCTTCGAGGAGGTAGTGCGTGGAACCGGCGGCTTCGCATGAGACGAGATATGGCGCAGGAGAGTATCCCTTTTTTGGGCAGAGAAGACACAAGAGTCAGCTCTTTCTTTCAAAAATCCACACCAACCCATCCCATCCCATCTCATCCCAAGGATGGCACTGCCTCCTGGGTTCTACTAGGATCCTCCAGAGGGGCACCGTGCGCTTTTGCTTACTTACTGTCTCGTAAACGACCTCAAACACAACGGACATGTAAACGGCCGATCGGGGTAGTGACTCCTCTTGTGCCGGGTCAAGTGCTCGTTCCTCTTGAAGGGCTTTGAGCAGATTTGGCAGCGGTAGACTGCCATCTCAATCTATCTCCTCTATCTGATCTGGTCTGGTCTTCTGATTTTATCTGAGAGACTTGTGTCTTTGTGGCCATCGATAGACAGATGTGGTTTCGTATCACGGATGGTGGACGAGGACTACTGAGGCAGTAGGGTGGCAGTCGCGGGTACTCATGGCACTGTACGTATCGACAGGGATGATTTATTTGAATCGAATGCGTTGCTAGTGGTGGCTGTTACAGAAGTGCGGGGGAAGATCAAATGCGGGATGCTGACTTGCGTGGCTGCGGATTGGCGCTTGGCCAGTCACCCACCAGTCGAGGCGGGAATCGTCGGATGCGTTCAGATAAGGAGCATTTCCGAGTCCCAAGTGTCCCAGTTTTACGACTAATTCTTTCCATACATAATTCCTAGGCACTCATGGTACTCCGCAAACGGCGTCGTCCATCCGAAGATCGGCGACCGAGGCTCGTACAGAGACTTGCCAACACACTTTACTTCGTACGTCTCACAGCTTCCACCTCGTCCCTCCAGGCCGCAAATTGCTGACCGCGGCCTCCAGCCTGACCCAGAACACGGCAATGGTGGCAGTCGCTAACAATATTCCCACCAAGATGGTGGTGTTCTGATACGGCGCGGGGCCCTTCTCGTGAGTTGCGCCCCGAATAAGTGCGCCGGCGACAGGGGTGCCGATCATCGTGGCTAGTCCTCGCACCATGTACAGAAAGCCATTCACCGAGGCGAAATGTTGGACTCCAAAAAGCTCGACGAGAGAGGTGGGGAAGAGTGAGACGTATGCAGACGCGAAAACGCCGTAGAGCACCGTGAAGGCGATGAACAAGTTGCGGCTGTCGGATTGGCTCGAGGAGAGGGACGAGGGAATCCACAGGCCCAGAGCCGCAATCGCCGAAATGGCCGTCGTCAGAAACAAAGCGTTGAGCCGGCCGATCCTGTCTGCGGCGTGCCCGATGATGATCTTTCCTACAGCGTTGGCAGCGTTGGACAAGGCGATGAAGTTCGAGGCCGTCGCGGACGAGTAGCCCAGTGTTCTTGCGTACGAGGCGAAGAAAAACACCGGCGTGTAGTATGCCGCAGATTGTAGTGCAGCGCCCAATCCTTGCGCAAGAAAGGTTCGTGACCGAGCGATGCGATAATCCACCAAAGGGATCCTGAACAGTCCCACGATACCTGACGAACGTCGAGCTTCTGCTCTGAACCGTTGCGCTGCCGCAGCGTCCCAGCGCATGACAGGAGCGGCGGCACTGACGAGGACAAAGGCGACGGCCGCCGATATGCGTAGAGAGTTGCGGAAGCCCGTTCTGACAATCAAGCCGTGCAGGACAGGAGCCCAGACGACGCCTCCAATGCCAGTCCCCGAGAGGATGATCCCCATGGCGAGGCCGCGACGGGCGGTGAACCAGGTCGGAGCCACCGTAACGGCGGGCATATACGTCAGACAGGTTCCTATGCCGCAGAGAAAGCCCTGCGTGAGCTGAACCTCCCACATGCGTCGACTGAAAGAGGCCAAAAGCAATGCGAGAGAAAACACCACCCCTCCGGCGCCGATGACGAACTGCGGAGGGAATTGCTTGGTCCATGCCGTCGCGTAGGGGGCACCAATTGTCATGAGGGAGATGGCCAGTGTGCCGATCAGGTCAATCATGGCTGGCGACGAGCCGTAGAACGGAGATGAAGGGTCGTGAGAGAGCCCTTGGTAGACATCTTGGTAGACGCCAAAGGAGAAGCCGATGCCGCACACTGTGAAAATGAGTGTCGTAGAGGCAACGACTATCAGAACATGCTGTCTAGATGAGATGATCAGCTCTGACTCCCATGAATTGGAGTCTGGACGTGGACGACCTACAGCTTTGAAGGCTGAACTGGTTGCGGCTCCAGTTGTAGGGGAGGAGGAGGATTCTGGAGTTCTATTCCAACCTCGAGATTCGGGCTGGTCATTGTGCCGCTCTCAGGGATGGCCCTCTGAGAATCTTGTGGGAAGAACTGGTGAGGAGGAGAGCATGGACTTGAAATATGTTGGCTCCATGCTGGGGTAGGGCGCCCACTTATAGACGGTTAACTCCAACTACTCGGTGGGCCATAGTAGGGGACCTACATGACTCTACGTCGATCATAGGGCGCAACCACACTGGTCAGAAGGCTCACCAACTTCACATTGCTTGTCAATCCCAGATAAAGAGCAAACACCACACTGATGTATCGTCGTATGGCCAAGGTATGACGAGGCCAGACTGGCGAGGCTGCGGTGCCAAGGAGGCTTTTCCCTTTCCGCAGGGACGTAATGAGCGACTCTCCTGCGTCTCCATCAACATCAACTACAACCCACTCGTCAGCTTCGATCGCCCTCTTGCTTCCCGCGGCGAGTCTGAAGCACCTCGCTCGCCCCAGAGAATTCTTTCAACAACCGCCATAAACCCTCACCGGAGCGCAGAATCCTCCGACGCCCATGTCCAACATGTGACAAGTCGGACATCCCCCCATCCCTTGGCCCGCCCGCCATGCCCGCCAATGCACCCAACCTCACGCCACTAACAGACCACTTTTTTCTAATGTATACTCGTAATGCAAACAAGTAGCCTTTTGCGAGATTCTATAAAGCCATCCTGGGCGGACCTCTGTTGGACGTGACGATGGTATTGACACCTTGTCGAAAGGATACATTTGCCAACACTACAAAATGACTGCTCGCATTGCCATCGTTGGAGCCGGAGAGGTCGGCGCCGCCACGGCGTTTGCTCTTCTCCGAGGCTCTCTCTACAGCGAGCTGTTGCTGGTCGACGTGAAGCCGGAAAAGCGAGACGGTCAGGTACGTGACCTGTCGGACGCGTGCTACGCCGAGGACAGCACCACACGAGTTCGAGCGGGGACTCTCAAGGAGGCGGGCGAATGTGACATTGTGGTCGTCACTGCCGGGTCGAAGAGGTCGAGAGGTATGTTGCCTCTGTTCCGGTTCTGGCTGTGGAGCGGAACAAAGATTGACTGACGCACTTTGTGCGCAAACCAGGCGAGACGTCGCTTCAGCGGATAGAGAGAAACACGGCCATTCTCGAGAGGATCATCGACTCATTAAGACCGATCCGCTCCGACCTCATCCTCCTCGTCGTGTCGCACCCCGTGGACGTGCTCACGACGCTGGCCCTGAAATTGTCGGGCCTGCCACCGTCACAAGTCATAGGCTCAGGCACGTTTGTAGACACGGTTCGACTTCGGCGAATGCTGGCCGATAAATTCGAGGTCAGTCCGCCTTCCTTTTCTTTCCCCATTCAAGCCTATAAAATCCCCTCTTACAGAAAGTTCTAACTCACTCCGACTGTACATATAGATCGCCCCTGGTCCCATCAACGCCTACGTGCTCGGCGAGCACGGCGACTCGCAATTCGTGGCGTGGTCGCACGCCTCGATCGACGGGGTGCCCATCGCCGAAGCTCTTCCCCCTCAGGCCTTCGACAAAGAGGAACTCGCCGACGAGTGCAAGCGCGAGGGCCAACGCATCGTCGACACAAAGGGCGCCATCGCCTTCGGCATCGCTTCGGTGGTGTCCAACCTGTGCTCGTCCATCATCTTTGACCGCCGCGACGTCCGCGCCGTCAGCCACTTCCAGCCCGATCTGGGCTGCTGCGTGAGCTTGCCCGTCGTCCTGGGGAGGCACGGCGTCGTCAAGCCGCTCCCGCTGGTTCTGTCCGCAGAGGAGAAGGCCAAGTTGGCCGAGTCGGGCAAGATCGTGCGGGAGGCGACCCAGAAGTTATTGGCTCCGTAAATCTCAAGGAGAAAAGGGATTTCTCACGTGAAAAGAAACGGCGTTGAGAAAGTATTTTGCTGGACCGGTTCGGGGTGGTTCGGGTCTGAGAGGGTTGAGTTTATGTTTGTGGGAGTGGGAGTCGGGATTGATCTGGCCATTTGGGCGTGCTGAAAGGATTGTATTCGCCGAGGGGGAGAGAGACAAAGAGGATCATGACTTACCTACTTACGTGTACGAGTGCGTCAAATTACGTCTGCTTATTGGTTTACAAAAAGGGTAAAAGGGCACGTGGTGATGGGTGACCAAAAGGGATGGGTTGAATAGGTTGGGAGTTCGAGCGATCAAGTACAAACAAATCTAACACTGACTCTGACTCTGACAACCCGTCCTTGCAGAAGCCCTTCCTCTTCCTTTTACTACAACGACCAAAGTCCTGAAGGGGGCAAACATATGAACACATGGTATGATTACACACAAGTCCCAAGACAAAGCTCACCAAAAGAGATCAAGAATACCCCAGATTTACAATCCCTATCCCCCCTGAGTGAAGCGTGAAATCACGCACTCACACCATTCGTTTTTGCCTCTCCCGCCGCCGCCGCGGCCTTTTCACTCGCAATGACGTGCTTCTTGACCTCGAGGAAACTGTCCGGGCTGACGGAGACGGAACTGATGCCACACCTCACGAGAAAAGCGGCGAACTCGGGGTGGTTGCTGGGGGCCTGGCCGCAGAGGCCGATCTTGCGCCCTGCGCGGCGTGCGACGGCGATGACGCGCTCAATCATCCACTTGACGGCGGCGTCCTGCTCGTCAAACAGGTCGGCCAGCTCGGCCGAGTCGCGGTCCACGCCCAGCGTGAGCTGCGTCAGGTCGTTGGACCCGATCGAGAAGCCGTCAAACTGGCGCGTAAACTCCTCGGCCAGGATCACATTCGACGGGATCTCGCACATGACGTACACTTGCAGGCCATTCTCGCCGCGCCGCAGCCCGTTGGCCGCCATGACCTCCATCACCTTGGCCGCTTCGTTGACCGTCCGGCAAAAGGGGATCATGACAATCGCGTTCGTGAAGCCCATGTCCTCACGGAGTCGCTTGATCGCTCTGCATTCCAGTGCGAAGCCTTCACGGTACCGGGGTGAGTAGTACCGCGACGCTCCCCGGAACCCCAGCATCGGGTTCTCCTCCTTGGGCTCAAAGTCCTTGCCGCCGATCAGGTTGGCGTACTCGTTGGTCTTGAAGTCGCTCATCCGGATGATGGCTGGCTTGGGGTACACGGCCGCGCACAAGCAGGCGAGCCCACGCGAGAGCTTGTCGACAAAGTAGTCGGGCTTGTCCTTGTACCCGGCTGTTAGTCGAGTAATTTCTGCCTGGGCCTTTTCATCCTTCAACTTGTCGAAATGGACCAGTGCCATCGGGTGGACTGAGATGCTGCTAACAACAAACTCCATCCGTGCCAGTCCGATCCCGTCGGCGGGCAGACGCCACCAGCGATAGGCCGAGGCGGGATTGGCAAGATTGAGCATGACACTTGTCCGTGTAGCTGGCAGGCCCGTCACGTCGACCTCCTTGGTGGTGATGTCGGAGATGCCCTCGTAGACAAACGCAGTGTCCCCTTCGGCACAGGACACGGTAACATCTTGTCCCGTGTGCAGGATGTATGTGGCATTTCCCGTGCCGACGACCGCAGGAACACCCAGTTCACGACTGACAATTGCTGCGTGCGACGTTCGTCCGCCGTGGTCGGTGATGATGGCTGCGGCTCGTTTCATGATGGGCACCCAGTCCGGATCAGTCGTTTCCGTCACCAAAATCGACCCATCGACGAATTTGCCGATATCTTTGGCGCTTTCGATGAGGCACAGACGACCCGACACGGCGGCCTCGCCAACCGAGAGACCGGTAGATAAAACACGGCCCTTTTTGCCAATCTTGTAGGTTTTGAACACGCCAGCTTCACGACGTGCTTGCACGGTCTCTGGCCGCGCCTGTACAATGAACATCTCCCCAGTGATGCCGTCCTTGGCCCACTCGATGTCCATGGGACATTTATAGTGGTTCTCGATAATGCACGCCCAGCGTGCCAGGTTCAGGATTTCCGCGTCGTTGAGCACGAAACTGTTCCTCTCTGCCTTTGAGGTGGGCACATTGCGAGTTGGCATATGCTCATTTCCATAGACCATCTTCATGGCCTTTTCGCCCCGTTTCTTCTCAATAATCGGGACCAGGTCAGGGTTGGTGAGGAGCGGTTTGAAGACTTGGTACTCGTCGGGATTGACAGTGCCCTGGACGACATTCTCGCCCAGACCCCAGGCTGCGTTGATAAGCACAACCTTGTTAAAGCCGCTTTCGGTGTCGAGAGTGAACATGACGCCAGAGCCAGCAGCATCCGAGCGGACCATGCGCTGGACGCCGATAGAGAGAGCGACTTTCAGGTGATCGAAATGGGCAGTCTGACGGTAACTGATAGCCCGGTCTGTGAAGAGCGAAGCGTAGCAACGTCGACAGGCGTTGAGCAGCGCAGCTTGACCCGAGATGTTCAGAAACGTTTCTTGTTGACCCGCAAAACTGGCGTCGGGCAAGTCTTCGGCCGTGGCACTGGAACGCACAGCAACGGACAGATCCTTGATGCCTGCCTGCGTCGAAAGCTCCTGGTAGGCTTTTGTGATGGCAGTCGACACATCGGCCGGCCAGTCACCACGCAGAAACAGATTTCGCACTGCCTGGCCGGTTTCGGGAAGAGTTGTTTTGCCAGATTGCCACTCCTCAATCAGCTTGGTCATCTTCCCTCTGATATCGTTCGCGTCGACGTAACGCCAATATGCATCGGCGGTCGTTGCAAAGCCAGGCGGGACCACAATGCCCTCTGCCTTGAGGCCACCGATCATCTCGCCCAACGAGGCATTCTTGCCCCCGACGGACGCAACATCTCCTCGGACCACATTCTCAAAGTTGCGTACCAAGACCGGCATGATCTATTTTCTGTATGCTCCTTTTTCAGATGAGGAAGACTGTTTGGTTGAATGTATTTTTGACGTATATCTAAGGTAAAGATAGTTAGAGATGCATGCTCTACAAGTATTATCGATGAAACTCACTCACCGGGAGCGTGTAGCACTGACACACCATTAAATGAGACTTGTCGAGAGGTCAAGTAAGGTCATGAGATGTGTTTCGGCGCTGGGGACATGTACCTAACCTGTTACCGTGTACCGAGTACAAATACAAGTGCTTGTACAAGCACTGCCATGCTCGGAGGGTCGAATGCTAGCCCCAGAGTCTTGTGTGTGTACCTTTGTCCGCGCGTGCACGCACTCCTCTCGAGACTATTCGAACCAATCTTGACAAAGCCGCCGCCCGCCATCTTGCGGAGGGGACGGTGCCTGGGGTCCCGAAACAGGTGACTATGGATCAAGTCCATCATGAGAGGTCAGAATGATCTTGGTATGACATTCCCGAGCACATCCGTGCAAGTAAATTGGCAGCGAGGTTTTGCTGCAAGAATCACCTGATTGACGAAGCATTTTTTTTGCCAGGGCCGGCTTCGTTCTTATAACGTAATTAGTCTGACGGGAGAAGATGCTGTGGATTTGAAGCCGGTAGGGAAATGGCCAGAGGACGGAGATGGCGCGTGGTGTCTGCGGTGCGAAGTGAGAAATGCGAAGTGAGAAGTTACAGAGTACCGAGTAGAAGTAGATGGATTCGAGGTCATACCAAGGCCCACCCAGTACACGCACACTGTACAACACAACAGATATTTGTGACCTACATAGTTCAGTTCCCGGGTCTCCTCCTGTATTCTTTGTACTTGTTCATGCACTTAACTTGTAAATTGGTGTGGTCTTGATCCTTTCTCTTTGTCCGTTTTGCAGTCTGTTTCTGCGCTTTGAGAGACCACCTCATTCTCCCTACTTGTACAACCTCATATCTCCCCCCGACGCCTAACCTCTTCATTCCCTCCTCTCACGCTACACGCTATACACGCACAGCGGTTCGAGAATACCTTCCAAGAGCAAGACTTGAGCACGGTAGCTTCCCCCACAGATGGCCGGCTGCGCCCCAGCAAAGACTTCATTCAGCGTAAGAGCAGCCGAAAATGATGTGACCTGGGCTGGACTCTTGTAAAAGGAGGAGGACATCAACGTAAGCAAGCACATATTGTAAAACTCAGAGTCGACATCTAGGAGGCCTGGTGTCATAATCATCCATACAGTCTGATCTTGTTGCCTCGACTATCACAGTGATGAGTGTAAAGAGTAAAAGTCATCGATTCATAGCCAGCCCATCCAACGCCCGTGAGGCTTCCGTGAAAGCCACATTTGAACCTTTCCTTTTTTTTCATCAATATCTGAACAGAACCTGACATCTTCCGCCACTTCTGGTATGATCACATCATCAATAACCCACTAAATTAGGCCGCTTCTTCCACGTGCCGCAGCACAGGGTAAAGCTGTTCTTCCTCGGATTGTTCTTTGTGTTCCTCTGTGCCAGTCATGTCGGCGTCGTGATGCTCGGTCAAGTCCTTGCGCGCAACATCCTTGTCCGCGCCTTGGCCGTCCTCATAATCGCCGCTCTGGAGCTTCTTCTTGATGAACTCGCGCATCCATTCGATCAGACGCATGTTTTGCACCCACATCTCGGTCTGATCAGGACTATCTTTGGACTCGCCGCTCTTGGGCGTCTCGGACCCTTCAACACTCGCGAGGGCAGGATCAATAACACTATCCTGTGGCGAGACTTTTGTCTTGCTGTTGGAGGGATCTTTGTTGGCAGAAGAAGCTGGAGGAGTGACGGAGCCGTCGCTTCCAATATCCATTTCGTCCTTGACCATACCAGGGGCAGCACGTTGAAGTCGGCCACCATCCCAGCGACGACGGTCATCACTCTCGTAGAGACCACTGAGTGTCGCGGCATTGGCAGCCGCGTACGCCATATCACTCGCACTAGCTGGCAGGGTCGGGTACATGGCACTGCTGGTTGGTGCGGCATGGCCTGGTAGGGGGCTCTGGCCGGACGTGTAGCTCTGTGCCGACGACGGGGGAGTAAGACCCGGTGTGCTGGCGTCCGTGGCGCTCGCAATGCTATCTTGGTGACCGTGCTGGAGCAACGAGGCGGCGCTGGCGGGAGCAGCAGCTGACGGGAGATGGGACGAGGTCGGAGGGCTGTTGCTCGAGCGGGCGTACGTCACATATCCGGAACCGGCTGGTGCGACACCTGCTGTGAGATGAGCATCGTTTTCGTAGATGGTGGCTTGCATCTGCTCGAGGATTTGGTCGATAGAAGTCAAGTCCTCCCTCGTCTTCGCGTTGCCCATTGGCGGCAAGCTGTAGGCCTGGATGGGATCCTCTTGTCCATAGCCACCACCAACCGACACTGGTTGGTAAGCGGGAGTCGGGATCGCGGCGGGGATAATTTGTGGCAGCTGAAGACCTTGGAGCTCAAATAGACGGCGGCTGACATTGTGGAAATTGATTGGGTCGACCTCTCTGCGCTTAACCTGGCCAAAGAAGTGATCAAGAGCGTCATAGCCGCGCTTGCGGGCTTCGTAGTCGTAGGTGGTTGCAGGTGCAGTGCTATAGTATGTCACTGGGCCATAGCCTGGGTGTTGTCCAGCCTGCGGTTTCGGTGTTAGAACCCTCGCCACAAAGCGCCCGAATTTCCAAGAGGCATGCTTACCTGGACTTGAGGGTGAGGCTGGTAATACTGATTGGGGTGATGCTGGCCAGTGTAGTCTTGCGGGCCCGGCATGGCAGGGGCATAGTAGTTTGGAGGCACTTGTCCCGTCAGACCGCGACCATAGTATGAGGCGCCGTAATGCCCACCTTGTCCCAGGCCATTTTGGTTTTGACGCTGCCCACCGCCGGGCTCCATGTTGGGAGAGCGCATGATGACGCTGTCGTCGGCATGAGTCTTGACATGTTTCTTGAGGTCCTGGGGACGTTTGAAGGCCTTGCCGCAGAACTCGCACTTGTGAGGTTTCAAGGGCACATGGACGCGAATGTGGGAGGTGATGTGATCGCGTTTGACCGTGGTGGTACGGCACTGACCCCAGGCGCAGGTCAAGTTGAGATTGTTGGTCGACTTGCGACCTACATGGCGTTCGCAGACGTGCTCCTAGAGTCACACAGTTAGGGCGCGTCATCAGTTAGGAAGAGGAGAGAGGCTCACGTAGAGCAATTCAGCTGAAGGGCAGCGCTCGCCGCATCCTTGCCACTGGCACTGCAGGTTCTCGCCGGCAGCGTTGACACTGGGCGCAGGCTGATTTGAGGCCAACGGTTGTTGCTGGAGTTGACCTTGTTGCTGAACCACCTCCTGAGGAGCAGTAGGATTGGGAGTGGGCGTGTTGGTCTCCCCCAGGTCAGCCATTGTTTCCTTGGCTCGAAAGCAGCGCCAAGAGCGATGTCGATACTTGGCGGCGGAATAGAACAGCTACCAACTTGGAACGCGAGGCTGCGAGTCCGTGTCCGCGATGCCAGTTGCGATCACGCGAACAAGAATCACGCCAAGATGGTGACGAGGGTGATGGAAAAGTGAAAGTTGAGGATGAAGAAAAAGGGTGAAGGAGAACCAAATTTTCGGGTGGGAGAAAAGATGGTTGGAAGGTTTTTTTTGCTGGCCTGAGTAGTTTCGCCGGGCGCGCGGGAGACTGAACTACTATTAAGTATATCGGTCCCTCTGACTCGGACACGGCGGTTATGGTGACGACGATAAGGATGGTAAATTTGCACAAGTCGTCTGAGAAGCAAGAAGAGAGAAAGGCTCGGAGAGGAGCAGGTTTAATTTACGGAAGAGAAGAGGACTACGACTAGTATTTTGCTTCCGGGGGGGTTTTGATTCTTTTGGGAGAGGGAGGGGGTGGGTGCAGCAATAATGAGTAGAGTTGGACGGGGGAAGGAGCCATTCAGGAAACTCAGAAGGGGGGGATAACAGGATGAGGCAGGAAAGAGGGCGAGGAGCTGAACTTGGGGGGTGGTCCCTCTGGCTCGTCAGAAAGTGGACAGACAAGGGCGAGGAGTGATTTCACGGACGAGAGGGGGGGAGGGCGCGTGTGGGCGCGAGAGGAAGGGCGAGAGTTAGGAGAGGCAGAGCGAGAAGGCGAAACGCATCTGGCCGTTGGTTTGACATGCAGAAAGTGGCAGTGAACGAGAACAAACCGAAAGAGAGAATTCGGGAGGGAGGAGGCCAAAGCGAATGACGGCGTCGATGGGCAGGATCCATGGACCAGTCACCAATTAGCGCCTTGGCATTGGCAAGTGCCAAGACACTACGCAATCCCGCCAAACGCAGCCCACCAGTTGCCTGCGTCGTGGTGGGGCATTTTCTGGTCAACTGCGGCCAACTACTTGTCCTTGTAAAGCTCTTGCAATAGTCCATCGACAAGTCGGCAGTCAGCGTGATACGAACTCTGTGGCCCTGCACGTCGAGTCGAGTCGAGTCGTTTTTCCCCGCGGGATTATCCATCTCAACACCTTTCCTCTGCGGCGTCAACGGTTCAGATGCCAATCCCTCTTAGCAATTTTACGGGTTCTTGTTTTGGGGGCTAATTTCGCAAGCCGAGGGAAAGGTCAGAAAACGAGTCGGGTAGGAGCTGAGAGCGGAATGGAGCCCCTGATGAAACCCTGACGAGTCTTGGATTTCTTGGAACGTCGGAAATCCTTGGAACAACAGCCAGCGGGACGAGAAGTTGGCCAAGGGAGGAACACCAGCACCAAGACATGCTCAGGGAGGCGCAGCACCTTTGTCCTCACCCACTCTACCTTATTCGGCGCGGATGATACGTGTGCTCGTGGTAAGAAGTGGCAAACCTTTTGTCAGAGTTGGCGCCCCCAGCGTCCTCCTCCCTCTTGGCTGAAAGGGAATGGAAACTCAAAAAACCCTTTGACCCAAGAGTTGGTACCAAGGCCGGAATTTCTTGGGTCTCGCCATGGCTTTTCCGTCAGTAGCGAGGGATTCACATCGGCGATATCATGGCGACTTAATCTACTTGTAGAAATTATTCCTCGTTTTTGGGGCAGTCATTACGAATATGTTTCCCATGTGACGACGAGACTAGGCCAGACTGGTTTGTTGGAGGGCAGCGTGGCGTTGGATCAGGACACCTTTGCATACTGTGTAGAATCACGATAAGTGTGACGGGAATCACGAAATCGCCGAGCTGGATTAGGGGCTTCCTGGCGGCCGTGCTTGATATGGGTTAGGACTCCAAGCTCACGTCATGTTAAGGCGGACGCGGTACTCGTTCTTAGAACCTCTGAAGGTGTTCTGGGTGTCTGGGTGTATGCATTTCGAGGTGGCGATGGAGAAGGGAGGAGTTGGTCCTGAACTACCCCTCATTTAGTCGTAGGAGGCATAAAGTGGCATGATGGCATTCTACCTCGTTATCCATACTCGGGTCAGTGGTGGTTAGACACGGTAGATAACATGGTATACCGAGTATTCAGTTAGTAGTACCCCTCCTGCCCTCCTGCCCTCCTATCATTCCTCTCCACAAAATCAAGATCAAGATCAACTGAAGCTCCAACCAGGCCCATCCAGACCTACTTGGTCACCACTTGGTCCACGATACCGAAATACTAACTATGCACTAACAACCAACTACTAGTTACTTAGATATGTACTTGGTATCTCGTACTCGGTGTGCTCGGTAACCCAACCACCCATTATTGTTATCAAACGATTTAATTCAAGCTTTGCACTTGTACCTACTTGGACACAATTGTATGCCACGAGGACCAGGACCAGGACCAGCACCGAACCCGAGTCCTCGGTACCACAAACAATGCTACTCGTGATGATCATGTACCTTATCTTATGTGCAAGTGTGTAGGTCCTTGCACCGACCAAGTCAGGTCACACCTCGGCTGCTTTTCGCGACAGCTACCCAAGTGACCTTGTAATTGTTACGCACAATGTGATCCTTGTGCACCACCGAGAGAGGCCAGTACTTGGTACTTGGTACTTGGTGCATTGGGTACTCGAGGAAGCCATTTCACCTTTTCACCCTTCCAACCTAGCCTGTTCATTATTAATTACTTAATGTCACCTGGAGAAATTTCCCCTGTAATTGCACAAGTGTATGGGAAATGAGTGGCCTCGTCATCCCCCTCCATCTCCTCGTGCATTCCCGATCCTGGGCGATCAGATCACCTACCTACCTACCTACTCCGTACAGCGTTACGCGTACCTCGCTCCTTGTTCGAGTATGAGTGCTGAGTACGCCAATGCCAATGCTGGCGGAAAGTCTTGGAAGGCGTGCAGGGTGTGGGAAGGAAGGAAACCCCAAGACTCCAAGACTCCAAGAATTCCAAGAATGTCCAAGGAAAAAAAAAACAACCACGCAAGAGAGCAATGCGCAGCACAAGGGGGCCCAGAGGGCAAAGAGCGGAAAATCTTGGATGGTTTTTTTGCTCCCCCTGGGCAAAAACATGACATACCACATACCTACCAAGGCTAACTAAATACATTGATGCAGTAGCAGAGTACTTGGTAGCTACCATCGTCGACTATCATCCGGTACATATATCCGGGAGAATCTGTCCCCATCTCTACACTAATTACCACTGTACTTGTATGGAACGAGACATGACCATGTAGTCATGTTTATTTTTATTGCGGTACGTATTCGTATAATATGTAGGGGGAGGTAAATCACCCTGGTCATCGCTGTCGTCACTCTTACCAACCCCCGTCACCTCTGTATCCTCGACTCTTCCCCCTCTACTGAGTACTCACCTCTCTACCTTCCTCTACACTCACTCTGTCGGTCTACCAGATGCCTACCTACTAGATATCTACCCATACCAACCTCGTCCTCATCCCCTCGATACATGGACTCTCTCGCTCTCGCTCTCGCTACTCGTGCATGTACAGGTATCAAATCATGCGCAGATCTTATCCGTTCCAGCACCAACCCGGAGTCCGAACCAAAATCCCAGTCCCCCCCCCCCCCTCTTTCCCTCGTGCCTTGTTCACACCGCCAAATCCATCTTGCTCTCTCCCCCTTCTGCAGCTGTTCCAAACCAGGAGTCAATCAGGGAATAGGTGCCTCGCGGCAATACTACCTGACTACCTACCTACCTAATTCGTATACCTAGCCTGTCCACCTAGGCATCCGTCTACCTACCCACCCTGGAGATACTTGGACGTGTGGTAGACATCTCCATTCGTCACACTCGGTAGTTACCAAGATATATATTTCTAGGGACAAACGACATCTAGGACGGCGTAAACACACACATCCACAAAAGAGGAAAGAGAAAGAAATAGACAGTCACTATGTATCCGTGGCCAATATGCTATTAGCTTAGCTTCATACCCATTCAATCTGTGGTATCATTTAGAGAATTGAAGAACCCTTTGCACGTTTGCACGTTTTGCCCATTTGCCCGTTTGCCCAAAAACCATCTCCGCCATGCCTGAATTCATGCCGAAGCCCTCTCCTCTTACCAATCCCCGCAAAACTCCCCGAGACGCCAATTGTCACCCACTCCTCCCTCCCCCCAAATCGTCAATGCTGCGTGTTGCCGTAATGCTGCTCGACCCATCCCGGGTTCCAGCTCTCGGTGCCAAAGTAATCCAGGTTCGCCTGCACTCCCTGTGGCAGGCCAGCCCCTACCCCGATCTGGCCGCCATTCATATGTTTCCAGTACTCGTCTGTATTGGTCGACGCACTGGCTTCGCCTCCCACGTTCATTGATTCTGTCGTGTTCGGGACGCCGCCCAGATGATTCATGTCGCTTCCGAGCGAATGGTGCATCAGGATGTCTGTAAAGGGCGTGGTGTAGTCTCGTCCGGCCTGGGTCCCGAACTGCTGCGTTAAGCTGGGGCTTTCACTCAAGCCCTGCGGAAATGGATAATCGTAACTCCCAAAATGAGGCGTCGGGATGGGCATCAGATGGCTGCTACTGCTCGGCGTGCCAAAAAGATTCGTCTCGTTGGGCGTCATGCTGGCTTCGGAGAACGGATAATGCCCGTCTGTCGATTCGAGCGCACTCATCGGAGGATTGGGATAGGCAAAGGGATTGTCGCTGGGGAACATGACATTCTTCAAGTCCGGTATTTGCGCATTCCCTAGTTGCGGCGTATATTGATAGTTGGGCGACATGGGGGTTGACGTCGAGGGGCTTTGAAATCCTACGAGCTGAGCATTCTGCACGTGCTCAGAGAAACTCGACATGACCGGGTCGGGCAGAGAGTTTCTCTTCGCCAGTTTGGCCAGATAGTCCGAGGGCAACGTCCTTGCTCGACTGGGCGTGGCCGAGTGTTCTCGAGAGGTGACTTGGTTGCTCACTTCGCCGGCATTGGATCTCTCCTGCTGTGGCCCTGCTTCGGGACCTGGTGGCGGCCGCTTTCGACTGTTTGCTGGAGCAAAATTGAGCGAACTTCGCCGCTCCTTGAGTTTCTCGGGAAGAACATCAAAAAGACCCTGTCAAGGTTGGGAGCAATTAGCGTTGAATCTCGATACCCGTCACCAGCTGCAGCTTACCGTCAGGCTGAGCGTACACCGATCGGCAGCCATGCTTCGCTTCGCAAGACTTGCCAGCGTGTCGCGCCCTTCCTTTGCATCTTTCAGGATCTCGGTGCTGGTGGGATTGTTCGGATTCTCAATGACGAAGAAGACGAGCGATAGGATGGCAAAGTACGTCGTATACATGACAAACCAGTACGCGCCCACCAACAAACCTCGCCTCTTCATCTCGCTGGTGATGTGAACAATGTTCCGGGCAACACTGATACACGCCGCCGCACAAGCAAAGCTCCTCTTGTCCACATTGCGCGCTTGACATGCTTGTGATACATAATGTATAAACGGCCGATAGAGCATCATCTGCACGTGAGCGTAGCTTATTCGCAGATGTTGTTGCACCCTATGCACCGTTAGCTCTTGATCGCAATCCCGTCCTGTCAATATCTACCGTGACAGATCCCGTCCAGCATTGTCCGAAGGCCTTAGCTCGCTCGGCAGTTGGTCCATCCAGTTCTGCAGATCTCTTTCCAGCTCACGGATCTTCCTGTGGCTGATACTATAGACCGGCTCGGTCTTGGGGTTTCCCGGCGTTTTAAGAGGATAGATGTACCGAACGACCTTTCGCAGAAGCATCGTCAGCCTGGTATGAGCGTTCGTCGCCCTCAACAGAGGAAATGTGCCCGCCGGCATAGGCAAGATTCCTTGCTCCGTAATGTAATCGTCTTCGACCTCGGCAGGATATTCTTGGTCGATGTCGTCTTCGCTCAACATCTGTGGGAGCCCGAGTACAGCGCCCACGTAACAGTCCAATTTGCGCACCAGCCAGAATATTCGCTTTCGTTCTTCCAACTCGATGGGATTGAAATTGATGGGCAGATTGCGGTGCAGGCCCAGCCGACAACACGCCCTCAGGGCAATGCCAATGTATGCGTAACAGGTGGGTAATTTGGCCGAAGACTGCAAGAAGAGGATCATGAAGACGATGGCTTGGATAGTCACTAAATCCCTGCAATCCGTAATGTCGAGTAGTTGCTTGGCGGTGCTAAAGTATTGATATCTGATACATCGTCAGTACAAGACAACGTTGTCAGAATGAGGCGTAATGGTTCCTACCCCTGTTCTATTGCCTCCTTGTAACCTTTCAGATCCAGCATGGTGTTGTCATTCTCTGTCTTGGAAAACAGGCACCCGACCGCCATGACCACGTAGAGTTGAGGCAGGAACTGGACATGACGATTGTTATATTGCTCGGGATCAGTATCGTAGACAGCGTGAAGGCGCTTGAAGAATGTCGGTCGGTGGATCGGGCGCATGAGAGCGCAGCAGTCGTCGAGGGTGTTGCGACACAACTCCACAGCCACCTCTCGGGGAGGCAGATCAATGTGGTGAGAGAGGTTGAAGTCGATCGGCGACGAGTTGGCTGACTTGGGTGACTCGAGGACCTGCGCGATTGTGCGGTTCTTGCTGGGATGGCGGTATTCGGACAGAAACTGGTCGCCAAACTGCGCCCGAAATTTTCTCATAAAGACATAGCCGGAGGAATGACCATGAAAGTCCCAATTGCCATGATCGTCAAGATCGAGACTGCCGGTCCGGTCGACCATCGATTGGAGTTGAGCATCATCATCGGCTTTTGGCGGGTCGGCGGCTGGTCTCGCATTCGCATTCGTAGTTCCACTGCCCGTCCCATTGCCGTTGACATTGACATCGACATTGGCACCTGCGTGGGCGGTGGCGGTGGCGCTGGTGTTTGCACGACCTGCCTCGATGAGCTGTTCTACGGTCCGCACGTCAAACTTGGGATCGTCCAGGTCAAGCCCCGGCAAGACTGAGCGTAGGACTGACTCGGCTTTCTGCAGCCTCTGCTCCAAAGCCTCGATATATTGTGGGGCAGGATTTCGCCTTCGATTCGAAGGTTGATCATATGTACATTCTAGAAAGGCCGCCATCAGTGAATCCATGAGCGACAACAGCATCAAGAGCAAGGATGGGCTTAGACGCCAGTCATAAGGTTCACGCACCGTAGCTGTAGACGGTGCAATGCGTGCAAGGCTGTTTGCCATCACACTTGATCTTTTTGCGCCGGCACTCATCACAGGCTCGAGTCACCCGTCGTCGTTTCTGCATGGGGACGGTTGGCTTTGTCCCCGACTCACTGGGTGGCGACTCAGCAGTAGGAGACCCGGGTCGCGATTCCGACCCGTTTTCGGCCGGGTGATTTGTGCTGGCCATGGGCGCGGTGGTGGACGGTTCATCTCTCAGAGCCTCGTCGGACGGGCGACCCATCGACCGGGGCGTTATCAGTTCTTGGTCGCCCATCCGTCCTCCAGCCCCAAGCAGCCAACCAAGCGAGGAAAGACTGCGAAAGTCGAGAGTTGCGTTGCGCTCATTCGCTCACAAGGTCGGCAAGACTCGATGCTGGGACAGCACTGCGGTGGGAAATGGTGACGCATACAGAAAAGGCAAAGATAAAATCCACAAGAGCCTGGGAAGGACAGTTTGTCTGGGCCGGTCAAAGGCTGCCGGATTCGGAGACAGGGACCCCGCAGCTCCGGTTGGTGCGTTCGGAGGAAGACAGCGATATCGCTGAGAATGAGCGACAGGAAAAGAAGAGGGAGGGAAAAAACCAAAACAAAATGATATCCGTGTGCAAAGGAAAGGCAGAGCGATTTGGGAATTGATCAACCCCCTTCACTGGTACGAGCCGTACGACCAAAAAAACCCGCCCACCAGACGACAAGGGAAAAGCGAAAGGGCAAGGGCACAAGCATGGGAAGGGCCTGGGAAAAGGAAGGGAAATGGGCAAAAGGGCAAAAGGGAAGCATATCCACAGCCCATTGCACACCCATTCCACCCACTACCACCGGGCAGCTGTGCCCTTGGGGCGCTTGTTGGTCCCCCACTTGAGCCCATGACATTTTTAACCAAAGGACGGGTTTTTGACGGGGACCGTGTGCGTCATTGGACATGATTAGGGTCTCTGGCTGTGCGGGTGGAAGATGGAAAGGGCTGGCTTGATTGCTGGAGACCTCGAAGCGGATACCTGTGCGATGGCCCCCCCTCCCTCCCCCTCGACTTGTCCCCTCTTCTCCTCCTTCGTATTCCCCTCTTGGGTCCCTGCTAGGTCTGCCTCTTTCTTCCGTTTTTAGGTCTTTCAATAGCGGGAGCAAGTGGGCGTTGTCGTTGGGCGTGGGCGAGGCGACAGGCTGAATGTCAGGTCCATCAAATGCATGCAAACAGTGGATGCTCTCGATCCCATGGCTGCGTGGTGACTGGTGGGCAAACGCCGATCGTATAGTGGTCCTGACCGATTCTTGGAGCTCCTCATGCCTGTCTCTGGTAGCAGTCGTGTCTGTGAAAGAGTCCGGAGTGGTAATGCGAGTGGGTTGGTGTTGAGCAAGGTAGGACAGGGCTGTAGCTAACTGTGACCCGTACCGAGTAGACGCATGGTCAGGCTAGAGCATTCGTGAGAGTCTTTCATGTCTCTCTTCCCTGGAACTAACAGTAGTAGTCTTGGGTGGTGACAGCCGCTTTACCCCCGAGAGAATGGCCACTTTTGTCAGGTCGCGAACCAGAAGGGCAATTTGGGGGTCATATATGATATATATCTTGTATATTCCGCAACGAGGTCGTCGTCCCGTGTTCCCTCGAGCCTTCTTCCCCCTCTTCTCAATCCCATCAATATCGCTGCTCTCTGTTCGGTCTGTAGCTAAGGCTCGTTCTTCGCGTGGCATTTGGGACCGTCATCCTATCGCGTGGCCGACCGTGCCCACCATTGCTTAACTCCGCCCTAATGAGTCCAGGGGGTCTCGCCGATCGCGCAGGGTTCCAGGGCCAGTCGGATATCCTCAATTTGTCCCCCCTGGGTCCCCCCTGAGCGCCTGGGTGTGGGTATGGTAATGGTGAAAAATGTCGCTCGTGGCACGGCACAGATGCTGCCCTAGGACCACAGATATATCGCCATATTGCCCATTCGCCAACAAGCGGTAAATCGCGGCTGAGACATCTCTCCAGAGCAAACGAACATGGCCAAGGGATACCCTAACAGACTATCACAAACATGTCCCGCCGCATTGTCTACCTATGTGCTGTGCCGACTACCTGATAGGCCCACCTGTTGCGCCTGTTAGGCTCTGGCGTCGTCTGGTAGCCCGAATCCCAACATCATTGTGAGGGGCAATGATTGCAATTCCGTCTAATTCGCTTTCACCGACGTAGGAGGCTGATCTTGGCCTGTCGCTGTCGTTTGTTCTTCCACACGGACCTTCTCTCCATCCACGGCGGCAGCCGTCACGTTCCCAGGCGAGCCAACAGAATTGTGGATCTGTAAATCCCCAAACAACTCATTCACGGTCTCGAGGGTATGACCTTGTGTCTCAGGGTAGAAGAAATAAACCACGACTGCGGCGACCCAGTTGAAGGCACTGAATATATAAAAGTATCGGTAACCCATTTTCGAAAGCGCAATAGGTGAGCATTGTGCAAAGATGAGGTTCACTGCCCAGTTTGTGAACGTGGACAACGAGGTGCCTTTGGCTCGGATGGCCGTCGGGAAGATCTCGCTGCTGAAAATCCAGGAAATGCATCCCAGGCTGGTGAAAAACACCGAGAAGACAAAATACATGGCCACACAGGCGCGCAGGGCGTTGCTACTGCGACCGGGATCTGGTGTCCCTTCAATGTAGAAATGCGAAAGCGTGGCATTGACGCAGAGCGCTGCTCCCATACCAATCATGGATGGTATAAGAAGCTTTCTTCGTCCCACGCGGTCCACAAATGCGATGCAGATGGTGTTGTAGACCTGGGCGAGGGCACCATATATGCCGATAATCATTAGAGACCTGTGCTGTATTAGTACCGGATATCAAATCCCAGATCCCTTGACGGCGAGTGCCAACCTGGTGGTGCTGAAATTAAGATAGCTGTAGATACGGGGCCCGTAGCTACTCTCAGATCAGTATCACGCGGTTGCTTCTTCAAGCACAAACTATTGACCCAGCGATCTTTTGACTAACGTTGCTGGAAACTTACTAGTTGATGACATTGATCCCCGATGTTTGCGTGAAAAGCTGTATCCCACAAGCCAACAACACCCGCCGTCGGAGGTGCGGCTCGCGAAACATGTCGATCCACGCCAAGCGAGACCTTTTCTCCGCTTCAAGATTGTCTTGGATGCGTTTGTACTCGGCTTCAACAAGCTCTTGACCTCGGTGGAGCCTTTGCAGGACCGCATGAGCATGAACCGTGTCTCCGCGCTCAGCGAGGAATCGAGGACTCTCGGGCAGAAACCAAATTCCTGCTGCAAGGACCACGGCTGGTAGCACTTGGAACGAGAGTGGGAACCTCCAGCTGAAAGGGCCGTCGACCAACGAGCTTCCATAGCCGATCCATTGGGCACATAAAAATCTACCATCTCGTTAGCTAGCAGATACAAGGGGACCATTGCCCAGCGGTGAAGCAAACCCAAGTCCGATATTCCATTGTTGTAGCCCAGCAAGAAGGGCTCGATATTTCGGGTGCGCAACCTCTGAACAATAGTTGGGGATCGTGGCCGATAGCAGCCCAATGGCCAGACCAGCGACTACCCGACCTATGATGATAGTTGCGACATTGTTTGCGCCGCCTTGCAGTGCGCCTCCTAGGCATGCTAATAGGGCTCCGAGGAAGATGGCGGCCCGTCGACCATACTTGTCCGAGAGCACGTTGAGGAAGAGTGATGATACTATAGCGCCTCCGGTAAAGGATGATACAATTCCACCTGCTGTGTTGTCCGCTAAAGTTCCGTTGCCGAAGCGGTTGACGAAGTCTGTCTGGGCGATCGAAGAGGAGATGATGCCTGAATCTACTCGTCCCACCCGTCACTTATCAGTAAAGTGTCTGCGAAAGAGGAGAGCAGTCGTTGCTGGTCCATTAAGCCGTCGTAGCTCTGCTCCTTGGTGCAGGTACGTCGCATGGTAGTTGAGGTGATCTCTATTCCATGGAGATCATCGCTGAGAGGGAGACTGCAATGAAACTTACCATAACCAAACAGAAGCGCCCCTAAGCAAGCAAAAGTACAACAGAAGCCTACTAAAAGCATCTGGCTGGCATCTGGAGCTGCCCGGTGGCAGTACTACCTTCCAAAAGTGGGCATATACTCCTGAACAGGTATTGCCGTGTCAAAGACGCAAACTGGGAAGCAATTAAGGTGCTGCGAAGATTCCCAAAATTGACAAACTGAGGGACGAAGTAATGGCCAGGCTATCACAACCAACACCGTCGAGAGGCACGGTGCTGTCGGCAACAGTGGAAATAGATAGCTCATACCCCGGATCCCTGTGGCCACTTAAAGGCTTAAGAGGCCCCCCAAAGCAAGCGAATGTCCACCAAAGAGCTGCGCTTCGTATTGCGGTGCCGAGGGTGCGGAAAAGCCGCAGGTCTGAAACCAACTGCCCCAGCATTGTGCCACCAATCTCAACTGTGCAGTGGCTTCTGGTTTGGTGTCCAAAGTCCCCGTTCTTAGAATGTACACTGAAGTTTGAGTAGGTTCAAGGCCCAGGGCAGGCCCAGGGCACTGCAAGGCTGCCAGGAGGTAATGGTTTAGGACAAAGACAATGAGGGGCCTGATCCTTTCATTCGCTGGCTCTTAGGCAAGAGAAGAACAGGGTCTGGCACATGGCGCCGATCTTCTGCGTTTTCGAGCCCTTAGCACAGGCTGTGGGAAGTCCGGTAATGCCCGCACCAGACAACCTTTGAACTGTTGAGCCTTGGTGCTGGTGAGCCCCGCAGACGGTAGCAAGAAACAAGCGAGAAAAGCTGAAAGGGTTATTTTCGCCCAGTCTGGGCCGCCAAAGAACCGAGAAATCAGGGTGGTTCCAGCATGAATCGGGACCGATAGCTGACCAAAGGCGCTTGCAGTATCTCTGTGCGCAGCTCGGTTTCCCAATCCACCATGACGGGAACGAGCCCAGGTCCCAGTGACAAGAAGCTTAGGAGCAAGTCGTTCAGCCTCTCAAACGTCGGTCGGGACAATCGCTTGGACACTTTTAGCATTCGGCCAACAAACCAGGGTCTTTCGGTATGCAACAGGACAGGATTGCTACTTCCGCTCAATAATATCTGTATCAGTGCCTCCACTGAGATATGTCGATCCAAGTCGTTGTGCACGATGTTGTCCATGAGCTCAGCAAAGAATGCCTCGCTGTTTTCGATCGAGTGCCGGTATTCCCAAATGGCTGTATTGATCGTCATCAGAGCAGCCAACCTGGAAATAATCTGCTTGAACTGTCCCGTCTCCGTGTAGCGTGGGCCATTGGGACTTGCCAGGAGGTTGTGAAGGGGTTGCCCAGGTGAAAAGACTGAATAGCGCAAGGGCTGTTGATTCCTTGAGATCGGGTTTACTTGCAGGCCTGCTTGAACGAGGGCAAGGTGTTCGGCGCATTTGAGGAACGTGATGAACTCGTCACACTGCTCCGCGAGCTCATTACGAGCTATAACCTCAGCTTCTTGTTGGGTTGAGTGGCTTGGTGATGACTGGTGGTCAAAGTAGAATGTAGCACCATGACCTTTATAACCTGAGAAAATGTAATCGGACCAGTTGATCAGCATCTGTAATCTGTTGTTTTGGACCAGAGCTGCAGGTCCACCCCGATCCCTGATCTTTTGCACCACAGCCTCCCAGTGCATCCATGCGTATACACGGCGTTCGATACGTGGGTCAAAGTCCTCCAATGCCGCAGCAGAGATTGTGGCGGATATGGTGGCATCTGAAGTGTCATGAGGGTATTGCTGATAGTGATGAAGGAGCAGTTGCGATGCTTTGGCTCGATGTTCGATGGCAAGACGTGTCTCTGGGAGACCTTGGACCCATGCCTGGGTGTTGGCAGCGTGGACGAGAATGGTGTTCTGGAAACACACGGCCCCTTTCATGGCTTCGGGAATGAAGACGGTGAGATACCAATTGTGTGCAAGCGGGCTACGTCTTTCAAACCCATATGAACACGCGGGCATGACATTTGCGTAGAAATCGAAGAGTTCCTGGTCTTGAGGGCTCAGCTCCATTGGTAGAGCGTCGAACGGGTCGGTCCTTGCAGCACTCAGATAAGACTGCGGTTCCGGACTGAGAGATGAATGGCCAGTCGATGTCCAGTGCCGCTTCTGCGGTGATAATGAATCAGTGGACCTGGTAGAAGACGGCGGCGTGAATGGAGCATCGGGGACCATATCTGCCAACTTGGCAAGGGCTGTCGATCCTAGACGGAAGGTAGTAGTAGAAGGCTTCGTCCGTACCACCCCAGGATAGGGAAGTTGACGATCGATCTCATCGACGGTACCATCCAGGTTCTCCGTTACATCTACTCCTTCATTTGCCCCCATTGCTGAGTCCTGAAAGTCCGCGGGGATGGAACGCGCCGTTTGCGGACGTCGCTGGCGCGATCGTGTTTGCGATCTGGGCCTGTCTGGCCTCTTTCGAGTCGGTGCTTCAGCTCCGTCGCCAGCCTTTGTCTGTGAGCGAGCCTCCCATCGCTTCTCTCTCATGTACTCCTGCATGACATGGCGCCGCACTTGGGTGGCATTGGAACCCATCGAGGTGACATCACTATTGTCAATGAACTGAAATCGACGCTGTGGTTTCTTTGAACCAGGGGTAGACATGGTTGGGACTATAACTGCTGAGGAGGTTCGAATTCTCCCGTCTCAGATCCCAAGGCTGTGTAGGTTGTGGCGATGACAGGTCCCCAGCCTTATTGAGTCCAGCGGACGATCGCAGGACAATTGCAAACACATTAGGAGGAAAACAATATGGCCATCCAGTCACCATAGAGGTAATAGCTGGTTGAAGATATTAGCACACTCGTCATGACTTCCTGTGAATCTTCAGGAACTTTGCTCGTACATTCAGGGAAGTCCTCGATGCCTGCTTTTGGAAGCGAAGGGAATCCGGCCACCAAGGTGGGATGTCCTGACTTTTGAAGACCAACGATCTGCCTTTGGCCGCCGTCTGAGAGTCGACTGAGCAATATACAAATTCGTACTCGAGTGCTCGGCAGTCGCCGGGGTGGGTTGCTTTACGACGGAGAACCGAAATGGCAATTGGTGTGTGTCCAGAATGTCTTGGTAGGGGATGTGGACAGGCAGTCATTGTTGCACTGACGGCGGGTTGGTGCATGTCAAGAAGGAATAGGCGTGGCCACTAATCACTTTTTCTCTTTCAGGCGGGTTGGAAGTCTGATGCCAGTGGTCTTTGACCAACAGAAATGCTGGGATAGGGTCAAAAGAGCCCTTGACCAGCTGGGCTTCGGCGTATGTTAGTCAGTACCTACTGTAGGGGGTTCTTGCCTATTAGATGCCCATCATTATCTGTTTTGGGGGCTTACCAAAGGCTTAGGAACCACAGCACCAGCCGGCACTAGCAGATGGGCCCAGTCTGCCAGTGTCCGTCGTAGCCTGTACTCGTAGGGGCCTAAGGAACCCAGTCGCCCCAGGGTCGGCCCTGCAACAGCCCCAGCTTGGCTACAACTGCCCCGTAGCGAGAGCTTGCTCGGGACCAAACCACACACACGCTGGTCAGATCTTGATTCAGAGAACGGGCTAGATCCTTGAAATCGATGTGCTCCTCTTGAGCCCCGCCGATCGATATTGTCAAAGCTAATCCAGGTATGAAACCAACTAATTCACGAACAATACGAGTAGACGTTGCGACATGGTGACAAATATAGAGATAGCAATATGGCAACTCAGAAGCAATAGGTAATCAATGCCCAGACAAACTTCTCGTATCTGTGTACTTTGGTGCTGGCTGAAAGAGTCCCATGCACGACTGGTACTTTTGCGATTCATAGTGTGTTGCGAAACGAGGATCATGGGAATGTAGCCAGACACTGGCTGGCTCTGCGAAGCAAATGTAGGGATATGCCCTGGATGTTTTGACGGCCTCAGCTCATAGCCAACTCCTTTGACTGCCATACTTTTATTTTATTTACATAGGGCCTTGTGCACACATAAACGGGCGTTTACGCTGCACTGGGCAAATTTATCTATCTCTTGTTTCCCATCTTATTCCCTTCAAGGGCGTTCTTTCACTGATATAAAGTGGTCCAGGCTCTGCCCTCTGAACAGTACAAAATCACATGTGATGGCCGAGGAGGGCTTCGAGAAACAGATCGGAGGTTATGGAGCGGCAAAAGGGTATTTTTGTGACCACGGTAGGTAGCGACAACGAGATACATTCTTCACTGAGGCCGGTGAGGAGCGGGCTGTCGTCAAGGTGAGAGCAACGTGGTTGCCAATGGGTGCCAATGGCTCACCAGCCCGTCTACGAGGTATAGCACCCTCCGTATCCGGTTTGAGGACGACGGAGATGAAGAGACAGGAGCTTTGTGGAAACTTGTGACGGTACGAGTGGGCAAGATGATGCGAAACTGGACAAGGACACGGCTGGTGACGGTTTTTGCTTTGCTGACCGGCCGCGAAATGCTTCCTGTTGGTCCCTCGCCCAACCTGCAGCGCCAGCCATTGGCTCCTTTGTCGCAGATTTCCTCTCCAGCGAAGTCTCCAACACTCCAGCCGTCTCAGAAACTGCCTCAGCCAGTGGTCATAACTCCTTGGCTGGCTTCTTTGACTCGTCGACTATCCCTATCTGAATCTCAGGTTCAAAACCACAAACCACCCCGGGCGACATCGACTACGGACGGTGCCGACAAGTACGAGGTAGTGGAGTGTCTGTCGAAAACTCCCCCCCCTTGGACCCTGAGCTTTCCTCGTCCTGCTCTTACTTGGGCCACCGTCCCTGCGCCTTTGCTGCAAACTACCCGTGCACTTACTCTTACACTGCATCAAGCGGTGTCTACTTACCAGTCTCGGCCAGCTGTCAGCCAGCTCGATCCTTTCATCAAACTGCAGGTCCCATTAAACCACCGTGCAACTTTTACACGACGAGCTCGACAAACCCGTTCACAACAAACGCGCCCTAACCGCTGGACACGGTTCGCGTTTGCCAATCCGCCGCTCATTCTGTTGAACCTGCGCCAAATCACACGGGCATTTTGCCTGCCACTGCAAGTGGAAAATCGTCCACACGACGATAACTGCTGAATCTCAGGCTTGCCCGACACCTCTTTGGTCGTTCACAAAGTCCAGTCAATCTACAAACCATGGCGCAACCGACACAATCCATAAAATGCGTGGTAACTGGCGACGGTGCCGTGGGCAAGACTTGTTTGCTGATATCCTACACCACCAATGCATTTCCCGGCGAATACATTCCCACAGTCTTTGACAACTACTCCGCCAGTGTCATGGTAGATGGAAAGCCCGTTTCACTGGGATTGTGGGATACAGCAGGACAAGAAGATTATGACAGATTACGCCCATTATCGTATCCGCAGACCGATGTCTTCCTCATATGCTTTTCCATCGTCTCACCTCCAAGCTTCGACAACGTCAAGGCAAAGGTACCTACCCATCACGCCTGGTAATCTGGTAACGTTGGAACTAATTATCCTGATTGTAGTGGTATCCCGAGATTGAACACCACGCCCCCAATGTACCCATTATCCTCGTCGGAACAAAGCTAGATTTGAGGGAAGACAAAGCAACGGCGGACAATCTCAGGGCAAAAAAGATGGAACCCGTGTCCTACGAGCAGGCACTAGCGGTGGCGAAGGAGATCAAAGCGGTCAAATATCTTGAGTGTTCGGCACTCACACAACGAAATCTAAAGAGTGTCTTCGACGAAGCCATCAGGTAAGAGACCACTCACTTCCTCCATGACGTGTATGGTACTCATCTTACAACAGAGCCGTCCTCAATCCTCGGCCTACGACAACCAAGAAGAAGTCGAGGTGTACCATCCTCTAGTGGTCTTCAGGGTCCGGTTCGGGGTTGGGGGACGTTTTGGGATTTTGCGTTGGTTTGACTCCAGGTGCATCGCAAGAGGTGGATATAGACTTTGTCTGCGTTGCCGTTTCCTCATTCCGAAACAATATGGCCTTCGTGTGGGCTAGCCAGCTTCTGGATGCATATCAGAAAGGTTTGGTTTGGGGATGGTCTTGCGCATACGAATAATACAGCGGCAATCTAGGTGGGAAAGAAGGCGTTGATATAGGAAGGGATTCGCATCCGACATCTTGAGCGGCGGCACCAGCAGTGTCAGCGGTAGCAAGCCCCCTTCAAGACCACATTGCATTTTAGTAGTACAGCGAAATCTTTGATCGGTCAATGCTTCACACGAGACAGTCGACTGGGATGAATGTCCCCACGGTCATCCTTGACCTCGCTGCCAGCCACAACAATGGCATTTGCACCAGTCTCGGGCGGGCCCTTTTTCTGGGAATCGCCCTTGTCGCGCTCAGCTTTCTCCTTCAACCTTCTTCGTTCCCTCTCTTCTTTGAGCTTGTCATTTTTCGTTTTGATTTTGGCCTTGCGGTCTTTACTCTTGCCACCACCACCAGCAGTCAGCTCTACATTTATCCTTCGACCTTTGCTTTTCTTTCCTTGCCTCTGCGACTGTTGTTCCCCGAGATTTCCCTGATCACTGGCTGCGCCTGTTTCTCCATCTTTGCCGTCAGGGTCAAACATGGAGTGGTGATATAGCTTCAGGCATGTCTTCATTTTGTCGTAGTTGTCGAATTCGACGAACGCAAAGCCTTTGCTTTTCCCAGTCTTTTTATCCGTCGAGAGGCGCACAGAAGTCGGAGAGAGTTTCGAAAAGTGTTCTTTTATTTGCTCTGATGTGGTCTCAAAAGGTAGATTGCCAACAAAAACAATAAATCGGGTGGGAGTCGTCGTTTTCTGTTCGCTGTCATTCTTCTCTATTTTTGAGGCTTTTCGTTTCTTGCGTGTCTCGGGGACTTGCTCTTGCGGCTCTGCATTGCCTGCACTTGTTTCTGTTGAAGTTGGATCGGGTGTAGGAGTGACCGTATTGACGGCCGCAGATGTTTCTTCTCCTTTTCCATGATCTCTCGACTTCTTCTGCCTTTTGGCTCTCCTCTCCGATTTTTCTTGCTTCAGCTGTCCCTTCGACTTTGCGTTTGCGGGGGAACTCTGTGCGACTGTCTGAGATTTTTGGTCCGATTGTGGTTGAGTAACGATCGAGTCATCCTGATCCTGATCCTGGCTCTGGGCCAGATCTCTCTTTCTCTTCTTGGACATTCTCGGATACTGTCAAGGCAATAGGGATAATATCTTAGTAAGAAGAGATCAGTACATAATCTGGCGGACAAAAGTAGTCATTCAAGGCACCATTGTAATAAACTTGTGCGAGATTGGAAAATTTGACCTGCGGACCTGGTCGGCTGAAATAAGTCACCAGGGAAGATCGGAGGGCACGTCATGCCCCCCCCGAGGCAGCCGCCAATCGACCACTTAACGGGTCTTCCTCTCTTAACCTTATAGGCTTCTAGTACGCAGGGTCAAGTGTCCCAGTAGTATTGCCCCATACATCAACTCCAAGTTCCGCCTAAATGCCTACCTGATACAGCGCAACCTGTCCGGAGTACCTCGTACACCTGGGGGACAGAGTACCAATCTTTCTCTTCTTTTCAAGGTTGCCTTGAGGTTCGGTTTCCAATAAAGTCCTTTTCCACTATCCTTACCCTGCGTCGGTCAAGACTCCAGCCAACACCTTCTCTCCGCTATGATTGACAGATAAACAAAAGCACTCATCGTCTCTCGTCCTAGGGCCTCAGAAGCTCCCCCTCAGCCGCTCACTTCCAGCACCACCATGGCAGTCTATGCCTCTCAGCTCGGGGCCAAAGGGCCTTTCCTGAATCATGCTCCTGTCCTGCCAACCCATGCGCCTCCAGCTGGTACGTTCTTGCCTGGCACAAAGGTCCAGGTGGGAGACCACAGGGTCATCATCGAGCGCTATCTCTCCGAGGGCGGCTTTGCCCACGTCTACGTTGTCGTCCTCCCGCGGCCCGTTGATGGAAACCAGAAAGCTGTGCTCAAGCGAGTGGCCGTCCCTGACAAGGAGCATCTGGCCAACATGCGTACAGAAGTCGAAACCATGAAAAGGCTGCGGGGCCAAAAGCACATCGTCAAATATATTGATTCGCATGCATCCCAGCTAAAAGGCGGTGGATATGAGGTGTTTCTTCTCATGGAGTTTTGTCAGGGAGGAGGGCTCATCGATTTCATGAATACCCGCCTGCAAAACAGATTGACCGAACCGGAAATTCTGAAGATCTTCACGGATGTGGCTGAAGGAGTTGCGTGCATGCACTACCTGAAGCCTCCTTTGATGCACAGAGACCTCAAAGTAGAGAACGTTCTCATTGCCACAAGTGGTTCGTCAAGGATATACAAACTTTGCGATTTTGGTTCTGCGGCTCCCGCCAGACCTGCTGCCACGACCGCTGCAGAAGGACGTCTGATTGAAGACGATATAAACCGCCATACGACATTACAGTACAGAAGTCCAGAGATGATCGATGTCTACCGGAAACAGCCCATCGACGAGAAATCTGATATTTGGGCTCTTGGAGTGTTTCTGTACAAGCTCTGCTATTACACCACCCCGTTTGAAGAGGTTGGGCAGATGGCCATACTAAACGCCAAATTCAAGTTCCCCGGCTATCCACGATTCTCGGACCAGCTCAAACTGCTTATTGCCTCCATGCTTCGGGAACGACCGACAGACCGACCAAACATATATCAGGTGCTGCAAAAGGCGTGTCAGTTGGATGGCCGGGACTTGAAGTTCGAAAACATCTATGCTCGACGGACGCAATCAGAGAGTCGTAAAGACCAAGTGCTTCCGCAGCCCTCTAGTTCCCAATCTAGAGCTGGCGCAACCTTGTCTCCTCCCAAACCGGCGGCTCCTCCAACTGTTCCTGATATCGAACCAATGCGACGGGGGCGACCCACCAAACCGGTATCTCACCATGGCTCAGCAAAACCAAGCCCGTCGCCACTACGAATGATGGACAATGCACACCCTGATCCCTTTGCAGCGCTGGACGGGAACAAGGTTTCAGTCGAAGACGAGCTTTCTTCAAGGTTCCCGACGCTGGATCAGTTCTCGTTAATGACTGACAAGGGCCACAAATTTGCGTTTGACTCTCAGCCGGAGAAAAAGAGAGAGTCTGTCGACCCCAATCTTGCACAGCGAGTCACCAATGCTCTAGCGGACGATGCATTTGCGAGACCTCCCAGTCCAGCCAAGTCGAAACCAATCGTGGAGAAACCACTCCCTGCTAGTAAATCGCAGACTGTGTTGCAGCACAAGAAGTCTTTGGAAGATAAAGAGACGCCTGCACGAGCCACCACTGGAAATCCGCCACCGGTCACTGCGCCAAAGCCATCAATGGTGTCTACCGGCACCATGACGACGCCTTCACCACCCCCAACCACGGATGCCAAACCGCTTCCAGAACGTCCAATACACCGCTTTCCTCCCAACGAGCTGTCATCAACGCCGCCATCGGCGCACAAGTATGAGACTATGGAATTGCCTCCCAGGGAGCCTCGATCTGCTCGTAACAAAGACGTATCAAGGCTGGCAAATCTACTCAGAGAAGACGGGCTGAGGTCACAGCTTGCTGGGGACTTGGAGCCAAAGTCGCCAACTTCATCACGCCCATCTTTAGAAGGGGGTCGTCCGACCCTGCGAGAACTCAATTCAGGGGTGAGCAGGTCAAGGTCACTCAATTTCAGGAACCGACCCGCCAGCGTTAACATCGGGGCGCGACCGACTCACATCAAAGACAAGGAAATCAGGAGCCTTGATTATGAAACGACATTTAAGAGTGCGGAACCTGAAATGGCGCCCTTGACGCATGTCGAATCGGGAACCAATATTACCTCGGATGTGGACTTCCTCAAGGCGAGAGAGGAGGAAGAAAAGTCGCGCAGACACCATAGAAGGCTAGGCAGTGGTTCAAGACACCTTAAAAGAGCGAGTCTGCCCTCGATCGTGCCTAATATAGCGGGAACGACCAAACTGTTGGCAGGCAAGTTCGGAGACGCCTTTAAGATGTTTGAAAGCAATAACGACCCGACTCATCATCGCCAGCGGAGTGACTCACCTTCCCGCGACCCCATCAACATTCTAACCCCAATTGCAGGATCTGAGGCCACAGATCTCAGCGATGACCGTCAGCCATGGGATGACATGGAGGATCTATCGCCTGAGATGAGACGGGAGATGGAAAAGCGCAAACTCGAGGCTGAAGAAAGAAGAGTAGCTCAAGCAGCCGCAGAATACAGGCAGCGACTAGCAGCAAGAGGAGGCGGGACCGTCGGCAGCAATGCAGGGGTGGGAAGGTCAGCCACCATTCAGAACAGGATGAAGTCCTTGCTGAGCGAGAACGATCGACCTGCGCACAAGACAGCCACCGGCTATGGTCACTACACCGAACCTCCTCCGCCCCTTCACGGTTCGCCGGACGACAGGCGGCTACCTCAGCCGTCCAGAGCGCCCCAAGCCCATTTGACCGGGAAAATGGAAAGACACGGCCTCCCTGAAGTAGTGGCATCTGCACCGGCTTCCTTGACTGATCTTAGCAGAGTAGAACCCCGTGGACAGAAGCCGACTGCACCACCGAAACCAAAGGTGCTGCGGACGGGCGGTATAGCAGAGTCGGCCGTGGTGAGCACGAGTGAAGCCAATCCCGCAGCTACGAACGTGGATGAAGACTGGGAAGCCAACTTCAACAGGAGATACCCCAGTCTTGCTGGGATTGAAATGGTGGAAACCTCGATAGATGGGCCAAAGAGCACAACCACGGTGCGCACGAAAGAAGTATAACGGAGACTTAGAGAGTGCATGTAGAATCTATGCCAAGGAGACGCATTTTCTATTTGAACTTGACACCGCCGTGTAGTTGGCATCGAGGTGAATGAGAGTGAAGTGAATGTTTGGGTGGTTGACGAAGCCTGCAATTTATGAACTGAACACTTGTGTCTCTCTTCCTTTTTCCGACCTCATCTTCCACCGCAACTGCCTCTCTTCTTCAGTATCTAGACACGACACTTCCAAGCCTTCAGCATCACCCTCCTGATCAACAACACCTACGTGGTACAACACCATCCCACTCTCACCTGCACTGTCCTTCAAGGCTCGGGTATGGCACCATACAAGGCTTTGACCCCTCGGCGTGGGGCGGCGCCGGCGGTTCGCGCTTCAAACGCCCAAATGGCCAATAATCCGCAGTCACCCGCCGATCGTGACAAGGATCACAGAGTTGGGCCCCCACAAGGCACGGGCACTGCGAGTGACGATGGGACACCCACTATCAGGGCTGGAAGAGCTGGCAGAGGCTTTCGAAATGATCCCACACAACGCGTTGTCCGTCATCAGAAGACACCATACGTCTACAGAATCGGTATACGCCTTCCCAAGAAGAAGTTGCGACAATTCCCGCGGTATAACGGCAGGGTTCGCAAGTTTGTGTCCGACGGTCCTGGATCTTTTGTGACTCTGAAAGTTCCCCGGTTGCATACCATCATCAGTCGGAGAGGGCAACATACTTCACCAGATACAGTGGTAACAGGGGTCTCGTCGGTCACTTCTCCTCCATCACCAGAGACGGTTCGGTCTGGGGCGCCATCTATCTTCTCCGAGACCACGCCCTACTCTGATTTCAGGACTCCAGCCACCGACGAGTCTTCACCGCAAGAAACTTCGGCAAACAACGGTCTGCGTGACGAGCGGAGTGGCACCGAACACGAACTTCTGGCTGGCACAACTCGATCTGCTCTTGGACCCCTTGACAAGTCGTTTGCTTTCCCCAACCGCTCCCGAGTCGACTTTGAAGACTTACCCGTGGCCGAACGCATTCTGAGTAACTCCAACGGCCACGGCGACGCGATGGCGCCTGTCAAGGATACCAGCAACGTGCACAATACTATCAAAGACATTATCCAACATCTGACCGACATCCAGATCCAAACCCACGGCTACATCCCCGGCACGCAAGATTTGTTGGTCGACAAGTTGACCGATCTTACCAACTCGCTTTCCCAGCTAAAACACCAGACTTCGCCCACCGAATCTCCCAACAACTACATCCATCAAGTCGCGATTGCTCCGGAGATAGTGGACTACGTAGATGATGGTCGCAATCCGGATATTTTCACCCGTGATTTCGTGGAGAATGTGCAGAGAGGCAATGCGGTGATTAACGGCAAACAGCAAGCATTCAGGGAGTTTTCGGAGATTTTCGCTCAGAAGCTTAAGGAGGGGATCCCTGGCGTGAGTAAGGAGGTAGAGAGGGTATTGAGGAATGCTGGTTTCGATGAGGAACATGATGCTACGACAAATGGAGATGGACGGATGGATTCACAGAGAGGGGAATCAAACGACAACGGCACAGCAAATGGATGATGGCCAGTCAAAGGTCGACACTTACATCATGGCTACGAGAACTCACCGTGCCAGCGAGGAATATTGATCGAGCCAAAGAGACTTACGGGAGCTTCAAGCTGATGAGCATTTTTGACGACAGGAATGAAGATGGAATCCCACCAAGTTGTGGAAGCTTCACAGGCTGGAGAACAGTATGGTTCTGGAGAGTTACACGTAAGCGGGCTTGGAAACATGAAGAGCTGGAACGGATGGGTTAGCCACTGTCTGACAAGGAGAAGAAACAAGCCATGCCCGAAGTCAGTTGTTTAGCCTAGCAGAGTGCAGAAGCGTGTTGGATGCGTCTTCATGTTCTCCTCCTGCGACGAGGCTGAACTGGCAGCGACTTGGCTTGACTCGAGCAGCTTGAGCTTGACCGGAGAAACTTCGCCAAAAGGCTCCCCGTGGGTTGGCGTCATTGAATAATTGACCAAAATGTCATGCCACCGAAACAGTCTAAAGTAGCATCTCATTACCTTGTACACAATCGTTAAGCTCAAGCTCTACGTTCGTCATTCCAGCATCTTCGTGGTGATCAATCCGCGATGACTGCCTCTCCGGCTCGTGCTCTCCTCGCCAGGCGGGTGTGTCGTTGCACATCCTCGAAGCTGCCATCAGGTTTCCCCCCAACATCAAGCCCCCGTCTCACTCGACTGCTCTCGAGCAGCACTCAGCACAATGAGCCCACAAGTCCACCGCCCTCGTTTGCCTCCCAAATTCCGACCTATGGCTCTTCGGAGTTGCTGCGCCGGAAATACCAGAAGACGAACCAGGAGACGGATGTCAGGAGGGACAAGGCCGAGCGAGCCAGGACGGTGAAGCGCATGCGCTGGGCTGGGTATGGGATTGCGGCTTGTACTTTGGCCATGTTTGCAACTATATCACTATATCCGGATCCCAGAAAAGAGAAACCAGCGGAAGCGTCCTCGAACGTTGTACGGCTCGACGCACCGCCCCCCGTCACCAACACCCTCGTCGACCCCTCTTCCAAGCCTCAAGACGTCGAGCAGATCCCCACTGGCACAAGCTCGATTCCCTTCTTCCCTCGAATCATCCACATTGCATCTGACGCTCCGCCATCTACCCCGGCATCTGCCAACGAAGGCACTCAAGCCGACGTGGAATACCAATTGGTTGGACTGGGAATTCGCACCGTGTCAATCCTCAGCATCCAGGTCTACGTGGTTGGCCTCTACGTTGCTGTCCCAGATATTGCCGCTTTGCAGCAGCGGCTCGTCCAAGCCGCCGTGCCGCCCAGCGAGAGCGTCGCGACGACCCTCGTGGCCGGCGAGAAATCCCAGCTGAAAGAGCTCCTGCTCGACCCAGTCCGCGGAGAGCAGATCTGGAACGACATCATCAAGGATGGCCAGCTCCGCACGGCTTTCAGGATCGTCCCGACGAGAAGCACCGACTTCATGCACCTGCGCGACGGCTTCGTCCGGGGCATCACGGCGCGCTCGGCCCATTTCGCGTCGGACAGACACGACGACTCCTTCCAGGACGAGTCGTTCGGCGCCGCGCTCAACGAGTTCAAATCCGCGTTCGGAGGTAGCGCGCGGCGGAAAATGCCCAAGGGCGACATCCTCCTCCTCGTCCGCGACGCGCAGGGCAAGCTGACCGTGTGGAACGAGGACCACAAAAAGGGCGATCGCATCCAGATGGGGGTGGTGGCCGACGAGAGAGTCGGCAGACTGTTGTGGCTGGGCTATCTGGCCGGGAAGAACGTCAGCAGCGACGAGGCCAGACGGAACGTCGTCGAGGGGTGCATGGAGTTTGTGGAACGGCCAGTCGGGACGGTGGCGGCGCAGGTTGTATAAAACAGACCCCGTTTTCCCTCCAGCCCGTCTAAGATGGACATGCGATAGAGCGAGACAGACGGACCCCAAATCCTGGAGATGGAAGTCTCACTTGCGCAGGGCAAAGATCAATATTTGACTGATATGCATGCGACTTGCCGCCCGAACTCGACTCCCCCAAAGTCATAGTCACCCCCCTGAAAGAAAATGGGCACCTGTAACATAGCGAAGCAAGGACTAAAATGGAAAATGGAAACCAAAATAGGGTTTTGTGTAGTTACTTTGTACAAAATTACATTTATCACATGCATCAACAGGAACTAGCTTGGTATCTATTTACCTACTTGTTTAGTAGTATGACCAGAGCAGAGGCTCATCATGGGGTTATTTGATTCGATTCGACTCGCTACGACCTCAATGCGAGGGACGAGGGCCAGAGAACATATCACACCCCTGAACGAGACCTGAAGGACTCCTGTGACACGAGTTGTATGTCACCCCGCGCGAGCTTGCGATCTAGCGACTGAGCTGGTCTGGCTGGCTGACTGATTGACTGACTGACTTGAGCGAACGAGCAAAGGAACTTGCTTCTGGGGTTTGACAGCTGGGCACCTCTACCATCTCTGAAACTGTGGTGGAAGCCTGTCCCGGTTCTTGTTCCAGTGTCCTCTGCGAAATTGCGACTTGCTTTGATAAAAAAGATGTTTGGACGCTTTATATGCATGGCCTTTTTGCTGGGCTGAAACAGAAAGAAGGGCGAAAGACCGCCAGATAGTGCATGATCAGCATGGTCAAGCTGCTTCGCTGGCTAGATCTGACCTAATCCACAATAACATGGGCTGGGAGAGAAAAGATAACTCGTGCGCGGTAAAACATGTATTGGTATATTCATCTATCACTCTTGGGCCTTTTGTATCATGGGTTCTTCTGCCTCCACTTCAAGCACGACGGAGTGTAGCCTCCGCTGGTTCCAGTCACATAGAAATCCAACCGCTGCGACTTGACCGGCGCAACGGCTCCATTCCAGAGGCCATTGCATTGCATGTAGATTGAGTGTCTTTTTTGTATCAGGGTTGCGAAGCCACTTACAGGGCACCTGCAGCGCTCAACAGGTCGTTGAGTTGGCCCTTCTTGGCCTGCAGATCCGAGTTGCCTCCAATGTGCTTGTGGTCGATGAAGATGTTGGGGACACTGCGCTGGCCGGTGATTTCTTCGAGAGCGTCTTGGATTGCGGCGCCATCATCTGCACAATAACGCAAAAAGAAAAGGGTGTCAGCCAACTCCCAGAAGTCAAATACTCGAGGCGCACATCATGGACAGCGCGGGAGAGACAACAAGAAAAAGAAAACATACCAACTTCATCCAGCTCGAGCAAGTAGTATTTGGCATGTGCCCCGTTCAGCAGCGACTTGGTTGCGCGACAGTAGGGGCAGTAACTCTTGGAAAAGACCACGACGGCGTTCTCGTCGATGATCTGCTGGGCCTTTTGTTTGGCGGCGGACATGGCTGCGGGTGATACTGAGGGCGAGGTGAAAAACGTGCGGACGAGGCTGCGAAACGGGGAAAAGATTGAGGAAGCTATGGTGGCGGTATTGACTCTAGATCTCGAAGATATGTGAGAGGTGGACTTGGGTTTTTATATTGAAACTCGCCGCAAGAGACTAAAACCGCTCTCGTCTAGACTTCTGGTTTTCCTGGCGTTGTTCGAGAGAGGATTACCAATGAGGAAGGACAGCGATTGCGAAATCAGCGCAGGGGGGTGAGAGCGAGGCGTGTGGAAGATGAGGGGGGGGATTTTGGGCAATGCAGATTGACAAATCTTGGAGGCCGATGACGATGATGATGGAAACAGCAGCAGGAGCAGCAGCCGGAACAAAGACGAGGGGCTTGGTCTGGAGTCGGTAATTAGTCCATTTGCGAGCTTTTGTAGGGCAAACGGAAGAGGCGGCGATCAGTCATCACGGCATAAGGACCAATTTGAAGCACGAGTAGCCGGGAAATCCAAATATCGGGGAATCCCAATACAGTTAGATCACACCGTCTCTTATACTGGCGTGGCATGGGCTGTTGTCTGTCACTCCTCCCAGCCGTGTGGCAACGAGGCTGCGCAAGCTGCCCAAGGCCACGTTGATCAGCCATGAGGACAAGGGGAAAAGTGCTCAGGATTTCAACTTTTTCATGCTTGTACATGGGGTATCTGCCTTTTTGACACATTCAATCTGCGATAACTGATTTCGCCCCGTATCACCAACTGCCCCGGAGATGTCGTGGCCATTGACTCTCGAATCGCTCTTCTTCTCCCGGCCTGTGCCTCGAGGCTCCTGACTGAACACGGTCTCTGATCTCCTGTCTCTCCTATCGAAAAACGGACTCGAAAAATAGTCAAAAGCCTGCTTTGCCGCTCCCTTGTAGCTCTTTCGCGAAAGACTGCTCCACACACAAGAATCACCACAGCAAACACCCAATGAGGGACAAAAAAACTCACGAATCACTCCCGCTAAAATTGCAATCATAGAAACAGCAACCACAGGCCACACATCCCCCTTCCCACCTCCCCCCAACAATCCCTCGCACAAATGAAAAATCAAGCCCACGTCTTGTGAATGTGTGTACACAGAAGAAAGTGGTAGTGCCGTTTCTGGCCTTTCCCTCACATAACAACACAGCACCCGCATCCCTTCTCCTTGACCTTCTCCTCCATTTCGTCTTGCTGCATCCGCTGCACCTGCATCCTTGTGTTCGGTTGGGTGGGCACAGACGTGATACTGCCCATGGTAGTACTTTGCACGGGATTCGGGACTCGCGGCATCGTACTGTATCCGCCATTCACGCTTCCTCCCGTACTCGGCCTCATGCTACCAGCTCCTGAGTTTCTGCCGTTTGGCCTGGGTTTTAGAGGCCAGGCACTTCCCTCATCTGCACCGTCATTCTCCTTTTCGTCCGGCTGTGTCGACTGGGGAATGACTGGCGACGGCGACTTCACCTGCCCATTGCCGGTATGAATCGCTAGAGGGGAGAAGTTCCTGTCATACGTGCTCGGCACCGCGCCTTGGTCTTGCCACTGTGCTTGTTGCTGTCTGCGAGCATGTGTGGGAATGATCTGTTCTTCGGGAGGAAGTCTTGGATCTGGTTTATACATGGTGGCAAGCCATGGCGGATCGCCCTCTGGTCGATTCACTGCTGTCCGAGGGCGATCGAGTTCTCCGGATCTCGTTCCTGGTCGCTGGGTTGTGGAAGGTGCTGCGCCTGGTTTGGCATTGGTTGAAGGTTTCCTAGCTGCGGCAGATGTCTTGCGTCCGGCTGACGTGCCTGGTGGGGAGCCTTGGGCTCCTGTTTTGGGTCGATTCTTGGTGGGGGATGATAATTTAGATGTTAATTGCTTGTTGGGAACAGGTGTCGGGAGGAATGTAGAGTCGCCTTCGTCCTGCATCGTCTGACTCCCTATACTTCCCTTTCTGGTTCGGGTCTTGAAGACAGGGATACCGTCTTCGGGACTCATACTGTTACTAATAGTGCGCTTCCTGACCAGCGGGGTGTCTCGCTCAATTCTCTCTTGTGGTATGGGTAGAGGACTTGACGTCAACACTGGTATCTTTGAGCCTGATTTCCTCAGCGTCGGACTCAGGTATATTTGAGACGACGGGGTCTCTGCGGCGATCTCCTCGGGCGTGCGGAAATCCCAGTTTGCTCTTTCGTCCTCTTCTGCTTCTGGCAGAGGCTCAGGCAGTCGAGTTTTGGTCTCCTCGGACTCGACCCTGCGGTATTCGGACGCGTTGCGGTCGTCACTTCGTCGACCTCGACTGGTGTCTCGTGGCGTGCCCTTGCTCACGCTCCTCCTCGCCTTGGCCAGGTTGATGCCTGCCGCCTGCAATTCCTCGCTCTCAATCTTGGCCAACTTGTCCCGATGGATCCAGCCCTCCGGGTCATCGTCGGTCGGCCGGTACATGTTCTCGGGGATGTCATTGTCGGCTGGGGTTTGGCTGACATTGCCGCTACTCGGATTGCTCTTGTAGAGATCGAGCAGGCTGTCCGCTTCACTCCCGCTCCGTATCAGGCTTGTTTCCCGCTGTCCCAACTCTTCAACTCGACTGTGCGGAGCGGCGGTTGCGGCGGCCGGTCGTCCATTGACACCGGTGCTGTCTTTGCGGTTCGGCGCCAGTGCGGTCAACGGCGCACGCGTGGATCCCGAGGAGTTCTGACGCAGCCCTCCAGGGCGGGTTTTGTTGGTTGCGGTCGTGTTCTGGCGTGTCATTTATTTTTCCCATGTCAGTTTATTCTGTCACATGAAAATAACGAAAACAAACTCCCTCCAAAACCAGGAAAAAGATCCCAATTGCATGGGGAAAGCGTGTAACGAACAAACAAACAAAAAACCCCTTCTTCTGCCCACACCGCGCGCGAAACTCACCTCTTGACTACTAGCGGAACCCACTGCATCGTACGGCGGCCTGGCCCCATTAACGACCATAGTCGACGAAGGTCCTGCAGTTGCTATGCCCGCCATCAGCAGTATCTCTTCAACCACTGTCGACGTGCGCAAATGCTAGGCCTCCCCTCCCTCTCAGTGTAAATGCGCCATGTACATACAACCGCGATAACCCCGATGCCCATACGAAGAAGGGACCCGCTTCCCAATCGAAAGATGAACCCTGACGCGACCGGGCGCAACGGCGATGAACTCGGAGAATAAGGTCCTCAACAGTCCGTAACGTCAACGAAGGGAGAGAGTGGGCGCGGTTCGCGGGAAAGAATGCTTCGTATCGAGGGGCTTGCAGAATGGCGGTCTGCAAAGGGGGCGAGAATGCGGTATTTCAGTGATCGAGGGTTCGAAGAGCGTGGATCAAGGGGGCGATGCGAAGGTCAATGCTATAATATTATGGAAAAGGAACTATGCTTTGGCCAACAAAAGAATAAAGAGCACAATCCACTTGACACACACGAGCGCAGAGCTGGTAGGTTTGTATTATTGTTGCTTTGGGGATCTCGATGGACGAACGTCGGGGGCGTTATTCTCGCTTAATCTGACCTCAATGCCCCATTCATGTTCCATGTCAACAACAATCGGCCACTCACTAGCCACATAAAGGACCATCGTAATCTCATGTGAGGACACGAAAAAACCATTCATCTTGTCTTCTATGCTCAAAATGGTTCATCATTTCGTCAATTCCTCTGGGGAATTATTTGTCATATACCAACTATACAATCCGGTTAATCCCTCTAAAAACCAGATAAATTCCTTTCCTTTGTTCAAGGCTGGCGCTACCCGTGTGATGGTGTAGGCTCTGATAAGTCCTGTCGACCTGGGTTATATGTCTGACTCCTCCCTCAGAATGCATATTATTCCGCCGCGGCTGCGTAGGTCTCTTCATATCGGGTCAACCACGCCCATGCCCCCTTCGCCCTCATCCGTTTCCAACCACCACCCAGGAAGCCTGTATTTAAACAAAAACACTGAATCCGAAGATGATCATGAGTGGACTCGTCCCTGATATGTACGTGAGAGAAGGTCTGCAAAAGTCTGTTCTCGGCTTGAATGGGTGTTGAGCTGAGAAATATGTCATTGATAAAGCCCTACCCAACAGGGCTTGGGTGAACCCATCAGTATGCGTTCACTGACGGGCGCCGTGGTGTCATTCGGGGGGCGTCCCGGAATCGAGATCGATCATCCGGCTCGCGATACTCGTATTGCGAATATTGCGGTTCTCGACGGGGGGTGATGTGGACTTTGTCCACGGGATATGGTCGGGCATACCTCGAGGGCTCTCGCTCTTCGGTGGGCTCGCCAAATGACTTCTCACGACCGCTATTGTTGCGCGAGATGGGTGGTGTGTCGCGTGGGGACCGTGGGGACGGCCTCTCCTCATATCGCGTCGAGTCACCTCGTCGCATGGTAGGAGACGGTGGAATAAAGTCCTGCATCATAGCAGCGCCACGAGACGACTTCTTGGTGTCAACACGAGGACGCTCCGGTCTCTCCTTGCGACGGTCAGAGTCCCGTGATGGCTCCACCGCAATGGGCTCTGGACTGCGGTACCTCCGGTGGGAGCGGTCTTCGTAATCACCGTAGACCTCCCGCACCCTGGGAGTCCGTCCATAGTCATCAGCGTCAGGATCTGGGTCAACAATTTGATACTTGGTTGAAGTTGTGGAAGGGTATCGGGGTTTGGTCGGCCTGGGTGGGCTTTCTTCTCGCATCTCAGGCGTGTGTGGACTGGAACTGCTGCCATATCCAGAATCGTGCATTGTTGTCTCGCCATGCTTCAAGTTGGAGCCTTTGGAAGGAACCGAGTCCTTTCTACCTGAGGACACTTTAGGCGTCGGTGTAGTCTGAGAACGATGCAGGCCAGGAGGTGGTGCTCTGCGTTGCTCACCACGATCTCGGTCCCTTTCCCGTTCCCGCTCTCGGTCATGATCTCGTTCACGTTCTCTTTCCCGCTCACGTGTTGTGGGTCTCGGAGGAACACGTTCTTCAACATGTGCCCGGAGGTTGGATGGAGAGGAGGTCGATTTTGTGAAAGATGGCGTAAAGTAGTCATCGGGATGGCTTCGCCGGCCCTTTGACGACCCAGGCCTCTTTTCATTGTCTGAGCCACTCTTGCGGCCACTGCTCTTTGACTCTCCATTCCAGTACTGATAGGCATCCGATCCATTGCGATCCAAGCTAGGCCGATTTGTCGCCTTGGCCATATAAGCCTTGCTTTCCTCGTGATGTCGTTCCCATTTCTCATCAAAGCTCTCCTCATCCATGTCGCGAGACCGTTCGGCCCGTGCCGTTGGTCGTGGTCTCTCGGAAGGACGATCGAAAGCCGAGGTGGTTTTGGAACGAGACGACTTCATCGAGGGACGGATCTCAGTGTAATCAGAATCGCTGTCGGTCCCTTCAAAGTTGGCGGGTTTCCTCGTCTGTGCTTTGTCTGTTCGTTCCCGCCTCTTCTCCTTGTCATTTCTCTTTTCGTCTGCTTTCTGGGACCTGATCTTCTCTGCTTGCGCTTTGAATTTGCCCGCAGCCATAGCCGCAGGCATGCCAGGCCAGATGCCAGTAGGTTTTCTGGATTTTTCAGTGGTCTTAGGTGGTGGAGCGGCGCGTCTTTCAAATTCGGCATACTTTCGCGCAGTGGCTCGTGGAGGTTGCTCATCGTATGGATCTCGGTATTCATACGCATCGCGAGGTTGGCGGACCTCTTCAAAGTAGTTGCCGTGTTCGTTATAATCGCGAGGTTGAGATGTGGCTGCTTGCGGTGCAGGCCTCATGGGATAGGTGCGGGTGTTTGTGCTCGACGGTGGCGGATCTCTCATCATGGCTTCCTTTCGAAGCTCTGCTAACCGCACCTGGTCATCGTACCGTTGCCTCCGATTAGGATCACTCAGAATCTCATAGGCCTGTTGGATCTTTTGAAATTCATCTTTGCCCTTTTCTCGCAAAGCTTCGTCCTTTATTCGATCGGGGTGGTACTTGAGAGCAAGTTTTCGGTGAGCGGCGCGGATGGCTGAGATATCAGCTTCTTTGGAAACACCCAGGGCCACATATGGATCTGGGGGTATTGGTGAAGCCATGGTTGTGTGAAAATTCTAGTACAAGTGGGTGAAATAGCTGAAGTCAAGAAGGAATGAGTCAAAGGTTGTGTTGTTGTTTTTGTACAGAGCGGTCAACAGAGGGTCATGGCGTGCATTGTGTTGGCCTCGGTCGGCGGTCGGGGATTTTCTCGAGGTGCGGTGGTTGGTGATGAATTGACAAGTTTGGAAAAATAGGGGAGAGGTGTTTGAAATAATTACAATAATGATAACAATAACAATGAGAATAATGTGAACAGGTTCCGACGAGTTGAGGAATCAATCGACCGTCTTTTGAGGACAAAGTTCCAGTTCCCAGTCGAGGTATTTGGCGGATGTGCAAGTGTTAAAGCCGCTGACGTTTGGGGGACAAAGGGACGGGGGGTTGCCAGTCAAGATCCAGGCGTGGCTAGGAAAGCCAGTTAAGCCCAGCAGGAAGCAACGGCACCGAGTCACGGACAACGGGGGCTGCCCCAATGCGGTGGTCTGTGAGAGCCCCGAGAGGAGCCTGTGAGAGCGTGGTCTGTTTCTCGGTCGTTCTTCTGGCCCTTGATGGCTCTTGCACGGCTTCTTGGGATGGCCACTGCGGCGCTGCCCCTTCTTAGCCGATCGACGATGGATTGCCAGCGTTTCCGATCCGTGGTGGATGATTATGTAAAGGGGGCCGTGCTCGGCTGCGGCACTTTTACTCGTACGAGCACCAGCGAGAGGGATCTTGTCGACGTGTTCAAAGAGTGAGGAGGTTTGAGGGCGTGGCAGGTTGGGTTGAGACGCAGGAGAATGGATGGATGAAAAGCAAACAGAGGGAAGAGTAGAAGGTTTGACCAAGACGAAAGGACGGTCTGGGGTCGTTACCCTCCAGAGGCAAATACAAGTACGAAGAGGGTAATGGCTGCGGGAGGGTCAGTGATGGAGATGGAGATGGATGGAGATGGGTTATCCTGGTGGTTTCAATGGCTACTACTCGCAAACTCTTCCAGACAAGCACAACCATCCGCTGCCTTCTTTTTTTTGCCTGGCTTTCAACATCCCATCTTCCAATTGCTCTTGCCGCGGTCTCGGACTCTGATGTGAGAGGGAAAAGGGAAAAAAACTCAAAAAGCCACCCGTTTGGCAAATTCTCCGGAGAGCCGTTGGAGGATCCGAAGTTGTTTGGCTGTGCACAAGAGAAAACGACTAGGGGTGCCTAAGCATGGTGGCAGCCGTGGCAGCTTAGCAGCTAAGCAGCTAAGCAGTGCTGAATACTACGGAGGGCGGAGAACAGAGCCAAAAGAAAACAAGGAGGTGGAGCCACTGTCAGAAAAGAGGCGCGGGTTTGTTGTGTCGTCATTCGCCATTTGATCCTCGTCTCTTTGCCTGACCTGGCCCGGCCCTTGTCTGCCTCAAGAAGCAACTCTGAACATCTTTTCACACCCTGCCATCCCCTGATGTTCCCACCCCCCGAACAATTCCGCGCATCAGGGTCAATGCATCTTTATCGACCATCGAACTGCCTGTTCCTGCCGAACCTGCGGAAATCGATGTTTGCCGTCGTCCTAAAACGTGGCGTGGTGGCCTGTCGATCTCAGGGGATGAAGAGGGGGGTATCTTGGGACATCTGAACAGCGTGGTGCCACCAGTGCCACTACTACGTTTCCAGAACTCCCGTACTTTGCAAGAGGCTATCATGACACAATCTACATACTTGGATACTGAGGCAACTGAGGGCAACTCGGGAGGAAAGCGATATACGGTCAGCCCCGGCCCCAATGAATCCATGTACGAGAGCCCCGTAGTGCCAGTTGGGCGGCTTCTGGTCCCCACGTCCCAGGTTCGACAGAGATGGGCATTGGAGGAGGCATAAAGATAGAACAGCAGGTGATATTAGGTATCGACTGCGGTGGTTGCTCATGCCCCTCCAGCTGACCCTCTCACACTCGCTCTTCTTACTGCCTCGCTCTCGTTTTCCCTCCTCATACTTTGAGGGCTACAGAATGATTCGTAGACCGCACTTGGAATGCATGTCCATCACAAAAACTTGCATCAACCCATCGACCATCATCTGCCTTCGTCTAGCAGGCCCTTCGTGACGCCAGGCAACAGGCCATGGGCTCCTCCAATGACTTTGATTTGGCCTCCTGGTCGCCAAAACTCGCCCACTTGCACCAGTGTGTAATGTGTCACGCTTTCACATCAGCAACACAAGACTCTACTGGTCACCCACTGGCCACTGGTCCGGTGGTGGCATTCTTCCCCACGAAGCTCCATCTTTGATCCATGCACATCGCTGGCCATCGTGTGCCGAACACCAGGAACTTCGACCGGCTTGTGACCCTCTTCTTACTCGCCCACGTCGTGCCACAAGTCACGTCTGGTCCTCGAGTCCAAGTCATTTTCCTGGGTGAGTGAGCCTGCATGAGACTGGATGCATCCACTCCAGAAGCTGGGCGATATCGCATTGGACAAATCCATTATTTCTGCCCATCACGGCCGTCTTCCAGTCAATTAGCTTACGAGGCGCAGCAGAAACCTCGTCCTCACTCGTCCCAAGAGCGCCCACGGCGAACTGAGTACGTGACCACGGCGGTTCCAATGTTTTCTCAGGCAACCTTGCAGACGACCATGGTAAAGATGTCCATTGAATGCTCATGTCTTGATCGAGGTGGTTCCCATTGTCCGATCCAGAGCGCCCCAAAACCTCACAGCCAATCCGTGACATTGAAGAGCTTCTTCCTGACGGGGCTCCTGGCGCCCTACACTCCACCTAAAAGCCAACCGAGCGGGCCTCGTGCGGACCGCACCCCAGACCCGGCAGCCAGCCTAACAGAGGAAAGAGAAGACGTGATTCAGAAAAAGTGCCTGCTGGTGATTGGCGGGGAATTGTGGGCATTTCTCCCAGCTTCCAACTCTACGGATTATCCGATGATCGACGAGAGAGAAAGTTGGGGAAACAGGACAAGACAAAATGCTCCATGAAGGTCTGTTGTGTGAGACTGGAGAGAGCAGCTCATCGATCTGAGTTACTCTAACCTCAAAGCTGTCTACATCTTCGATCTTGCTCAACCACCACTACGATCTCCTCCGTCATGTCGCAGACTCCTGCCCAACAACCCGCGATACGAATATTCAAGGCAATTCTTTAGACATGCAGTCTGACCAGGGGGTTGGGTGCCCGTGCGCCGCCTAGAGACTGTGCTCCGATCGATTTCCTGAGCCACCTTCTCGAACCTCTGCAGACATGTCATCAAGCGCTTCCTTCACCAATCAAAAACAAAGAATGAAGCTATTGCCGTTTCCTCCCCTGGATGTCACACTTTCAGGTCGATCACATGTAAGTATATTGGGGTGCACATCTGACAGAGTTTCGATCACGAAGTACAATGGGTATTATTCTGACAGCGAATCCGGCCCTGTCAGGGGTTCCGATGTGTTTCCAAATATCGTGTTCGTATATGCCCAACCCGGGTTCATTGAACAGGAGTCCAGAACGTAGCCCAAGCAAGGACGCAGCCTATCATTATCGTTCTCTGCACAGAGCGCCGAATCGGTTTCCAAGAGCGACCCATGAAAGCAATGTTGTTCCAAATCCAAGTCAACACGACACGACAATTAGGCGGCAAGGCATGCATGAGAGAGTGACACGGCGTCCTTGTGCGCATTCCACGTAACTCGATCATTCTCAGCCTCATTTGACTCCCAGCAGAGTGTTCGAGACGGAGCTCAGAGCGAATTACTCCCTAAAGAACCAGACCAACTCAAAGGCCTTATCGATGAAAGCATTGTCGATCACAAACAAATCCGTAACTTTGTGCCAACCCTTGCAAAAGCCAACTGTGGAACACGCAGCACTCGCCACGTCTGTGGCTGGTGCCTATTCCTTAGGTGCCTCAAGGGCTCCGGCATAGACGTACCTATACCATAGATGCCGAGTCATGCGAGGGGCCGCCTAGCCGCTCTCTAGAGCCATTAACGACCTCTATCCACAGTCGCCTTGTGGCTGAGAACACGGTTTGCGTGTGTACTCGGTATACAATGCCAGGTCTTTCGAGAGCACACGGCCCATTGGCAGATTATCAACACACTCTGCTCGTGAGTCTCTCTCGAACCGAGTCTCCGGTGGCGGCGATTGGTCACTTCTACACCAACTCGCCCGCACCCACGAGTCTCATGTTCACGCCTGGGCCGACCTGTTCGGGTATGCTCACAGCTTTCAGGCTCCGTGCACTAGCATGGCTGAAAGCCGGCCCTCGTCATGTTCATTGTGCTCAGGGTATATTGAGTCACGACCAGAAATACTCTTGTCATCTCCCGGTGGCGACGGCAAAACTCCCTGGTGGAGGCAAAGAGCAACTGTAACCTGGCGTGCCTGGATCACATGATGACCGCTGCGCATCCTGAGACGGTTCAAACAACTCTGGATCTGAGTGATCTGCTTGCGAGATGGCGGACCCGAAACTCTTCAGCAGTTCCGAAGAGCTGAGATCGTCGAGGCTCCCAGTACGGAAAGGATGAGAGCAATCACGACGCAAATCTCAAACGAAAATCCCGTCCATGGTTGCTCCATGTGGAAACATCAGGTTACAATACTCAGCCCAGAGAGCCCGAGTGCCTGATCAGGATCTCCAAGGGGCAGTTTCCGGGATCTGTCCACTTGATTGTCGTTGGCTAATTCCCCTCAATGATCAACTTCTTCCGCGTCTTAGCCAACGAACATCTCCTTTCCACCCATGGGTCCAACAACTGATCAGGCGTCCCTTCGTTCCTTCTCGCGCCCTTAATCAGCCACACTAGGAACTCTTTCGACGCGTAAATGATATCCACACATCGTCTTCGACGTCCAAAGGCAGATTTGAGGAAACCATTTGCGGGGAAGCCGGGCGGGATAGGCAACAGTCCTAGCATTCCCGATAGTGATTTGTCGGCTTGTTGCCCAGGCCCCCAGAGGCGAGCATGAATGGATTGCCTGGCTCGTGAAAGCGCAAATCGTATTCTTATCTCAACATCGCCTCCGCCATTCATCAAACGCCCCCCGCAAAAAATGAAACAGTTGGAGCGAGTGATTCAAATGATGCATTACGAGTACTTCGCAAGTGGACTCGCCAGCAGGTCTGCCTTGACACATGCAAGCTCCATTTACTCGTAGGAACGACGGTAAGGCGTGCTGGGGTGTTCCCCTTTACCCGGCTGTGGATCGACCGCCCTCGAAGAGGCAAGAGAAGGAACTTTCTGAATGAATCAAAGAAGTTGTCCACGCGCCCGTGATGCTGTTTTCGAGAAAGATGCTGGAAATCCTCGGGCTGTGTATGACAATGGTTGGTTATTCTCCTCATAATTTTTGCCTTCCGATATTCCTTTGCTGCCGTTCTCGTTGGCCAGCCATGGGTACCTATGAACTCTTCTCAGCTGTTTGCAACAAAGCAAGTTCCTGTTTCACATTTCGCACCTCAGCCTGCCTGGTGGCACAGCCAGGTCCATGTCTGCCTTCCGGTCGTTCGATGGTGATCAAATAGCTTGAACGCCGTTGTCTGGCTGTCTATGCCGTGCGAAGATGACCATACCAAGCAGAGTATAAGCACAGCATGTACAGGACACTGTTTTGAGGTGCCGTGGTTATTAGGCAATCGGCAAGTTGCAAAGGTGAGTGTTGGGAGCGGCGACGACGCAGCTTTGGAATAGCAAAGACAAAGCTAGCCGACCATGTCGTTCACTGGAGCTAGATGCATCTACGATCCTTTTGTTCTTTGAGGTAGCTGGCTGCCACTATGTCAAACTTGCATGTTTGTCCCCTGTGATGTGCTCGGGAGCCTGAGCTGCCACAAACACCATTTGTATGGACCGACGACAAAGGCGGGTGACAGGCTGACAAGATACCCTACTTCACTTTTGACAGGTCAGGTCGGCTACCCCCTCGGTGCCATCCAGGACGAACACCCGAAAGGAGACATTTTTGCTCCATCGACGAAAATGGCGGGTGACATGAGTGCACAACTTATTCACTTCTCACTGAGTGATCCTTGACAAGGACAATGCTGTCTTGGCGACCGCTGAAAGAAGTCGCTCCCTGACCCGACAATCACAGTGACGGTCGACAGGTTCTTCACTTCAGGACTTGTCCAGGTGACCGTCCCTAGTACCCCGCCCAAGAGTAATACCCCGTGGACCGACGATGGCGGTGACGGACGACAATGACTTCACTCTCCACGAGGATGTCAATGATAAACACCTCTTTCGCAATTTGTCAGACAATCAACGATACCACCACACATGTTACTATCCAGGTCTCCCCGTTTCTTTTATTCCTTATCCTCCAGAGGTACGCCCCGTCACCGGCATATCCTATATATGGGATTTTGCGAATCGACGATGAGGGTGACGGACGGCCTGTATTTCTCTCCCTCCCTTTTCAGTATCTGTCTCCCTCCCCGTCCAAGAGCCTGCCCGTCGCTCTCTGTCCCCAGGGACACGCCCGGTCCTATCCTACAAGGCATTTCGCGAATCAACAATGGGGGTGACAGATACAAACGGACAGCCTGGTTTTTTTAGCCCTTCTCAGTCTTCACCTTCATGAGACTAATTCTTCACTCTGTCCTCTAGGAATACGCTTCGATACTACCTAGTATATCCTATACCGGGGGTTTTACGAATCGACGACCAGGGTGACACAGATGGACGGACAGCCTGTTTTTTTGGGATTCCTTTTAGTCTTTACCTTCATGTTACTCTACTCTAATCTGTTGACTGCTCTCTTCATGCGCCGACAACGCCCCCAAAATCACTCACGCCTCGGCGGAAGCCGTGCTCGAATTCCCATCCAAATGGACACATCCGCGAGCTCGCAATTCCTCCCTGCTGCATACGCTTGAGGATCCAGAGATCCAATGCACCGATCACGTCTGCACCAATAACAGCATTCTCATCCATACTTGTAGGCACAACTGGGTGGCTGGCACTCGCACCATCCAGGCCCACACCACCAGTCAGGACAGCAGCTGCACCAGGGTTGGAGGCAGAGGGAATTTGGCCTTCCACCCGTGCAGCAAAGAAAGACCGCGCATCTGCCCACCCGAGGTTCCAGCCGTCGCTATACCGCCAATGCTCAAAGTTGGCACCGGGCTGCGTGCTTGTCCAGTACGCCGTATGTCCGTTGAGTGCATCATGCGAGAGCTGGGTCTTCCTCTCGTCCGCTTGCGAAAGCCGGTGTTTGATTTCTCCCACGGTCAACGTAAACTGCTTGGGGCATACAATCTGTCCATCATCGGTGGATGCCTTGAACCCCCATTCCCAGCCAGGCATCCACTCCATCTTGAAAGTCCAGAATGCCGACCCAGACGCTCTACTCTGCCACCGCTGACTCTGAGCCTGACCAAACTGCCGCATCAGTTCAGCTTTTTGATCAGCGGGAGCTTTGCTCCATGTCTGTGGCGCCAACGCAAGGCTGTACTCGCCGACGAAGACTGCCACGGCAGCCTGATGGGCGAAAACGTCCCCGACAAGACTCGGATCGAGTTCTTGCAGCTCTGTCTTGACTTGCTCGATGATCTCGTAGGGAGACCGCGACGTGTCTTTTTCATCGAAGGTCCAATATTTGTGCGTATCCACAATCACCGGGCAACGCGGCATATCTGGATTGTTGTATGCTCGAGTGAAACGCACGGCGCGACCCAAATCCCATCCATCGCTGATATAGATAGGGAAGGAAACGTCCATGGTAGATATACGTTGTATGATATCGTTGTACCACTCATACATACCCGGGGGATCGATGATGGCTTCGTTGCAGACTTGCAGTCCAACCACTCCCGCCAGTTGTGGGTCTCGGATCGTCTCATCCGCAATGAACATCAGGCACCGGGTCGCAAGCTCAAGGTTCAACGGGTTACCCCATAGTTCGGCTTTCCCGCTGCTGGTGCCAGAATGGGTTTCATGATTGGCACCGCCTGGAACGCCGTGAAGGTCGATCAAAACACCGATGCCGTGCTGGAAACACCGCCAGACGAGGCGCTTCACAGCGGACCATGCGTTGATATAGACCTGAGAGGGGGCCATGGCGAAAGCTGTGTTGGCACAAAAGGCTGGGCCCAATGTGAAATAGCCGATCGGCAGCCGAATTGAATTGCAGTGTGCAGAAGTAGCCAGCCAGTCGAGGTCGGTGTCGGTGAGGGCGTTGGCCCAGTGAGTCTCCCATTTCTGGCGAGTTGCATCGAGGCCACGGGCATTGATGGACCTGGGTGACCGGTTAGCAGAAAGAGCCTAACGACGTAGAGAACGAGTCTCCCCACGCAATAATGGCGTCAAGTTCACTGCTCCCCGGCACCCCTTCGTCGTACATGCTCCCGAACAGCCATTGTTCCAAGATGAAAATACTTCCTAGATTGGTCCCGTGCTGGTAGCGATATCGGAGGATGTCCTTTGGGGTCGGTCGAGTCGGTTGTTGGAATGACATTGGGGGAGGTTGGACGGGATATTGCTTTGGAGCTGTGTGGATCGGCCTCGTATTAGTGATCTGCTCCAATGGAAGAATAGATAGATAGGGGCGATGGTGAATTATATAGAGGGATTGGTTGACTTGTGGGTTGAGGATGACGGTGCCAGGTGAGAGGAAAGAAGGCGCAGTTTGAGGGGAGAAGAGAGAGAGAGTCAGTCAGTCAGTTTGGTCAGGGACATCATCAACCTCGTCGACTGCGCTCTCTACACGCCTCACTTCGACCTGCGCCTCGAAACAAACAAGACATACTTTCAGTCTCATCCTTGTTCCCTTCCACCGTCTCTCGAAGATCGTTAAATGCCTTTTTTAGCGCTTTCCTCATGGTTTCGGCCTGATCACTGGTGAACACGAGGCCGATGCAGAATGCGAGAACAGGTCGTGACGGCAGCTAGTCACCGAGTCCTCTTCCGATGCGCAACACTCGAGGAGGCCTTTGAGAGTGGACGGGCACGACGAGGTCTGTGGGGGTGGAGTTGAAGAGTGCCCATTGCGCGGCTTGTCTTGTTGCTTTTGACATGTTTGTCACATCTCACCAAGTGAGAAAATAGCACATCTCTTGGACATGCACGGTGGACATCTATCGCCGACCAATCGACGTGATGATATTGCTCGCTGTCCTCGGGCTTTGTGGTTTTACAGAGAAGGAGACGGAGAAGAAAGATGTAATATATTTGTGACAGACTTTCTAGATTAAAATACAAAGTGACCTTCATAACTACATCCTCGGTCAGAACAAGTCTACCTACAGCAGCATCTCAATCTTTGCTCCTTACGGAAATGCACGATGTATGTGAGGTATAGTGCCTTGAAATACTCTTCGATCTCAACACCTAGCCACTTAATGAGTTCTTTGAGGGGCATTCACCGAGATCCTTATCATCTGAGCCTTTCTCTCCAGCAGAGTCCCTGAAGACGGATGAACTGCTGTTGCTCCGCCAGTGCTCGGAGTGTTCCGTTTCGGCTTCTCAAAACATAGGTGGCTCAATGTATCCGCGATTGTTGTGATTTTACTGCTACGCCCGTCTCTGTATAAGGGCGTGGTGTTTGCATAACATTCCTTTCTCTCCTGTCTCCCAGATGTACTGCCGACTCTGCTGCTGTTCCTCCCTTGTTGTAATTCTGCCGAGGAATCAAGTCTGTCGCTCGTCAATTCTCTCGTCTTTGCATCATTCTCGCTCGAATCCTCCACACCTCGTTGCATCGCGGTCCACTGTTCCATGTTGTCTTGTCTTCTTCCCTCGCAGAGATGCTCCATATATCGGATCGGCGTCCACCTACCTTTCAATCCTCGTGCTGTGTCGTACATCATCGTGAATACCCGAGCATCCAAGGTGGATCAGCACCACTAGTCACAAATACAGACAATACCAAGGTTCTTATACTCATAGCAGAGTGCCGAAGGGTTGGGTTCATCATCCTTCCAAGAGACAGGTGTAGGTGGGTTCAAACCCCACGCAGTCAATGAAGGGCTGCTAGAAGGTTTAATACTTGGCAGGTTGGACGATATGCCAAACATGGCAAACATGGCAAACATGTCAAACATGGCAAACACAAAGAGGCTATATGAGGAGAGAACTGCTATTGTTTACATGTCCAATACCTGGGTGTGGATCTTGGATCTTGGATCTGAATAGATGAAGAATAGCCCAACTGTACACAGTCCAGTCCGCTCTCGCAGACCATGTTTTGCCGTCTACACATGCGCCGCGGCCCAATCGCTTTCTTACTCGAGTTTGTTGCTCCCACGGCATACATAGGTAGGTACAGGGGCAGGCAGCCTTGTAACGTGGACACATCAGCTCTATCGCCATATCGCCATATCGCTTACGAAAGTTCCCTTTGCCTCCCGCGCAACGCCATTCTGTGCTGTGCCACGCCGCCTTGTTGCGCCTTGTCTTTGAAACAGACAATAAGCCAGGACAGGCAGGTCAGCACCATGCTTACCAGGACCACCCTCGCTCCCAAAAATCATCGCGCCAGGTAGATATGTACTGGAGTTTTATGCATTTCCCCCCAAGACCATATCCTTGTTCTCCTCTCGTTCCACATAACCAAGAACAATTCCACCGAACACCCGTGGCAAGGGACCAGTCACTTCATCAACAATTCCATCTGTTCTCTTCTTTTCGCGCGCATCGACATTGACAGACTCTGTTGCGCCACCGGGATGTCTTTGGCCTCGCCAATCCCCAGGGGATCCAGGTCGTCTACCAACGTCTCTACTGGCTCCTTGATTTCGCCGGTGGAGTTATCCTTTTCAGCCTCTTTGCCCACGGCGGAGGAATCATCTTGCCGCTGAGGTTCCTCTATCTGTGGCCTGCTACCCTGACCTGGCTCCTGCGGCTTGATGAGAGGAGATAGACTTGGACTCGCTGGTAGCGGAGCCGCTTGTGCTTGCTGCCCGTGTGGAAAATGGTGAATCATGACCGTGCTCTGATCGGAGGTAGACAGAATATTCGATGCTGCCGAATCGTCCTTAACGGCTCGGAGGCGGTCGCTCGTTTTCACATCGTCGTCACGGTCTTTCTTCATGATAAGCTCATTCGGTAGGCCTTGGATATTCTCCAATTCCTGTTTCGCCGATGAAGCAGCAGGAATGGGTGTTCTTGATCTCGAAAATGATTCTCTCGGCATCGGCGATGCTGTCCGAGATGCTGTCCGTGAGGGGCTAAGAGCAGATCCAGACACAACAGGCACCTTCGACCTATCTGCCACTGGCTCATGCGCCTTCGAATGTAACTTGGGTGGAGGAGAAGCTGTCAATCCAATACTCGCCTCACTCGTCTCCAAGCCTACGAGCACAGGGGTCCTAGCCCTGGAAGTGGGTGCCGAAGCAGAGGATGAGTAGTCAAGCTGTGATCCACCAGCATCCGAGACAGACGTCCATAGCTCAGCCCCTCCTCCTTCGATTGCACCATTAGTTTGCGTTTTGATGGAGGGTTGTGGTTTGGCGTTCATTTCGTCGTCGGTGCGGCCAAAGAGTTCATTCCACCATCTTACCTCGTCAGGCCTGGGGAAGATAAGGCGTTCTTTGCCACGAATGTTGTCGTCAATAACCGGATCGTATTTGGGATTCAGAAACTCTTGTTTGCGGGCGAGAAAATAGTCCCAGACGCTTCTGGTGCGATCGCTAAGTCTGGCTTCCTTGCGTTCCCTTTCGTTGTCACCAAGGAATGTTCCATACTGACAGGAGTACAGATGGAAGAGGAGACGTCGAAGGAATCGTTCGGTAAACTCGAAGCGGGTGGGATATTGGTACAGTAGCTGGTACGTCGCATCGAGAAATTGGTGGAAAACTGGCGATGTCTCTTTGACCCTAGTGACCGGCTTCTCTTTCTCCTTCTTCGCTGCTCCGGACACAATCCGTCTTCCTGGTTGCGATTCCGAGTCATAGTTGTTAGGCGTGTCCGCGTCCGAGTCCACATTGATCGATTCTCTCGACTCGTTGTTCTTGGTATTGGAAAAGAATCCCTTCGCTGTCAAGAATGCGTTCTCAAAAGTGGCCATGGCTCCGCTCTTCTCTTCCTTGCCATCAACATCCTCACTCCCTCTGCTGATTCGCTCGTTCTCAATTTGGAACCACTTCTCTGAACTCAAAAAACCCGAACGATGTTTGAACATGTGGCCGAAGCTCAGCCAATCCTTTTCCACCAGTACCATAAAACCTTCCATTGTTCGGTAGTATGGATCAAGGCATATCTGGCTGAGAGATGACAGCTGGCTTGTTCTGTCCCAACCATCACTGCAATGAATCAGCACATGGCTGTGTTGCAACCCGACTTGTCGCGCGATTAGTCCCGAGCCATCCAGAATGAGACCAATGTGTTTTAGCCAATTGCTCTTCTGTAGTAACTCCTGGTTGGGCCCCAAGGGAGTCAGGTCGGAATCCTTGAACGCGTCGATCACTTTCTGGAGACTATCTCGCATGACATGGATGTTGTCGATCCCTAGGTATGCCTTGGTAGCAAACTTGTAGTTGCTCATGTCTTCGGAGCCCATGCCCTGTGTCTGCATAACCAGAGCATTGATAGTGGGGCGTGCATCCACGATCATATTTCGCTGCTGCGCCCCGTAAACCAAAGGCCTTCTGTCTTCTGCACCATCTTGGGCGTCATCATCTCCGCGAAACCTGGAAATGATGGCATCCTCAACGGCTTCAGCGTCCGCCTGCGACATTTCACTATCCAAGACAACTGCGCAGTTAGATTCTTTGCTAGATCCGGAGTCCTCCCTCTCCGGTGGAGGCGAGTTGTAGGCAGATAGTGGTCGTTCAGCCCTGGTAGTGTTGAAGATTGCCGCAACGAGCTTTTCATCCTGAATACTCCGATTTCCTCTTACGCCAACCAACGGCTGAGATGACCTAGTGATGGTACAGTCATTGACCGGATGAAGATAAGTAAGGACCGGTATCCTGGCTCTGGAGCGATATCGTCCTGCATAGTTCAGAGTGTTATCTGAGATGGTTGCCGGGACCGCAAGAACGGCAGGGTATGTCGGAGAGAAGCTGTAGTCCTTGTTGATGGTGGAGATCCTCCAGTTGGTCTTACGACTCTCGTCGCCGAGGCCCATTCTCCTCCACTCCCGCATGGGATCATACAGAGCCCAACCCTTGCCGCCCACATCTTTTTCAGGTCCTGTGGGATGATATGAGAACGCGTACAGTTTTTCGATCCCGCTCAGCTTGCACGTCCAGGCTTTGACACTGTCGTAGACATCCCTAGCCTTCCGGTCATCATTGAAATAAAAGCAATAAAACGTGAAATCGCGGCAGCGCAGACGGATGGACGAAGGCTGCCGGGAGGCGGTAGGACTAGGCCGGAAGGTGCAGAATTGAATGATGGGATATGTTATCCAATTTTCTCGGGGTCGAGTTGGCTTGCCGTCGGCGGGAGGAGCAGCATGAACGAATATGAGGTGGTGAGGCGTCAGATGCAACGTTCCGTTGACCTGGATTCCTCGACGCGACAGGGTCACATCCTCAACCTGTCAAGGGATACATTGTCAGCCTCACAAGACCCGGACTGTCGCGCACTAGGGAATGGATCATATAACCTTCGCGATGCGGGTGCGCTCCATGGCCATTTTGGCGTTGTGCTAGGCCAGGCGGCTGCCTCGCGGAACCATTGGCGGGGCTGCTGGGAAACGACGACTAAGCAACAAGGGAAGCAATCTAGCCAACTTGATCGGTAGAACTGAAAGACCTAGGAAAAAAGAGAGAATCTAATAGAAGGATTCAGGACGGACGACCACAGTGACTGAGGATGGAGGGTGCATGGGCAGGTTGGACAAACAAATCCACGATCGACGTCAGACGATAAACGGGCCGCCAGGGTCTCCGCATTCCACTTAGCGCAGCCTCGTCAAAGCCACGGTACGAGCTCGCGAGGTAGATATCTTCCAGGACATATCAAAGGACTAATGGTTTATGAATGGATTTTTTGTATTCATCGGTCGAGAGACAGATACACAGTGATTGTTCACTCGGCGCTGCACGACATGTCTTCTACATCCCCACGCACTAAAACACACCCCTTGCTCCGAGACAACTGCCTTTTGAATCTAAGCCGTGGGTTTCCCATGTGGCCCTTCTCAGCGACAGAAATCCCAAGCCCTTCCTTTGTTCCCTGCCGCATTAATTCACAATGCAAATCCATTCGTGTCGTGACTAGTTGTACAAATTGCTCAGAACTTGACATTTCCCAACATCCGTTCCGCGGGGGTGGGAGGCCCCTTTTCATGCATGCTGACCCATTACTTCATGGTTCTGCTGTCCCTTTTGCTTGTCCATGCCAGAAAAACGCCATGCTATGTTCAAAATGCTTCCACAATGTCCATTCTAAGTTAGACATCAATCCAAAAAGGAATAAGGCCGTATCTTGCCCGCTTGTCCTGCATGCGTAGCTTTTACTCACAAGAAGTCATCAATGTTCCGAAATATCTCGGGTGCTTCACCTTGTTGGTGAGGACTCCTAGGGTCAAATGGTGCTGGAATCTGACTCGCGACTGCGTATGATGCCGGCTGTTGTATCTGCCGTGGCAGCAAAACTCCTCGTGTAACGTTCTTACCACTGCCATTAATCACGGTCAGGTCTGCTGTGGTCGTGATGCCAAATGGGGACACCATAAATTCTGTGGCCCTCGGCGACAAGAGCGAGGAACCCTCGTCTGCTTCTGTGGTGGGATCCATCCTGGGCGAGCTGGTCACAACCCCTAATCTGGGTGTTTTGGAGGGATTGGAGAGTGGCTGGGGAGGTAGCGAGTCGAACTTTTCGCGGAATGGCAGTGGTCTGGGCGACACACTCTGTGGAGGGCTCTGAGGACGTGGAGGACTGCGCGATTCCGCTGCGGGCTCTGGGTCTGGCAATTTCGTGGTCTCGGGCGATTGCCTAGCAATACTTCCCAGAATCTGGCTCAACTTGGCTGGCGTAGCTATCGAATCTGCTCGTTCATTCCTGGGAAACAGTGGCACTGGAGGAAGGGCCTTGTCAAGTCTCAGCGGCGGGGGTGCTTTCTCATAAGGGTCCGTGGCAAAAGCACCCATCTGAGCCGGTGCCGGGTCACCGAGCCAGGAAGATTGCTTCGCGACTGGTGTGTCCATCAGAGGAGAGCCCGACGATGGTATCTTCCACCAGCTCGCTTTGGGGTTGTTGCAGTGATCGCCATAGACTCCTTTGACAACTTTTGACCGAAAGTCCGTCAGTTGATAGATCAAGCTCATATTGGGTCCGACCCATTCACTCCGTTGCTTCACCGCCATATACATCGAGTGGAAATCCGGCTGGTAGCCTTTATACAGGCCGTACGCGATGACCAGTGAGGCTGACCGACTGACTCCTAATTGGCAGTGTATCAAGACCTTTTTACCCGCTTGTATTCTTTCATCAATTAGTCGACATAGGCAGTACAGATCCTCCAATATCTCCGAATTATGATCCCATGGTACATGTAAGTATTCGGGTTGTGGGCGCTGAGCGAACGAGTTTGGCCGAGGTGTGGTGGGTGTTGGAGTCTCGTTGGGTCGAGGCCACTCCCAAGCCGACTTGAATGACATTTCCGAAATGGCGGTCTGGGGTTCCATCTCGAGCTTTGGATGTCCCAAATCAAAAGGGACTTTAATTTCCTTGGCAACATTTATGACCATGTCGAACTGGCTTGCCTCTTGTGCCGTCGGCTCCAAGTACAGATAAACTCCGCTGTCGTATATCAGGACAGGTCCCCTCGGGTATCCCCTTTCTTGAGTTTCTTGTGATTTTTGCTGGTGGAATTCGTCCTCTTCTTTCAACTCTGGAAGCTGAGGGTTGACAGACTGAACTGCATTGCTTGATTCCAACCCAGACCCGGACATAACAGTGCCAGAGGCGGGTAAATGCAGGAACAGCCCCCCAGGGGGAGGTTTTGTAGGGGAAGCTAGGGAGGCGAGAGCCGGTGAAGACGCCATATGATGTAACGACGGTCGAGAGCTGGGCGTTGGAGGCACATCCAATGCTCGGTTAAAGGTTAGCTGTTGAAAGCCGGGGGTCCTGATTGTGAGATTGGTCGGCTTTTTTCTTCCTGTTCGAGGAGTGTCCTTGGAGGGTGAGACGGGAGCGGAGAATGCATGGGATTCGAATCCATGTGCAGTCGAAGGGCGGGGTAGCACCACCGCGCTCATATTTAGCGACAGGTTCTTGACATTCTTGGGGAGCTCTGGAACCAAGGCAGGCTTCATTGGCAGGCCGTTCGCGTTTTCTCTGATTGTCGGTACTGATTGCTGTTCAAGGTTGCCCGAGTGTTCTGTTGAGGGTCCAACCATTATGTTTCGGAAAGGGGATACGGGAGCGTTTGAGGAGGCTGATTCGGGCGACGAAGAGGGAGAAGAGTCTGTGATCAAGGGAGAATCGAAGGTTGAGTTGGTGGTTGTAGGTGAGGATTCTGTAGAGGCGGACGTCATGGAGGTGACGCTGTCGCGATGGTGTAAGCAGAGAGCAGAGTGCGGCACGGTCGAGTCTGCAGGAAGAGGATTTGCGTCGGTGACGAGGATTTGGGTGTCACTCTCAGGTATTGTCTCCGAAGCGGCCGTCAACTCTTCCATCGCCTTCAAGATGCTTGTATCGGGCTTTCCAACAACTGACATGAAGGACGGAAATGGTGTTGACATGATCGAGCCCACCTCGACCGGGGGCATATTCGAGTATTTGGGTTGGTAGTAGAGAGGTGGTCGTCTCTTGCTTGAGGACCTGGCGATTTGGGAGGATTCGACGCAGCCTACTGGCAAAACCGTCGAAGCTGAGCCATGCCGAACACAGCGGCGGATTGTACTCGTGACGTCTTGGTAGTTGTTGGCCAAATCAAAAGACCTTTTGCGCTGATGATTGTTAGCAAGACAGTCCATTGAGTCTCTCAACATGATGACGAGTGGTGATGACGACGAAGGCGTGCTGAAGGACCATGGCACCAGCACATAAGTCTCTCCAGGTCAGACGGCAAGAGGGAGTGGCGAGGATTTGGTACTGACATACAATGACTGTGGTCGAAGTTGAGGTCTCAAAACAATCCAGAGTTTAATGGTATCCGGAACGGTCAATCGCGGCGCAACAACGGTGAGGCATGCGACACAAAACAAAAGCGAGGATGGATTCCTTGTCCCTGTTGCAGCAGGTCCCCTAGAGTATCCCTGGAAGGAGAGACGGCGGTGGTTGTTTGTGCTGGGTTCGGTCCTCCGCAGTTTCAGATTCAGCGCGTATCCAAAGTGTGCGGCGCAGCAAGTCAGGCTTTCCTCCTTGGCCGCGTTCGTTCTCCGACGATGATGGCTCCACCAAAGTCACAGAGTGTAATACGGATTTGGGATGTGGGATTTTCGGTCGGGGGGTGACAAGCAACAGACTACTTGGTCGTGCAAAAGGCTATAGAGTGTATGCGCGACAGAAATCCGGAGTAGAGAAATGCGACCTGAAGGTCAATAAAAGGCGAAGTCGCAAAGGAGGGGGAGGACAAGAGACGATTAGTTGACAGCAACTCGGCGGCTTTTTCGTTCGAATCAAAGAAACCGAGGACGGGCGGCAAAGTGGAAGTGAAAGCGGACTATGCGACAGGTTGAGGCTTGAAGTCGAGGACTGGTGGACAAAGAGTACTAGGTAGGAGTGGTCGGTAGGTGGTAGGGGTTCTGGGTATTCGATGAGAGGTGGGCAAGAGTCTCGAGTTTCAAGCACCGAGTAGTGGGTGGATCCGGGTGCTTTTGGCCGACTGGCAAATGAGCAAGGAGAGAGAACGCGGGATGGCGCAATGTTGAACCGGGCCAGGTATAGACGAGCCCACGAGGGAGAAGTTGCTGGGGTGGAGATGGAGCAGAGGAGGGATCAGGGAGGGTTGCGATCGATAGTCTGGATAGAGGAGTCGAGTACGAGCAGTAGTGAGGATGATGGTAGGTGGTTGGGGACCAGGGTGCGTTTTTCTTCGAGTCTGGATTGAAGATGAAAGAAAACATATGTACAGCAGCTACTACCTGGTACGATCCGAGGAACACGAGTAGATCCAGGCTGCCCACCAACGCCCGCGGCCGTCAAACTGTCAGTGAGAGTCTCTTTTAGGCGCTTGGACAAGATTTCACCTTTTGGCACAAGAAGCGAATCATAATGACTTGGAACGATCAGGGCAGTTGTCGGGGCTTGAAGGGGGCCAAAGGGGTCAAACAATGATTGGTTTGGGGGCACTAGGGGGCATGTAGGAGCCACCAACCTGAAACGCAATGCCAATCGCCCAGGCACGCAGGCCACCTGAACAAGGCCCCCTCCTCCCGAAAAATGCCCATTACCTGTCCAAGCACCCAGTAGGCTGAATGAGGCCCTGGGTTGGCCCCGTCATTGCTTCTATTTCTGGCTTTGATCCGGGAAATTTGCCGCGCGCATCCACTTGCCCATTGCCCATTGCCTGGTGCAATTATTGCCCAACAGCAAGCTGAGAGTTATTATTCATAGATGCTGCCCTCCAAACATAGCTCGCCGGTGATGTGTATATCCCCATGAACCAGCTCTGCTTGCCCAATACTCTCCCAGGAAAAGATTATGCATGCTGACCGACTCCCTTTGATCCCAATAGCTTGGATGCAATGCTCCCAAAATAAAAGAACCCCCCGCCCTCGAACAATCAATCTAAAGAAAGCTCTTCTGACTGCATGCGCAAGATTCTCCCAAATTCATCGCTAGGGACAACAAAGGGACAACAAAAGAGGGGGAAATAAACAAAGGTCAAACGCAAGACGGATCTGCATCCCCTTCACCCCCACATCCGGTCGCGCATGAGACCTGCAAGATTGCACCGCGTTTCAGATTGCTACATGCCACCAGCCTTCCCTTAAGATGTCTGTGCGCCGCCCCTCCGAGGCTGGTGACATGAAGCCTCGAAGGCTGACTGTGTACGAGGTACTAAGTACCGAGTAGTACAACGCACCTCAAACCTCACCCTTTTCTCCTCAGTGTTCCCATAAAGAGGACCCGACGTCGCAGATTACAATTTTTATGCCTCAGGTCTACGATAGAGAGAAGCCCTCATATCTGCCTACTCTAGAGGTCCTTGTAAAGCGTCTGAACAGGATGCTCGATCTCATGCATTCTGCTTACCCAGGGACCATTATTACTCGTACCTTAAGTTTCTGTTTCCACTTTGACTCGCATGGGCCAGGCTTCCTACCATCAGGCCTTCTCTTTTCATTCCTACGAGTATGAAGGAATCTGGAAGTCAACAACCTCAGCCTCCTTGGCGGCTGGGCCTCATGCTCGGGTACCGAACACCATCGACTAAACACCATAACGTGGCATCAACTCTCTCGCAAGGGAGCGTGGTTCGGGGCCGGAAATAGGGCATGCGCAAGCGAAATCCGTGTTGAAAGGGTCTGACAGCCTAACAGGCTCCCTCATACAGATACTTTACCACGTTGATTGAGGTTGCTATTTCCAGGTCCTCGTATTCCCCATGCGAGCTTGTGGCAAACTCGTCCGCTCAAAACAGGTTGCCCTTTGGAGTGGAAAAAGAACGTTGTCTATCATGCCAGTTTCTCCTGAAGAGACCTGACACCCCATATCCCGAAATAACTCAAGTGAGTCCCAAACTCCAAGCCCTTATTGGGCGATGTGTCCTTGTGTTTTTTTGGATAACCCATAACGCCGTCATTTTGGGGAGCCATAGCCATAGCCATCCTTTCCGCGTGGCCAGAGTTTCCCGAACCCCCGACACTGCCAGGAATATAACCACCCAGTACTCTCCGTAGGCTAGATTGCTTGCTGGTATGCCTGAACCAGGTGAGGTCGGAATGGGCAAGAGTGAAGAAGCGAAGAAGACAGACATAAGCCCTCCCAAGTCCCAACCGTTGATTCCCTCAACCCAAGAACACCTGCCCTTTCCCCATTGTTTTTTACGACTTTTGTTGTGCATCCGACTTGTTCTTCAAGTACAACTCCCCGATGCCTGACTTGGCTTTGTTGACCTTCTGTCTTGTATTGACAGCAGCCGAATAGTGGGAGAAAGAGAACGAAGACCAGTCACGGTAGTCTCGAGTTGGCCTCGACACCTCGACGACCCTGTTGAGTTTCTTTTGAGGTTTGTCATAGGTGAAGATGTCTTCAAAGTCAAAGTCCTTGGACGACAGGTCGAGAGCATCGAAGTTGGTCGAGGCCTTGTCCAAGAGTTCTCGCTCCGCATCTGACAGTGAGATGTCGAAGCTGGCGGTGCGGGCATAGGGAACCAGCTGAACCTTGGGAGAGACGTGTGGCGAGATTGGATTCATGAGGTGTGTAGATGCCGTGGATGATGTCGATGTCTTTCTCTCTATGGTCGATCGGCCGGAATCTGAGTCGATGGAGCCTGGACTGTATAGCGGTGGTGACCCAGAGGTGTGTCTTGTGAAGCCATCCATCTCCCCACAACCAATTGGGATATCTGAGTGACGATAGCGACGATGGTCCTTGAGGGATATTCAGAAATATCACGTATCAGTATCACGCTCGGTAGTCTTTGGATGCTGCTACTGAAGGTCGGGTGTCAGGTCGGTAGTAAGCTGCTCTGAGGTCCAGACGAGGTATTTGTTTCAAAAAAACCCAGGTTGTTATGCTGGCTCGAATCGTGGACAAGTCGGGATCAGCTGTACACAAGACAATGGACAGGGCCGAGCACGCCAACAGGCCAACAGGCCAACAGACGCAAGACCTTTTGATGTCACTGGTGTTTCGTGTTTGCCTGACACTTTCTCCACAACGTAGGTATGGGATATACTCCAAACAAATCAACAGCTCTTGCTGCGTTCACAGTCTTACGTGTGATGCTGGCCAGCGAGGGGACCGAGTACTGGGCCCAGAAGGAAAAGGATTGTGGATGGAATGGTCGAAAACCAGATCTTTGTTTGTTTCTTCTTTTCCCTCTTAAAGGCTGTAATTAGGGGGTTTTTTCTTCCCGACAAACTTCTCCGGTCGCGGGAAGAGGGAAATATCTCATCGCCTTATATCGTCACACGCAATACGAGGGAACCTGCAGACAAGGCCAAATGAAGTGAGGACAAAGGAAGCCGAAGCCCTGCCTTAGACACATGCCATCTCGATTGGTGATGGCGACATCCCAGGGACGAATTAGACTCCACGTACAAACAAGTATGGCTCACTATGGTGTTATGTTAGCATTTTTCCTGTGCTGTGTGGGCTTTCCTTAAGGTGCTCATTTGGGTCCTCTATTTCGCTCTTTGAGTTGGGAATCCACTTGAGGACAATTACTCAAGAGTCATCGTCGATGGCGTCTTGTCCCGCTCATGTCTGTGGTGTGTGTGTCTCTCTCTTTCTTCCACCGCCTTCTGCCCCTCTCCGCTCAAAGACAGGATCATGCTGGGATTCAAGGTGCCAAGCGAGGCAATCCGGAAGCAAGGGGAAGGGCGAAGACTGCAAGACTGTAGGCTGGTCGTGATATTTGTTAGTCATAATCCATGGATGCATGTCCGGGCAATTGGTGTGGCATGATGGTTGCGGGCTTCGGTGGCTCTGTAGGTACGTGGCCATGGTGGTCAAGGCGGTCATGGTGGCGCCCGGAATGAAAATTTCGTCTCCACGTGCATGGCTGGGGCCATGATTCGTCCATGTTCTGCTTCATTGGTGCCGTTGTCCATGTTTCTCCAACTGCAGCCTTTGATTCCTTCTGGACACTTGTCATGGCCGGTTGCCAGTAGTCCGTGTTAACACGAGCCCAGATCAGTGGTGAAAAGAGAATACCGAGTACACCTGACCGCGTTACCGCTAGAAATCCATATCAAAAACAAACTGCCACTTGCAGAACAAGTCCAACTAGGCCAATTCTATATTCATTCCAGACCTGCCCAAGAAGTGAAGCTCCTCGCCGGCTGGTGTCGGCGAAGTCAATGGAGAAGGACTGCCTTCCCGGGTTATCCATTGTACAAAAAATATGATACAATTTGAGGGGGCGATGAGACATGCTCATCAAGATTCAACACTCTGTCCAGAGCCCTGTCTTTCCAACGGCATGGTATTATCCAATTCTTGCCTCAATGGTGCAATATCTTTCATTCCTCGTGCCTCTGTCGCTTCTCTCGTCGTTGCATTCCGCTCTGCTTTGGCCGCTCGAAGTCGACTACTGACACTGCTGATCCTACTCGTGAAGCCGAGACTTCTTCGTGTCCCGGAAGGCCGAATAGAAACCTGACTCTCTGGTGTGGCCTCTATCGGGCTCGATGCAACAGCTGGGACGATCGTGATTCGACCCCATGGTTCTTTGGGTGTCACAGGGGTTTGATCTTGAGTACCCACGTTGCTCACGTTTGACGACGGGGAAGCATACTTGCGCCTCGGGACTAGATGAGTGCTGATATGAGCAGGAAGTGGACTTCTGGTCACTGTGGTTGTTTCAAGCGCTGCAGGGACAGGGTGTTGAGGCATGGGGTGTTGGGCTGTATATTCTCTCGAATATGCCGCTCGATCTCTCGCTGCCTGGCGGTAGGTGCTCACTTCCGTCATAGCCCGGCTCACTGGACGGATTGAAGGGCTACTTTCCTCGTCGTCCGTGGTACCATCCATATTGTACCCGGGAGTTCGCCTACTACGTACTAAGGTAGTAGATGTCCGTCCAAGTCGCGTCGATGAGGAGCTAGATATTTGAGGCAAGGCTGTAGGTGGTGTTTGATAAGTGTTCTCGGGCGAGGTTGGCTGTGCATTCAACGTGGCGCCGAGTGGTGCGCTGGTTCGTCGACTTTCTAGGCGCGACTGGACACGAGAGGTGACCGGAGGTCGATCATTGGGCTCGTTGCTGTATCTGCGGCTCCGCAGGCCCGCAGACGTCGACTGGAACGCATCACGACTACCCGGTCTGGTCACAGGCTGTGGAGGTTGTTTTTGCTCTGCTAGAATTGCAATGGCCAATTCGGTCAAGCTTCGACACATGCTTTCCGTCCGTCGACGAATCTGACGTTCCGAAACCGAGGAGATCCCAATAGTGCTGGCAGCGCCGCTATGCCCCTCTGGATTCATCATCATGGACAATTGCAAGGCGTCCTGAGCCGTTGCTTGTAGCTTTTGATAAACATCATTATTGAGGACAGCTTTGGCATTACCAAGGGCCTCGTGGAGATTCGGGTGGATGTTAGACGGAATGCCTTCGATCGCAGACTGCAACGGCGCCACAGTTGGTTTGTGCTTTGGCGAGGACGACATGGTGGTCGCAGCAGTAGTGGCTGTCTTTGGTCTCTCTGACGTAGTCATTGCGGCAGCCGAAGACGGCGGGAGCTTCCCAGTAAGCTCGAGTTTCCTGATTCTCGATTTCAAGTCATCCAACTCATCCCAAACTGTCGAGGGAGCGGTTGTGGAGATGGTGGACTCGGTGGCATTGTGGTCGGGTACGCGGGGGCGATCAAGAAATGCAGAATCCGAAACCAAGCGGCTGTTTCGGGCCGTACTTGGACGGGAATACGCACGCACTGGTTCTGTGTTGGTATTGGTGTTGGTGTTTGAATTTGTCGTGGAATATCGTCTTGGTGTGGCTCGTCGAGGTAAATCCGTTGGATGTGTACTCTGAGTCTCGAGCGCCCCATCTCGGATGGAGGCTTCTTGAGTATACGACCGTGTGAGCGCGCCCGGCACATGTTGCCCCAGAGAAGCTCGTTTGCTGTAGTAATTCAGTGCCTCTGATCGACCTGCAACACTCGAAGTGTCGAATCGCTCCTGTATGGGAGAAGATTTGTACCCGGTCGAAGGCCGTGTACTCGAAAAGAAAGGCAGTGAAACTCTGGATCGTCTCTTGTCAAGTTTGGGTTGGACCTGGCTCCCACGCGACGCGTCGGTCCGTGCAATATTCAAAAACAAGTCCTCGCTCTTTTTTTCATCGCTGCTCGAACCCTTGCTATCGTCCTCCGAAGGTACTGGTCTCAGTAACTGGGGGTCCGAGTTCTCCTTCTCCTGTGGATCAGTCTGAAGCACGCCCGCGGCTTGTTCTTTACTCATGGTCGAGTTAGGGGTAAGCACACTCTGTGTGTCTGCGGTTTCCGGGCTAGATACTTCCAGCGTTGTAGCCTCGTCCGTGGAGGAGTCAGTGGTCGAGGGGGTCTGGTCTGGTTTCACGGGCGACAATCGCGCTGGAGCAGGCTCGGCAGCAGAGATGAGTTCATTGGCCTTTGAAGGGGAGGAATCACGCGTTGTCTCGGTGGTAGATCTCGTGGATGGATTTCGATCCAGCCGGATGCGGTCCTGGGATAGCGTTCGCTGAGTGCTGTATGACGGAGGTGGGCCACAGACTGTCTCGACGCCGTAGCTGCTGTGTGAAGCAGGAGGTCTTTTCTGTGAAGGAGATCGCTGAAGCGTATTAGAGTTTGTTCGATGCAGGGGAGTTGACGGCTGGCTGATCCCGGAGGACGAGGAGGGGCGATTGTCGTTCGGGTCGTGGTCGAGGGAGATGTTGAATGAGGGAACGCTCAAGGTCTTTGAGATTCCTACTAGCTTGCGCATTCCAGGGGACGGCTGTAGCACGACGGATGAATTGGAATCTGGGGCATTGGAGGACAATTTGGGTTTCTTGCGCAACGGAGGCCGAAATAATGTCAAGTCATTGTTGGCATCTGCAATGCGGGCCGGATAGAAATGGGGGTAGGGAGGACGCGGTGGGAAATCGGTTGTTGTACGAGCATCAAGATCATGACGGGTCTCCCGGGTATCTAGTGTATAGAAGGGCGGAGAACGATGGTGATGATGAGGAGGAGAAGGAGGATATGATGTGGTAGTGGTCAAGGTCGAGGTCGAAATCTGGGGTGGAAGTGAAGGTGAAGGTGAAGGTGAAGGTTTGGTGGTGAGCGTGTTGTCCATGTGCGCTCGCCGCAGCTCATTTGATCCATGGATCATCCAACCCTTGCTAGCCCCGTCTCGCTTGTGGATGGTGAAATCCCCTACAACGACACTTTCAGCACTTGTTTCTCTTTGTCCATCCTCTCTCGAGAGGGCGTGGGATCTCCTGGAAGAAATGGGGGAGAGAGAGAAGCTCGCAACAAGTCTACGGCATCGCTACTTCTTAATCTATAGTGGAGGGAGGAGTCTAGGCCCGTGAGCCTGTGAGCTGCCTCATTCTCGCTCGTCTAGGTTCGTCCCCCAGCAACTAGCAAGCCTCGGAGGATTGTGATGGGAAGTGTGATATCTCAGGAAAACTGCTGCTCTCAGTGCCGCATGCTCTGGTGCCCGTGTCGCGTCTTTTGTTGTGTGGGAAAGGGGGCATGACTCGGCCGCCTATGATTCGACCCAGGAGATCCTTGCCTAAGCCTGATCTCCCAGTCCATCAGGCACTAAGGCTTCAGATATGGGCGCTATTTCCAGTTAAAGAAAAGCGTCAGAGACCGGCACTTCGGGCATCGGTGTTTGAGGCTTAAACCCCCCCAACTGCCCCCTATTGCTCTGGTGGTCTTTGCTCCCTCCTTGGTAAGATCAACGATCATCCACTTCTCCAGAATTGCAGGCTACCCCTCAGCTGGCCCTCATTGAGGCCGAAGTCGTCACATTTCCATCGATCGCCCTCTCTAGAGTTCCGCACCTGGTTGTCGTTGCTGCTGTCTTCTGCTCATGCATCATGACAAGCTGAGCAGCAAAGACTCTATTCCCCAGCAACAAGTACTTGTTTCTATCTCCTTGCAACGTGTTCTTCCTCGGTTGGAGGTTCGGATATGCAAACTGTGCAGCGAGGAAACTAATGCAAGGAACGAAAGCCACCCAGCTACCGTCGCCTCTGCCTATCGCCACTCGGCTGATCCTTCGGTTTCGCGATTGAGGTAGTAATATGAAAAGAGAGAATTGTCAGAAAGAGCGACACTAGGGATTGAGAGGGGATGGAAAACAACGAGCAGCTGCTCCTTCGTCGAAAAGGTCATTGAGAGCCACCGTCAGACTGTGAAATGAGTCACTTGCAGCTGCCAGGCAGCAGGTTGGATCTCATGGCCCTTGGAGAGGAAAAAAGGGAGACTCCCTCCTGCTTAACGGACTCTCTCACCGAGCACATCTTTATCCTCAAAAATGGCTACCAGACGGACGCGCATTGTTTGTATATCTGATACCCACAATCAGACCCCTCAGCTGCCCGCTGGGCACATCCTCGTTCACGCAGGCGATCTCACTAACCAAGGCACATATTCAGAGCTTCAAAAGACTGTTGACTGGATCAGGAAATCGCAGTTTCAGATCAAGATCGTCGTCTGTGGGAACCACGACGTTACCTGCGATGTTCCATTCTATCAAGAGTACGGGGGTTACTTCCACAATAAGAGACGGGAAGATCCTCAACGCTGCCTCGACTTACTCCGCGCCGACCCCTCGGTTGTTTTTCTTAACCACGAGGCCAAACAGATTCGTATCGACCATGGGGGAGGGCTGGTGTCGTTCCTTAAGACCTTTGGCTCCCCCTATTCGCCAGCTCATGGTTTTTGGGCCTTTGGCTACGCGCCAGAAACTGCTCCTCGATTATGGGATCAGATTCCCCTAGATTCAGATATTGTAGTGACGCATACGCCCGCCAAATTCCACTGCGACGAATGCGGTAAACGTGGAACAGCAGGATGCGAAATCCTCCGTCAAACCTTGTGGAGGGTTCGCCCCAGGTTGTTTGTCTGCGGGCACATTCACGATGCCTATGGTGTTGAGGCTGTCACATGGGATCTATCCTCTCCCAACCTCAGATACAAAGAACAGAGCGTCCGAAGGTGGGAGGACCCGGAGCCGGGTTCCAAGAAGCAATTCACCGTCGATCTGTCGTCAAGAGCCAAGTCTCTAGCATTGCGCAATGACGGAAGCGTTGGCAATCTGATGTCAACAAAACAACCGTCAGGGATTCGGGGTGTTGAGGTTGATGGCACTGTTGATGATGCCAACACCGATGAGCAGGACAAATGCCATCCAATCCCCAATGCCCCATCTCTCTCAAAGCCGCCTTTTCCCGACTTTGAGAAGGCTAAGGTGCCAATCTCCTCAACGCCAGATTCTCCGAGTACCAGCCATAACGGGACTCGTGGTCAGGGTGGTCTAGCATCATCAAGCCTGAGATCTGACCAAGAAGCACTTTCTGGTCGAGAGGGAAGGGCGGAGACCTGTGTTGTCAATGCGGCTTACATGGCATCAAACTGGCCTCACAAGGGCGGCAAGAAATTCCATAAGCCTGTTGTGATCGACCTGGATTTGCCGGTTGTGAATGAGAAAGAGGTCCACCAAGGCCCGCACGATGAAGAGACTTAACTTGGACCTGTGGTTCTGTGGCATCTTCCGACGAGTCGGCTTTTGCAAGTCGAATATCAGTTAAGCGTGTCATGTCTCAAGTATTGTTCTGTTTCGAAAAGGGTAGGTTAGCAGTCATCGGGATAGGCAAGATCTTGGGCGGGAGTTTTCCCTTGGTTACGACAAGAGCAGCCTGCAGTGGAAGAGGAGTCAAGAGCCCTTTTCTCTACCTTGCGAACAACATTTGAGGCTCGCCAGAATGATCTACCTCAGGCACAAGCTTATTATCAGGAGAAGTCCCATCATGTCAGGCCAGCAATGACATGGACCACGCCTACGCCTTTGGGGAGAACAGCAAAGAGCGCAAAGGCGTTCCATCCCCAATCACAGGAATCCTGTCCGCGCAGACGTCACCCCTGGTTTAGGAAGGGTGCCAGAGCATATTGTCTGGATCACAATCTCACCTTCTGGACACTCTGTTCAGGATTCTAGTAAGACCATTGTGGAACCTGTCCTTTCCCAATATCCTTGCTATCAGCATGGGCTTTCGTTGACATGGCATTGCTCGGCACGGTCAGAGTCGAGGTCCAGGAAGCAGATGTCAGACCAGGTCGTAACGATGATGTCTATGAGAACGATGGCCACGAGCACTGAGTTGGCAGGGAAAGACAGAACAGGATGACCCGAAGGCGCAAGGAGCGTGAACAAAGCATGTTGTGTTTTTGTCGATGAGAAAAGAGAAGAACTTTAAGAAGGAATGCACACCCTATCCATTCTCCTCACCCACAACCTGTGTGACGAGAAGTTCTATCCCTATCCTATCCCAAGTCAAACCAATATTGTTTGCATACCCGCAGTGCCATCAAGGCAATCCTAGTTTCCGGCAAGGTCCCTCGTTCTCAAAATACAACCCATGCACCATAAGTTTGATACTCCCAATCCCTGTCTCGGTATGTCCGTCTCTCGGTATTGATTCTTCCTGTGTCTCGTCTGCGGCTGCTTCGCGAAGACGGTAGCAGAGCCGGCGACGGCGGTGGAGGCATCCACGGCAGAGACGAAAGCGGGATTTCCCTCGCGTCCTCGATGCTGAAGCCCTGCCTGGTGCTCATGTTGAGGCCGGTTTCCATCCCGAGGGTGGAGGTGCTCCAGTTGATGTCTTTCATGTCGTCAAGCTGGAACTGAGAGGAGGGTTTCCTTTTCCTTTTGTCCCTTTTGCCGCTGTTCTTCCTCCGGCTTCCAGTGCAGTTTGTCAAACATACCACGTCTACCAGTTTGTCCCAGAGACTCTTTTCGCTCCGAGATCGCTGCTGCGTAGTGGCAGCGGCTGGGGACGTCCCCCCCGTTTCCACTACCGTCGTCACCATCCTCTCAGCTTCTTCCTGGTCCGTCCTTTCAAGACCACAGCCTGGCCTGTCAAACACACCCCCCCCGAAAAAACCCCCGAGCACTCAGAAGCCAATGTACCACACAAGCCCCACGGATGTTCCTTGGGGATAGGCACTGAAGGCTCTTTCGAGACGTTTGATCGCCTTGCGTCCCCAGCGACGCACTCGTCTCTCCTCCTTGACTGAGTCACTGGTTTCCGAGGACGACGACGACGACGAGAACACCGAGGCCGATCTCTTTGTCGAGGAACGGAAGAACTTGAGGGACCTGGTCGAGGTGGATGATTGTGTCGCTGTCGATGCTTGGGTTGTCCTGCGTCGAGGGCGGGATCCTGGCTGTAATTGTGACTGTGGTATCGCGTGGGCTTCTGGGAACGTTTGTGGTTGACGCTGAGATGTGAGATGGGATGGGAAGGTGGACATGAATGTCATGCTTTCTGGTGTTCTTTGTCGTCGTCGTGGCGAGGCTTGAATGAATGTTGATACTTGGTGGTTTCCGGCGTCAGACCTGCGAGGGGAGTAGTTGGAGGGACTGATTCTTCGGGACAAAGGTGCTCTATGCTGCGTAGAACCTTTCCGGGGTGACGATGATATATAACTCTGTGACCGGGTGGATGCTCCTGTCTTGTGTAGTTGTAGTGTTACCTCAAATTCGGGTATCACTTGTTACTCTTAACCGTTAACCATACACATCCTGTTTTTTTACCCTTTTTGACCCATAACATTGCGGGTTGTGGAGGGTAAGAGAGCCGGGGGGGAACACGAAATGATTTGAGATCCCAGGGAAAAACAAAAAGTGAAAAATGACGGGATCGAGGCGTCTTAGGTCTGGCATTTTATCATGTATCTTTGTGGGTGACGAGCTGTCAGAGCGGGGGACAAGGGTAGCACATGTGAGCACATGTGAGGCCTGACCCAGCTCCAGCTCCAGCTCCAGCTCCAGCCCGAGCTCGAGCTCGGACAGGTTATCGCACCAGTCACACTCACACTGACGCTCACACTCCCGCCAGCCCGTAAAAAAGGTGTGTGAGTGTGAGAGAGTGTGTGTCAGAGAGAGAGCGAGGAACGAAGGAATGGAATGAGATGAGATGACATAAACACCAACACACCAACACACCTATACATCTATACACCTGTACGGCAGTAGGGAAGAAGCCATGCTTTGGGACAAGGGGTCCAACCAGCAACAACAGCGGCAGGGACAAAGCATGCCTCATTCGTTCAAGGCGGGAATTGTCCCCTGGGACATGAACCATGGCACCATGGGTAGGTAGGTTGGATCTTCAGGCCCATGACGAGGCACACGAGGCAAAAAAAAAAAAGTAAGCAGGCAAAGCGGCCTGACGTGAGACCCAAGATCCAAGATCCCAAAACATCGAGGACAAAGATTCGCCTCCATGATTGTGATAGGTTGGGGCGGAGAAATCCTTTGTTGTGGAAAGGAAAGAAAAGCAGGTCAGGTTTTCAAAATGCTGTCCCAAAAGCGAATACAAAATCCGTTCTGGGCAAAGGGGGTACGTATGCTGTGGTGGGACAGGATAGGACAGAAGGAGAGAGAGACAGCAAGAGAGAGAGAGAGTGACACGAATGCGTTGTTCGTAAAATCCAAAGGCTTGCTGTCAGGCCACATGGGAGGAGGACAAGGCGGTCCCCCTTCTTCAAACCCCCAAAAGAGACATTCTCAGGCAAACCCTCCAGAGGACCCTGTGTAGGTCCTTCTGGCTTCAAGCTAAACATCATCCCTGGCGCCAATCGTCTGTCCCTGTTCAGTCCCTGTGATGATGAAAATGAAGGTGGTAGCTATCGTAAATATACTCCTACCATCCAGGAGCTGAACGTATGTCATAAATACCTGATCAACCCCATAGAAGAAACACTTGCGTAAAAAGTCAGGCCTCTTTGGAGACCACTCAAATCATCGAGTCGTAAGATCCAGATCTCACACTTGAGCGAATGTTGTTGAAACACCTGGCATCAATGGGTCGCTGACGGCTGTGTTCTGGATCGTGGCAAACGATAAGGACGCTGACGTTGATCGAAAAGCAGGTTCAAAACGATCCGAACTTGCACTTTTCGATTGGTTTTCCCCGATCCGAGAAGAATCCTGCTTGCTGGATGTGCGTGGGCTTCCCCGTCTTCTCGTCAAATAGGTTAAAGCCAAAATTTGCTGCATGCGGCGGGGTGTAGAGGTGAAGGGACACGGCCACCTCATCGTTGGAGGGGTTGGATATCTTGTGCAACCCAATCTTGTCGGAGATGTAAGTGACTTCGTTTTCGTGGTACGTCGACTCCTTGACAATCCGTGGAGGCATCAAAGCCCCATCCGACCCTGTCTTTTCGTTCAAGCAGGGCGGAAGGGCGTACAATGTTTCCTTGAGGCTCCCCTTGAGAATCTTCATCACACAATGAGCGTCCGCGTGATCATGTATCGGACTACCCCTGCCCGGGTTCCAGACAATCACCAATAAGTTGGATTTGCCGTTTCCTTCGTCCACGAGGTTGCGGGTGTAGTTTCTGCTGAAATCGGCAAAGGCATAATGGCGCCATTGACTTTCTTGGGAAACGTATTGTTCCATGAGGCGTATCAATTCATTTTCATCCACATCGTCGGAGTTGATCCCTGAAGAAGGGCCAAGGACATCCGAGAGAGCTCGAACAAGGAGGTGGAAGTCGTCACAGGAATCAATGCGGTTGAGCTGACCATAGTGGTGAGATGAAAAGGCCGGTTCGGGCTTGGGAAGGTATGGGCCTGTGGTGCTAGGTGGTTGCTGGTATGAAAGCATTTTCGACGATGTGTTTGCTTGAACCGGTAGAACAGAAGACTGCGCAGGCCTTGAACAAAAAGATAAGAAAAGCGCAGAAAGGGCGAAAAGGGGAAGATCAAGATGGAAATTCGGCGAGAATAAAAAGGAGGGAGGGACGATCAAGGCGGTGTAAGAATGAGACTTGTCCTTTAGATAAGAATGCAAGTTGCTGCATGTAGAGAGTCGAACAGCGTGTAAGACTGCAGTAGATTCAACAAGTTTTCTGCGTTCTGGTACCCGGCAGACGCAGCCCTCCTGTCTCATGACCAGGGGTTGAGAGGAATCACAGCGACAGTGTGAATGGAGGAGATCGACTCAAGATACGGGCCAAGTGCCTTCAGGACCCCTCCTGGTCCCTCCAGGGAGCCGGCCGTGGCATGTTGAAACGTAAAATCTTTGACCTCGTATCCAGCTTTGCCTACCTGATCCAAAGACGGTGACGGGCAAGAGCGGGTGACTCGGGGTCGTCGGCGACCAAAAGATTAGTCGAGCATGACGATCGAGATTAGTGGTTGGCCCGCTGAGCATATTTAGAGTGGCGAGCCCAAAGCTTAAACGAGAAGGGGCCAGCAAAGAATGCACGATACCTGCAATATGAACTTTGTAGAGACAGCGACGGCGAGGTATGAGGTTGAGCGACGGTGATGATGACAAGGCTGGCAGGCAAGGCTCTGATATATCCACTTCCATCACTTGAAGAGCTAACAAGAACCCTTGGGAGCGAGATATATGGCCTATTTATGAGGATTGATGGAAAGGAATTGTCCAGTCTCGAGGCCGAGCGATTGCGTGATCGGGTCCGTGCTCTGTGAGTGGCTCAAGGTAGTGAGTGGCAAAGGGTGAGAATGACCAGCCTGATTGGGAACAGTGGGAGGAAGTGAGTTATACGAAGTACGAAGGAGAGATGAGGGACGTACCTGCCACGTGATGCTGGAAGTCACGGGGCCATAGGGTCACGGGTCTGGCTTGTGTGTAAAGTGCCCAACGATAAGGAACATGCGTAAAATTAGGGGGAGCACCAGGGGCTACCAAGAGGGCGCCATGGCACCAAGACAACGCCCAATCCATTACCTCATCGGCGACCCCCTCACCTGCGCTCTGCCACGCCTACTAATGTTTTCTTTGCGGGGCACCCGTCCACACAATTTTTGTCTCGAACCGCCATGTGGTGCTGGTCGTACAAAGCCATTTCAACATCGTGTCCTTGATGATTTTACGTCGCACAGCGGTCGCAAAGAATTGTTACACAGCGTTCTCCTATTGTCTCGTTTTCGCTCTTCTCCGATAGCTGCCATCCTCCCTTCCATCCTTCACCAAACACCAACTGTGGAAATTCGCTCCCAAATATCACTGCCCAGAGGTCCTTGAACGCACCCCCGTCCTGCCTCAGCGGTCGTCGATCCTCAGCCTCATTCGCGTCCTCATCCCGGATCGGTAATTGCCCCCTTCGGACATTGCGCTTGGATAGCCCACGATGGCTACTACCGTGGACAAAATCAAGGAGATCGAGGCCGAAATGGCTCGGACCCAGAAGAACAAGGCCACTTCTTTTCATCTGGGCCAGCTCAAGGCCAAGTTGGCCAAACTGAAGAGGGAGCTCTTGACGCCGTCATCCTCTGGCGGTGGTGGTGGCAGTGGATTTGATGTTGCCAGAACTGGTGTTGCATCCGTCGGCTTTATTGGGTTCCCTTCGGTGGGAAAGTCCACCTTGATGAGCCGCTTGACAGGCCAACACTCTGAAGCCGCTGCATACGAGTTCACCACCCTCACTACCGTCCCCGGCCAAGTCCTGTACAATGGTGCCGCCATTCAGATGCTGGATCTGCCTGGTATCATTCAGGGTGCAAAAGACGGCAAGGGTCGTGGCCGTCAAGTCATTGCCGTCGCCAAAACTTGCCACCTGATTTTCATTGTCCTCGATGTGAACAAACCGCTGACGGACAAGCGGGTCATTGAGGCGGAGCTGGAGGGGTTTGGCATCCGCATCAACAAGGAACCCCCCAACATCGTTTTCAAGAAGAAGGACAAAGGCGGGTTGAATATCACGAGCACAGTTCCCCTGACACATATCGACCATGACGAAATCAAAGCCGTCATGAATGAGTATCGGATTTCGTCGGCCGATATTGCCATCCGTTGCGACGCCACGATTGACGATTTGATTGATGTCTTAGAAGCCAAGAGCAGGAGTTACATTCCCGTAATATACGCCCTCAACAAAATCGATTCGATAACCATCGAGGAATTGGATCTGCTCTACCGCATCCCGAACGCCGTTCCCATCAGTTCCGAGCACGGGTGGAACATTGACGAGCTCCTGGAACAGATGTGGGAAAAGCTGCAATTAAAACGTATCTACACAAAACCAAAAGGGAAACAGCCCGATTACAGTGCCCCGGTCGTATTGAGAAAGAATGCTTCAACGGTGGAAGACTTTGTAAGTCACTGGCCCGAAGTCGTCTGGAGATATTTCGCCCACTAATCTATTTTTAGTGCAATGCCATCCACAAGACGATTGTAGAGCAATTCAAGCATGCGATTGTATATGGGAGATCGGTCAAGCACCAACCCCAACGGGTAGGACTTGCGCATGAACTGGCCGACGAAGATATCAGTGAGTCCTGCAACGTGCCTGTCCTCAAATCTTGTCCCTGGCATGCTGACAGGGCTGTTCATCTAGTCACTATCATCAAAAAGTGATGCAGTCAAACTCTCCATTCGTTTCAGCTTGCTAACCCTGAACGCCTATCAAAATCTCAACAAGATGCATTGGAGGATTGAGGCCGCCTCAAGGTTTGACACCATCAACCACGGACCCTTTTCCTGCTCAATGAGGCTAGATGCCTCACCCTTCCGCCATCCCCGCGTCTTCGGATCGAGAACATCACATTCCTTAGCCTGCGGTCGGTGATCAGCATCAGGGGTTGGGATTCTGCTGCCCAAACGGGCGGACAACAGCACCATGCCGCGACGATGATGGTCGCCAGCCTACTCAAACCCTACCCCTTAAGCGCAGCGGGCAAGAACGCGGTCGAACATATTTTGTGCCCAACGTTATTACAATGGATAAAGAGCTCTCGCTTCACGGAGCTCCCGTCTCGCATGGGAAATGTCCCCATGCTAGTCAGTGAGGAACTTGGATGTCCCTGGTCTGCATTAGGTGTCGTGATCCACCTGGAAGCCGAATCTATTGGCCGCAAAAGAGGTATAGCAGTATAGAAACGCTACCATGCCATCGACGTCATTACACTGAACACAATGCAGCACGTAAAAGCGGCAGGGGTGGAACTGTAGTCCGCCTCATCGTCAGCCAATAACGACATGCAAGAAGAAGACGTTGAGGAAGGGAGCCTGCTCACTTTCTCTTTGAAACAGTTTATTGATTAATGGCGGTTGGAATGTCCCGATTGAGGATCCCTGCTCCTCAAGTGCGGAGAAGGTGCTCGAGCTGGAAAAGGTGGCAGGGTGGATGAGGCGGACGGGGTGGGCGACCAGGATCTGAGCTGGAGGCTTGCAATTCCCTCCCTGCCCTGGCATGAGCCCAACGCTGAATTCTCCGCCCACACGCAGGCAGTTCGGAGCACGAGCTACAAACAGGCTACAAAATACGGGTGCTCAATGGGGTGATTTCAAAGACGCGGCCGAGGGGTCAAAGCTGCATGGAAACGACTTTGGTCATGGAGGGTCAGCATTGCTTCTGATATGCTGGTCCATAGGCCATCGGCCACCCGGCACCACATCTCCGCGACCATTGACAACGGCGGTCGAAGACTCGACTGCAGGAGAGAGGAGCTTTCCTCAAGATGCATGGACGGGCTGCTCTGGAAGCTATACCCTCCCTGCCATGAATCTGTTTCGTTGTGCTTGCTCTTGTGGAAGTGCACTCAGCTCCAGCTGCGTCGAGAGGGGGATGTCTTCGGCTGAGCCAACAGAGGGCCTTGATAGCAAATTTGCATCCACCTCTTTTTTACCCCTCTCCGAGCGAGAGCTCGAATTTGTGCAGACATCGACGGTCCTGACATCCCCTGTCTAGTCGACTGTCCGAAATGCTGGTGGGGGGTTTTTGGTTCCAATGACCATCCTGGTCTTGTCCTGCTTGCTTCACTCATGGGCTTTTGCGATTTGGCCCTCCACCTAAAAGCGCCACGAACACGCTCGGGGGCTTCCCGAGTCTGCCGCTCTCAGGTTTGAGTAAGGACAACGAACATAGCAAGCTGTCCGCCTCGCCGCTGTACCGACCTGCTGCTTGAGGCTTCAGAGTTTGGAGGGATCCCCTGCCCGGCGGTCTTTTCCATGCAACCTTGTTCTCATGCTGGACGTGGCACCCTCTTGAAATTGTGGACCTACATATACGGACTGCCTCTTTTCGTGGTGAGGGATTCAGAATCCCCTGGCAGGGCGTGCGCCAATGACGTCGTGGGCGAGGGAGGAGAGAAGAGGAGAGGCGCTGGAAGGTGTGGGAGGACGGGCTCGGGTACGAGTAGACAGATACTCTGGGGTTAGGATAGAAACGAACAAAAGACTGGTTAAAGAATTTTGAGAGGCTTTCCTGCTTTGTACTGCACAGGAAATATACACTGAATCAAAGCGGATTAATGGATTGGGTGCAGTACGAGGTACATGGCCACGACTGGGCAATTGGGTAACAACAACTAATGCTTCACCACCAACCCCCGAACAACGTCATATTTCTCTTTCCCTGCTTTTTTGACACTGGCCTCAACCATAGAGATTGGATAGGACCAGCAAAAAGTCTATAGGATGACTATTTTCCTGTCACAAGGAGTGCAAGACCTTTCCTCGCCTGCCCGATTGGGCTTCACGATCAGAACCAGGGGTCTCAGAGATTCTCTTCCCCATACCCACCAAAGTACTCCGTACTGTGGGCGGCCTCGTCCTATTTGTCCTTTTTCCTTTATCTTGCCGCCGAGTCCTTCCCTTCCCGCCAACCACGACGCCCGACACTCGTTTCGTGTGCCTGTTGGCTCCTCGTCATTTCTCTCCAGTACCTCTGGCGCTGCCCATATTCGGACAGGGAGGCCAACCTTGGTCGCCAAAGCCAACACCGGCGCAGCTGCCATCGTGGAGCCCACCCCGAGTCAGAGGAGGGAAAGCACTGCTGGGTGGCTACGACCTCCACTCAATCAAGTCCAATGCGAGCATCTGTCAATTCCTTACGGGCTTCCTATTACTTCTAACTCGCCAAACTCACCCAGCCAGTCTAGACATGCTTCTCTCCCGGACCCACGCCTTTGTCGCACAAGGAACAACTGGATTAGCCTACGTCCTCATTGCCCCCACGCATACGGAGTAGAATGCAATAATACACAATCCCCCGACCCCGTACTGATACCGTCAGATTGTTTGGCTTTACTGTACAGTACCAAGGTGACAGGGGTTGCCCAAGGACAGTAAATTCTGGGGCCGTTGGTCATGCTGGTCTTTCTTTCTACCTACGCCACGACAATGGTGAGGGCCAGTCCCATAACGACTCGCCCTTAAACAGAGGGGCGAGCCATGCGATTGTGCAGATGGGAGATCCTATGGTCCGCAGGGAATCACTTGTGGCCCTCAGATCACCCGCGTCATGCTCGGTCGCTAGCGGACCGTCCAGGAAGGGACGAGGCTAGCCGGAGCGCTGAAGGCTCTATTGCAGGTCTTCGCATCCGACTGATTTGGGAGTTATCCTCGAGTCAACCATTTGGCTCCGCTAGATTCGACGCCGCTCGGTATTTTTGCGAGTTTGCGTGGGGCTTATGAATCTCAACTCGTCCTGGTCTGGACAGATGCCCCAGAGGGACACCAGGATTGGGACCTACCTGGGTCGTCCAAGAGAGAGTCTGCATTTGTACAAATGGTTGCCCGTGGTATCCTAGTCTGTCTTCCTCCCTTCCCCCATCTCGAAACATCCACAGAAGAACAACCGATTCTCGGCCTGCCCTTCGCTTCCTTGTCGCATACCTTTAGTGAAGCCGCGACACACAAAGAGGCCCCCTCTTTCGGGTAACGATCTCGACTCACCAAAGCACCAATTTTTGCCCGCCCGGTGTTGACGCTACGGGGCAGCTCACAGTGGCGTGTCAAGGATTGAGAGAGAAATAAGGCGGGTCCAAGCGAAAGAAGGATTGGCAAGACGGTGCGATACACCCTGGACACGCCCCCAAAGCATGCCCTGTTCATCCCTACGCCTGCCTGCAAGGTTTCCCCCCCCCTCCTCAATACTAAACCCACTGCTAGCGGGCAGAGTTTGTGAGGGCCGTTCCTTTACCGGGCTGCCGCTAACCGTCCCTAAGCCGTTGCATAATAGGCTATAGGCTCGTCTGCCGCCCTGAAGTCCTTTAGTCTGCCACCTGCAGACGTGCGGATTGCGCTCGGAAGCCCTCCCAACGGCTCCCCTCAAAGCATATCGAGACTCTTTTTCCCTCAGTGGAATTCCAAAGCATAGACGTCTGGAGGTGTGGGCACACATCCAGGACCACCACGCCTTGTGCAGCATCACAATCCAAACAAGGACAAAGCAATATCAGAAAGCAGCCCATTCAGCAACCCTGTTCTAAGCACCTGCGGCCCAAGCTTCCACCACATAACGCCCCCTTGCGCCTTCAAAGCAAGCCCTAGTCGACTCTCTCCTTGAAGCCTGTCCGGGCCCCGGTCGACATCCATCCCCAGTTCTGAACTTAACCTCAATTCGTCCAGCTTGACCTCGCCTGCACCATTGCAGACTGTCTGGGCCTCACCCTCAGGTGTGCTCCCCCCCCACACACACCTCGTTCAAGACGTTCCCTCTTTTATCATATGCTCGTTCTGCCCCCTCAAGCTTGATCTCAGGTCCACACCTCACGCCCCGTCGGTCTCTGAACACCCTCTGTACCTTGATCCTCTCTCTGAAGGTCTCAAGGCTCTGGGGGTTGTGCAAGCCAGGCTTCTGGGACCGCAGGCTACGTGCATCGTGTGAGAGCATCACTGAGGATCAGTGGCATGCGTTGTCAAATCATATTGGTGCCTCGGTCAGCATAGTATCACCCATATAATTCGAACACCAATGCTGGTCCTGTTGAATATGCCACCAGAGAGTCAAGATTCGCAACATACTGGCTATGGCCAAAATGGTTGGATAGGTGTTCCCAATAACCTGCCAAATGGCATTCCAAATGGTTATTCCACCAGCCCTCAAACGACGATCTCGCCAATGCAGGAATTCCCGCAATTTGAGTACCACCACCAACACCAACATAACACGCCGATGCCTATGGAGCCGGCTTACCCTATACAACGACCTTCGCCATTTGCATCTTCGCATGCACCGATGCCACCGCCCCTCGTTATGCCGAACAACGTTTTGTGGCCAAGTATGCTGGCTAGTCAACCCCAGGGATCCTACCAGCCGTCAATTTTGCCTGCTGCACCAATGCAGACTCCATTGTCTGCAGGGTCAACATCTGATATGACACCAACCAGTGCCAAGACGAACACGTCTCGTCGCAAGTTGACGGACGAGGAACGTCGTCAAATGTGCATTGAGGCCGAGCAGAACCCGACCATGAAGCAGACCCAGATTGGAGGTACGTAACCGTCCTCGACTTCAGTGTTGGTTCTGACCCTGTCTAGCAAAGTTCAACGTGGAGAGGAGGTACGCTCGATACATTGTGCTGGTGGATTGTAACCCGAGGACTAATATTGTGTAGCACGGTGTCGAAGATTCTGCGACAGCGGGACAAGTACATGAATCCGCAGTCCAAAGAGGAGAGTGTCAGCCCGATTAAAAAGAACAAGGCCAAACTACCGGACTTTGAGAAGACCCTGACCAACTGGGTCAAAAATCAGCAGAAGAAGGGCCTCCCCATCACGGATGAAGATCTTCGAAAGCAGGCGCAGGTCTTCTCATTCAGCAGAAGTGACCAAGCGGTGGTCTCTAGTGCCGACTGGCTGGAGAAGTTCAAACGCAAGAATCGGCTCAACGCGCTCAAGGCCGATCCGGATTCGACCTTTGGGGATTCCAGCTCGACTTCACTGTCACACACGCCTCATGACGGCTCACCCGCATCGTCCAATGGTCTTGTATCTCCTCCGATGTCAGCAATTGAGGAGCAGATCGAAGAACCCTCGGTCAAGATCGAGACCAACAACGAGTTCTTCGACTTTGGGGATGGGAAATCAACGTACACACCTCAACCCAGGCTTGATCGTGAGGCGACATCAGAGTCCGTCATTTCCCCAATGTCCGTGGAAATGGCACGCAGTGACCAAGATGGAATCGACATGCTCGAAGAGGCGGATGATACAATGGGGTCATCTAACCGTCAGAGAAGCCAGACATACTCTCACGCACCGAATTCAGGCACAGCCTCGCGCCCATCCTCATCGGGTCACAACCGACCCTCACTCCCTGTACGCTCTCTGACAGCAGCCACAGTGACAGTGACGACAGCAGAGCAACGACCTACCGCCATTGACCCTCGGCAGATGATGAAACGTCACAAGAGCGTGCCCGACATCCACTACCCTGAACAGGTGCGCTTTTCAGCCATGCATCCTCCACCATTGCCACGATCCGCCGATGCTTCACCCATAAGCAATCCGGTCACACCAGCGGAAGAGGATATCATTCGAGCGTTGCACGCCACCAAAACATTGCTGGAACAGAACCCAGCTGTAGCAGAGCCGGACGATTACCTGGCGATTGGCAAACTGATACAGAAGATAAAAGCCCTCCGACCAACAGCACCGATACTGCCAGGAGGGATGCACCCAATCGATATCATGGATAGTCCTCGCATCTCCAAAAAGAGGACCATTCTCGGCATCTCGACCTAAAGGGCAACACGACTTACCAGAGCCACGATGGCTCAGAGACATGCTTGACTTTTGTTGTTGTTGTTTTTCATTGAGACAATCTTTTTTTTTTTTTTTTTTTTGAAGTATCTGGCGCAGCCACCGTTGCATTTAGCATGCAAGAGAAGACGACACTCATTTGTTTATGAACAGCGTCCAGCATTGGAGAAACGGGAAAATTACATACATGGAAGAGAATGACGAACATCTACCACCAGCGGACGCGCAGGGACAAAGCATCGATCCAGGAGTCGCATTTGTTTTCACAACCTTGGTCACGAGAAACAGCTTCGGACTTCCAGAGAGCAAGATGCCTCTACGAATTTCTCTCGGTTCGGGACGCGGCACCCGCCTACGATCGCAGACGACCACTCACATAGACACTAGCCCCGAGGCGAAATCTCCTTATTCATTGTATGAAGGCATGTATATGTGGGAAGAATGGGGAGCGTGCAAGCGAGCGATCAAGCGACTGGATCACATTTATTGGAAGAGACTGGGTTTTCTTTTTTTTCTTTTTCCTATTTCACTTCTGGACTTTCTCTTTCTGGCCACTTCGAATGGCTTTTATCCAATCGTGGATCATGTACCGCAGTACATGCAGAGTCTTTTGACTCTTTTTCTTTTTCTTTTCTCCTTCCCTGTATTGACATTGGGATCTGGGCCGGGGGTGCACGAGGGGGATGATCGGGGGGGAGAGGTGGTGAAGGAAAGGTCGATACGGCGACCTTGGGACCATGAGTGTATAACTTTCTCTTCGCTATTCCCTCTGCAGGGGAATGCTTTGAACCAGTAACTACGTTTTCCTGTGAACGCAGCAAACGTGTAAACAGCAGACATGACAGATGTTGGTATGTGATGTTTGGTGTATCTTGTATGGTTGCATACCGCAGCATGTATGTCTGATTGCGGAGCAGCGTCAGCGACTGTATGCGCGAAATTGTTTCAGGCCAGGGTCAAATACAGCGGCAGCGCAAGCTTTGGGAGGCTTTTTTTTCTGAGATAGCAATGAACAACCCACGCAAACGTCCAAAAGAACCATGCAGAAGCCCCGTTGTTCCCCGGTGCACATGTCAAGGCGAGACATGCGCAGATCCCGCCGATCACAGATGATGCTCTGAGTTTAGACCGGCAGCGGGCACCACAGCCGAGAAGGTCGAGATGGTCGAAGTGAGGCTGGTGGGTTCAAGGTTGACGAGGCTTGCGAGGCTGTCCGGGGGAGGGAAAAATCCATCACAGGGATGCGTGTCGACTTGTTTGGACAAATGCCCTGCCGATCGCAGTTACAAAGTCACTGACCTCAAGCCACGGGGTTGTCGACAGTGTGCTTCATCTCACCAACTCATCTGCACGGTATCTATTTTCCTTGTCAACTCCTGTTCCAGTCACCAACGACGGCTTCGCCTGCCGGTTTCAAGAACCGATGAAGGCCACCATTATCTGGTCTTGCTCCTCCTCCTCATCTTCCTTCGTGCCGGTCTTGTCCCATGGCCAGTCGAACGCCAACAACTCACACATTTCGGACATGGCTGCACAAGGAAAGATCTGACACTGGGGGGGTTGACGAACAAAGCAATGAGCTACTATCAAAAGATATGTGCCTCTGCGTCGGAGGGAGGGCAGGTTTTCATGACAAGACAGAACTGCGCCTTCACCGTTCAGGTCGCGGGACTATCAACGCCAATGGCGTGAGCTGACTACCACCTACGGTCGTATTCCTCGCTCCGGCTGTACCTCTTTCTCTCTCTCTGTCTCCCTCTGTCCCCTCTTCTCTCGCGCAGGACACTCCCTTCTCTGTTGCTGGCTTCTTGGGATTCTTGTCCACCGACCCTTGCCTCTTGGTGACCAGGTTGTTGTCTTCTCCCCCACGCCTCGTCTCATTACACTGCCGTCAATCATTTTCCCTCTCGCCATCACGTTGAGCGAATTGTCGCAGGCGAGGCAGTCTCTGGACCAGGCAACAGAGCGTCAGTTCTGCAGCGCCCGGGTACATCCTGTCGAACTTGGGAAAAAAGGACAGGGAAAAGAGTGGTCGCATGGGGACGCAGGCAAAGCCGTGGATCCTTTCGCAAAAAGGGGGGTCCAACTCCGTCTGTAACAGCACAGCCCAAACAAAAACGAGGGATGCCACAGTACTTTGTACCAATATCACAGCATCCTGCTGTGCTTGCTTCATGAATGGTCCCTTTTCCAGCCACTCAGGGTACTTTTAAATGACGGTGAGCTCGGATGATTTCCAACAATGGAACTGCTGAAAAGAAAAAAAGGGTCTCTCCGAGTCTGTCTAATCAGAAGAAAGTGTACGTCTCTCTCTCTCCATGTTCAAAAATCACATCTATTGGAGGAACTTGGTTCCCGCTTACTAGAACGACCCAGAAAGGAACTGCCTCCGGGGCCGGCAACGAATTGAAGCTTCCTATAACGAAATCTCGCAATCGCAATGATGCTCACTGCCTACCCAAGCCAGGTGGAGATCTGGGGGCCCAAAAAAGAGTTGGGAGCGGCACGGCACTAATATTATACAATTCGACCTCCCAATTGAAGGGCAGAGCAGAGCAGCCAAAAATGGCCCGAAAAAGAAAGTCGAAACTCTGTACAGTGAGACATTGCCAATGGGAGGCTCAAAACATGTACCTCCGTTTTTACAGCTCGCAACGGCAAAGACGGAAAGTCAGCCTTCAGAGAAGAGCAACTCGATCACTAACCAGAGACTACACTCGCCCGGCTGCTGAGCACTGGGCAGCTGCCAGCCCATGAGTGGCTTTTCGGATCGACATGAACGCCGCGCACTTTTCTGCCTCGCCTCGAGCTGTAAGAGGACAATTTTGGAGCATCCTCCAGGCTGATCAGCGTAAGAAAAGGGGTGGGATAATGACCCCAAGAAGCGAATTGTCTCACACGTTGGGCGATGGACTTAGTCCTTGATACCATGTAAAGTCTTTGTGCTTTTCTGCCCTTCTTTTCAAATTATGTTCTATTAGCCCTTGTCTTTCTCGCGAGAAAGAGCATCTTTCCCTGCTGGAAAGAGGTTTGACCGGAATGAGGAATCTGTACTTGTTGTCTTTTATGGCTGAGCCTTCAGGACCCAGGCAAACAGACGGGACCATCTCACTAAGTCGAGAAGCTGGGGAGTATTTGAAGGACCAATACCTCGAAACCGCTGAATTCTTCCTTGACAGATTCCTCAAAACGCCCGTGTCCCACTCCCTAAGAAAAGGCCCCCTCATAGGCCATCATTCGACCCTGATTCTCCAAAGGATTCCTGAGGTGGAAAGGAGGGAAACAAATATACGAATGGTAGCGGCCTGGTACCTGCACGCCGCATACTGAGACGGCGTTCGAAGAGAGAAGAGAAAGGGAGAAAATGTACAAAACAAACCATATCAAGACTCAAAAAGGCTGGTCGGTCGGTCGTTTCTGAAAGCAAAACATGGCCTCTTTTAAAACCCCCCAATTTCTTTCGATCCTGGAATCTTCTGACGGGGTCGTGGAAATATGTCGTGGTTGGAAGATGGAAGATGGAAGTTGGAGCTGAATGCTGCTGTCTATACCGAAGGACCCTTTCCCCTCCCTCTGCCTGCCTATCTGAGCTGTTTTGTCCCTCGATAGTTAAAACTATGTATATTATATATTACCTGAAGACTCGGCTTTTTCTATACAGCCAAGTATTTTGTATTTCTGTGTTTTCTCTCCCCCCCTTTTTTTTACCATGTCTGTCTGGGGAGTTGGCATTCTCAACGTCCTGGATATCCTCCTTTTGACCATATTTCAATGACAACATCCCCTTTTTCTCCCTCTTTTGGGTGAATATTTCTCGAGAAAGTGAAGATCTGACGAGACAAAAGCGAGGAAAGGTAGGAGAACAGAACACATATCAGGAGAGAACCCAAAAAGGGGAACTCTACCAGTCAGGCTGAGAAAGAAAAAGACAATTGAAAACCACAAAGATTACAGACTGGCAAGGCTCGCAGACAAAAGAGAAATCGTCTTCACCAGACCATAAAGAAAAAGGCATCGCTGGGCAAGGAAGAGAACATGCGATCGCTCGCTCACTCGCTCACTGGCTGTAACAACGAAATAACAAGACAAAAACTCCCTGCTGTATGTATGGTGGCGAACAGACCAGTCTCCCTTTCCCTCGTTGCTCTTGTGATGGGATTTTTCTGTTCCTCTTTGTGATCATGGGCGTTCTTGTTGTCTAATTCTTCATCTTATTACTCTGCCACCATTTCCCCCCTGTCCTTCGTTGAATCTGCTTTATCGTAGTAGTTGTTTCTCCTTGAAAGCAAGGGCGACCGAAGAGAATGGGACTCGACTCGTGTGTGGACGTGAAGAGGCAGAGGAGGAGAAGGACTACTAGTAGGAGCAGTAGCAGCAGTAGAGCAAAGGGGACGTCTGTTAGTTCGAGGAGCCTGGCTCATGTCGAGAGTTTGTGTCGCCTGGCATAGAAAAGGCATGTATAAGTAGGATTAGGGATCTTGCCCATGTGCCACGGTGTGGATGCCTTGTTTCTTCTGTAGAGGTGAGGAGATAGGGCGAGAGGAAAGGGGACAAGGAGAGAGATAGAGACGAAAGACAAAGCAGTGCCATCGTCCTCTGCAGAAACTTCTCTTCCAGCTCTTAGACTCTTCTTTTCCCTTTCCATTGCACCATTCTATGGTCGTCTTCCAGTGCCGGTTGACTTTAAAGGTCTTGAGATACCAGAGACGAGGCATCGAAGGAGGGGAGGGCTGAATTGACGGTCTAGTAGAGGATTTGTTCAGCTGATTGAGCATAGTGGAACGATGGAGGACTTGAAACTACCGACTGATGTGCTCGCAGCACAAGTAGCATGTAGTAATCTGCTGAGGAGCTCGACTAATCTCACATTGCCCGCAGACAGGTGGTCCTGGACGTCAGAAGTTTCGACCATGGGGGGTGGCCTTTTTGCTGAATAGATTCGGCTCGGGACGACAGCGTGCAAAGACACACTGTCTGTGTCCCTCCTTGGGACCTGGGATGCTGGAATCGTGCAAATGTGAGGTAAAAAAAAGCAGAGAACAAGAGTGCCGATGGATGGGGAGGGGGGAGGATCCCTGGACATGGCCTGCGTCCCAGAGTCGAGTACGAGGTAAGGCCAGCTCGTTTACTTCTACAATCTCGACTCAGTCAACACTAGGAAAGGAGGTTAAAGTGTCTTCAGTCCAGAGGCAAGAACAACAGTAAGATTTGCAAGTCCTCATACCTGTACACATTGCGCAGATTCGAGACATTTCCTCTCGTCCAGGAACTGAACCTCCCCTATCCTCCCTGTGTTCCAACCTCAGGCCCCATTAGTCCACCCCGCCACCTTGTCAACCTCTCCCGACGCAACTAAATCCACTCCTCTCTCGGCCAGAAGCTCAGACGGCGTCTTGTCCATCATTTCTGGCACAAGCTTGAGCAGAACGTGCTCCAAAATAGCATAGATGAGGTACTTGTTCATCTCTGCATCGTCTACCCATCTCAACAGCCTCTCCTCAACCTCTATCCGCATTTCCATCTCCTCATCTTCAGCAGTCCCGGCGTTTTGAACGGCAAAGAATGTCTTGCCCACAGGTTTAGGGATCAGAGAAAGAATGTCAGTGGCGGCCTTTGACCGGATCTTGCGTGCTTCTTCCACGGATGGAGGAGGCGGGGGAGGAGGACCAAGAGTGTTGTTGGGAAATATAAGGGTTCGAATCTGCAGCAACAGAGGTGGTATTAGTGCTGGCGAGAAGAGGCGCGTGGATATTGTGTGATACAGGAACCTGTCCAGATAATATCAAGTTGTCAGTAAAACCCGCTCATCCAAGGTTATCAGTTTCAACTGGAAAAGCAGACAAAGGGCAACATTGCGAGATGTAAAGCAGTCCAAAATGCGCTTCCGCTCATTCAATCAGTTTTGTCGAAGGACTGTTCTCGTCGCCAGTTCAACCTTGTGGCTCGGTGTTGGCTCAACCGTCCTGTTGCACTTTCGCGCTTCACTGAGGCGAGATTTGCGGGAGATCGACACTGTGGATCTCGCGAACCCAAAGCACCACTATCACCACCTCACTGCTGCCCAAGATGCCTCATCGCTGCCCATCACCGCCCATCACTTGATACCCAAACACTTCCAAGATGATCCAAAGTGACCCACGTGACCCAGACCTCGACGTCGTTACGCGACCCTGGGTAGCACAAGGCGGAAGGACTCAGGAGGTGCACCGGCGTGCGCCGAAAACCGCGCCTAGAGCCCGTGGATCGCATGTTGCGAGCATGTGTTCACAGGACTGGCGTTGGCGTGCTTGTTTGCGCACATCAAGCGCCAAAATACACGATGATCCAGGCCCACGGAGAGCATGGTAACTGCCTTGGGGCGAAGGAGCTCAATGCGTCCAGGCGCAGTTCTAGCTCACGGCAAGTCGCAAAAAACGGCTTGAAGCGGTGCGCAACCTTGTGAGCAGAGACTAGTGTTTCTGCAGGCAGTTTGCAACAGCTTCGAATGACCAGGAAGCTAGGATCAAGGGTCGTCAAGTCTTCCAGCCCAAATGATGCAGGACTCAGGGTGTGGTACGAAGTTTCCACCGTCCAAAGCTGACCAGCGAGTGATTTCGAGTCTCGAAGCGCCACTTGCAAAGAAAATTAGGTTGGGGTGGAGTTGCTGGGTGCAGAATATTGCAAAAAGGATGCCCAAGCCGAAGTCGGTAAGTCTAAGGGTCTCTGGGAACTGGAAACCGCAGACTAGTTTCCCGTCGAGGTTCGCTCGAGGGGGTCACACAAGAACGCATGCGAACCGTTGACGATTGCAGGCAGGCCCGACAAAATCGAGTGACAGATAACGGATATCCGTGGGAGGATGGGCTGACAAGTCTGACCTGTAGGGTTCTAACACTGCTGTGACGTAAAAATAATATGGTTTCGAAGGGACCATTATCGCAGTGCCTGATGAATTCGATTGTCCCTCGGCACGTGCCGAAGGAAGCCGACGACTACCGTTGAAGAAAGTGGGAGGCCGGACTTTATCGAACAGGCATTCCATTGTGGAATGGAAAAGCGCCACGGGGAGGCCAATCGGGGGCGCAAAAAGGCACCCTTTTCCAAAATGCCAGAGGCGGGAGGCGTTTCATTGGTAAGCGACTTCAAAAATGGCTCTTTCTGGTGAGATTTTGCCTTGGTCAAGTCGAGAACATCTGCTTCGGGGGCCCGTCTGCTGATTCAGAGTCGAGACTAGCGATTTAAGAAGTTGCATCGGTAGCAATTGGTCGAGATTGGGGGTTCGTCTGGCTGGCAGCATAATTGCAGATATCCGGAAGGGCAAGTCGACGGAGACATGAGGGAAGAAGGGCGGGGCCGATCCATGTCGCCCTCCCTGTTTGAAAATTGGCACCATTTTGCCAGGGAAGCGAAGAAAACCCAAGAATTCTGGGGACGCAATTGGCTGCATCAACTGATCTTTTTGCTTTTTTCGGCCGTCTGCCCCGAGGTGGTCGCTTGGTGAAGATCGTCACGATGGTCGATCGTTCAAGATAGCTTCGTCGACATGGCGTTGACGTACAGTTGGTCGACGAGCACGAGCGGGCGAACTCCACCAGCAAAGAAAGAGAGCAGCCAGGGGGCATGACCACCAGACCAACATCACCAGGGAGAAACAAACCAGTTGAATCCGGTAAGGCGTGATAGAGCAACTCCGTCCAATGAGAGCGCGTAATGAGCAGTATGACAGTACACACAGTACACAAGCGTGACCGTCATTACTTGTAACAGCGGGGGATTGGCTGGATCCCGGTATCATCTCGCGATCCACACCCTCCTGATTCAAACAGGTGGATGACGAACAAGAGGATTGTATCCCACACACGCTGATACCAAGGACCCATTGGCTCGCAATCACTCTGATCCCATCATATGACCAGACCTTCATGCAATCGTCCCAAGATAAAAAAAGAACCAGAGGGTTACCGAAACTCCCGTGGTGAGACAGATAGGGCAATAGGGAAGAATGGATTCAAAAAGACGGGCGAGGCTGAGGGTCTGTGGCAGAACAAGGAGAGTTGTGGCACTTACTTGTCCAGCGTGGAGTTGGCAGCACCATACCTGCCCGGCCCTGTGGTTAGCATGTGCTGCCAGAACCCCAATGAGCCAGCCAGCCAAGGCATGCGGATGGTCAAATCGAGCATGCTAGAGATGCAGGAGAAGACTCTGTAATTGATCACAGCGCGGGGGGGTCGATGATCGGGCCCCGATACTTGCCGTGTCGACGGGGTGGACAACTGCTCCTTGGATGGCGTCGTTGTGGAGCCGGCAAGAAGATGCTGCTGATGGCGGGTTCTCCGGGGTAGATGGTGGGCAAAAGCCAGGCCGACAAGGATGAACCGCGTCAACTGGTATGCCATGAAGGCGTACTGAAGCAGTCTCCAAAACCACGCACTAACAGATGATTGGTGCCGGTCCGACGAATAACTCTCTTGAGTGGCAGTATTGGAACTTAATAGGCCAAACTGCTCCAGCCGGCTTTGGCGGCCGTCTGGCTGAAGGATTTCCTGATCATCGACGGCATTGGCACGAGACGCAAGTGTAGGAGGCGATGTCACTATCTCCACCACTTTTGAGACAGTCCCGTGCAGGAACCACGGCTCACAAACTTTCTGCGCCACTGCCTGTCCGAGGATGAGTTCGGAGATGATATCGCTCACCAATGTTCTGAGACAAGCATTTGCCAGGTCTTCGGTTGGTAGGAGAACCGCCAGTGCCCCTTGAACGAGCAGCTGTCGGTAGGCAGACTCGTAGGCTTGTTGTTGCTCCGGTGGGAGAGAAGGGTCGAGGGCTGGATGTGGGTTCAGGGCGTGATAGATTCGTCGGGGATTTTCACCGTATTGCAGAGCAGCTTGAGCAGTAGTGGCCGTCCTGTAGGCTGACAGAGGGATATGGTCAATATCGGAACGACGTAACTTGACTTTTCATGCCCTTCTACTCACCAGCAATGTGTCTCTCAACCAACACAGGTAACTCGTCCAGTATCAACTCCGTGACATCCACCTGCCGTATCCTCTGTTCCAGTGCGCGACTGCAATGGGCAATAATCTGAATGACCTCATCCACGAATGTGCGGTCTGGCGTGATCTTGGAGTACCACGAGTTGACAAAGTCCTTGATGATTATGGCAACGACTGCATACAGCTGCACATCTACCTCGTTGGAACTGGTAAGTGGCGGTAAGACCCCTTCAATTGGCGCCGGTGACACCTTCCGATCTGCTCCATGGCTCCCATCTGCCACCAAAGTCCGTCTGATCAGGGATAGGGTCGCTCTCTCCGAGGTAGGGTCCGGGGCCGCAGCATCCTGTCGGGCTCTGGCAATGGGTTGAGGTCGAGAGGCAGGTCGAGGGCCCGGGGAGGCCTTGCTGTCAGCCGCAACGGTCAGCTGAGAAGACTGAGCGGTGGAGGAGGCCTTGGTCGCTATGGTCGGGAAGGGCAGTCTTGGAGGAGAGGAACTTGAGGTGGTCATGTCAGAACCATGGTGTGGAGGAGCATTGCGCAGGTCTTTGTAGTCCACTGCTCAGTGATGTTCCCGCGGGCCACGCTGGCAATGCAGGGGCCGGTCGAGGTTCGCTCACCGGTTTAGATGACTGAAGGGGTGTCGAGAGGATGTGTCAACGTATGATTGGCGGATGGAGAATTGTCAAGGCTGCGAACGAGAAGGAGGTGGACGAGTAAAAGTGGGAGACAGATTGGAGGGACGGATGCGGGAAAATATCGGGAGACCTTCCTCTTTCGGCCCTATATCAATTAGGGTGCCAGCGAGGTCAAATGTGCGCCGCAGATCCAGTCAAGGCAATCACTTTTAGACAATTGGTCTCTTGTCCCACGTCTTAGGATGGGTGAGGAGATGGCTTTTCCCTACAGAGTGCCCGTCTGGCTCGACTGTGATCCCGGTAGGTTAACATCAACCCCTCAGCCAAACCCCCTTTGACTCATGGCCTCGCACAGGTCATGACGTGAGTTATCTTGATGCATCCCTCTTCATGTGAAATGCCTCGACACTCATGGGTTCTGCTGCTCATCAGGATGCCTGTGCTCTCCTCCTTGCGGCTTATCACCCATCCCTCAACCTTCTTGGGGTTAGCACCGTGCATGGCAATGCGCCTCTATCAAAATGTACATACAATGCCCTGAGTGTACTCGAAGCGATTGGGAAACCTGAAGTCCACGTTTTCCCGGGCTCGCCGCATCCATTCTGCCGTATCGTTCATACCGCTCCTGATATCCATGGCGCAAGCGGGTTGGGAGGGACAGATCTGCTCCCCGAGCCCACCCGTTCCGCATTGACACACTGCAATGCCATCCTGGAAATGCGCAGCGCACTGCTGTCTCAACCCAGAGGCACGCCGTATCTTGTTGCAACCGGTCCATTGACGAACGTCGCTCTGCTCTTCGCCCTTTTCCCAGACGTTGCGGAACACATTGCGGGCTTGTCCATAATGGGGGGAGCGATCGGCTCAGATTTCACTCACGTCTCGGTATGTCCCTCTTTCCTTGGGCCGCTGTTGTCAACGACTGAGAATCCCTTATATCGCACACCGCCTGAGGCTTGTGAAACCGGGCCTGTTTGGCCTAGACGCCTCTTCGGAAACAGCGCTGACATCAGGATCTACACCAAAGATGGGCCAACCTTACCAAGATAACAACGGCACCACCCACGCTAGAAGTGGAAACCGCACACCTTTTGCGGAGTTCAACATTTGGGCCGACCCGGAATCTGCACGGTCAGTCTTTCAAAACCCCCTCTTGAAAGCAAAGACGACTCTTATTCCCCTGGATGTGACCCATCAAGCCTACGCAACGCCTGAAGTACAGCATATACTGTTGAATGGGATAAATGGCCCGACCAGGCTGAGGACAATGTTTAACGAACTGCTCATGTTCTTTGCACATAAATATGCTGAGGTGTTTGGGCTCAACGAGGGACCCCCTCTACACGATCCGCTCGCAGTGGCGGTGTTGTTGGGCAACTATCCAGATGCCGGAGTCAGAATCAACTTTGATGACAATGGTGGCGAGAGATGGGATGTCGATGTTGTCTTGGAAGGAGAGCAGATTGGAAGGACAGTGATAACAAAGGCAATGAATGGGCAAGGTGTGAAAATTCCGAGGACACTAGATATAACCAAGTTTTGGCAGACGTTAGAGGAATGTTTGGCTAGCGCCGACAAGGTCACAGGGTACAGGAAATGAATGGTCCATAGATGATTCTCGGAGGTTGCCCGGAATCAGATAGATGAGATACACAGCACTTTGAAGACGAATAGAGAAAACTGGGTTGAGAAGCTTGTGAAAGACGTTTCCATTCTTCGAAAATCTGGTCACTGATTTGTGTTTCGGTGATAGTTTTTCAGCAATGCACAGAGGGTGGCAACATCAGGCAGCCCCCACAGCATAACCATGCCTGTTGGGGCCAATGGAGGTATTCGACTTCAGCGGCTTGAACCAGGTATGCAAGTAAATAGGAACTGCGATCTCTGCACCTGTTGTCGATTTGGTAGCACTCCTGACCACCTTCGCCTTTGTGGCCCTAGGACGCTGAGAGTTGGCAGAGCTTCCCGCCTTTGCCAGCCCGCTAGATTCTGGCCCAGGGAGAGAACGATCCTTGCAGGAAGGGCTTCATTGGCCTGGCGGTCCTGCCGCTTGCAGGTTGATTTCAAAGGCAACATCATGTAGGAGGTTTGGATTATCTCTCGGTAAGGCGATACTGCTCAAGTTCTGTTGGGGAAGCAGTCGGCACAAGTTGAGACAATATGTCTTGAGATCACAAGTCTGAAAAGTCACAACAAAAGTGGTTGCACTTTTCGCCAGAGCGGAAACTGGGCTCTCCGTGTTCGTCTTAGGGTAGTGGCAGTCGTCCATTTAATCCCCTAGCCGAAGCCAGTGTTATGCGGAAAGGTGTTGACTGCCTTTCTCTACCAACAAAGATTGTAATTTGTCGTAGAATCTTTGCAATCCAAAACTCATCGGATCTGGTGGTCAGGCAGGCCACAGCTCCAGTCACCATCGCCAGTGTTCTTCGTCCAGTTACCCAGGGTATCCGTGACACATTCCTTAGCAATTCGGTGAGGGATTCTCAGTGCTGACAATTTAGCCTCTTGATATGTTGTTGCGGAAAGCGTCTTCTGAATCGTTGTGTTACAGCCAGTGCTCTCCTGATCAAGCTCGCCGCTTGGGTCATCGACGATATCAAGATTTTCGAGGCGTCCGCTGAGCCTTGCGCCAACGGCCCATAGCTCCTTTCTGGAGACAATACTGGCTTTGGTCGACCTCTCGTCCCATTGCCTGTAACCCTGCTTCACGCCATTGATGAGGACTTCAACCACATCCCGTCTGTTGATGTCAGCCGCATGTACCCATATGGCCGAAACGTTGCTCGTTTTGCATTTCGCCTGTGTCGAGTCGACAGAACTTTGCGGTCGTCTTTCAAAGGCGAAGCGGCCGAAGTCCACAGGTAAAGGTGCAACTGTGAAGAAGTTCCCAGCTTCGCGAAGCGGCGACAAGCGTCCTCCTGACCCAAATGCGCGCTGATATCCTCCGGGGTGGTATTTGTCGGCGTACACCACAACAGTTTTCACGTAGGCATTTGGAGTCTTCTCTACAAAAAGGTCAGCTGGGAAGGACAAGAGACTAGTGAATTGTTTGATAGCTATTTTGTCTGTGCAGGATTTGGAACCACTTTGCTCGGCGTCTCCCCGAGCGGGTTTTCGACGGACATGACCTAGCAGAGAGAAATAGCCTCGACCTTGCAGCAAAGTGGAAATATTGCTGTCAACTGGCCAAGGCTTCGTGTTGCCGGAAGGAAGAGAGTCCATCAAAATCTCCATCGATGCATCACCGCACGGCGCCTCGGTGGAAAAGAAGTGGATGGTCACATGGTCTTTTAATCTGAATGGGCAACCCGAAGCTTTTCCAGTCTCGTCTCGGTGGGAGATGTCCAGGTACGGCGACGTATAAGTTGGATCACGGAGAATTGCTTCGACTTCAGAAAGTATCCATCGATTGAATCCGCGCAATGCCAGGATCTCCGCATGCGAATCATGGACCACGAGACCCTTACATCTGGGTAAGGCCGAAGCCGGCAGGCACTTGGTACCTGTCGCCAGTGAGACACAGGCTAGAGGCGCATCGTGTCCTTCTTGTGCCAGAATCACTGCCGACATTGGTGTCCATTCGGTAGTGCCATCTGGTAAGGTGCGTGGTTTACATTTTGGAGGCAGGGAGTTGAAGGTTAATAGCGCGAGCTGTGCCACGCGTTCAGCTAGGGATGCCATAGGAGAGTGGTCGTTGGGTGATGAAGGTAGAAGTTGCTTCCCTGGAGTCGCGATCTCTCCATGGCTGTCTGGCCGTAGACAAGGAATTATAAGGAGGGTAACGTCGAGAACGTCTACTGCGAAGTAAGGGAAAGGAAGATTCAGCCCTGCAGCCCTGCAGCCCAAAGGCTGAAGAAGTCGTCACGTGGGTAACCACATCACGTGGACCTGTTTGGAAACCTGGTTGTGCACTCCATCATCGTCGTGTTCCGGGGGGCTGATGTCGTCGCCCTCATCGCCATTTTGCTTCTCATCAGGAATTCGATCAGTGGTGGCTTCAAGGTCACAGTCACCTCGTATTTCTTTATTCAGAGCTCAATTTTGATTCGGTGGTATTGGAAGTCGATCTTGTCATTGCGTCAGGAAAACCATCCACAGTCGACAGCGCCATTTTACTCCATCAACGCCCATCTCTTGGTTGCCCCGTCGTCGCCTCTTAAATATTCTCCCACACACTTCGTCCCGGTTTGTGGATGGCCATCTTCGTTCCCAAACGAGTCAACAACTGGCACCGGGCAATCGCCGCCAGCGCCGAGCTTCAACCTGGAACCCACTGTCAAAGGTTATTTTAGCCTATTCCATTCGACTCGCAACCCTCGATCCCTTCGTATCTACCCCGAAGGCTCGACCTCTTCGCCTACACGAAACGCGTGCCCTCAGTCTCATCCCCAGCATTACTCTCGTCCTCGACCAGTCATTGTCCTCCTATTCCTCCTTATCCTCTCTCCAGATTCTCACCAGCTCAGCAACGCCCTAAATGACTCTCGTTCTTGGGGGATAAGAAACCACTGAAACAGAGAAACATTCACCTGGGTGGCAAAGCAGCTATTCTATCATCGTCGTCACCATAATTACCAGATTTTCAGGTTCTAGACCTTCCTCTGCCATCTGGACAATACGCTCCCCCGATCTACACAGTACAGATTCAGCAGTTAAGGGTTCCCCTTTGCAATTTAAAAGAAACAAAAGATACTACCCCGGTTCGCATTTCCCCCCATCTTGGGGAGACGCCACAGGCCAATCCACAATTCGACCGCTTACCCGCTTCTCACTTTCCCACATTTTCTCACCCGGTCGGACCTCGTGCCATCAAACTACCTACTTCTCACTGTCTTACGAACAACCCCCTTCTTCAGCCTTGTCCTTTTGAGTTACATACCATGTGTTCATGCAACATAGCCTGAGATTCGTCTATTGTCGCCTGGAAACTCTGATATTCCATCTGTCTGGTCCCACATTGTTTTGGAACCTCGGCTCCTTTCGCTTCCGCCAGGCTGACAATGTGGTACTCTTGAAGCTTTTATCTCGACTCGAGGACATGCCGTCGGCTAGCATATATTTCTTCTCCACCTCCTCTACATTATGACAAGCTCATCAAAGCAATCTGGCCAGCCTCGAGGGGAAAAACGGAGTAGTTTGCTCTCGAGTTCAGGCTATATCATGTCCGATGCACGCAACCCCCGCATCGACAATCTCCCTCAACCTCCGTCCAACACATCTGCCTTCGACACCTCATCTCCTGGTTCCATCGATTTCAATTTTCCGTTTGGCGGTAGTCCTCATGGTAGCAGCAACAGTGGTATTGATGCCCCGCCAGATATCCGTTTGAGCCACGGTCAAGGCTTTCCGGGTCGGGGCTCAATAGTGGGTTATTCCTCAAGCAAAATTCCTAGCCCTCAACATCGCGCCTCTCTCGCAAGTATTGACTCCGCCTTCGATCATGATCTTTTTGGCGCTGCTGCTCTGAGTCAGTGGGCTCCCGGGACTGGCAAGCAGCCGCCGAGTAATGCAGACTCATCACCGAGAAAAGCACCGAGTACCAATGAACAAGAAAACAAAAAGGTGCAAGGCGACGAGGAAAAGCCGCCAGCATGGAGCGAGCTCAAGACAAAAGCAGGCAAAGAGAGGAAGCGTCTCCCTCTTGCTTGTATTGCTTGCCGTCGAAAGAAGATTCGATGTTCCGGTGAGAAGCCGGCTTGCAAGCATTGTCTACGTGCTCGCATACCTTGCGTCTATAAAGTTACCACCAGAAAAGCTGCACCTCGAACGGATTATATGGCCATGCTGGACAAGCGCCTGAAAAGAATGGAAGACCGGGTAATCCGAGTCATTCCAAAGGACGAACTTCCCGATTTGGGCGCCACTGGCCGTGGCTCGGTTCGGCCACCTCTGCCGGGCCAGGCACTGAAAAAGGAGAAAGACCAACCCAAGAAACGCTCCGCCGATGAAGCGTTTACACAAGAGCTCAATGACTGGAGAAGTTCTCGGGAGAAAACTACTTTGCTCGATCCGACGGCTGGCCTCCGTAAACAGCGCGACGGCGAGAACAAGCTCTTTATTGAGGGCTCCGAGTCTCTCCCACCGCAACACATCCAAGAACATCTTGCGGAAGTTTTTTTCGACTGTGTTTATGGCCAATCTTACCTCCTTTTGCACAAGCCCAGCTTCATGCGCAAACTAAAGGCTGGCACGATCCCACCAGTTCTCATCTTGGCTGTATGTGCGATCTCTGCACGTTTCTCAACACACCCGCAAGTTTCCACTGAGCCGGCGTTTCTCCGTGGTGAGCAATGGGCAACCCCCGCTAGGCGCATTGTAGAGAAGCGTCACTACGAGCCCAATATCACCATTCTCACAGCCATGCTTATGTTGGGTCTACACTACTTTGGAACCTGTGAGGGTGGGCTGTCGTGGTCGTTTGGTGGCCAAGCAATGCGAATGGGCTATGCTTTACAATTGCATCGTGAACTCGACCACGATCCCCTGGGTCGAAACCAGATTGCCAACTCAAATGAGAACAAGAAAGGGCCCAAACCACCTGAGCTCTCTTTTACAGATCGAGAGATTCGCCGTCGAACAATGTGGGCCTGTTACCTGATGGACACCTTCAACTCGTCCGGCACCGAGCGCCCTTCCTTTCTCAATGAAGACTATTACCAAATTCAGTTGCCGATCAAAGAATCGCATTTCCAGATGGAGGTACCTGGGTCTACGGAAGATTTATATGGAAACGTGCCAATGTCCAACAGTAAATCGTCGCTCGACAACAATACAGGGGATGTCACTGCAGAGGCGAAAGCAAATATGGGAGTCGCTGCTTACATTGTTCGTGCCGTCGTCCTCTGGAAACGCATCGTCAAATATCTCAATCTAGGAGGCAAGGAAAAGGATCCACACCCGATATGGGATCCTTTATCCCAATTTGCAACCCTACAACGCCAGATATCCCAATTAAAGGCCTCGCTTCCGGACGACATAACCTACACACCGGAAAACTTTGCCATCCATATCTCTGAACGTTTGGCGAATCAGTATCTCTTTCTCCATATCGTCCTGGCGCAAACTTCCCTCTTTCTGCACCGCTTTGCTATACCCACACAACCCAGCCACAGACCCCATCACCATTACTACACCCAACAAGGTATGCCTAAAGCCTTCCTCACAGCATCCGCCAATATCGTCCTCGAATCCGCCTCGCTCATCAGCAAACTCATCGCCGATTCGACAGGTCATACCTTGACCGTTCCTTTCGCGGGGTATTGTGCCTATGCTGCCGCAACAGTACATGTCTGGGGAATATTTTCCAAGAACTCTGCTCTCGAGCAGCAGAGCAAGGAGAATTTACGGCACAACTATAAGTACCTAACCAGGATGAAGCGGTATTGGGGGATGTTTCATTATATGGCTGAGTCGGTTAAGGATATCTATCGCGCCTTTGCTGACGCCACACTTCGCCACGCCCATGGTCGACCGGGATCAAATGGAATACCCGGTTCTGGGATGAGCTTCTTGCGTAGACATTCCTCTGCCACAGGAGGCAGCGGAACGCAGACGCCCATGGAATTGGATGCCACCGCGGCGCTAACGTCCAATACCAACCCACCCTCTCGCTCTGAAACTCCAGCAGATCCGAACAGACCGAAATCAGAACAAGACAAATCCAAAACCATGTTTCAATATGGCGATTGGTTTGACAAGTACCCTCACGGGGTCTCCGAAAGTGAGTGGGAGAAGTCCCATTTGGAGTACCGCACCGAACACGCCCAGGGCGGCGCCGAGGCAGTCATGTCTCAGAGAAGTGACCTACAGTCAGTGGAAGAGTTTTTTGCGAGTCTGAGTCCGCCTTCCAAGGCTGAGGATGGAAGCGGTGGCTTGGCCGGACGGGGAAAGAAGATTCCGAGAAGGAGAGGGAAAAGTGTCGCTGAGAACAAGAAGGCGGAAAAAGAAGAGAAGGGAGAAAGGGGCAAGAGCAACAACACGTCGAGTTCTGCTGCTGGAGCTGGCCAGTCGAATACTGGGCAAGACCTGCAAAGACGCCAATCCATGTCCCAACAATCAGTCGGACAGAATCTTCCAACCACCAGCGCTGATCTCAGCTTGAACCTCAACGTCAATCAACCATTTGATCTCGCGAGCTTCGATATAACATCTCCGTCACTGTACCAGAACGCCCAATTCCCAGACCCTTACACCTATGGTGGTTCACCAACATCGCCGCACTACAACAACCTCCATTTCATATCCACCTTGCCGGCTATCGATAGACAAATGGTGTTTGGCGCTGCATACGCTGGGATGGACCCTACAGGTACCAGCAACACTGGCGGCAACCCAACCACTTCCTCGGCCCTCAATAATCTCAACTCGCCCTCTGTAGGGAACTATGCGAGCACAAATCCCTGGGATCAACTCGATTTGACAACGTATGGATTTAATGATCCTTTCGCGGGTGGAGGGACTAATGGGCTGGACACAAGCTCCTCGGCGTGGCTGTTACCGTTTAATATCGAACCGCCGAACTTTGGAGGCAGTGGCATGGAGGAATTCGGCAGCACCGCGTTGGACGGGATGGATTTGAGCGATCTCGGTCAAGGAGGAGATGACGTTGGTGGACAGTTTGGTGGAGAGCAAAATTCGGGCAATACGTGAATCCCGGTGCCTTTTGGACCACGAAGCACTCCAGGAGAAGACTGGCCCAATGGTGATGATATGGAGTGATCAAACCGGGACTTTTCTTCCGTGAATGTGGTACCAAAAAGTTCGATTTGCCTAATGTGAGGGTTCGTCTTTACGTAGCCAGGGAGCCTCGGCAGTAAATGTTCGCCGCGAGTCTCAGATGCGTTGGTTTGATGTCGTGGGAGGGGCAATTGACACGATTCGCTTCGTGGCATTGCTCAATCATCCCACTCTTCGTCGAGTTGGTCAATCAATCTATTTTCGTCATCCGGAGTGCGGCCTCGTCCATGTCGTTCATCAGTGCCCACACGATGGTAGCCACGTCGTCCAGCGAATAATTGAGTGACACCTCCCGGCATCCTCTGCGTACAAGAGGAAAACAGGATAACAAACATATCCTATATGTGTAATCGAGAAATTTGAGGTTAGCCGTGGGTCGTCAAGCCAGGTCCGACTTCCAATCGTAATCTCTTCCAGCTGACGCATAGCGCTTCCGGCGTGGGCCCCCGGAACAGGGCCTCTGTAGATATCACAGTGTGTAAGGGAACATGACCCGACCCAATATGAACAAGGAGATACCAATGAAGGGGAAACACATACCGAAAAGAAACCAAAGATACCCGCCCACATGGCATAGTTGGGTAGCTGCCTCCAGCCTCTTTGATGCAGAACATTACGCTGATAAACGATACCTCCAATGAGATAGACCAGCAGGGCAATACCGGCAATCAGGCCAAAGACTGCGCCGGGACCGAGTGTACCCTTTTCTCCGGACTGTGTAGTGCCGCCACACGCCCAGCGGGATCGAACTTCGAATACATAGGTGCAGTGGTCTGGAGAGCCCAGAAAGGAGACAGCAGGGCGAGTCGAGAGCAGTGGGGATGTATCGCAGATGAAGGACAGAAGGGTGGATTTGCGCCGGTTGTTGACTTTGTCTGCGACGAGGCCCTCGATGGGAGTGCCGTCCTCATCAAGGTCGGGACAGGGCGAGCCCATGGTGTAGTTGAGGATTAGCTTCTTGCCGCGGAAGAGAAGCTGATCGTTCTGTTGGCCAATGCTGTAGATATCACCGCGGGTGTCTTTGTAGAAGGCCGAGATATTTTTCAGTTTGCTGGTAGGTATTCCCTCGACATCTTCCAACTGCTCAACGACCGGCCCGCAGAAATTCATGGTGAAATTTGCGGGATAGTCATATCCTTTTGAATGGTACGATTCATTGCTGGCGACTTGGTATTTCGTGCCCTCGAGGGTCAATTGTAGAGGGTGGAGATCGAAGAATGAGCCGGTCGAAGCGGAGTGAATGGTACATGGTTTCGGTGGGGGTTTCGCGTCGGTCGCGGCGAGACTTGAGGGTAATGATGACAACAGGACGAGGAAGAACGATGTTGAGAGGTACATGGCTGGTTGCTGGTACTGGAAATTTGGGAGTGAGGTCTGTCAAGAAGCTGCTCCTACAGTATCCTTGCGAGATGGAAAAAAAAACCGGTGAGCTGAAAGTGGTCCAAACGTCGGCGCAATACAAGCGAATGCTGCGCCCGGTGGTAAAACAGTGTAGGCTGATTGTGTGTTGAAAGGAAGAGTGAATGAGAGAAAGGGAGAATTTCACAAAGGCAGCCTACGTGTACAAGTTTCACAATAAAATGCTTGTAGGAGTACAGCGACGACAGGCGGATGAGGGTGCGGTGTTAAGGGAGAGTGGCAGAATAGCACCAGTAATAGGGGAGCAAGGGAGCAAGGGAGTAACAGTCGCAGGAAATGCGTGTGCCTGCGGATCCTCGGGGTTGGTCAAAGATGCCACGGATAAGGCCTCAGGCAGGTTGGCAGACAATGGCACACAATTATTTCGAGATTTCACCACATGCTTCCAATCTGTGGTTTACTACTGGGATTACCGAGTACTGTACACGCTGTACCCATCAGAAAATCCTCCGAGACGAACTCGTATCTGAAGCTTTTGGTCTTGAGTTGGCGCGACACGCAACACGCAACATGCAACGCGATGCATCCACATCCACAACTGCGCCCTGAATGGTGATGATGATCTCATTCGGCTGCTTGACATGCCGGTGGCTTGACTTTTTCTTTGGCTTCGCTCTCGTTTGCATTGACTTTCCATAACTGCGGACATAGAAATGACACTCGTTTGCCTTCATTTGTCGCTATCTCACTCTCTTTGAACCTCCCGTCTGTGTTTCTACACTCTCCTTTGTCGACTCCATTGGTACTCGCTTCGTAAAAGCTACCCGATAATTGGCAAAATGACAGTGAAACCAAGGACAGAGAAAGCTTCAGAGGAGAAGCATGGCTATGAATTTGGTGGCCCGTAAGTCGATACACTCCGTTGCCCAATATCTCCATACTGATGCCGCAGCAGACTGGGAGCTGCTGGCATAGTGTTCGGCTTGCCCATCCTCGTCTATACCACCATCTTCCTGTGCAACGACGTCTCAGGCTGCCCTGCGCCTGCACTGCTGGACCCACGAACTTTAACCCTGGAGAAATTGAAGAAACAGACGCCATGGCCGGAGGATGGACTCTTGGGCCTGTTCGATCTGAACGTCATTCTGTGGGTGCTGGCATACTATGCTCTGAGTCTAGCTCTGCAATTGTTTCTGCCCGGTCAAGAGGTCGATGGTACAACATTGGGCACGGGAGGAAGACATCACTACAAATTCAACTCCTTCAACTCGGCGGTCCTCACCCTTGCTGGTCTCGCCGTGGGCACCGCTCTTCAAGGAACCGACTTTGCAGTCTGGAACTTCATCTGGGACAATCTCCCCCAAGTGGTTACCGCGAATCTCCTCATTTCCTATGCCCAGGCAATCTATGTCTATCTGGCTTCCTTCAGCATTCCTCACCCAGGTAAACCAAATCCGGAGAATAGGGAGCTTGCCAAGGGAGGCCATACTGGGAACATGCTATACGACTTCTTCATTGGGCGTGAGCTGAATCCACGTGTCGCCGTTCCGCGTTGGATCCCCATCGCAGGTGGTCAAGTGATCGATATCAAGGTCTTCAACGAGCTGAGACCAGGTCTGCTAGGATGGATCATTCTCGACCTCGCGTTCATTGTGCATCAGTACAAGGTTCATGGTTTTGTTAGTGACTCTATCATTCTGGTCACTCTTTTCCAATCGCTCTATGTCCTCGATTCACTCTACATGGAATCGGCAATTCTCACCACCATGGATGTGACCACCGATGGTTTCGGGTTCATGCTCGCTTTCGGTGACCTGGCTTGGGTTCCATTCATTTACAGCCTACAAGCACGGTATCTGGCGGTATATCCCTTGACCCTGGGCATCAGCGGCATCGCTGGCGTGCTGGGCGTGCAAGGCTTAGGATACTACATCTTCCGAGGGGCAAACAACGAGAAGAACCGATTCCGAACAAATCCCAACGATCCTCGAGTATCACACCTTGAAACCATAACCACCGAGTCTGGCTCCAAACTTCTCGTCTCTGGTTGGTGGGGTTACGCGCGACATATCAACTATCTTGGTGACTGGACGATGTCCTGGAGCTACTCTCTCCCTACTGGGATTGCAGGATACATCATCAACAAGTACCAAAATCCTGTTACCGGTCATGTAACTAGAGAGGTGGTGCAAGGAGATGCTCGTGGTTGGGGGATGATTTTTACCTATTTCTATGTCTTGTATTTTGCTGTGCTGCTCGTGCATAGAGAAATGAGGGATGAAGAGAAGTGCCGGAGGAAGTATGGAAAAGACTGGGAGCGCTACTGCAAGCGCGTCAGATGGAGGATCATTCCAGGCATCTACTAGAGAGACGCGAAGACGGACTCAATCTTGCAAAACGTCTTTCATTCAGTCTTCAGTCCGCTCACGCTCACCACTCACCAACTACCTTTTTTCGTTTATCCCTGTCAGCTTCATCTTCTCCAGCAATCTCGGCTGCGGACAACTCCAGTTGCACCCGAGATGAGCATCCATACATATGGACAAGCGACATCCTGTTGGAGAAGCATGTTCTTGGCCCCTACTGATCGATACAGCCCAGCAGAACAAATGCCTAAGACAAGGCTGAGACACTTCCCCGACTTACAGCTGGCTTGGTCTCAGACCCAGAGGTAGCCAGCTTGCCGAGCTTGCCCCAACTTGCCTCTCGTATCCTAGGGTCAGGAGGGCCTTCAACCTTGCATGTCTTGCCACTCTTGGAAACGACAGTCGCCTATTGTGTCTAGCCACGAGGAAAGCCGGATGCATGGCTTACCTCGACCCTCGACGACGCACTACCTTTCTGCCAATACGGCCACACCTACCCAGTTCGCTTCCAGGCTTCGATTACCCAACATAGAGGCTAGATCATGGTAGATTCTAGGCCTTTGATGTTAGCCCTGAGCAAAGCAATCTAACCGTGAACAGACAATGCATTGGTCCAATGAGGAAAGGTGGGGTAGCGATATTCCCCAGATTCTGACAATTGGATGCCCCCGGAATCTAGACGAGGCTCTCTCCACTCTGCCCCGATGGTGGATTTGATAGTTGATATACGGGCCCGTCCGGCAGCTTGATCTGATGTGCAAAGACCGTTGAACGGCTTCTCTCGATTAAGCGTGAGCACTACCACTCTCAAACCAGTGCAAGGGAAACAAACAAAATGGGTCTGGGTGTGCTTGAGGCGAACACCACTGCGCACGTTCCAGGAACAGTCCTCCTCGACCAGCGAGCTGCCCACTCAGAACAGCAGACGGGTCGTTTGAAGCATGGAACAGGGAAGAATGCGCACATTGTTCTCGCGCCGCAGCCATCTGAGGATCCGAACGACCCGCTGAACTGGTCATCCTTCAAGAAGCATATTGTGTTGACCATCATCTTCTTTGGGGTGATTATACACGGTGTAGTGCCGGTGAGTGGCAGCCACGAACCCAGGCCTACAGCATTGAATGACAAACTGCACAGGGACCAATTCTCAATGCTGGCATCATTCAAATCTCACTAGACCTCAAGCGCTCCCCGACTGATGTCGCCAAACTCTCGGGATATTCTCTTCTCGCGACGGGGGCCATGGGGCCTTTTGCCTCTGCCTTGGGTCGAAAGTACGGTAAACGACCCATGTACGTCTTCTCATCCTTGATCGGCACCATTGGAATCATCGTCTCGGAAGTGGCCTCGGGTTACAATACGCTCCTTTCTGGCCGGGTCCTCCAAGGAATAGGCATCGCCGCATACGAGTCCCTTGCTGTGGCGTCCATCGGGGACATGTTCTTTGTCCACGAGAGAGGTCCCAGAGTTGCCGTTATCATTTTCCTGTTGGCGGCGATTTCTAACGGAATTTCCATCATTGCTGGTGTCATCACGGATCACCTTGGCTGGCATTACAACTTCCACATCTACATACCTTTTGCGGCAATCCAAACCATCTTTGTCATTCTTTACTGTCCCGAGACAATGTATCGGCGCAAGGCCATATACGAAATCGACACGGCCGGCTCTGAGGAAAACCTGGAAAAGCTGGCAAGTGTGGAATCGCGAGCTGCACATCACTTGGAGGACCCTACCAAAGCACCCGCCACAGGTACAAATACTGATCTGGAAAAGACAACGACAAACACTACACAGACATCTGTGGATTCCATACCGCCGCCAAAGTCGTTCGTCCAGCAACTCGCTCTCTACAACGGCACGTTTGTGGACGATTCCGTCATCAAGATGGCCATTGCCTCTGTCGCGATACTTCTCAACCTGGGAGCTCTGTACCAGGTCTTGATGACAGGAGTCATTATTGCTTGGTATGTGGCCGTGGCAATTCTCTCGGGTGTCATCTTCGCCTCGCCCCCTTACCTGATGTCCTCGGCCTCTGTTGGGTACATGTCGGCAGGACCCTTCATTGGCGGGCTACTGGGTGCCATCTTCTCATTTGTGGTCTCGGAGCCGCTGGTCAAGACCATGTCACGCCGCAACAACGGCGTCTATGAGCCGGAATTTGCGCTCCTCCCCGTGAGTCTGGGCGGTGTATGCTCTGTGGCTGGGCTCGTGGGATGGGCCTATGCGGTCAAGAACTTTGAGAACATTTACCTGATCTGCTTCATTTGGGGAGTGATTCTGTTTGGGATGACCATAATTGCCAGTTTCGCGACGCAGTGGGCACTCGACGCGTACCGCCAGAACAGCACCGAGCTGTTTATCATGAACATGTGAGTTCTTCCGCGTCTCAGTGATCGAGCTACTTTCTATACCGTTACCTTGCAAGAGATGGGCTGACTGATCAACGAGCAGGGTTTTCAAAAACTTTTTCTTCTACGGGTAAGTCGCGGACTCGTCTCTCCGCTATTTCTCCGCTAGTGATTGACCGGCGAATTGACTTGGGGACTAGGCTGACAAACTATGTCATTGACTGGTACATGGAACACGGGGCGGTCGAGATGGCCGGGACCATGGCCGGGATTACTGGATTCCTGTGCCTCCTCGGGGTGCCCATGTACGTGTATGGCAAGAAGTATCGATATTTCTGGCACAAGCACAATGCGCTCAAGTGGTTGCACTTGGAGACGGACCATGCCGGGGCAGAAGGGGGAATGTGAGGGAGTGACGCTCGTGGTCCAGCGCCAGCCACAGCCAGATTGATGTGTTTTTGTCATACAGCCTGTGCATATCTTGTCTTGTTGAGAGGTTGACGGGACAGAAGACAGACGAGCAGCATGGCACAATCGAGAACATTCGTTCGAATAATCTTCTCTCCCTCCCTCTCACTCGCTCCTTTTCCTCCCCTCTGAGTCATCCCCTACGGCTCATTCTCGTACCCATCGACAAACCCAATCGTGAGCACATTCTTGCCCTCCTTCACCAGCCTCTCTCTCCCATACCCGACCACCCGCTCGATATCCTGCCTGCAGTCCCAGTACATGCCTCTGAGTTCCTTGGCCCCGCCCGACGCCAGGTAGGCGCAGGTGGCGCCACACAGTTCCGGGGGATCTTTGAACAGGGCGTGGAACTTTGTCCGCTGCTGCTCGAGCGACGGGTATTTCTCGAGGATCTCGGCGCGAAGTTCGGCTGTTTTTCGCCCCCCTTGTAAGTCTGTGTGTGGGCAGGGAGGAAACGAACAAAGGACGGTGACGGTAGGAGGTAGATAGATATACGGGTAAGAAGGATAACTAGGGAGGGGGAGGGAGAGGGAGAGTCTCCTTACTTTTCGCCATGGCCGTGAGCACCCCTCCCGGATGCAGCGCGTACATCTGGATCGCGTCGCCGAGGCCGTCCAACTCGATCTCTTCCTGCAGCGTCGACGTCGCGCGGGCGACGGCCGCCTTGGACGACGTGTAGCCCGTGGAAAAGGGCATGTCGACCGTCGCGGCGCGCGACGAGATGTTGATTATCACCCCGGATCGCCGCTCGCGGAATTGCGCAAGCAGAGCCCACGTGGTGACCATGGCCTGCTCATGTCAGTCTTGCTTTCCGGCCAAGTAATATTGGGCGGAGTAAGTTGATTTTGGTGTGCGTAGAGAGAAACAGAGAGGCAGGGACAGAGGGCTGGGGACTCGTACGCTTTTGAAATTTATCTCGATGGTCCGCCAGAACTCCTCAAAGCTCTCCATCCACTGCGGTTTTCCGGGCGACACTCCCGCGTTGTTGACTAGGATGCTGTGCACGGGCGGGAATTCACCCCAAGGTCAGTCTCACTCCCACTCACTTGGCCATCCGTTTTCCCACCAGGACAACCCATACTATCACAATGAGGCTCATCATGTCCCATTCTCAAAAGGACTCTCCCCTTCAAGATGCTGGCAGAAGGAGGGAGGTAGTTGGGTTGAAACTCACTCAATCGGGCCCAAGTCCTCCTCTACTCGCTTCAACGCGGCCCTCAACGCCTCCACGTCCGTGACATCGACCACATACGTCTTGGCCGTGACGCCGTACTTCTCACAGAGGGCCTTGGTCTCTGTCAGTTCGTCCTGGAGGCGGTCGACGATCGCGACGTTGGCCCCCGAGAGGGCCAGTTTCTGCGATATCGCCCGTCCGATGCCTACCACCCACACTGGTAGTTAGCCGAGTACAGCGGTCCGGTCTCCTGGTTTTCTGGGAGTGAAGACAAAGGAGAAGCAGCAGCCTCGGTGTGTACGTGTCTATGTCTCGCATACCTCTGGCACCGCCCGTGACGAGGGCCACTTTGCCCTGGTTCAGGCCTTTGAGCTTGTCGTCGGTGATGGGTCCGTAAGGGGCGTGGTTCAAGGGGATGGACGAGACGCCATATTTGCTGGGATCCATGGCTTTGTCCCGAAGTTTTGGTGATGAATTCGGTGTTTTACCAGCGGTTACCAGAGAATGCCAGAGAAAATACTATGTCTCTCGATTCAGCACGGGGTTAGGATCTCCCCTTCGGTTTCTGGGCGGGCTGTGTGTTTGTTTGTATCGCCAGGCGAGGTATCCAGTTGGCTGACTAGCTAGCAAGTTTTCATCCCGAAAGGAAAAAGGGTCCTGCACCATCTGTGCTGCCTGCGCTGCCTGTGCCGCCGTCTCCATCTGGCCAATGAGCATGGACCCCACATGTGTAAAACACACACACACACACAGAGAGAGAGAGAGACAATTACTTGTCACTCAAGAGGGAAGCAAGCGTTAGCCCCTCACCCTCCCTCGTGCCCCCTCGAAGATCGTCTCGCGTTGCGGGATAGAAGAAACACCGGCGGCGGCGTCTCCATGCATGACATCCCCCCCCCCCCTTTTCTCCAACCCCCCTAGAAATAGTCTAGCGCAGCCTTGCCCAACTGGTCCATGTGGAGAGAGCCTGAGAACCTTCTGAGCCTCATGTCCCAGACAACAGAACTGCATGCTGCACGCCGCTTTAACTTGCCGGGCTGTTTATCTTGTGCGAAGGATATGATGACTCTGTGTGGGATGGTGTGGTCCCCCGTTATATTACAGAGTTGAACGACCCACATGACCGGTGTTTCTTTTCAGGGCTCAGTATCTTTTCTGGGGTGACGGGGCAGAAACAGACGAAGACCCCATGATAGCCACCACCCATTGCCTGAGACGCTCTCCCCTATCTTCTTCCCTCGCAAATTGAGCCAGCGGACGGTGAAGACGTGTTCTGTAGTCAAAAGAGGAAGCTTCATCGTTAATGACAAACCCGGTGCTCTGCTCAAAAGGATCGAGGGCGAGGGGAGAGGGTAGGTTATATTTTCTAGGGCGTTGGGCTTTGAATATCCCCAAGTATCTAAAAGCGTGCATGTATTGTAATATCAGCCCCTCTACATGCCCGGCCCGGCCGAGCACTGTCAGAGAGGAAGTTGGCTACTCCCTCACCCCATCAGTGCCTTGTCACAACTACCTACTCCGTAATCTATCTCCCCTATCAATTTGTCCTCTATAATCGCGCCCGGAAATTCGACCTCTCCCCGATTTCCCTCTCCACCCACTTCTTGAGCACGTCCCTCATGATCTTCTGGTTCAGATTCCTGGGGATCTCGTCCACAAACCGCACCCCTCCCCGCAACCGCTTGTAGTTGCTCACCCGCGCGTTGAGAAAGTCGTGGATCTCCTTCTCCAAGAGACCGTCGGCCTTCCCCCGCTCGGACCGCACGACGTACGCTCGAGGGAGATCGTTGCCCTGGCCGTCGGGCACGCCAATCACCCCGACGTCGGAGATTCCGGGCAACTGTCCCAGGATGGACTCGACTTCGGTGGGACTCACCTGGAAGGATTTGTACTTGAGGAGTTCCTTGGAGCGGCCGACGATGAAGAGCTTGCCGTCGCGGGCGAAGTGGGCAATGTCCCCCGTGCGGAACCAGCCGTCGCTCGTGTATGCCGCGCGCGTGGCTTCGGGGTTGTCGAAGTACTCCTTGATGATGTTTGGTCCTGGAACGCGGTCAGCGGAGAAATACGCGATAATAAAAGGGGGGTTATGGGGTACAGACCTCTGACACACAACTCCCCCCGTTGGTTGTAGCCCAGCTTTTCCCCATCAGGGCCGAGGATGACAGCTTGGATATTGGGCAACAATCTCCCCGAGCTCCCTTCCCTGTCGACCTCGGTGGCATTGGGCTGCGACGCCGCGGTGACCGTCTCCGTCATACCCCAATTGACCCGCAACACGACGCCATCGGGCAACATGTCGTGGACCTTCAACTGCAGGGGCAACGGCAGGGGTGACGCGCCACTCATGGCGAATCTGATGGACGCCAGATCTTCCCTCGAGCACTCCTGCACGACCCTGTTCCAGATGGCGGGGACGATGAAACAGGCCGACAACCGAAACGTCTTGATGCTGGCCATCAGCGTGGGAAAGTCGTACTTGGGGAACATGTACACCTGCATCCCGCACTGCAGGGCCATCATGTTCTGGACGAAGATGCCCACCGCGACGGCGTTCTGCATCACCCCCGGCATGCGGAGGTAGACGCCCTCGGAGATGGCTTTCTGGGCGAAGTGGTCGAAGTGGAAGGCCATCTGGCAGAGGTTGGCCACGATGTTGGAGTGCGTGATGACCACGCCTGTGAGGTTTTCTCACAAGATTAGTTTTGGTTGATATACACCTATTATTATTTTGGAAAGGGGGGGGGGGGGCTTCCTTGCCTTTCGGACTGCCTGTCGTGCCGCTGGAATAGACGAGACAAGCCGTCGCCCGTTCTAGGACAGCAGGGTCGGTGACCCTCTCCCATTCCAGTCTTCTGTCACTGACGACGGACTTTCCGCTTGCGTCCACGATGTCCAACTCGGCCGACACCATCATCACGAGGCGAATGCCCTCGACTCCGGACTGGGCTATGGCGTCCTCGGCGGCGTGCCTCGTCTGCGCCGAACAAATCAGGATCTTGGGTCTGCTCAGCCGTATCTGCCTCGCCAGCTCAAACGCCGTTGCCGTCACGGAACACGTCGCGTGGACGCCGCCCGCGCAGATCACCCCGAGGTTATTGGGCGCGACCATGACTTGGTTCTCGACGTACGAGAGGACAATGTCCCTGCCGGCGCCGTGTCTGCCGATGCCGAGATCGCGATAGCCCTGGCCGATGCGGTGTGTGAGGTCGCGGGCTCTGGCGAGGGTGACGTGGTTGTCTGGGTTGGACGGGTTGATCCATATCGGGTCGTCGTCCTTGAAGGGTGTGCGGGAGAAGAGAAACGTGAGCAGGTCGACAGAGGGGATGTCGACGTGGTACTGTGACTCGAAGATCATGTTGTAGGTTGTATATTGTGTGAGTCTACCGTTGGTATCTGAGGGAGAGGCCTCTTGATGAAGACCAACATCCGAGTTTTCCCTCGGAGTAATCCAGCCACAGGCACAGACAACAGGTAGAGGGAGATGTACCACCGCAAACTGTACTGGGTCCACTACCAAGGTCGTCGTTCATTGGACTTTGACCATGGAGAGTCACCCCGTCCTGACCCTCCTACTCAACTCAACAGGTACCTAGGGTAGGATCTACACCGCGTAGTGTGTAGAGTGTACTGTGTAGTATATTGGCAACACCCCCGAACCTCCAAGGCCTCCACAACAATCGACAATCGACAATCGGGGAAATGTGGAGTAAGTAGCAAGTGGGGCCAAAAGGGGGGCATACAGTACATACGAGGGTACATGGCCAGCCTTGTCGTCGGTAGATGAACTGTAGATCAAATCCAAGATACGTCGTGACCTTAAACTTGGGAAGAAAGGGTCTGCAGGAGCCAGGTATCGGTCAAAGGGGGCTTCCAGAACCGGATGTGAAGGTTTCAACAGCGACCGAGAGAAACCATGTCATCAGACGCCCCGTTGAAAGGACTGAGAGGTGAGTGATGGATTCAATATCCTGTTCTTTTCTTTCCGTTTGAGCAAAATGTGTGTGTGTGTGTGTGTGTGTGTGTGTGAGGGAGAGAGAGAGAGACAAACACATATACTCATACTAATCAAACCCCCGTCTTGTACATCTAGTCCTCGAACTGGGCGGACTCGCTCCAAGCCCCTTTGCTGGGTTCGTCACGACTCACCCATATCCCCATATGATGTGATCGTCACAGCATCCACCAAGCCCCCTCCCTGACTTTGTCATACAAAACAGGCTCGTCCTCGCCGACTACGGCGCCGACGTCGTCCGCGTCGACCGACCATTCGACGTCTTCGGCCCGCCGCGCGACACGCTGTGCCGACGCAAGCGCTCCGTCGTGGTCGACTTGAAGCGGGAGCCGTCGCGGCGCGCGTTCCTCGAGCTGGTCAAGGCCGCCGACGTGCTCATCGACCCGTACCGACCCGGGGTCACGGCGCGACTGGGTCTGGGCCCGGACACGCTGCGCGCGCTGAACCCGCGCCTCGTCTACGCGCACCTGTACGGCTTCCGGCCCGGGGGACTGTACGAACACCGCGCGGGTCACGATGTCAATTACCTCGCCGTGTCGGGGGTGTTGTCGCTCCTGGGCCGCAAGGACGAGAACCCCTCCCCGCCGGCGAACATCCTGGGCGACTTCGCGGGCGGCGGGCTCGTGTGCGTCGTGGGCATCCTGCTCGCGCTGCTGCATCGACGGGTCTCCGGCCGGGGCCAGCTCGTCGCGGCAAACATGGTCGACGGGACCGCGTACCTCGCCACGTTCATGCGCCAACAGCAGGGCCACCGGAACTGCGACCGGCCCCGCGGCGAGAACCTCCTCGACGGCGCCGCCCCTTTCTACGAGGTCTACAGGACCAGGGACGACCGGTTCGTCGCCGTCGGGGCCCAAGAGCCTCAGTTCTACGCGAATCTCCTGGCAGGACTGGGACTTGATAGTGAGGTGTTGCCGGAGGAGCAGTGGGACAGGGCAGCGTGGCCGCGCACCAAGGAGCTGTTCACTCGCATCTTCAGACAGAAGACGCGGGACGAGTGGAGAGCGATATTTGACCGTGTCGACGCCTGCGTGACGCCCGTGCTCGACATGGATGAGACAGAGGGGCCGTTCCACCCGCTCGTCGAGTTGTCCGACTCTCCCAGTCTCGATGTCCAGGTGCAGGAATCATATCCCGAGTTGAAGAAGGGACATGGGAGCGAAGACGTCCTGCACGAGTGGATTCCCCAGGTCAAAGCGTCAATTCATATAGATCCCTCTTCCAAGATTCTCTGTATGAGACGAGACACGAAATTATAGTCCTCCTGACAGGATATCTGACGGATTACCTAACGACATCTAAGGCAGGGATGTAAAATATCGCTGGTCCGTGGAAATACCCTTCTCCCCAGCAAGACGCAACAAAAAGACATTTCTTATCTCGGAAACGACTCCCTCCCTCGCTCCCAAACAACCAGTTCATCTCAAGTCTTCTAAGGGACATTCTCCAACCTCAAATGGGTTTCGCCATCATAGGCAGAAAGCTCCTTCCTTGCCCTTGCTGCCTCTGCACGGATGATGTCCTCAATGGCCTTTGAGCGGGGGATGAAGCGCGCCTTGAAGGGTTCCGGGCGCATGTTCTCACTCTTGGTATATGCAAAGATGTCCAATTTGACTTCGTTCCCCTGAGCGAAGGAACGTGTAAGCCCAAAAAATCGAGAGACGAACATAAGGGGATGGATCTTAGGTCACTTACATTCTCGTCCAGGCCGGGCTTAAAGTCAAAGGCCCAGAGAAGCGTCGCAATCGTCAAGAACAGTCCCTGCTCGGCCAGGGGTTGCCCGCTGCACTGGCGGCGACCCCATCCGAAAGCATTGTGGCCCTGCTTGTTGGGATAAGGCCGCTCAAGACCACCGAGGTAGCGCTCGGGCCGGAACTGGTCAGGCTCAGGAAACTCTCTTGGGTTTCGATGGATGGCCCACACATTGCCCGTGATAGGGGTGCCTTTGGGTATCAAGTAGCCCCGATATTCGTCGTCCTGAATCGGCGCGTGTGGGATCCCGCCGAGAATGGTAACGGTGCGCCACCTCAGTGTCTCGTTGACGACGGCTTTGACATACGGCAGAGACGCCTCGTCACTCCAGTCCGGGACTCGATCCTGGCCAACCACTTGGTCTAGTTCTTCTTGAGCCTTCTTCAGCTTGTCCGGAAAGACGCACATTGCCAGGATGAAGGAGAGTATAGTTCCGCTGGTGGTGTCGACTCCCCCCCCGATGAGATTAGACGTGAGACTCGAGATCTCCTCGTCGGCAATATTACTTTGTTCTTGCTCCCTGAAGAGACGTTTGGCGAAGTTGTCCTCAGGGGCTTGAGCGCCTTCTTTTGACAGTGCCACAAAGTATCTACGGAACAAAATCAGCCTGCACCTACCAAGACGGATTGTGTCGAGCGAAATTACCTTTGCAAATGTTTTGCCATGGTGTTCATCTGGCTCGGCATGGGGTAGATCCACTGAAGCCATTTGGGCAGTTTGGCCAGAAAGGGTATCGATTCAACAATGAAAAGACCTGGAATAATGAGGTCGACCCCCTCCATGGCTTTGAGCGCCATTTGAGCAACATAGTCGTTGATCTTGTCAATCCGCCGACCCCAGCCAATGATGGAGACGATCGAGCACGAGTACCTCTCAACGCTCATGACAAAGTCATCTGGTTTGTCCAGCAGATCGCGGACCAGAAGCTTGGATTCGTTGGCCTGAATCGTGCGCCAGGGTCTGATGGCTTGTGAGCCCGTTGCTGAATGCTGCTCGAGAATAAGCTAAATGGTTCGGGAGCGGGGGGGAGACTATTTCGGACATACCATGAGGCGACGATGAAGGCGCCACTTGTCTCCATAAACAAGGCACACCTGGTTACTCTCTGTCGCATTAATCATGTCACCCATAGCGATCATATGAGGTCGAGAAGAGTAAATGTTTGCTCGCTTGTCCAGCAGATCGGATATTGTCCAGATGTCGTTGCACATAATGGTCGGTCTGTGGCCCTGCCAGATGGTGATCATGGGGTCCTTGTAGTATTCCGACCATTTCTCGAAGTCGATCCATGGCTTGACTTTGGGAATCTGGTAGAAGTTGCCAACAAGCGGCCAGGGGAATGGTCCAGGAGGAAGCTTTCGACGCAGTCGAAGGACTCGGATGTAGTCAACAAGGATGAATATCACTGGCAAAGAGATAACCCCAATGACCGCTGCCCGCAGGAGGCTGTAGGAGTCAAAGGTAAGCTCCATGGTGACCCGAGCACCCGACAAGTTCTGGAGAACACCCATTTTGCTTCTCGGGCTTCAATAACAGACCAGAAACAGCCTTGGGCAATTCTGCAACAGAAATAGTCCACATCTCCTCCCTGTCTTTGAAATATCCAGCAGCATAAGTAGAAAGCACGGCCACAGGGTCCCACATGATTGATGTTCTGCCTGAATGATCCACTTCGAGACAACAAAAAGACGCCCACATGAAGTCGCCGACAGCTGAATCTTCATGTGGAGAAGGGATTCTTAATCCGTGCCACGCCTCCAGGCTTTGTTCGTGGAGAGGCTTGCGGGGTTGACGAAGCGTCTGCTGCGTCTCCAATGCTTCAGCAAGGCCAAGCCGAGATCCGGGGTATTTTCCGTGCTTTTCGTACCTTGTACCTCTCGGCAGTTGAGGGCACTGCGCAGCTGAGCTTGGTGGTCGTCTGGCGTTTGCAGTCATCTTGTCCTGATAAATGGCGGTCAAAAGCTGGGGGACTCTCCAACAACCTTGAGCATCGTTTGTGTGTTACAACCAGCATTTCGGCCATCAAGCGAGCTGCAAAGGAGCCGCCCACCGAACCATGGCCCAACTGGAAGGCTTCCTCACGGGTTACGCTACCACCCTCTCACCCACAATCCTGATTGGGAGTTTGGTGGGGATTTGGGTTGTGTACAATGTGTTTGTCGCTCTTCGAGACCCCCTGCGGTCGTTGCCTGGACCCTTTTTGGCCAGGTTCACAAGGCTGTGGTACCTGAGAGAGGTAGACTTCTTCCAAACTCAGAGATGATCGTCGTTAATCCTGACATCTCCAGGTGGCTCGAGGTCGATTCGAGAGGACGAATATTGCGCTCCATAGGAAATATGGTACTGAAAACTTGCACCTTGCCGAATTCTTCGCTGGTGACTTTCAAGCTGATCTTGCCAGGACCGATTGTGCGAATTGCACCAAACTATTATTCCATCGACGACGCAGACGCCATCAAGACCATTTACGGCCATGGGACAAACTTCGTCAAGGGGAAATGGTACATCGCCTCCAACAACCCCAAGAACAAGCATCCAGATCTCTTCACCGACCTCAACCCGGAGTCCCATGCCATCAACAGGCGCAATGTCGCGTCGTTGTATTCGATGACGAGCTTAGTCGCTATGGAGCCGAATGCTGTTGCGTGTGCCGAAATCCTGGTCCAGAAATTCACCGAGTTCGCAAAGAGTCACACCGCTATCAACCTGCAAGTCTGGCTGCAATACTGTATGTACCGTCGAATCTGTGCTGGAGCTGCAACACGAAATATCTTGACAAAGGTCTCCTGGCTAACGACACATCAGACGCTTTCGATACCATAGCACTCATCACGGTAGGTCATGCCTCTGAGATTCGCTCCACCTGGTGTTTTGAGGTTAACATATCTCCAGCTCAGCAAACGTTTTGGCTTCTTGGACACTGGCAAAGACAATGGCAATATGATCGCTGCCCTGCACTCCTACCTCCTTTACCTCTCAAAAGTCGGCGTGTACCATGAATGGCACTATTTCCTCAACTGGATCTTGTCAATGTTGCCCAATGGTGGGATGCATTATATGGGTACGTTCATGCAGCAGCAGGTTCTGGAAGGCCAAAGACAAAAGTCCAAGAGCATTCTGGAGAAAGACGAGTCGAAGCCAACGGACGACTTCTTGACAAAGCTGCTGAGGATGCACGCCTTGCAGCCGGATAAGTTTCCCATGGAATCAGTGTTTTCGACCTGTGGGACGAATATTGGTGCCGGGTCAGATACCACGTCGGTCAGCCTGGCGGGTATTTTGTACCACTTGATGAAGGCCCCTGCCGTGTTGGAGAAGGTGAGACGAAAATGAAGTCTTGTAGAGCACAACAACCCCTGCAGTTCCATCATTTCATACGTGCGGAAGACCAAGCGTGCTAACCGCGTGTGTAGCTGCGACAAGAACTCGATCAGGCGATCGAAGAGCGCGGGTCAAACGACATACTTTCCTTCCAAGAAGCACAGAAACTGCCCTATCTCCAGGCCGTCATCAAAGAAGGTCTTCGCTGCCATCCAGCAACTGGCCTCCCCATGGTCCGCGTAGTTCCCAAGGGTGGCGCCAAAATTGCTGGGAAGTATTTCCCCGAGAAGGTGAGACTCCAGCTTCCCTCCCAGTACCCAGGGGAGGGATTGTCTGAAAGTAGCAGTGCTGATGTATTGAGCGACAGACCGAGGTTGGCGTGAACAGCTGGGTCACACACTCCAACAAGAAGATCTTTGGCCCAGATGCTGCAAAGTTCAGACCCGAGCGATGGCTTGAGTCTCCTGAGAGAGCTGCAGAGATGACTCGCTATAACCTCACGGTAAGCGAGTCGTTCACCTAATGCCCACCCTTCCACTTGTGTTCTCAGACTGATATTGTCGAATAGTTTGGAGCTGGATCCCGGACCTGCATCGGTAAAAATATCAGTCTGCTCGAGATCTCAATCCTGATCCCCGAGCTGGTGAGGAAATTTGATTTCACACTTGTGGATCCAAACAGGCCACTGGAGATCGAGAATGCCTGGTTCGTCAAGCAGAAGAACTTGGACTGTTATGTGAGTTTGAGGAAGTAGCATTAAGTCTTCAAGCGTCCAGAGTTTGCCAAAGCAATATAGCGGGATATCATGGATCAATATATCACGTTTCGCAGTAGCGAATTTGCGGAGACTTGACCTGACTGACCTTGAAGAAAGTGACGCACCCTATATCTGAGGCTGGAGTCTGTGACCCTCTTGTCCACGGTATTGCGCTGAGAGCCGACAGTTGCAAATTGTGTCGATACAAACTCGGGTGTCTTAGCAAGCTGCCTGGGAGCCACCCACCAGACCAGCACCATAGTTCAAGTAGGACGGTGGACAGCCTATCGTAAAGAGGCCCATCGGGTTGCGGCTAGTTGCGACTTCTGGGAATCCCGAGGCAGTCAACTCCATCGACTTGCTTGTAGCGTGTAAAGGCAGCCACCTCCTGACCAAGGATGAGGTCTCTGTAGGGGCGAGGATCCCACGCCAATGAAGGCAGCTCTAATGATTGGTCCAGACCTCCACGACCAGGGGGCAAACAGCTCGCCAGCCTATCGTTGAGCTTTGTCGCGCTGCACAGCCTTTAAGCAGTGACCGGGGTATCAGAGCCTTTCGAACAAAAGTCGTTGACATGGATATATAGACCTGCGCCCTAATGCTGGAGGGAAGATGCTCTCCCCATACCATCATCGACAGCAACCACCGCGACAAAGTGATCGAAGAGACCCAGCATCAACACACAATACCATTTCCTGCATCACCCTTCTCTTGTTCAGCAAACCTCTTCTGCATACTAGACAGACTCTTCCCCCGCCTTCGTGTGGATTCAGCCTTGCAGAACGCCTCCAAGCAACCTGAGGCAACCTGAAGCAACCTAGCCGCCTACTAGACCCCTCCAAGGACACCGCCACACTCAAAGGATCCACGATGGCTCTCACCCTGGACGGCACCTTGACTATTGTGTTTGGTGTCTTCATGGCCATCGTGGCTCTTGTGTCGTTGTGGCAGGTGGCACACTTCGCCGCACGTGGTCATCGGGGTGAGTCCGACGCCGTCTCGATCGATGAGGCTTTGGAACTAACCGCAGTGTAGCTCGCGACCCTCGAGTCGACAGCTTTGAACTGGAGGCATGATTCCGATGGTGGCGGCATTGTACAACATCACCTTTGACAACAATAACATCAGAGCGGCAATTCTTCATCAAATATCCAGCCACGGTGTTGTGGTCATGAGGAGGTACTGGAGGAGGCAATGGTGTCAAAGGTGTTTGAAGATTTGTTCGGTACTGGGTTTAGTTATGCTTTCCGCCAAGGTCCACCCCGTTTGCCTGACGACAAGCTGGTGAAGCGTAATGAATCAACAAGGAGTTTGCTATTCACAATGGAAGGAAGAATCAGATGGTACAGCATAGAAGCGAGCCGACATGGCCTCGCTAGGTAGAAGCCAATCCAACCAGCCATGATTCGCACCAAGCATATTCTCGCAGACACCATCCATAACCGAGACAGAGGTTGGAACTGGCAGATAATATTAGAATAGACACTACCTGTTTGATCTGTTTAGATTCGTGATAAGGTCATCAACACCAAAACATTTTCTCATGTTGGTGATTTTTGTGTACGATCCCCCAACACCGCATTCCACCAGCCATGCACGTTCTGGACGGGGACCAACCAAGAAAAAAAGGTCTGTACAATAATCGACTCTGCACTCGCGATATATCTCAATCTCCCTGTGCCACCACCTAGCATCGTGGAGAAACTGCAGCTTCTATGAGCCGTACTCCTTGTCGTGAACAAAGCTGCCTCTGCTCCTTGTGCTCCTACTCCTTCGGCCTCGGAACGTGAAACCTCGTGACTTGGTTGTTCTGGGTTCGCGACGTGAGGATCCGCCCATACAGAAGAGGACGGTGCAAATGAAGAAGCACGCAAATGCTGCCCATTCAAACCCAAAGGCATACTTTCCAATGTCGGAAGCTTGACCGTTGTTCCTGAAGTTGTTGCGGCCTTTGACGTACGCGGCACTGTTGACTCGTTAGCACACTTGCGCATGGCACACAGCATACATGAACTCACGTCATAAGAGATGCCTGGATTGCCTGGAAAAACATGGCTAGCATGCTCAAGAGACCACTGAGATAGGAGCCCAATCTGGTGCACAGGGCGAGGAGGCCAGTAAACAACGCGCATACGCCGAAGAAGAGCGCCATGAGCATGAAAGCAAACATGAAACGAGTCATCAAGAAGTAGTACCCATGACGCTCAACAAAGTTCCGAGGGACATTCACCGTGGTGTCAAAGGTGCGGTGAGACGCAGGGTCCAGAGGAAATGCCGGATGCACATCTGAGTAGTGCTGGTCGCCGCAACGCGTGCGTCCGTTCTGAACACCGCACACGTTCCAATATGACCATCTTGACACGGGAGGAGCTCCCGGAATATTTGCGGTATCTGCTTGTAGGATGTAGAATTTGTTGACAGGGCCATGCTCAACTGCGCCCGCGAGGAGGATGAAGAACATAAACAGAAGGCCAGCGGCGAGGAGGATTAGCGATGCCAGGCCAAAGAGACCGTTGCCTGTGACGCGGCAGTCAGTACGAGGTACCTCGGGATCGTCGTCTGCAGGATCAAGCTTCACTTACGGGACGCCATGGCGGCGCAGTGAGTTTGAGGGTGGCTGGAGCTTGCAGCAGAGTGCCCAACGGGGCGACGAGATTCAAAAGGCAGAGAAGGGTGGCCTGGAGGGACGGTTTAAAAGGTGGGAGATGTGTGTTGGGAGCGATAGAGGAAGCAGGCGCGGGGTGTAAAGAGTAGATAGCGGTGGTGTGGGAGGAAAGGTGCTCTTGTACTAATGCAGCAGTGGTAAGAGAGCAAGAGAGCTTGTGATGTACGTATGTTGGTCGCTCGGTATGCAGGCAGTAGATGTAATGCAGTGTCTTGGATGAGGTCACCCAACCAAAGGAACCAAAGGAACTGACCACCCACTAGAGCTTGGATCCTTCCCGTCTCTTGGAGTGACAGCCGACTACTGGAGGTACTTAGACCGGAGAGCTTGGAAGACTGTGGAGAGGGACCAGGATAGGGAAGCCGGAGAGGGCCATAGGTAGTGGTACTGCAAAATTGTTGGAGAGAGTTTGAAGGGCACCCACAGCGCCCAAGATGGAGAGTACAGGGACGGACAATAATGATGGCCTGCCCCCAAGACTCAAGCGCAGCCCCCCCACACCGACTCCAAGGGCATCAACTTGGGCTCCAGGGCTTTTCCCGTGGACACTCAGATGCCTGCTTGGGCGGGCGATGACGCACCTCCGAGCAAACTGAGTTAGAGGTCCAACACTGTAGTGCAGCATGCTGCAGCACAACAATTCACCACGTCATCAACAAATGCTCCACTTAGTACCACCGTCAGGCAACACTAATTCCTAATATGGCTAGTTTACGTGATCCGGCTCCAATAGCTTCAAACCCTAATCCTCGCCAATCCTCCCTTCCTGGCCAAGCTGGAAAAACACCGGTCCGCAGTCTCGCAGCTCTCACATTCTCGTAGCTTCACTGGTGATGTCGGTGACCCTTTGGAGCCATCACCTGATATCGAACCATCCTTCCACCTGGTGCCAGCCTTGCTTCCTCGGACAGTACTTTGCAAATAACTCATTGTCCTGCTTCCCCATGTTTATTACATCTTTTATTTTCTGACTATTGAGGTTTTCACAATGTCCACATGGGTCTATCCTCCATTACCTCCCGACGAGCTTCGAAAGGCCGAGAATGACTCTTTGGTATGGGTTGAACAAGTGACAAATTGTCCATACACTGACTTGCCCTCAGAAACTTGAGCTGCAATGGCTCCTGGAGTCGCTGCAACGTGCCTTGCCTGCTCTCAAAGAAGCCTTGGAGGAATGTGCTGCACTATTGGCGCCGAAAGAACCCGGATCGACACTGGTCCTGTCATCCCTCAGATCCGAGAGTGTAAAAGGCTTTGTAACAAGGGTTGGCACCAAGCTTCTCAAAGGCGTACGCTGGCCCCCTAAGATTCCCCGAACCTACCTGGTCTGAAAGCGTTACAGGACATCCATCTTCGGCTGACTACGTTGCCACCAAATACCCCCAGAGGTACCACTACTTCTACACCCTCAACTCGCTTGATGTTCCATTCCTCCTCTTCATCCTCCGAAATTGTCCTCTCTCAACTGTCAGCCGTCAAGTCTTTACTCAATGATTCACTCGACGTAATCGACGTGTCAAGGTGGACCGGCCAATCGACAGACTCCTCCTTCATCTCGGGCCAACTGAAGTTGCTACATGACCATTTGCGTGAAGCCAAGGCCTACTTGAGAGGTCCAGTGGCCGGTGCCGATATCTCCTCTATCCCAGGGGCTGAATGGTGGCTAAATAGCCCCGATGAAAACGTGTTCCAACCACCGTTGGGCGAAAACCTCAGTTTGCACTTTACGATCCAGGAAGCCAATCTTGTTCTCACTGTCCGAACCCTCGCTCCCACTTCCCCTGGTGGAACGCCCAGCACCCCTTCCGAGGGATCTTTCTCGCTCTCTGGACTCAACCTCAGGACGAGGTTGCTGGGGCTAGGTCCCAAGCCTCCAACTCACGACGAAATGGGTGAAATCTTTGAGTGGCGCGGACGGCAAGATGTGGTTGTCCGCGAAAAGGTTCGAGTGGAGACGAGCGATCCCAGTCTGCTCAGCATTGCCGCAAAATTGAGTGCGCTGGAACATGAGGTTGGCCGTTGGAGGATGAATCTTCGCATCATTCTGACGGGCAGTACTGAGGAGGATTGAATTTGACATGGGTTCGCCGTCAAGTTTGTTTCTTGCTTCGACTACTGCACGTTCCACAGAGGCTTGGTTCACCAGTCGACGCTGTGATCTTCACGGTCAATACTCCATACAATTTCCATCCGAAGCCGGTAGTCTGGTGGAGCGTTTCACGTGATGTGCAGCTTCGGTTCGCGCCAAAAAGTCAAACCTGCAGCGGGACTTTGCCAGTTTTGGCCGTTAGGGAGTTTGGTGCTCCCCAACCTTGCATCCAAGTGCTCCCGCATGTTGCACTCTTACAACCTCAACCTCAGCTGCTCGTTCTCTTCTTGCGATGCTCCGACCATGGCGCATTCCCTCTCGGCTCGAACAATGACCTCCAACGCAGAAATAGCACACTTTGTGTGCTTCATCTCTCGCGCATAAAGACGAAGTCTAAAATGGCAGCACAGGCGTCGTTGAGGACAAAGACTGTTCCTCCTTCCGACAGTCCTTTGTTCTCGACAGAACCAAAAAACCTGGGCTGGGTTTTTGTTCCTTGCTTTCTTCGACACAGTCTTACCACAGGTAAATCACACGTGGGTACACATATAACATGGCTCCTGAAGTCGTCAATGGGTTCGCCATGGTTGCAGATAAGGAGCGATCTTCTTTAACAAGGATATTTCATCGACGATTCAGCTCTTCGAGTAAAGTCAACACCAAAATGTCAACTTCCAATACAGGTATGGAGCAAACAGGTGTTGTCCAGAGCGAAAGTTCTGCTCGGATTGAGACCACAAGACCACCTCACCTTCGGCGTCGAATTACGATTGGCGGTTCGGGTCAAGATGCTCAAGCTGCCCAGCACATGTCTTTGCCAACAGATACAAGGAATGCCTCAACAACTCTTCAAGGCGGAGAATCCGGGTCCCTAACTGCGAAATGCCATTATCCTCCCACAAGCTGGAGGCCCACTCCACCTGCTCAACTTACCGTTTCGGGTGTTGAGGGAAACTTTCTGTCAGGAAGCGGTTCAAACGGTGGTGAAGACGATGGGACTAGGAAATCATCCACGACGGTCAAAGTCGCAGGACCTCACCTCAACCCTCCTGTCTCAAACAGCACGATGACTGCCAGTTCGCCGGGAAAAGCGAGGGGCCCTCCAGCATCATCCAATGGTGAATCTCAATCTTCTCCAGCTCGACCAGGCTCTCGTCGCCGCTACAGTATAATCTCCTGCATGTCCACCAATTCAGCAAATGCAGGAATCTCACCGACCAGAACGACCAGCGCGTCAACTTTAGGTCGACGAGCTTCCGGTGGAATCGCCACTCTGCCAGATCCGAGGACTGTGTATGCTCACACCTATCACTACACGGTCTGTGCTCACACATCACCTCCGATGTCCCGACCCCTCAATGTGCAGCCTAAACTCGTGCGGTACAGGGAAGGACTTCTGGCGTACCCCCCATTTCATCTGCGTGGGTACAATGCTGATCAATCAATTGCACCTCCCACGATCTACATCCTGGATGGATCGTGCTCCGACTGTGACATCAAAACACGACGCCACGCCGAGTCAAAGGTCCTGTCTAGATACTCTCATCAGCTGGAAAATCTTTACATCCAGCTGAGTCTCGTTCAGAAGGACATCGCCAACAAGAACCACGACGTCTCGATTCCTGAAAAAAGCGACAGTGCGGTAGCCATGTTTTCATTCCCATCGACCCTAGAACTGGAGCCCGAGGCGACCCAAGCGATTCTGGAGATCGAAGATCAGCTGGATCAATTGATCAGTAGCCGTGATCGTGAGGTTAGACAGATTTGGAATGGATACACTGCGAGGTGGGGCCCGGCAACCGTTGGAATTCACCGCGAACACAAGACTCGCGAAAGAAGTCAAGCAAGAGCCGCCGTCACATCGGACAACATGTCTCAGGACACTGCAGCCTCATCAGCCGGCTTTGATGTCCCTTTAAGTGATCACAGTCCCGGCCGAAGTCGCACGATGACCACACTGAGCACGAAACCAGCCTCTCACGTGAGCCGAAATAGCAGTTCCGATACCCACGCGCGCACCAGATCTGTTGGCGGTCCACAGGAACGATACTCGGATGGAACATATGGACTTAGCGTCGACTCATCAGTGGATGGTGTCAAAGGACGGGGTCGTATGGTGGTCGATTGGATCCGGCCGTCACGACGGGAAGGTAGGAGCAGGAGTGTAGCCGGGGCGACAAGCCGGACAAGCAGTCGAAATGTGCCAGATAAATGAAGATGAGGGCAATCAACAAGGAACACGGGATGTATATCTTTTGGAATTTCACGCTATGCGCAATCGGGAGAGTCGAGACATGCATCATTTGGGCAGGTACATTGAAAGGGACATTGACAAAGCGCCAATCACAAAGGGAAAGCAAGGCTGCGAAAACAAAAGAAACGCGGATTTATTGCCATTTTGAAGATGGTTTTACAAGGGGCTGTCATACACGGGATATACCACAAAGGGAGGGAGGCATTCTGCAACAATTGTCATGCGGATCATGTATGTGCGATGAATGAAATGTCACGACCAGACCGGCCGGCGAAACTGGGAGGGAATTACCCGCATACCACCGTTTCAGAAAGAGAATAACAGCGAAGCTGGAAAGAATGAAAGGAAAACGGACAAAAAGGACCGGGACAGATTAGTCCATGTATATAGCACTCGAGAAACGAACGACGACAATGATGAATGACGATGACAACAACAATAACAGCTATAACGATGAAGGAACGCGACGAATTTTGGATCGAGTGGAATACTTGTCTTTTGGAATCATTATCTTATTCTAGGAGACCATTTCAAGCCATTTTCCCCACTCGGTTTTGTTTTCCAGTTTCTTCTGGTGTGGATTAATCTATCTGTCCAGGTACAGATACGTGTAGGGATGTAGAGGTATAAGTAAGTATAGATATTGAGAAGTAAGCCATCGTGCCTCGTCGCTCTTTCCCCTCTTTTTTCTCTTCGTACATGGCCGGGTTGGCAGGGAATGGTCTTGTCGAGGTGCTCGTGCTCGTGCTCGTGCTTGTAGACGGATGGATGGATAGATGTCAAGCTCAAGCAGAAGCAGAAGCATGAGTATGGGTTTGAGCCTGTTCCATCTCCTTCTTGTAGCCTGTGACTGGGTCCCGGATCGCTCCCTCTAAGAAAGAGACAGAGTGAGAGAGACAAGGCACACCAGGAGAGAGCATTCACAGTCCACAGCCAGGGTATACACAGAGGCATCCACTCTTAAGACTACAACTTGGCCCGTCCCTGGTCGATGCGCCGCCAACTCTCGGCGTCCAGCTCACGAAACCGCTCCGCCTCGAGGTCGAGATAATACTTCCTCGCATCGGCCTGTCCGCTGGTGCTAGTGACCGTAGGAGCACCCCAGTCGATGTTCTTGACCACCATCTTGGCGTGCTTGAAGGTGTCGCCGACGTCGACGAGCTGGTCGCGCACCATGACGAGGCGGGGCACGGCGTAGCGCGGCACGCCTTTGCTCCGGAGGGCCTTGAAGAGGTTGTCCATGAAGGCTTGCTCGCCGCGTCGGGACGAGGTCGAGGTCTGTTTTTCGTTATTGTTGATGGCCGGGTCGAGCACAATCAGCGCCGTGCCCGCTTGGCCGTCGTACTTGGCGAGGCGCTTGCCGACTACCACGGCGTCCTTGACGAACGGCAACTCGGAGATGAACGCCCTGACTTCGCCGGCTGACACGTTCTCGCCCATCCACCGATACGTGTCGCCGATGCGGTCGACGAATCTCACCCAGTTGTCGCTCTCCTGCACGAGGAGGTCCCCACTGCGCTGGAACAGGTCGCCCTTTTCGAACACGTCTCGGAGCATCTTGTTCTCCGTGGCCGACTCGTTGTTGTGGTAGTTTGTGTAGGTCGCGAGATTGTGGATGCGCGCAATGGCCTCACCGGCTTCGCCCTTGGGGCACACGATGCAGAAGCCCGTCGTGGGGTCGCGGACCGGTGACTCGGTATCGTAGTCGAACCGGACGATGAATTGGTCCTTCTCCAGAACCTTCTTCCTCAACGTCCCCATATAACCGACCTTGCCAGCGCCCGGTTGGCCAGCACGGTGGATGTTGTCGAACTTGACCAGGCCCTCAGTGGAGCGGTAGAATTCGCGGACCTCACGGACGTTGAAGCGATCTTGGTAGGCCACCCAGACGTCCTTTTGCAGTCCGTTACCCAGGGCGACCTTGACATTGTGGTTCCTGTCGTATGGCCCCGCAGGTGTAGTTAGGAGAAAGCGACACAGTTCACCGACATAGAGAACCCTCGTGGCGCGTGATTCGTGCACGTCCTTCCAGAACCCGCGGGCCGAGAACTTTCTCGCGAGGCAGAAACAGCCGCCCTGCCCCGCCGAGTAGCACAACCCGGTGAAGAATGTGGTGCCGTGGAACAGGGGCATGCACGAGTACGTGCGGAGACCCTCGAGGTATTTCTTGGGGTTGGAGGCGTCGGCCGAAGACGTGCACGCGACGGCGCAGATGAGGCTGTTTTTGATGCTGCATGCCTTGGGCTTGCCCGTCGTGCCGGAAGTGTAGATCAGGGCGGCAACAGAGCTCATGTCCTTGGGTGGTGTCGGTGGCAAGGCTGAGGATGGTGATATGGATGGGTCTGGAAAGGGAAAGTCCATTATATCCCCATTGTCGCGAGGTAGTGGTGTAGGTCGAAAAGAGCCCAGGTTCAGCCTCACGGTTTTGACATGAGCGCCATCCATCGATTGTGCAGCGGACGCTGCGTACCCAGCCAAATCTGGAGTGCTGAGAATCAGGGGTGAATTTGGTAGCCGCACGCAATGAAGTAATGTATCGTCTCTCAGGGCGCTGTTGATCAGAGCAGGCGCTGCTCCCAGCCTCGTCAGAGCATAGATGGTGGCGACCATTTCGGGCGAGTTCGTCATGAAGACGGCAACGATGTCTCCATCCTTAACCCCCAGACCCTGGCTCAAGCCGAGGGCGAGTTCGTCCACCTGGGCCTTAAGTGCCCTGAAGTTCCACGAGCGACCTTCAAACCACAACGCATCTGCATTTGGGTCGCAGAGTTCCAGCATGCGATATAGGTGAGGCGACTGAGCACCGAGCTTGTCGGCGAATAGGAACAGTCGTTTCACAAAGGATTGTTCCTGGCGGTATTGACGAATGTCTCTGCTGACGCCGATGCGGTGGTCGGCGTAGTAGAGCAAACCCGCCGCGGCGGCGGTGGATGCCGCTATAGAGGCCATATTGAGCAGTGAGCTTCACCAATTGCCCGGACGGTTGACTTGAGATGTAATGTGAAGGAAGAGAGATGTTAAATCTGAACCAAGCTGGTGCTGGGGACACCTGCGAACACACAGACACAGAAACTCTCCCTTCCCGTCAGGAGGTGCCGTGCCTCGGACGTTTCTGATGCTGGCTGGGTGTATCTCACTCCTGCATACAAGTGCCGTAAGGTATTCAGCCTTAGTCAGTCTAGGGTTAGAACTGGGCCCCGAAGCTGACTATGCTTCTCTCGGGAGCTCGGCCGATGGGCGCGAACAAGGCTGGAATGATCCCTCCGAGGTGGTACGGGCGTAAAGATACTTTTGGGATCTCAACTAAAGTGCCTCAGTTCCGGGCAACAAGGAGAGCTGCGTACGAGAACCTCGTAGTACTCGAGGCGGTAGTTCGGAAATTTGGTCGTGGTGGTTCGGATGCTCTCCCCTATAGACTAGAGGCGGTTCCCCGGGCCGAGAAGAGTTGGAGAACCCACGTCAGCGCAGTTGAGCGAATGAGTTGCGTGGCTACAACGGTGTCTGGGAAAGCCCCACGGGGAAGACGCAAGTAGAGACAAAGAGAGGGCAGGTTGGGAGGTTAGTGAGAACAAGTCTGATAGAGATATATCAAGGTCGAGAGAGAGAAAAGACGGGCGAAGAGAGGGTCAGAATCCCACACAATCCTGTATTCTTTTAAACTCGTTCCTTCGTCTGTTTGTCCCAATAATCATATATCCAGGGGCTTCAATCACACTTGCCGATTCCTCTTAGTATCTGTGGTCTGTGGTCTGTGGTCCAGGGTCACTGGGTCACTGGGTCAACCTTGGGATGTGGAGGTGGGGCCGGTGGCTGCCATTCTAGCGAGTTTTGTGCTGGTCAATATCAGTAACAAAGAACCATGCAGGGCTGTAGAATGTCATCGAGCCGTGCATGTGCATCAGACAGGAGAACATGGCAGACGATTGAGGCCCAAGGTGACCGCGGTGCTTATGGTAGTTGTCATGGTAGTTGTGGTGATTCGTACGAAAGAAAATGTTTTGAGATGCCGCATCAACTGCCGGAGCCTCAAAGTCCGAAAATGCCGAGGCATGATTCTTCGAGTGATTTCTGTTGCTGCTTTAAGCCACTTGAACAACCACATGCGGTGCTGATGCTGCCGATGCTAATGATTGAGGTGGGAGAATATTACTTATCCTTCTGCTATTGTAAAAAAGTTCTTCAGAGTCGAATTCCATCCTCGTCTCTTGTCTCCTTCTTCGCGTTACTTTATCCTCTTCATCACTCAGATCTGACACAATGAGCGCCCAACGACGGCTCGACGCCCTCTCCGGCCAACTCTCCTCCACATCCACCACCACCCACTCCCCAGGCGTCCAGAAGATTCTGGAGAAGAACCCCGACGACATTGTCATCACATGTGCCACGCGCACGCCTCTCACCAAGGCCAGAAAGGGCGGGCTCAAGGACACCGCGACCGATGAACTTTTGATCCACGTCCTCAAGGCCATCAAGGACAAGTCCGGCATCAACCCGGACGTCGTCGAGGATGTCTGTGTGGGGAACGTCCTGCAACCAGCCCCAGGCTTCATCGCACGGAGCGCCGTTCTCGCCGCAGGTTTTCCCGTCGCCACGGCCGCTCACGTCGTGTCGAGGTTCTGCTCGTCGGGCCTGTTGAGCATCCAGACCCTCGCCAGCTCCATCGCCATTGGCGCGATTGACGTGGGCATCGCCGTCGGGCTGGAGAGCATGTCGACCAACAGAGACGCCCCACCCTCGATGAGCGAGGCCATCATGTCCCACCCGGTGGCCCGGGACAATGTGGAACCCATGGGCTGGACGTCAGAGAACGTAGCGCGCGACTTCCACATCACGCGCGAGGAGCAGGACAGGTTCGCCGAGATGTCGCACAACCGCGCCGAACGAGCCCAGAGACAAGGCTGGACCAACGACGAGATCAGCCCGGTCACGACCCGGTGGATTGACCCCAAGACCAAGGAGACCAAGACCGTCACGGTGGACAAGGACGACGGCATCAGACCGGGCACCACGTACGAAGGGCTGGCCAAGATCCGCTCCGCCTTCCCGCAATGGGGCCCGACCACCACGGGCGGCAACGCCTCGCAGGTCACCGACGGCGCGGCCGCCGTGCTGATGATGAAGCGCTCGACGGCCCAGAAACTGGGCCAGCCCATCATCGGCAAGTACGTCAAGAGCACCGTGGTCGGGCTGGAGCCGCGCATCATGGGCATCGGGCCTAGTTTTGCGATTCCCAAGGTTTTGGAGAAGACGGGCCTGACAAAGGAGGATGTGGATCTGTTTGAGATTAACGAGGCGTTTGCGTCGATGGTGAGCATACCGGACTTCTCTCATGTTCTTACCTTTCTTGACTGCGAAAGCCTGGTGAAATTTCTCTAACAAAAATCAATCTAGTATGTCTACTGCGTCAACAAACTCGGTCTGGATATCGAAAAGGTCAATGTCCGAGGCGGTGCCATGTGAGTCTTTTCTTTTTCCCCTTCCCATCTCTCCACAACGCTCTAATCCCATCATTTTCTGCCTGGAACTGGCCAACGTCGCTTCTTGACAACCAACTAACACGAATCTCCTCATCAGCGCCATCGGCCACCCCCTCGGCGCCACGGGCACCCGTCAAGTCGTGACGCTCCTCTCGGAGCTGAGACGGCGCAATCAAAAGGTCGGGGTGACGAGCATGTGCGTCGGCACGGGCATGGGCATGGCGGGCGTGTTTGTCTCGGAAGCATAAATTCATCGAGAGAGAGTTCCCAATCCGAGTTTTTGGCGCTGGTGCCGGGTGAGAAAAGCGAATATTGTTTAGGGTGGGCGATCATATACATCATATCATGTCATGTCATTCATCCCATTCCATCCCATCCAATCCCATCCAATCCCATGCATTCAGCACAGTACAGTACAGTACAGTACAGGATATCCGTCGCCGACGAAAACCCCTTGGGTAAGTAGAATTCGTGGTTCAAATCGCGCCTCTTGCCGGAAAAATCGACATGTCATCTCTCCCAGCAGATGGATGATGGAATTACTTTTCAAGGGGGGAACACGAGTTTGGGTGGTGAGAAAGGGCATGCATTTGCCATACAGTACGGGTGTCAGGAATTATGGAACGGATCTCGGGGCATGGATTGGATTGGGTATGGCTATGGGCACGAATACTACAGGGTAGGAAAGGGCAGGGCCGATCCTGTGGACGCCAGACCTGATTCTTATTCCCTGTCCTTCAGCCACCCACTCATCATGGAGGACGTTCCACAGGGGAACTGTGCCGTTCACAGCATCTTTCGAGCCTTTTGGCTTCGCTCGACCGGTGTTTACAGGCCAATCACCAATCCATCCATCCAACCAGCAGGCTCCTTGGTCGTCCTTCTCGGGTCCTGTGAGAAAGATGTACATACTCGCAGACCCCCCTCCCCCTTTTTTTCTTCTGTTCCTGTCATCTTCATCTCAACGCCTCTCTATTTCTTTGACGGATCGGCATCGCCGTAAAACTGTTTTTTGTCCATCTGCATCTCGTCATCGGCGACGCCAATCGTGGCGAAATACTGTGCCCAGACCGGCATGATCAGCCACATACATACGACACGTACAGGAGATACAGAAGCTTTTTTTTTTTAAAAAAAAAAAAAAAATAAAAAATAAAAAAAAAGGAGTTTGGGACTTTTGAGAGATGACCCCTCAAAAAGAACAACACTTACAGCCATAGCCTTGCGATTTGCCTCGGGGTTCATGGGCTTGCCCTGCTCGTTCATCGTGGCCAGGAGGCGGAAGTAGTTGATATAAAACGCCGGCGTGTACGTGTTGAAGAACTTGGCTTCCTGGTCGTACGGGTTGCTAAAGGTGTGCGGCGACCGCGGCGGCACCGTCACGTAGTCGCCCAGCTTTGCGTCGACGGTCTGACCGTTGAGGGCGTGGAAGCGCAATGTCCCCTGGGTGACGAGGAAGGTTTCGTCGTGCTTTTAAGCGCAAAGAAACGGGGGGAGGGAGAAGAGGTGAGCGGAATATCTCCCTGAGCAAGCAAAACAGGGAGGAAAGAGATCTGGAATGATGGGGGGGTTTTCTGTGTTTACCATTTCATGCCAGTGTGGAGGGGGTCTTTGTTGGGCATCCTCGTCAGCTTCACGCGTACCACCCTTCCGGACAACACTCGTAGTCTCTTGGAGCCTTACCCAGAAGTATGAGGAGGGACGGTGAACTCGGCGCTGGCGATATAGAAACGTCAACACCATATTCATTCCCTGCTGTCCCAGGAGTAGTGGTGAAGGGATATCACCACAACTCCATCCATTGATTGATATCTGTGGTTCCCTCTCCAGAATAGACTCACCTGCCAATCCGATCTAGCGCACCACGTCGTAGTAAGTCAGTCAGTCAATGCGCCCCTCTCTATAGGGACCAGCCTGCCTGCCTGCCGACCTGCCTGGGTTCTTGGGTGTCTTGACTCACTATCTACCACCAGAGTTAGTCAGACGCAAAGAAAAACTCCAAAGCCGAATCAGACTTGAGGGACAGAAACACGCACCTGTTCTCGACCCATCCTCCATGATTCGGATGGTGATTGTGCCGACCTTGAACGTCTCACCGGCCTTTGCAGGCACAAAGTTGATGGGCACAGTCGGTGTCTCCATGACTTTTTTGGGGGAGGCGTAGAAGTGTGGATATAGACGAGAGGTCAAAGAGATGGCCAGCAACCAAGGTATCGGTGAGAATAACAGGGAAGGGTAGTGTATTGTATTGTGTTGTCTTATGTGTGAGAGACGGTGAGGAATGAGAAGCGTCAAGTGAGAAAAGACAGAGTCGCAAATCGGATTCATTTTCTCCCAGAAGCCGATGCCCGATTTGAGGCCGCCAACAACAACAACTTGGCCCCCCAAAAAACCCAGCTACTGGAAACAGTTTAACGCCAAAGACTTCTACTTGTACCTGTATATCAATGGGTCTTGGAAAGGTCAGGAGACGGCAACTGGGCAAGACATCTCCTGACCATGGTACCTGTGTGGAGGTATGTGGTCGATGATATACCAATCCGACATCCATCCACTGACATTTCCCAAAGGGATCATCTCTGAAACACCAAAAATCCTGAAAAACTCCAATATCCCATACCAGTTTATCATGGCTCCTTCTGCTCCTCCTCTAATATCCCTTGCCAGAAAGATCTCAGAAATATCGCGTCCGACGACACCTCATATCTTGCCAATGTACTGTTCAAATATCTTCGAGATCTCCAGCGCACTCTTCTTCGGGTACCGCTTCTGGTCATTCTCGTAGTCGACATATGTGACGCCAAAACGAGTCTCGTATCCCTCCGCCCATTCGAAGTTGCTGTACATCCATGTGTTAGCATCCGTGACTCTGTAACAGCCATCGACGAAGACTCTGGTTGAACTTACTCCATAAGACTCCATGCCATGTACCCGCGACAATCACATCCATCCTCGGCCACAGCTTCGGCCATGCTGGTGATGTAACTGCGGAAATACTCACACCGGAAATCATCCTCGAGGATCTCCTCCCGCGACAAGTCGTTCTCGCCCTTGATGCTCGTCCCGTTCTCCGTCACGTAGATCTTCGGCCGTCCGTATCGATCACTCAACCACTTCATCAATTTCCTGAACCCAGGGGCGTGAGGTCGAAGCCAGAAACTCTGCGTCTCGGGGCCGATACTGTTGCCGTACTTGTCCTCAAAGAGGATCTCCAAGTTGCCGCCAACGTCGAGTGGATCGGCGGGTCCTTCCTTGTGTTTGATGTAGTTGGCGCAATAGTGATTCATGCCGTAGAAATCGTTGGAGCCCTTCATGAGCTCGCTTTCTTCTTTGCTGAATGTGGGGAGACGGTCACCCAGTTGCTTGACCATCGATTCCGGGTAGTGGCCAAAGTAGACCGGGTCGGCGAACCAGGAGATGGCGAATTCGATCTTGCGATGGCATGCTATCCGGTCTCGTTCGTCCTCAGGGTCCCACGGCTCTGTCCAGTCACCTGCACAATGTGAGATTAATTCTGCGAAAAACCCAGTAACGATGACTAGAGACAACATACCATTCAGGGTAATCCCGATCTCTCCTCCATCGCGCGACTTGAACTCGTCTCGGTAGATCTTGACCGCAGTCGCATGGGCCAGCAAGATATGATGACCAACTATCCAAGGTTCCCTCGACCCGTCACCTTCAGCACACCTCGTTCGGTCGCTGGAGCGACCTGGGGCGAAAACACCGACATTGTACCCGAGAACGGCACTGCAGAATGGTTCGTTAAAGGTAATCCAGTGCTTGACCCGGGATCCCATGGCTTTGAACATAACTCGTGCATAATTGGCAAAGTCAGCGACGAACTCCTCCTTGTTCAAGAAACCTCCGTATCGCTTATCGAGCTCGTCGGGCAGATCCCAGTGGAACAGGGTGATGAAGGGCACAATGCCAGCTTCGAGCAGGTCATCGACGAATTTGACATAGTACTGGAGTCCGGCCTCGTTGATCGGATCATTTCGACCACCCAAGGGGATGACCCGCGACCACGAGACGGAAAATCGGTATGCTTTGGCCCCAAGCTTCTTGAGCAGCTCGATATCCTGAGCGGTGCGGTGGTACGAGTCACAGGCAACATCCCCAGAGCTGCCGTCGGCAATCTTGCCAGGGATCTTGCAGAAGGTATCCCATATTGAAGGTCCTCGTCCATCGGCCGTGGCACCGCCCTCAATCTGATATCTACACCCAAGTTAGTACAAGCAGATGGATTCATGGCTGGGACACCAACGCTGCAGTTGCAAAACCCCAAAGGAAATCGGCAGGTAAGCCCGCTCTAGGAGCAATGTCCTTGACCATGGTGAAAGTGATTGATGAAATGCAGCTCTTTTGCTGAGTCTGTTGAGAGATTCTGATAGGGCAAATCAGCTCACAATAGCCGGAAGAAGCGAGGCGCGTTGAGTTGATCAGCCGTGGGGTGACAGATGGCGGTCTAGATGTATGTCTTGATCAGCACCTCAGGAAAAGTCCCTTTGTATCGACCCTTGTGTGACAGCGCAGAGGAGAAGACTGAGTGTGAGTGTGGGTGTGCGAGCCTCTTCTTAGACCGGGACCATGGCCTCATATTATATGAATCTTGCACCCCTCGCCCTGCATCTGCTTGACACGACTGAGGACCGATCAGACGCCCATGGTTTATCCTGGGGTGGGAACCATTTGTGTTTTTTCTCGCTCGCTCACTCGCTTCGCCAGAGTTGGACGATGGAACGATCCACAACATACCCAGGGTAATTATGTGGAATTAAATGGGCATTCTACCGGATTGGTTGCGGACTGACCATGTCCGGCAAATGTCCCCCTTGTTGAACCTTGGTGAGTTTATTTGGTTTTCTTGTGGTTCCCTTGGGTCTCCCCTCTTGGTTCCTCCTTGTGTCTGCCGCCTGCCGACATTTAGCCTAACAGCCTGTAGCTGCGCCGTCGCCGTCATATCATCCTCACGGTTCCTCTTCGGCTCATCTCTTTCTTGGGGATTTGAAGGCTAAGAACATTTTTGATGCCTATGCCGCCTGTCGACGACTCCTCTCGATTCGCCACACACCTGGGCTATCGCCCCCAAGGTCACTCACTGTTCACGGTTCCCAACCCCGGAAAAGATGGTGGAGATGAAACATGCATAACTTTGTGGTCAGCACATGGGCTTCGGGGCCCATCACCCCCTTCAGATTCGAAAAAGGCATGAGAGACTACTACTATCTGTGTTCCCGAATGTGCCTGGTCTCATAGATGGGAGCGACGAAGAATGATATGATTCTGGATCCTGTCTAGTATCTACCCTCCCCGATGCTGACCATGAATAGTGCGGACCCATTCCATCACCTTGCAGACACAACGAGATCCATCATCTCCTCTGCCGAGCGTTGTTACCCAGCTTGATTGAAATTGACGAGAACGGGTCGTTGCCGCCGAGCACCTAAACCACCGTCACATGAAGCCGTGCATGGCGCCATCCAGAACGAGTCTCAAGCCCGAGGACATGTCACTGAAAAAGAGAGGGCGATTGTGCCAAAGAGACCCCTTGCAGATGTATCCAAACACTGTACAATGCCTTTCCGTCCCTAGATTACGGCCATAATGCCGCTGAGAACCCTCTGACCCCTTCACTCCTCCATGTGCCAACCCTTAACAACCAGAACCTCGTGCTAGTATGAAAAGTGCAGTATATCCAGAACATGTTAATGTTTCGGAAAAGAAAGAATCCCATGGTCCGCTCGCTCCAACGCGGATGCTCAAACAGGGTTGAACAATGACCACTGGCGAAGCAGGCCGACCCACGACCGAATGATGCCACCCCGCAAATCAGTTCTCTGTATCATCTTCGTTCACAGGTTCTTTCATCCGCCAAGTGATGAACGCGGCTGCCAGTGCTCCGAGTCCACCAATTCTCAAAGTCCACCCCACACTAACATCGCCCGGCTCGTTTCGGGGCTTTTGAAGCAGTTTGAAAACGGCGCTGCTGATCAACGTCGCCAGAATTTGTGGAGCGCTAATGGCCACGTTGTGCAGTCCGAGGATAATACCAGCTTGATCCTCCTGCTCTGCTTCTTTATCATCAATATCGTCAAGGTCTTCTCCATTCGTCAGTCTCTGCCGATGCTTCTTCCGTCTCATTTCGTCACGTCGTGAAATCTCGGCCGAGATCAATGCAAATGGTGCCCAAAGGCTCAGTGACCAGGAGATTCCGACCAAGGCAGTCATGATAGATGCTGCCAACGGTGTAGATATAAACACAGTACTCCACATGCATAGCGTGAAGAGGAGCTGAGACATTAACCATGCTCGTCGCAAGGTTAACCCTGGGATTTGCAATTTATCCAACCACTTTCTCAGAACGCTAGGGTTATCAGACGAGGTGCTGGGGACAAGGTTCGGAAGTGACCGATTCATCGACAAGCTGGTCTGAGACCGACTTAGTATAGGCCGTTCATTCCAAGGGAACTCTAGTGATCTCGTGCCGATAGGGGAGGTCGGAGTGATTGGTCGCGTAAATTCTTCGGCATCATGCCTCACCTTGGATTTGTACGTCGGTACAACCAAGAAAGGCAAAATGATATTCGATGAGAACGAGACAATAGCATAGGTCAACAGTGCAAGCGTCCCAATCCGAGTAGCCTTGGCCCAAAACTTCTCCACTTCATCGTCCGAAAGCCCAGGTTTGAGATGCGGATCAACGTACAGTTGGCCAATGTATGTTGTGATGTAGAAGAGGAAAGGGAACCAGCCTAACCACTGACAGAACTGTATCTCGCACACCTTGCGGATTTGAGGTGGCAGTCGTCTCATGGAACTGAATACCTGTCTGAAGAAGGATAGCAATCCGCCCGATTCGTAATCTGCCTTGGAAGGAGGGTCAAGTTGTGGATTGCGCTCCTTAATGGCCAGGATGCTGATTAAGACAGTTGAGCTGAGAGCAATGGATGCGAGAACAACCAGGACTTTGAATTGAGTGTTCCCAAAGAAGCTGAAATAACGCGGCAAGTTCAAATATCCGAAGACATAGCCAAACACATTACCAACGCCGGTCATGCGGGAAGCCCAAGCATTGGCTGACTCTTGTTGATGAGAAGGGGCGTTGTCGACGATAAAAGCGCGAATGGCGGCTTGAACTGGGATACTGTCAGATAGATGACTGAGCCTTTCAGAGGACGCACTAACCAGTGTTGATGGAAAAGTCCAGACACCACATCATGATTGTAGCAAGGATGATGGTACCGGTCTTGTAGCCTCCAGTATATTGAGCATCCCTGGCAAGCCCTCCAAGAACCCTGATAATGTCGCGGGCGTATGCGAGGATCATCGAAGAAGCAACAGTGCCCAGCGTTCCAGCAATCATGAAGGGTTTCCTTTTGCCCCATGGGACTCGACATCGATCGCTCAGAATTCCGACATAGGGCTGAACAAGTACGCCGGTCAAGGGACCTGCAAGCCAAACAAACGCAAGCAGTGCTTTACTCATCCCCAGAGATAGCAGATATGGTGATCCATTGGAGAGTTCGACAGACCAGACAATCTGCAGGCCTCCAATGCAAACCGTGAGGAGGATGAGATAGAGGGCGTCTTTGGATTCTACTATAGACTCTTCATAGTCCATAGCCTCAGACATGGCTCGCTCATCTGAAAAGCTCCCATCCTCGAGTGGGCGTGGCTCCTCTGAACGGCGCCTCTGCTGTCCAAGCGTTTGTTCCGGGACATCGTCATTTCTGTTCGAGGTCTTGCTGGCTCGAATGAGCGGAGAGCGCTCGTTGCTGTCTGAGCTATGATCACTACGGGTCATGAATGAGTCGGAAGGCGCCTCTTGACAGGCTTAAGCGCGTCAAAAAGAGCCGGCAAGGAGAGTTCGTAAGACGGCACGTGCTGAATCTTGGTATGTCTTCAACCTGATATCTAGAGAGAGGATTCCGAGTCGTGTCCTGAAATAGGTCCGTTTAAATCATTCTTGTCAAGGAGAGTGGAAGGATAAAGAAGCCAAGGAGGAGAGGAAGAATATGTCAAAGAGATAATGTTCGTCGGGGGTTAGAGACGGTGAAGGAAGGTTGGAAGGTTGATACACCTGAACAGGAGAAATGGATCATCAGATCAAGTCATGAGGGAGACATGAGAACGGCATGGAATAAGGTTGATCCGTCGGAACCAACAGCTCGTTTGATTGGCCAGTCGCTCAGTACATTCCGCATCGTCGAGCTGTCCCGATGCTGGCCGCTGAGGAACCTCAAACCTAGAGGTCCAACCTCTCAAGGAAGCGCACGTCACTCCTGTGCAGCCCAAAGGCCTCCTCAACATCCACCTACTCCGTTGTCAAACTTGTGGCACAGGGCTTGTCGCAGGCTGTATCCTCGAGTGACCATCGACCACGTTGAACGGCTAAACAGTGCCGACTCGAAGCGCAAACCTCCCCTTCTCAGTCACAGCAGGTTGTCGTAAACAACTCAATATGAAGCCCGTCGTGTCCGCTTTGAACGCATGGAGTTGGTCAGTCCTTCTACCATCCCTGAGATCAATATGTGATGCAGACTGCTAACCCTTTAATAGCACCGTTCTGTCGGTCTTTGCCATTGTCATCCTCTCCATCATCGGGAGCCTGTTTGCGGTACGAGCGTGACCTGAAATATACTCCACAAGATATCATGAGAAATTCATACTGATTGATGGGTTGTACAGCGGGATCACCATATGATGATGGGGTTGGAAGAGGATCCTGAAGACGGCGGGGCAGTCGCGGCCTCTATATTCATCGCGGTAGCGGTATATGCCGTGAGTCTCAGTCTACTGAAATGCCACCTGTGGCGCGAATACTGACAGCAAGAGCAGGGATTCTTAGTATTTTGCGGATTTCAAGCTTGGTTGCATGTTCGGGCAAGTCGGCGGGGCGCTATATCACTATGATGTGACTGGGTCTATGAAATAAGACGCACATCAATGTATGCGAGGAACTAGGCATACATACGGCGCAGGATTGGAGGTATCAAGCGAATTAGAGGTTTCATAGGAAAGCCCATGTACAGAAGCTGGTCATTCAAAGGCTCCTCCGGCAATTAGCCTTGTAGAATGTTATCACATGCGGTTTGTTCGCGGTCTCAAAAATACATGCACGTTTCCCTGGGAGATTGTTGTCACTCCTCACCGATCACACCTGATCTGAACGCCTCCCAATCAAACCAGGTCCCGGTTGACGAACTGTGCATGCAGCGACTTGCCCAACATCGCTGGGCTGCGCTCCACGACGACGCCAGCAGCTTCCAAGGCCGAGATCTTCGACTCGGCACCACCTTTCCCTCCACTGACAATAGCACCGGCATGTCCCATGCGGCGCCCAGGAGGGGCACTGATACCGGCAATAAAGCTGACTGCGGGCTTGTTCTTCTTGTTCTCGCTCTTCAGGAATTCTGCCGCATCTTCTTCGGCGCTGCCTCCAATTTCACCAATCATGATAATACCCTCAGTCTCGTCGTCTTCCATGAAAACCTTCAGGCAGTCGATAAAGTTGGTGCCGCTGAATGGATCACCACCGATACCGACCACCAAAGATTGTCCGAGCCCCGCTTGGGTTGTTTGATTGACCGCTTCGTATGTCAATGTTCCTGATCTTGAGACGATTCCAACTCTTCCTCGTTTGTGGATGAACCCAGGCATGATACCGATCTTACATTGTCCGGGTGCGATGATTCCAGGGCAGTTGGGGCCAACCAGGCGTGTTTTGCTTTGGGTCTTTAGCGCGTCGGTAACCTTGAGCATGTCATGTTGAGGGATTCTGAAGTCGTCAGCAAGGTCAAACAGGATAAGAGCTGCCTTACCCTTCAGTAATGCAGACGACCAGCGGTACTTCAGCTTCAATGGCTTCCATTATACCAGATGCTGCGACTGGAGGTGGTACAAATATGACGCTTGCGGTAGCTCCGGTTTCCTTGACTCCCTCGGCAACATTCTTGAAGACGGGCAGATCAAGATGCAATGTACCGGCCTCTGCTTGCAGTCAGCATGCCGTATCTCTACGCCAGAATCTTAGGGTACTTGCTTTTCGGGTTCGTTCCACCCACAACCTTTGTTCCATACTCAATTGCCTGCTGGGCATGAAAGGTCCCCTGTTTTCCCGTGAAGCCTTGAAAGAGGACTTTGGTGTCGGAGTTGATTCTCAGGTTATTCCGCGTCTGGCTATATGGTGAACTAGAAGAGACTGTCGCATAGCTTCTTGAGGTAGTGGGAGTCGCAGATCGCAGCGCCCGAGGAGCGCAGGCTTTGAAGGCCTGCATCTCTAGCGACGGCTTGAAGGGCAGGACTAAAGTGTTACTGAAAGCCCAATGGGGGTGAATTTCAAGCGGCGGCGTCAATGATTGATATCAGAGTTCCAATCTGCGGAGTTGGCAATGGAAAGCTCCTGGCTCGCTGGGATGCCGAGCGTCATTTGATCCAGTCATTTGAGATGAATGGCGGAGCATTCAGCCTGCAACAGCATTTTGCCAGTTCACCTTCCATCACGACCACCACGACTTCAATTGGACGATCAAAAATCTCACTATTTTCCCAGAACGGGCCTATCTCAAATGCTGCACTGTCCAGGAATCTCTCTCTACCCCCTCCTCACAAGAAGCTTCGACTTCTCAACAAGCTCTCTGACCACCTTGCAGAACGATACAAGTAGAAATATTCCAATGACACCTTGTTCTTGCGTTGGCAGCATCACAAGTGCTTCTGGACATTTCACACAAACAAGAAAATAGATGCAGACTACACCGAAAGCCAAATTACCAGCTGTAATCCCTTCACATGCGCACTTTGGGAAATATTTGGACCACTAAGAACCCGATGAATCTCTCCGATATTGTCCTACCAGGATCTACCTCGTCCCATGCCTAGAATCTCGCAATGCTCGAGACTTTATCACTGCCTTTCAAGGCAATATTTCCCTCAGGATGTTTTGTTGCACAAAGCTGGCCATTGACGCATTACAATCCTGCAAGGCGTGCTCTGGGCTCCCAGCTACTCCCATCTGGTCGACTCCCGCCTGATATCTCGTACCTCCTCTCCAACTAGACAGTTGAGGCAGCTCTCTTGATCTCCAGGGCGTGTTGTTTCTGCCACCTCCGTGCATATCCCACTCCGAACCCGTGGTTGAATACCTCGCGAATCTCCTCTAGAGACATGCCTTTGGTTTCCGCAAAGCAGAAAACGGAGAACAAGAATCCCAGAAAGCAGATGGCGGCATAAAAGCCAAAAGCCCCGCTTGGGGTCAATCCTTTCATCATGGATAGAAATGTCGAGGCGATGATGATGTTGGTTCCCCAGCAGGTAACTGTCATGACCATGGTACCCATGGCACGTACCTCAAGCGGGAGACGCTCTGCTCCCATCCAGGATACAGGGGCAACGCCGGTGCCGAAGAAGCCCACATAGAAGATGATTGTGACGAGCACCAAAATACCAGCCCAATTTACGCTGTTGATCTCGAGTGTGAGGTCACTGGAGTCGATTGGGATGTAGTGAAAGGCCACAGCTGCGAGAACCAGACTGAGAGACATGCCCAGCACGGTAAAGATGAGGATCCTCCGACGGCCAAAGCGATCGACAATGACTAGGTTGATACAGCATCCCAGGAAATTGCAAGCCCCAACCACAATTGATACGGCGACAGGCTTGTTGAAGCCGACAAGAGCAAACAGAGTGCCGGAATAGTACCTGCAGGTGGGTTATGTGAGATGTCTGCCATGCAGTATGAAAGAGGGGATCTAAAGACTCACATCAGTGTATTGAAACCGCACAGCTGGCTTACTCCCATGACGCAGCACGCAGTGAGCATGGCACGGAAATTGGCGGGAACGACGTGCAGCTGTTTGTACGACCACCACAGCGACTTGTGGGCCATCAGCTCAGTAGCTTGCTCTAGGTCTTGCTGGATCGCTCGGATCTTGTCCTGACGTTGCTCTGGGGAAGAACGAGGATATAGTCTGGCCAGCACGGCATCAGCCTCCTCCAGCTTCCCGTGTGCTACCAACTGCCGAGTGCTTTCCGGACACCAGGGTAGGAAGAGGGCTAGGGCGATGGCAGGAATTGCTCCGATCGCAACAACATATCGCCAGCCGGAAGACTTGACCTCGGCGAACCCAGCTCCGATACAGTATGCAATGAACTGTCCACCTGTGATATTACAGGTTTGCATTGTGATCATGCGGCCACGGTACTTTGCAGGAGCAATCTCGGAAATGTAGCTGTGACGATGTCAGCCTCTCCTCAGCGTGATATATATGGGCAGGATTTGGCTTCGCTAAACGCAAAGCAGGTTTGCCAAAGAAAGAAAGGCTTACAGAGGCACAACCATTGCCGCGCTTCCTGCTCTGTTGTTAGCGTTGATATGAACGACAAGGGCAGAGGTGTAGAACAGGGCTCTGTCATAGTCGATATGGGTTTCAGGGACACTCACCGACGCCCAGTCCGACGACAGCTCTGCCTACAGTCATTTGAGCGATACTAAAAGCTGCAGCTTGGAGTATGGCGCCGATGACAAACACGACACAACCACAATATATGGATATCTTGCGGCCATAGCGGTCGGCCGTCAACCCAGCGAATATTGCCCCGATCAGTGCTCCTCCACTAGTGATGGATGTGATGAGCTCTTGCTCGCTGGACGATAAGTTGTGGCCCAAGTCGTCGCCAATTGTCACGAGGACACTGGAGATATATCCCGTATCATATCCTGAGAAAACCAGTGAGCAAGTGAGCAAGTGTTTCATGCCTGGGGACCGGTGGTCATTCATCATACCGAACAAGAAGCCACCAACCGAGACACAGATGGCGATCAACCAGACCACCCTGGAGGTTTGTGTTTCTTCGATGGTGTTGAGGGCCGCAATATCCTTGTCGAGCACATTCTCCTCGTGAAGAATAGTTTGGGCGCTCTTCTCAACGATCTCCTTCTCGTTAGCAGACATTTTGTCAGATTGGAAAGAGTCGCGCGCGGGAACAATGACCCCAAGTCAACACAACCGAGCAGAATCCCACAAATAGTGGCCCAGGAGTGCCACCAGAGTCGATAGAGGCGGAAGGAACCAAAGGACTATGCGACTATCAGCCCTTTATATCATTGTTGAATATCTCCGCCGACTCGCGTGGCGTTCCCCACGGGGACTCTAAACGGCGCTTGTCGTGGGAATAAGTATCCACAGCTCGAACCAGGATTTCCAGGCATCGGTTTCGACAATCGACATTCAGGCTCAAGAATGGCTCAATATTATTGGTAGGGAGATAGCCCGCCAGACCAGCGGCTGGTTACATGAAGCTTGTTTCGGACCAAACATTCCTCATACGACTCGCAGAACTCTCCTGATGCAAGGGCCTGCCTGTTGTGCCTGGCTGAAGTGCCGCTAATATTGGGTGGGCAGATGGCCCTATAACCAGCGAGCCGTAATGCCAAAGACGGTTTCGAGACCCCCTGGACCTCGGATGAAGGTGTCCACTCAAATTGCTCGGCTGAGCGGTGGTGATTGTTATGGGAGTTAAGACTTCGCCGGCACTGATACTCTCGACCTCAAGAAGTTACCAAGAAGACTCCGCATCGGGGATTCGCCGCACAAACCTTCGGCACAAAAACGCAACTCATTGCTTCCTCCGCACACACACTAGCCGATATAGGACCGCGGGAAAGGGTCTGGTGGCCAAAATATGGGGTTAGGCATAGCCAGCCGTCGTTTATTTGAAGTAAATCTTCGCCGAAGTGGCCTCCTTCTGATACTCGATGTCTGGCCCTTGGAGGACGACAACGCTGACCAAGGAGACATGAGGAGCTATGCGCTCACAAGGATGGTAGAAATCCTCCCCGACTCCTGAGACTGCAGCTAACGATAATGCTAGCCAGCGATGCCGCGAAAAGCACAGTAAATGTGAGTGGTACTCTCCTGTGCAATGGCTGGATCCTGAACCGAAATGCAGGCATCACCGAGCGAGGCATGCGCAGATGTGAGAGCTGTGAGACCGCAGACGAGCCATGCTTGCCACCTCCTCGAAAACGAATCCGACTGAAAGCTGTCCATTCTGTGGTCGAACAATCCCGCTCTTCCGGGCAGGGTGGGCGGGAGATATCCTTTGTCTACGGCGGTGATCATATCTGGGTAGACTTCCACACGCCCGGTGAGCTCCTGTGCTAGTTGTCATCTGGTGGAGCGGCTAATTCTAAGGTCCAAAGTCCAATTCGTAAACGGTCATGACAATGACGAAGATTCAAGTGACGCTCAGTCTTCGGTGGTCGTTGACGAAGATGAGGGAGCTTTCGCACATCCCGTGAATGCGAATGCGTCCCTTGATAGCGCTGATGCGGCTGGAGAACCCAGTGTTGTTGGAGCTGTTGGACCCTATACGGCAAAGAGATCGTTGTCGTTCGGGAGAGGCAGCATTTCAGGGGTATCCCATTTCGCATCCTCTCCTCCATACCTGGTTTCCCCCATACAGCAGTACCGCACCCCGTCCAGCCAGATCCAGATACTCTCGCCCTCTACAAGCGCTGTTCTCTACGAGTCGAAACCTCTTTGGCCGTTGAACAACTTGGCAGAAGCTGAGCTCCTTCGGCATTTCATCGACAATATCGGACCTCAACTAGATGTCACTGACCATGTTTCCCATTTCACTACCACTGTCCCCCAGAGAGCAGTTCACTGCCCTTTGCTGCTTTATGCTATCATTGCTGCCGCTTCCATCCATCGCAGTCGTGTTCAAGGTGTGCCAGATCAATTCTATGAAGAATACCAGGCGAAATGCATACGGATTTTGATTCGATTTCTGGACGACCCGGATTATTCTCCCGACGAGAACTTCTTGGCAGCTATCGTCATCCTGCGCAAGGGAGAAGAGATGTCAGGTAGGGATTCGCGTTCATGCACGTCCACTGCGGGGCGTTGACGAGCTGTTACAGACGAGGATCGAATGTGCCATCTGCTGGGCTCCTCCCGAGTCATCAATTCGGTCGGCGAAGTCGCTGCCAACGGCGGCTTGGGAGAGTCAGCAGCGTGGCTGGTGCTGAGACAGAGTATCTACGTTTCACTGACGAGCAACACTCCTTTGAATGTCAATCTCGGCTGCTACAAACGGTCGTCGGTCTTTCTCGGCCTCACAGACCACGCCTGGGCCAATAAAATTGTCTTCATTTTTGCGGAGACTCTGGCGTACTCTGCCAAAGGCAACGGGAACGGGGCTGCCGATGTCGAGGACTGGCATACCTTGCAACAGGCCGCGACGCAGTGGTATCACGACAAGCCCGACACATTTCTGCCGGTCTTTGAGACTTTGACTGAGGCGGGCGCGCGGCATGAGTCTACCGCGACTGAACTCCGCAACCCTTTCCCGACCATCTCGATGCTCCAGGCCCCTCATGTCATAGGGCTCATGTACTACCACCTGACCCTCATCCTGCTTGCTCTGAGCGACCCTGTCAACACGGTCCGGCGCAGAGGGCTGGAGAGCATGCGCCTGTGGCGAGAAACCGAGCAGAAGGTCAGGGCCGACCTCAAACGCTGCATCGGCCTGGCCATCAGTAATCCTCACGTCGTGGCGGCCAATTTCGAGGCGTCACACATCCTCTACGCGTGTGGACATTGTCTCAACTCGGCCGAGGAGCGAGAAGCGGCCGTCGACTTTCTTCGTGGCGTCAGGGTCAAGTTGGGCTGGGGGATCGATCATATCATTGACCACTTGGAGAGACACTGGACCGGGATGCCGTGAACAGGCAAGCATATTCCCAAGGGGAGTTGTTCTTCCTCTGCTGCTATGAAGATGCTTTACCATCCACAAATATCAATCCTACTTCGTCCCTTTCCTCATATAGGGAATTCGGTCAATGCCGTTATTGTTCACATCCTAAGAGGAGGAAACTGTCTAGCGAGTCCCATCGTCGGCACTCATTCAATCAATCAACCAATCAATCAGACATTGATCGGCAGAGCATTTCATGGGTATGAGATTGTTCAGATATACAAGCCTGGTGGCTGGGTACTTAGTCATGTCATTTGCTTGGTTGGTTTGAGATCAGCGAGTGCCGTATTCCGAAGGGGCGCCTGCTTGAGGAAAGATTTCTCCGCGTGTAATTACCGAGTAATACAGACTTTCGATTCGCTCATGTATTTCCTCTTTGGGTTGTTCCCTCGTTCAGAATGAGGAAGCCATCGTGCGGTCTCCACTTCTCTCTCTCTCACTCACTCACTCAACTTGCTCGAGACGACCTTTCTTCTTTTGCGAAACGCATTCCCGAGAAACGGAAGTGCCACTACTGTTGCAAAGGGATTGCGGATGCTGTGCCCCTCTGTCCAGCTGTCCAGGTGCCCAGGCATTTTTTTGGCTCCTCATCGATTCCCGATGATCCTATTGCACCCACCCACCCATACATGTTATTCCAGCCTACCATGGACCTGGGTTGACCCCTCCCTTGATGACAGCTCGAAACCAAAGGCTTCTGCCATTCTGCCCACTCGCTCGCTGCGGAGGGAGGTCGCCTTGGCTCTTGGAGGGGGTGAGAAAACGGGCATAACTCTCATATGGTATCGAACCAGACGAACTCACATACATATTTACATAACTGCCCTCAATGCTTTTTTAGATTTCTCGTAAAAAGAAGAGCCAAGCTCGTTGAAAGCACGAGTTCTGTTCTACTGATTGATGCAAAGTACCTTTTGCACTGCGAGTTTGTGAGCCGCCAGAATGTGGTCGACGTCTCTTCCCTACGCTGCTGCTCTAGCGGCATCCCTGTTCATTTACTTCATCGCGTGGCCTCTGGTAGAGTATATCCGCGATCCAAAAGGTGTGTGTGTTGCTTGCCAGACGCGAAGATGCAACTGTGTGTCTCCATGAAGACCTCGGGGAGGCTGACGATGGCACAGGGCTGCGCAAATTCCCCAACTTGTCGTTGTTCTCAGGAATCAGCTCCGTTCCAATGATGGTCCTGGCCCATACTGGCGCGAGGTCAGCGTATTTGACGGAAATGCACAAAAGATATCCTGTGATCCGTGTCGCCCCCAACACCCTGTCGTACGGAGACGTCAGGGCCATCAAGGATATCTACGGCCACAACACTCCCTGCATCAAGGATCCCTCCTATGTGCTCTTCTCCGGCAGTCATTTTCACCTTGCGGATGTCATAGAGCGCGACGACCACGGCCGCAAGCGCAAAATCCTGTCGTCGGCTTATGCGATCAAGAACCTCGAGCAATGGGAGCATAAAGTCGCAGACAAGATGAATCGCATCGTCAAGCATTTCGACCAATGCTGTACCGCGCCCCTACAGACCAGTGAGAAACTGCCAGTGCCGGAAGACGTCAACCTCGATTTCCGCGCCTGGATGAACTTCTTCAGCCTGGATGCCATTTCCGACATTGGTCTTTCGGACTCGCTGGGCTTTCTCGACAAAGGAAATTCGCGGACAGTCGCGCGTCGGACGAACGGGACGCGGTACGAGGCCGACATGAGGGACTGCCTGTATAAAATGGCACACAAGCAATCGCTCCTGATCTGGCCGTATGCGTGGTACCCGATTCTCAACAAGATCGCCGACATTATCCCGTTTTATGGTCGAATGGGTGCGCTACATCGACAATGGGAAGGAATCCCGTTGGAACTCGCATCTCGCCGTCTGGAGCGCTATCAACGTGGTGAGAAGCTGGACGATTTCTTCCAAGCACTCATGGAGGACAAGAGCTCTCGTCCGAACAACCTCGAATGGGGGGAGATAGTAGCCGAGGTCAGCATCATGTTGAACGCCGGCTCAGTAACCACAGCCATCGCCATCACGAACGTCATGTTCCAACTGCTCAAGAACCCAGAGTGTCTGCGAAAAGTCAGAGAGGAGATTGATGCCGCTCTGGACGCCGATGAGATTGAAGACTGCGCGTCCACGAGCGGGTATTACGAAGATGGGGTCATCGCCTACGACCGTCTCAAACATCTGCCCTACCTTCGTGCTTGCCTGGACGAATCCCTACGCCTCTTCCCTCCCACGGTGCACGGATTGCTGCGACTGACACCTCCAGAAGGCATGAGGATTGTTGACGATTTCATTGCAGGCGGCGTATCGGTGATGATGTCCGCATTGACTGCCCACCGTGATCCCAACATCTTCCCCAGCCCAGACAAATACATCCCCGAGCGCTGGTTGGGCGAACCGGGCAAGGCGCTCCAGCCATATTTCCTGGCCTTCAGCGCAGGTGCAAGAGGCTGCATTGGGCGCAACATTAGTTACCTGGAGCAGACGGTGGCGATGGGGACATTGCTGAGAAGATACGACTTTGCCCTGAAAAGCCCGGACTGGGAGATCGAGAGGCTGGAGACACTTAATTGGATCTTGGGTGAGATGCCAGTCAAGATTTGGAGGAGGAAGCGTGAGAGAGAGCTCTGAGGATTTGCTTTTGCCGTGTGTAGGGTAGCTCCAAAGAAGACTGACTATCATGAAAGAATTTAATTTACCTTGGTGTCGTGAATGAAGACGGTTGTGAATGGTGAGGGCAGGTAGCGGAACATAGTTTATCCGTATGCCAAGGCTGAATTTATTTTCACGTGACATCGAATCAATTTTGAGCCTCGATGACAATCTCCAACTATTTCTCTGGTTCTCCCTACACTTACTTGACTTTTATATCCTGGTTGGAAGGTTCTGTATTCTGCCTGCCCAAAATGGCGACGGAGACGGTGCTCAGGACCAAAGTCAAAATCGGCAAAAATGAAAAACTCCCTCCAGAGAACGTCCGGTTCATGCAGGCATGTAATGACATTGCGCGCGCACTTGTCCAAGAATACGAGGCTAGCCTTGACGAGACGAAACCCAAGAAAGATGTCAACCTCAATAAACTGAGAGGGGACGTCGCCAAAAAGCACAGACTGAGCAATCTGCCTCCTCTGACCGCGATCCTGGCCGCTGTTCCGCCCGAGTTCAAAAAACACCTGATGCCGAAGCTGATCGCGAAACCGGTGAGGACAGCCTCAGGAATTGCCGTGGTTGCTGTCATGTCCAAGCCGCATCGATGTCCACACATCGCCTGGACGGGCCATGCCTGTGTCTATTGTCCAGGTGGACCTGACTCCGACTTTGAATACTCGACCCAGTCGTACACAGGATACGAGCCCACCTCAATGCGAGCTATCCGTGCTCGTTATGATCCGTTTGAACAGGCACGCGGCAGAGTCGATCAAATCAAATCTCTTGGTCATAGCGTGGATAAAGTCGAGTTCATCATCATGGGCGGGACATTCATGTCCTTACCCCAGGACTACCGGGATAACTTTGTCGCGCAGTTGCACAACGCGTTGTCGGGTTACCAGACAGAAAATGTGGACGAGGCCGTCACCGCGGGAGAGATGTCAAGTATCAAGTGCGTTGGTATCACTATCGAAACAAGACCCGACTTTGGACAGATCGACCATCTTTCTGATATGCTGCGGTATGGGTGTACCCGGCTGGAGCTGGGTGTCCAGTCTTTATATGAGGACGTGGCCCGAGACACAAACCGGGGTCATACAGTTGCTGCGGTGGTGGAGGCGTTCAAATTCTGCAAAGATGCTGGCTTCAAGGTGGTGTCGCATATGATGCCAGACTTACCCAATGTTGGCATGGAACGCGACATCTTCCAATTTCAGGAATACTTTGAGAACCCCGACTTCCGCACAGATGGTCTGAAGATCTATCCGACGCTCGTGATTCGCGGCACGGGACTTTACGAGCTGTGGCGGACCGGGCGGTTCAAGAACTATACTCCAAACGCCCTTGTGGATCTGGTGGCTAGGATCCTGGCGCTGGTGCCTCCCTGGACGAGAATATATCGTGTACAGCGGGACATTCCCATGCCTCTGGTAACATCCGGCGTCGAGAATGGCAATCTGCGTGAGCTCGCGTTATCTCGAATGAAGGATTTCGGCACCACCTGCCGAGATGTTCGAACGCGGGAGGTCGGCATCAATGAGGTGAAGAACAAAATTCGCCCTTCGCAGGTGGAGCTTGTGCGGAGGGACTACATGGCAAATGGCGGTTGGGAGACGTTTCTTGCATATGAGGATCCCAAGCAGGATATCCTTATCGGTCTACTGAGGTTGCGAAAATGCTCAGATACACACACCTTTCGACCCGAGCTGACAGGCCAGCCAACCAGCATTGTCCGTGAGCTTCATGTTTACGGTTTGGCTGTCCCGATCCACGGCCGCGAAAAGAGCCGATTCCAGCACCAAGGTTATGGAACTCTGCTGATGAAAGAAGCCGAGAAAATTGCCCGGGACGAACACGGAAGCGAGAAACTCAGCGTCATCAGCGGCGTTGGTGTCAGGAGCTACTACGAACGTCTGGGGTATACACTGGATGGCCCATACATGAGCAAGATGCTTAGTTTCGATGACGATGAGCCCGAGGATTGAACAGCCAGCCAGCAAGATCTGTTCGCAGGTTACGAAGCCCACAACGCGAGTCCTCGACGATGACAATTCACATTCACAGCAATCCCCAGCAAATTGCCTGCCCAGAGACGGCCGACAGAGACTAAAGTTGCCCGGTTTCAGGGCACGGTGAGGCAGTCTGCTGCTTCTTGTCGTAGCCTCTCTGCGATACCTCCGTATCCAGTTCGGACTGCTAGACGGGTAGCCCTGTTCTGAAGATCAAGAGCCAAGCTTGGCACGACGATTATGCAGGACGTTGGAGACATTATGGCTCGCTGCTCCAGCCAACAGTGGCAGTCCCCATGATGCCGAGGGTGTTGGAGATAGAGAAGAAGGTGTGCATCTCCGCTGCCTTTCCCTTGTGGTTCTCCTGAGACCATTGGGCTAGAAGGAATGATCTCCGAATCAAGTGATAGGGAACATATCCCCGCGGAAACAACGAGGAGAGGGACAAGGGGATGCATGTAGGAGATACGACGAGGCTCCGCGGCCCCACGGGTCTCTCTGTGTCTGCGTCTGTGTGAAGGAATCAAAGTGGCGTCCGATAAGCGAGCGATAAGCACCGACTCCCGCTCGACAAATCACGTCATTCGCATTTTTTTCTCTTCTTGGTATTTTTTCCATGTCGAGGAATTCTAGATTGCCATATTGGTACCGAGTAGACATGGTGAACTGAGGGGTTTGTTCTATTTCCTATTTTCTGTTTTCCTAACCCATCTTTCTTTTTGCATGGCCATGGCGTCTCGGTATCATATTGCTTGCACTTCTTAAAAACTCTTCGTCCTCTCCCACACAGTTACTCCTCTGCGCGCATTCCACCATGTTTACACCCGAGCTGTTGACGGCGCACAGCTGCGTTGGACACGTCCACCTGATTCTCGGTTCTGGACCTCTGGCTGCCGCACGGTGCACAAAGTCGCTCGATGTTGGCGCCCGACCGATCGCTGTGTTTCCCGAGACCGAGCAACCCCACTTCACGCTTGCGGCGGCCATTGAGCAGGGTCGAGTGTCATGGATACAGCGCGAGTTTGAAGAGCAGGACCTGAGGAAATTGGGGAGGGAAGAAATTGATGGATATGTGGATGCCGTGTTTGTCACTCTCCCTACCAAAGACCCGAGAAGCTCCCGCGTGTCCAGCCTCTGCAAGCGCATGCGGATTCCAGTCAACGTCGTGGATGCGCCGCACCTTTGCACGTTCACCCTCTTGTCGACCTATTCGGACGGACCCCTCCAAATAGGAATAACCACATCGGGCAATGGCTGCAAGCTATCGTCGCGCATTCGGCGGGAGATTGCATCCACCTTGCCTCCCAAGTTTGGTGCTGCAGTCGAGAGACTTGGATCCGTGCGGAGGCAGATATGGGCAGAGGATTACAAGTCCAATGCCTCGAGCCCTACAGAACCACCCGACCCTGAAGGCGAAGATGAAGAGGCCGCCGCTCAGAGACACACCTTTAATTCCTTAGTCAAAGAAGACGATCGAGACCCGGCTGTGTTGCGCACTCGCCGGATGAGGTGGCTCTCGCAGATATGCGAGTACTGGCCTTTGAGTCGACTTGCGGCAATCACGGACGCTGATGTGGCAACAATTCTAGAGGCGTATAGGACCACCGCTCAGCCTCCTGCTCCTGGTTCAGACGACACCTCCAGTCTCCTTCCGTCGCTAGCTGCTCGCAAGGGCACGATAACCTTGGCTGGTTCAGGCCCAGGCCATCCCTCTCTACTGACGATCGCCACGCGGACAGCCATTGAAACAGCTCATGTCATCTTGGCGGACAAGCTTGTTCCTGCCGAAATTCTAGCTCTGATCCCCCGCAGGACGCCGGTGCACATCGCCCGAAAATTTCCAGGTAATGCGGACGCCGCACAGGAGGAAATGCTGCAAATGGGACTGGAGGCCATGGAACAGGGTAAAGACGTGCTCCGGCTGAAGCAAGGTGATCCTTATCTGTACGGTCGCGGGGCCGAAGAAGTAACCTTTTTCCGAGAGCGCGGTTTCGATGTCAGGGTGATACCTGGCATCACCAGCGCTCTCTCGGCACCCATGTTCGCCGACGTCCCTGTAACCCACCGGGCTGTTGCCGACCAAGTCGTCATCTGTACGGGGACCGGTAGAAAGGGAGCTGCACCCGAGCCGCCATCCTACAGAAAGACCAAGACAGTCGTGTTTCTCATGGCGCTGCACAGATTAGAGAGCTTGGTCCAAAGCCTGACGCAGATCGCGGAAGATCAGAGCCAGCAAGGGACACGACGGACGCTGTGGCCCTCCAGTACACCGTGCGCCGTGATTGAAAGAGCCAGCTGTCCAGATCAGAGGGTGATCCGATCGACACTCCAGCATGTCTGTCAGGCCGTGGAAGAGGAAGGATCCAGGCCACCGGGCTTGCTAGTTGTCGGCCACTCCTGCGAAGTGTTACACAAGGCCGAGCAAGACCAGAGGTGGACAGTTGAGGAGGGATTCAGAGGTCTGGACGCTGGCGGATCCGCGGCTTCAGAGTTGAATATACTACAAGAGTTGGGAAACGCGTCTCCGAGGGATATCAAGGAGCGGCCCAAAGCGAATGGGGATTTCCCTCCTGCTATAACGGTGTGATAAAAGTTACATGATTCAATGTTTGAGACGTATTTCGAGCTGTATAGATGCCAGCGGTATTGGATAGACGAAAGGATACAAGATCCGTGACGTTTTCGTCTCTTCTGCGACTTCAGAGAAGCATATGAGAGCACTCTGTGACTGACACGCCAGATATAGAAACATGTTCCCATACAAAGTAGTATACACCTGAGAGAAGGGTGTGGCTGGTCACTACACCCATTACTTATCAGGGCGCTGGCTGCGTATAGAAGCCATCGGCCGAAGTTTATCCTTTGACCCTTTTTGGTGTCTCGCCTGAATCGCCTCGAGCATAGCCAAAGCTTGGTAATTTTACGCTTCTTTCTCGCTGCCGACTCTATATTAGCCATCTCGAAGCTCGAAAACTGTGTTCTAGTCAGCATATAGGCTAGTCTTGACTGTCTCTGTCCTAAAAAAGGTCAAGTCAATTGCTGCATATACAGTACATGGGTACGATTTGAATCGAGTCATCGAGGTCACACGGGGGAAAGAAAGAAGAGATCCGGGTTCTGCTGCCTGTTATCTGTCTGGAGGACAATACCAATGCAATGTCGCAGCCGCAGCCGCAGCCGCAACCTGGGGTGATCCCCTATGGCTCCAGCATTGTCCACTCCGCGCCTGTCGACATGGCTCGACCCATCAACCACGAGAACATTAGAGGCAAAACGATCCTCATCACGGGAGGTGCTTCAGGGTTTGGGGCAGCTTGCTTCCGCGAATGGGCCTCTCACGGCGCCAACGTGATCATTGGCGACCTCAACGAGAAGGCCGGCACGGAGCTGGTCGCCCAGGTTCGTCAGTCCACGGGGAATCAGAACCACCATTTCATCCCGCTCAACGTCACCAGTTGGCAGAGTCAGGTCGCCTTCTTCAAGCAGGCCGCCCGGCTGAGTCCGCACGGCGGGATCGACCACGTCATGGCCAATGCCGGGGTGGCCGATTCAGCGGAGCAGCTTCTATTCGAGGACCCGCCCGACTATGGGAAGATGGTGGATGGGCATGTCCCGCCCAACCCGGGCCTGCGCACGCTGGACACCAACCTGAACGGCGTCATGTACACTACACACCTGGCGATATCATATCTGTCGCAGAACCCGGGAAGTGAGCAATGTCACGCGGACAAGCATTTGGGGACGCGGGATCGACATCTCATCCTGGTGTCCTCGATTGCCGGGCTGGCGGCTCTGCCGGGCCAGTCTATCTACGCCGCAGCCAAGCACGGCGTGGTTGGGTTGTTTCGAACGTTGAGGCTGACAATCCCGCTGAAGAGAGGGATCAGGGTGAACATGATCAATCCATGTGCGCTATCACAGTCATTGTGGTATATACTTCACTAACGCACGGGTGTAGATTTTGTCGACACGCCTATCCTGGGACCTCTGGGCGCCTTGGTTCTCGCGGGCGGCGCAATGGCCAAGATTGAGTCGGTGGTCGAAGCCACGACGCGCCTCGTGGCCGATCAAGGCATCATCGGCCGCGCACTCATGATAGCCAGCAAGACTTCCGAGGAGGACGCGAGGGCTGTTGGTCTCGAGCGGGCCATAGAAGACCAGGCAGTCTGGGATTGTTACGCCGACGACTTTGAGCAGACGGACCTGTTTACGAGACGGATCATTGGGATCACGAATCTGGTGACGCAGACAAGAGGCTGGGCGGGGATGTGGTCGGACATTGGGGGCAATTTGTCTAGGAAACTGTGGAAGGCTCTGGGATATTGAGCAGGACGAGTGGACATGTCGACATGTCTCAGGACATTCGCCACATATCTATAGACAGTGTTTGCTATTGCGCTTCAAGATACATCTGGCTCACCTTAGTGTGCTTATGTAAGCTGCGCTTCGTCCGAGTTTCTGTCTCCTTTTCACCCCAAAGAGGCAAATGGATTCAGAGGCGGCGACAATCCCATTCCTGTTCGACATCGCAAAACCGGGTCCCTCATCGTGCCGTACGCCATCCCCTACCGTCGTGTCACCGATATATCCCAGACGGCCCAGTACCTTTTGTCCAGACCCGATTGCGAGGTTTCCCCCCACGAGGTGTGCGACCCAACGCTGAGCGCCCCAACGCAGCAAATCGTACGTCAATGTGCCAGACCTGGGCGTCGCCGTCGGTCTGTGCATGAATCTGGAAATCCTGCACCGGCACCCGAGCCATGTCCAAGGCATGCTAAGGTCGCGCAAGCTACTGGCTCTGGTCCTTCTTGTCGGCACCGCTGCTCTCACCCTATACCTGCTCCAGAGTCCCCAGCAGATCCAGACACTCGAGGAATCGACGGCTTCGCTCTTCCAAGGCCACCATGCCCACGAGGAGAACCAGCCACTCCTCCCCGCGAGTTCCTTGTTGCATCCTATCCACCAGCTAGTCGCCCAGGGGGAGAGTGACTTTCAGACTGTCCGAGCGCGCCAGTCGCGGTCTCTCAGCGATGCGGTAGCCGAGTACCGCAGGCGGTACAAGCTGCCTCCTCCTCCGCATTTCGACAAATGGTACAACTTTGCGAAGAAACGGGGCGTCGAGCTCATCGACGAGTATGACACGATATATCACCAGTTGCTGCCCTTTTGGGCATTGGAACCCAGTGTCATAAGAGAGAGGACAAGAGAAGCTATCGGATTCGACAATGCTTTGATCTCTGTCATGATCCGCGATGGCAAGGTCACCAAGGCCGAAGGAGGTGGAGATATGTACGAGTGGCATAGGGAGGCGACGCCTATCATGTTGAAAGATTTCATCAAGTACCTGCCCGATATGGACCTAGCATTCAACATTCATGACGAGCCTCGCGTGGTGATGCAGCACGATGACCTCCTGCACCACGTCAAGGTGGCCAAGGACGAGAACATCCCCAAGGCATACAATGCTCAGAGACTGAAGAACGAATGGTCGCGCCGCGCCGAAGATCTCGGTGAAGGAATCCGGATCAAAGAATACAAAACTACCCGCTTCAACCGCTTTGCCCACCAACCGACATGGAGCAATTCTAGAATCTCCTGCCCACCAGACAGTGCTGCGCGTTACTGTCTCACCGACTCCTGCCCGGACAACATTACTGCCTATTCTAATCTGCCCCTGGGCTTCGTCCGGAACACCACTGCCTTCTCCGACATCTGCAACTCTCCCAGCATGGAGAGGTCATTTGGCTTTTTCGACCGTCCCAACGCGTTTGATGTCACACACGACCTCTTCCCCATCTTCTCGCAGTCCAAGATCTCTTCCTTTCAAGACATCCTGTACCCGTCGCCATGGTATTATATGGGCCGTGTCAAGTATGAGCCGGAACGGGATATGCCGTGGGAACAGAAGGCTCCTACGATGTATTGGCGAGGTAGCACCACCGGTGGCTTCTCCCGCGATGGTGGGTGGAGAAGACAACACCGTCAACGGTTTCTCACCAAGATCCAGCCACTCAACACGGCCAAGATTCTCGAATTGGACACCAACACTTCGGCAGAAGATTCTCTGTGGCGCGAGAAGACCATTTCCGCCGCCGAGGTAGCGCATTATTTTGACGTCAAGTTCACGTACATTGGGCAATGTGACCCTGGGGACTGCGACGCTCAACGCGAGTACTTTGGGACTGTGGAGCCTGTCAACATGTTTGACGCACTGGCGTCTCGGTATCTGCTCGACATAGATGGCAATGCCTTCTCAGGTCGCTATTACGCCTGGCTGTTGAGCAAATCTCTTGTCTACAAGCTCGCGGTGTTCCGTGAGTGGCACGACGAATGGCTGAGGCCGTGGGTGCATTACATCCCCCTTGGTCTGATCGGTGACGAATACGCCGAGAGCGTGAGGTACTTTGATCAAGAGGAGGCTGGCAAGGTGGAAGGCAAGAGGATCGCCGAGCAGGGCAGGAGTTGGGCGCAAAAGGTGCTGAGGAATGAGGATTTGGAGGTGTGGTATTTCCGGCTGTTGTTAGAGTGAGTTTGTCCCCATCCTCACAATTGCTTGACATCGAGCCTTTGCTGACCGAGTACATCTACAGATACGGCCGTTTGATCGACGACGACCGATATAATATTGGCTTCAGTATCTAAAAAATGGCCTTGTTATTCTCAGATGTGCAAAGCAAGCAAGCGAAGCAACAACCCAAAAGATTCTGTATAGAAAATGCACCGTTCCTTTCTTTTTCGCCGAGGGATACTCACTGTGCTGAAATCAAGAGCGAAGCGTGTGCTGTCCTTTGATTCGAAAAAGAATGGTTTTGACAGTGGCGTTATTGGAAAAAAAGAAAAACCACTTCCCCGTTCCCCTTGCAGTTTTTGTATGAATCTACCGAGTACCGAGTATATAGGGAGAAGAGAGGAGAGAGGAGAGAGCTGTGACGTTGTGACGCTGTGAACTGTGAGGCTGTGAGCCTGTGTGATAAGACCTATATAAGACTGTTGCTGCATACAGTATATACCGTTGGTACATATAGATGTACATGAATTTATACCCCCCATACCCTATACCCTATACCCTATACCTCGACGACGAGATGCGACGAGATCCCTGTGTATGTGCGTATATCCTATCTGTACGTCTATGCTATCTGTATGTGTGTATATTAGGTTCTAAATCCATATACAATCTGACGTTGTATGTACGGGAGTCACTGTGACTTACAAGGTATGCTTACTAGATACTGACAGACCGGGTGACTGGCAAGCACGCCGAAATAAACCCATCTGATGTCGTCGATATCGTTACTAGGCAGGCAGGCAGAAAAGATACGTGGACACAACGCGCACTGCAGAACAAGGAGGACGTTTATACCTCGTACACACCTCTCTACACCTCGGGCACTCTCTTTCGAATCAGTCTTTGGGGAAAATCTATCTATTTCTTCCTCTGCGTTTGTGCTGCGTGGTACAAAACAAAAAGGGACGAAGGGCGAAACAAAGGTCCGGATTCGCGACTCCAAAATATCTTCTGGCCCTCGATATCTGGAATACGCTCTCTCCTCTTCCTCTCTCCCTCTCTCTTTTTGCCCGTGTCGTCTGGCCATCATCCCTTCATTGGAACTCTTCCCCCTTCCCTGCCAATGTTTTATTCCCACGCGACACTTGGTTGATCTTCGTACACATGCACCCGTGTCACAGCCATGCCAGGCTGCGCCGCCCGTCCTGGCCGGCAGGAACAATCCCCCTGAAAGCCTCCGACCTGGGTTTGGCCTTGGCCCATGCCCTTCCATGACACCGGTCACATTTCCCGCCTTCCTCCAAAGATGGGAAATGTCCACTGCGAAGGTCTCCTGCCCAGCTCAGGCCCCATGTCGTCCTCTCGCTCCTTACCGCGCTCAATATGCTCGACGTGCTGGACAGGCCCATCCTCGTTCTCAATCTCATCACCATCAATCTCCCGCTCCCTCACCTCTACCTCCCTCACATCCTTCTGCCGGCGGAAGCACTACTGTCCGGTATCCATCCTCTCCCCGGACTGCTGAGCATACACATTATTCGTTCCACCCGCCGCCACAGTGGCGAAATACCGCACATCCACGTCTTCATCCTGTTGCAATTTCTCCAAATTTGACATGATTTGCGCAATCAATTCTTGTGCCTTGGGACTCGGTTGTGCCGTGGAATTGGATTCTTGGTCTCCTTGCTGCAGTGTCCCTTCGGCGGGTAACCGGCGGAGCGTCTCGATGAGGACGGCGTAGGATTTGGCAACATTGAACCGGATGTTGGGGATTGGGTCGGTGACGAGGCGGTCCATCATGGGGAGGACGCTTTCGGCTATAATATCGAGAGTTATCACTGGTGCGAGGATCTGACATTGAACTGTTAGCAAATCGGTCTGAAAATGGATCGAATGGGACTGACCGTGATGGCAAAGCAAGTTGTCATCCTGTACAAATAATTTGCTTGTTGGCTCATGGCCGTGACTTTGGGGATGATGCTTCGATTCGCCCATTCCACGCCAAAGACTTCCGTGAGCTTCTTCAGGTTCTGTGTTGCAGCGTCGCGAATTGAGAAAACAGTGTCGCCCAACCAGCCCATGCACAGCGAACTTAGCTGCTCGTCGAAGAATTTCATGCCCAATTGCTTCGCCAGCAAGGGAATGTATTCAATAATTGCAAGGCGCACACGCCATTGCTTGTCTTCTGCAAGCTGGACGATGGCTGGCAGGAGAGACTGAGAAAGCAAGTCGATACCGATCACATTGTTGACAAGTTCAAGTTTGGAGATGATATGCAGTCTCACGTCTGGGAACTCGTCCTTGAGCATTTGCAGAAACATGGGGAGGAGATGAGAGATGGTTTCTTCCTTGCCGAGAATTGGAGCCAGTCCACTGAGTTGGGTTCCGAGGGCGGCTCGAACATGCTGGTTAGGATCAGACACAAGGTCTTCGATCGATGTCATGATTTCGTTCAAGAGGGTCTCTCGGTCAAGGAGCCCGCAGAAGCCAGGGATTTGGCTGGCGATGGCGGTCCTGACTTCAGCCTCGCTATCCTTGAGGAGCTTGACGAAGGCCGGGACGAGATCTCGGGTGACAACCTCCTCATTGACAGCCTTTGCAATCTTCTCGAATTTCTCTGCCACCATGTATCGTACTCTCCAGCTCTTGTCCTCGAATAAACTCCTCAATGCGGTCAGCAAGACACCGTGACTCGGTTGCTGCTCCTTGGGAATGACTTCTGCAATGGAGATGAGGACTTCGACAGTCAGAAGTCGAACACTGTCTTGGTCATCGCTGGCTAAATGTTGAAATAGAGGGATCATCTCCTCGATCACAATTGGAACGGGAACCTCTTTCACGAACTTGGCCAGGTTGTTTGCGGCTTGTCGTCGCACCATGGGTGTCTCATCATGAACAAGGTGCCCAAATTGAGCCCTCAGAACTTGTTGAGAAGATTGGGACGCTTTTCGGTAGGGTGTTGTGTACAAGCCGGTCGCGGAAATCTTCGAGGTGAACCAATCGGCCTTCGACAGGCGGATCGTGAGGGGGATGAAGTATTCTTCGACTTGTCGTTCTGACAAGTCATTGCAGATTTTGTTTAGAGATTCAACGGCCTATCTCCCTTTAGATGACTTATGCCCGTAACCATGGAGAATCTTACATACCTTATCCCGCACCAATGGCTCCTCGATGGCAGCCAAGTTCTCCAGAGGCGCGAGGAGCACGTGACCATATTCAGGGCCGCCGACGTACTCGATGAAGTTTCCCAGCTCTTCAGCGAGTGCGGTAAGCACTTCATCTTCATCTTCCACGGAGTCTGGGCCAAAATGTCAGTTGTAGTTCCACGTTTGGGCAACGAAACAGGCCGCACCGTCCAAAAAGGGTATCAATTCCTCTCTTGTTCGTTCAGGGCCAAGGGCCAATGCAATGGTAGAAAGTCGGTGGATAGCGTTGAGGCGGAGAAGGACATCATCGTGCTGTTTACATGTCAGTCAAAGCCCAGGGTGTGGCGAGCGCCATGGTTATAAGGACATACCTTGAGTTCGTCAATCAGCACGGCGATGGGATAGAGCTCATCTCCACTATCTTGACTCTCCATTTCGGGTGTATCGTGGACACTTTATCAAGATTTCCAATATTGAGCTGGCCCTAGGGCAGGGACTTTCGGCAGGAAAACTGAACAGTTACTTCTGCGCAGATTTGGTTGTGATGCAGCGCGGACACGTCGTATTTGTAGCAGAGAGGGCCAGGTCACATTCTAATGCATACTTGACTGAGTAAAAGGCAGTTAGTATCCACCAACTCGCGAGACTTCAAAAGTTGTGCCTCGTGGCCTGATATGGACAGGCTGCGCGGTTGACCAGGATGAATGCGCCGGGGATGGGAGAGGCTCGACTCACAACAAACCAAGATACAGAGTCGATGCAGGTGTCGATGAGTTGGTGGGGTCTGTCACTATGATTTGCTATCCACAAAACAGTCAATGTGGAAGTAGAGAGAGGATTCGTAGGAGGGCAAATAAGGGTATTGTTGCTTTTGCAAGGTGGGATAATCAGGTTCGCTCAACGAGCTCCGTCATTCAAAGTGAACAAGTCGGGAACATGTGGCTGAAAGGGGCTGATTGATGCCAGATGCTGTGGCACAGCCAAATTCCTGTGGGCGCAGGACAGGCAAGGGCATCGCACTCTGCGTAGTGGCTGCGCCAAGACCCTCCAGATGACTCTTCCCTCTACAGTCTTTGCTGATATTGATTCCTTTAACTGAGCCGGGCAAAAAGATATCACTCTCGACCGCCTCGATCATAGTCTACCTACTTCCCCCACGCTTCTCTGTCTCTCTGAGGACTTGGACCGGCGCATTTGGGCCGACTGAAACACAGCTGGAGAAAATCTGCCTCAGAGCCTTCGCAAAATGCCAACCATCACAGTAGACAAGGCTGCCCTCTTCCAGGCACTGGGGAGGACCTACACGACAGAGGAGTTCGACGAACTCTGCTTTGACTTTGGGATCGAGCTCGATGAAGACACCTCACTGACAGAACGACCGATCGTCAACGGCAAACAAGAACCTCCTCAGCTAAAGATCGAGATCCCAGCCAATCGATATGACATGTTGTGCTTCGAGGGCATTCAGCTCATGCTGAACATCTTCAATCGCAGAGCACCAGCACCTAAATATGTTCTTAAAGCACCGCCCAAAGGAGAAATTCAGACCATTACAGTTTCCAAGGATTGCGAGAGAATACGGCCATACGTCTCTGGGGCCATTTTGCGAAACATCAAATTCGACCAGGCCAGGTACGAGTCTTTCATTGACCTACAAGACAAGTTGCACCAAAATCTGGCGCGCCAGCGGACTCTGGTGTCCATAGGAACGCATGACCTCGACACGATCAAGGGCCCCTTCACCTACGAAGCCCTTCCTCCCAAGGACATCAAATTCGTGCCGTTGAACCAGACCAAGCAAATGAATGGTGAAGAGCTTATGCAGTTCTACGAAAAGGACAAGCATCTGGGTCGCTTCTTGCACATTATCAGGGACTCTCCAGTCTACCCGGTTATCTACGACTCTAATCGCAATGTCTGCTCGCTGCCGCCAATCATCAATGGTGATCTCAGTAAGATCTCTCTCAACACCAAAAACGTCTTTATGGAAGTCACCGCCACAGATAAAACCAAACTAGAGACCGTCGTCAACATCATGGTCACTATGTTCTCTCAATACACCTCAGACCAGTTCACCGTCGAACCCATTCAGATCATCTCCGAACACAACGGGCAGTCGAGACAAGTTCCTGATCTTACCCCCCGCTCCACAGTCGCTGAAGTAGACTACATCAATGCCTGCTGCGGCCTTTCACTATCGGCACAAGAAATCTGCAATCTGTTGACACGAATGTCCTACACGGCACGCCCGTCAAAGTCGGACAAGAATCTGATCGACGTAGATGTGCCCCCCACACGTGCAGATGTCCTACATCAAGCAGATATCATGGAAGACGTCTGCATCGCTTATGGCTTCAACAAGCTGCCCCGTGCATTTCCCAAGGTCGGAGCCACCATCGCCGCTCCATTGGCAATCAACAAACTCTCCGACATTCTACGTCTCGAAGCCGCCATGGCGGGCTGGGCGGAGGTTCTTCCACTTATTCTGTGTTCGCACGATGAGAATTTTGCGTGGCTCAATCGCAAGGATGATGGCAACACTGCAGTGCGTCTAGCAAATCCAAAGACAGCAGAGTATCAAGTTGTTCGCACGACGTTGTTGCCCGGACTGCTGAAGACTATCCGTGAGAACAAGCATCATTCTATCCCTATCAAGATTTTTGAGGTCAGTGACGTTGCCTTTAAGGATGCCAGCCTGGAACGCAAATCTCGGAACGAGCGACACTTCGCTGCCGCATGGTACGGCAAAACGTCAGGCTTCGAGGTGGTGCACGGCCTTCTGGATCGTCTCATGGCTATGCTTAAGACGGCTTTTATCACTCACGAAGAAGGCCTTGAGATCCGTGGGGGAGACACAGGAAACGGAACTAAAATGGAGTACTGGATCCAGGAACTGGACGACGCGACATATTTCCCCGGTCACGGCGCCAGTATTCACGCAAGAATCGCGGGGAAAGAAGTTGTCATTGGGAACTTCGGGATCCTGCATCCAACAGTGTTGGAAAAGTTCGAGTTGAGATATCCAGTCAGTGTCTTGGAGTTCAACGTGGAGGTCTTCTTGTAGTTAGAACTAAGAGCCCAGGCATCTGCCCGATGCTGTTTAGATGAAAAATGCCCGTGACGTGTTTGTCTGTTCATTTACATGCATTCAAGGACTATTGAGTGTGGCCCATTTTCTAAAACAAGAACGCGCCTTGGAGTCAGGCAGATTTGCTCTCATTGCACAACCCTTTTTTTCCCTCGCCGGTTCATGCGCTAGGTATGATGCAGATGACCAGAATCACCAGTTGCCAGTAGCTCCGGTGTCGTCCATCGCCCAAACATCCACTCCAGCAGATTCGTAGACAGGCTGAGGTGGTGCCACGGCAGCGGGAACCAATGGCCCTTCAGTGGCACCATCGTAAACGCCCTGGCCAGCTGCCCCAACAGCCGCAACTGTAGAAGAAGCACCAACATCTCGGGATTCCTACTCCTGGGCGTATTGCTCCTCCCCACCAGCACCGTCCTGCTCCGCGTCGGCCGCCGCCCGCGCATCTTGCGCTGCCTGCTGAGCGGCCAGAGCCTTTGCACCGTAGTCCTGGCTCATTGGTTGCACGACGGGCTGTTCTTCCTTTGGTTCGATGATGGTGACGCTGTCGGGAAGAGATTTCTGGGGACCGGCTTTTCCTTCAGGGTCGGAGCCGCGCATGATCTTGACTTTGATGCCCAAGACACCCTGGCGGAGGAGGACGTGTCGGGTGGCGGAATCGATAAAGTCGTTGACGGGTTGACCGGAGTGGATCATGAAACCGTCCTATAGATCGGCATCAGTATACCATGATTGGATTTTCGAAGGTGTTGTTTGTGTATCTCATGGGTTTATCTTACCGTGAACTTCATACTCTTTGCTCGGGCAGCTCTCAGTTTACCGCTCACCACAACCTCACAACCCTTTGCACCACTCTCCATAATGAACCGCAAAACACCGTAGCAAGCCCGTCTGACGGCCAGGCCATTGAGCAACTTGTATCGGAGGGACTCGCACTGTGCGACGGCAGAGAGGCCACGGTTCTGGACTTTCGCGGCATATAGGGAGACGCTGTTCTCGGGGAACTTGAAGCGTTTCTGGATCAGCGAGGTGAGTTCGCGAATGCGTCGTCCTTGTTCGCCGAGGACTTCTTGGGTGTGTGTTGCGCGGATGACTTTGGAGGAAATGCCACGTTAATTTTCAAGCCTCACAGGGATGTCTGCTATCCAATACATCTCCTACAGGGAACGATATGGCGCAGTGGGAGACATACTGATATCAGTGACGGTAGGCGTGACTCGGACCTCAACACCAGAGTAGCCTTCCTCAGCCAGCTCGCGCTGGAAGAACTCGTTGAGTTCGGCATAGAACACACCGTCGGCGACGAACTTGCGACGCTTGCTGATAGCGCCTTGCTGGGTAGTCATGTTGGCGATCTGATCTGAGAGAACAAAGAGTCGATGTTGGCAAATTCGCAGTCCTGAAAGCCTGAAGGCCTCTGAAATTCAATGTGGGGGAGGATCTCAATTTCATGCCAAGACAGAATTTTGCAGTTGAGCGAAGTGCGCTACGTATCAGGCCTCAATACTCCGCACAAGAGAGTACTGCGGAGCATAAGAGCAAAGATATGACGGTTTCCACCAACATTGCGTTTGCCCCAACTACATACAACTCTGCGTTTGCCATCCATCCACATGAGGGCCTCGACAAAGAACATTGATCGGACAGCTCGAAGAATTTATCCATCTCAGCGCAGGCTGACTGCAGGCTCAGTGATACCAGGCTACATACGGAAAATAGTGCTTCACTAGACCATATGGGTGGCTCCCCAACGACGGTGTTTCGTTTTGTTTGCTGTGGTCGCATTATATGGATCACTTGATATCACAGCTGGTAAGGAGACTGTCGTCATTTTGACCTTTATATTGTAGCCCGAGGTTGATGAAGCCGAGAGCCGGTCCTCTAGATGCAGCCTTCCGTATGATTGTCGTATTTCTCTTCAGCGATTGCAGATGGGCTCCGGTCTGCATCGGATTCCCTTATTTCTGGCAAGCCTTTTGGTGGGTTTTGACAATGCGGCTGTGGTCAGCAGATCCCTGGGGAGAGGGCACAACCTCGCAGGATGTCTCACAGAAACACAACCTTCAGACTGAAGTCGTATAGATGACAAAGGTGATTCCCCAGACCTGGAAATTTTGTAGAATAGACTGAACACTGTTGCCTCTGAAGGGCTCTTTCCTTGTCCTGCAGTTGGCCGCTGATGTCAAGAGATGCTCTCGCCGTTATCGGAAGTGATAATGGTATCACAGTAGAAGGAGGAGTCCCCCGCCTCGTCCCACAGCGCGCGCTCAACCCGTCTCACATTCTGTTGACCTAGTATCGTTTGACGCGGGCAGCCATTAGCCCCCTTTGCTGCCATTGTCCGCGCCTGGGCCTTCATTGACTGACCGACGAAAAGTCTCTGCTGTTGAGTATCAAAGGAGAAGATGCAATTCGCAATGCAGAGTCTGCTCTCCACTTGGTCGCTGTTCTGATATCTAGTCAGGTACCCATGCTCAAATGCAATGATGTGCGGTTGCTTTCAGTAATTGCTCCAGATGACTTTTCAGTCCTGCTTGTGGTGGACCTGCTCTTGAACTGCTTCAACATGCAACTGGGCCAAGCTTGTTCGCCTGAGTCAAGCCGTGATAGTTTGAGGTATAGGCTTTTTGTTGCTCGAGACACCGTGTCTCAGTCCATTCATTATGCCTCCTCTTCAGTTGAGTAAATCCTTGTACTGCTGCGTCCAGATCTTTCTCTTCTTTGTGGTCAATTCTGCTAGCTCAAGGAGATCTTTGGCTGCTGTGGGTTTGGAAAGAAGCTGAACTGAGTAGGCCGGTTCATCCGCTTGATCGTCTTGGGTGGACGAAATGCTTTGTTCCTGGTCCAAAGACACAAGTTGGGAGATCTCGCAAATGACTGAATTCGTGACAGACGTGTAGTCAAATAAATCCTGGTTCAGCGTTGTCCTAGACCTCCGATACGTGGGCAAGTTAGACTCTGAGAGGACAAAGGTCAAGTGGATTCTGCAAGATACCTATCCTAGCCTGTCGAGGCTGTGGATGAGACATAAACCGAAGTGTTCCATGAAGCTATAGCACAAATAGACTCCTGCATATTGCAGTGGACTGAGTAAGAAGGGCTGGGCAGAGGCCAGGCAGATGCCGCGCGCTCCTTCTCATACTCTCTGCCTGCGCCCGCGCGACTGAATCTCTGTCGGCGACATCATCGTCGTCCGTCACCAAGTCCGGACCCACGACGACATCGTTTCCCCTCGTCAATCGGCCAATCATCCTTCTAGATCGCATCGTCCCAGTGACGCCTGTCGATGAGACTCCTGGTCACCGACTGATCCCGCCAAGTTTGATCCGGTGTGGCAGCAGCTTTCCTTAAATATCTCTTTCTCTCACCCTCTCACAACATTTCTTTCTCTCTCTCACCCTCCTTCAACACCTCAGTCACCTCACTTGACCTTGGGTTTTCATCAATCTTTCCAGCTGTGTTTACTCTTTGCAGTAAACATGGCTTCTCCCTTCAACACTGCCGATGTGGCATCAGCGCTTGCTGATATCACGACCACCAACGGTGTTGAGCCTCCTACTGGTCCTCCCAAGAATGAGGAAGCCATCAAGCTTGCTCGGGAATCTGGCTGGGTTGAACCAAAAGCAAACAACTACACTGCGAGAGCACCAACCACGGCTCTCGGCAGCGACCAGGCTCAGTTGGAAGTCGTGGCTGAAGAAAACGATGGTGCTGATGAGGTTGTGGTCAGCAGACACGCAACCAGCAACTGGTCCCACGATGCGGCGAAATACGAATGGAAGGAAGAGTACGGAGATGTTGGCCCAAGAGACGAGAAACTTGAGAAGGATCTCTTCCGTGGCGAACATATCAACCGCGCTGGCATCAAGTTCGACAAGTAAGTGATGCTCTCCTCGTGTGATGAGAACCATCTGACTCCTTTCAGTTTGACCACCGTCAAAGTCATGGTTGAATCCGAGACGCGTGTCAACCCGGTGTCTAGTGTGAGTTCATTCGTCCTTTCCAGATTCCTTGAATCTTACCTCTATCCAGTTCAAAGATGCCGGTTTGCACCCAGTCATTCTCGAAAACATTGAGCTCTGTGGATATCGCCATACAACCCCGATTCAGGCTTACACCATCCCCGCGGTGTTGACAGGTCATGATATGATTGGCATTGCACAGACTGGTAAGTCTTATCTCTTGCCCATGCTTCCTCTGGCTTTTGATTGACAGTATTGCAGGGTCTGGGAAAACCGCAGCTTTTCTGATTCCTGCCATCTCCAAGTTGATGGGTAAGGTCAAGAAGTTGGCTGCTCCTCGTCCCAATATCGGTCAAGGCTTTGATGTTTCTCGTGATCGAGTCCGTGCTGAACCACTCATCCTCATTGTGGCCCCGACTCGCGAATTGTGCTGCCAAATCTTCGATGAAGCACGCCGACTTTGCTATCGCTCAATGCTTCGTCCCTGTGTCGCGTACGGTGGGGCGCCCATTCGTGATCAAGCTGCTCAACTTCAGCGAGGTTGCGATCTGCTTGTCGCCTCTCCAGGTCGTCTGCTCGATTTCATGGGTCGGCCCGAACTCCTTTCTCTGGCTCGTGTTCGCTACACCATCATCGATGAAGCCGACGAGATGCTTCATGACGACTGGGGTGACGAGATGTCAAAGATCATGGGCGGTGGAGGTAAGTACCTATACCATTCGCTTTCTGTTTCGTGTGCTCACCTTGTTTAGATGCCAACACCGATGGCGATCATCGTTATCTTCTCTTCAGCGCAACTTTCCCCAAGCGCGTTCGGAAGCTTGCTGCTAAGTATCTTGCTTCTGACTATGTCCATGTCAGTGTCGGCAGAACCGGAAGCGTGCATGTCAACGTGAAGCAGCATGTATGTTTGAATCCCCCTTCCGCAGTCTACTGCCACTAACATACTTCAGATCCTGTGGTGCGACAAAGACAAGAAGATGAAAGCTCTCTATGACCTGTTGATCTCGATGCCACCATCCCGTACTTTGATTTTCGTCAAATTCAAGAAGACGGCAGACTTTGTTGACGACTATCTTTTCAACTTGGGCCTACCTTCAACTTCCATCCACTCCGACCGCACTCAGAGTGAACGAGAGGATGCCCTGCGTTCTTTCAAAGGTGGTTCGACTCCGATTCTCGTTGCAACTGGTGTTACTGCTCGTGGTCTCGACGTCCGGTAAGCTTGAGATATGGCACAAAAAGAGAGACAGACGTGGCTAACTCTCTGCAGCAATGTCATGCACGTCATCAACTTCGACCTGCCCTCGGCAGACCATGATGGCAAGAACGAATACGTTCATCGCATTGGTACGTTAGCGTCACCGGAGTCCATTTCACACAGCTTACCAGATATAGGTCGTACTGCTCGCATTGGTAACGAAGGTCTTGCCACTTCCTTCTACAACGACGGCGACGAAGCCTTGGGCCCATTCCTCACCAAGATCTTGCTCGAGACTAATCAGGACATCCCCGATTTCCTCGAACATTTCAAGCCTGACGGTGGAAATCTAAACTTTGACGAGGAGGAAGAACAGGACTTTGAGGACAATACTGGAGGTGGAGCTGGTGATGCTGCCGGTGATGCTTGGGGGACTGGCAACGATGCAGCTGGTGCTGGTGGAGATGCCTGGGGTGCAGCTGGTGATAGCAATACTGCCAGCAACGCTTGGGGTTCGTCTGGCAACAACGCCGCTGCACCTGCGAACGACAACTGGGGTGCATCTACCAACAATGATGCTGGCGCTGCCGGGGCCTGGTAAACTGGGTTTCGGGTGAACAACCACACTGTCTGCAGACAGTTGTGACTGCTTTCGCCTTTATGATCCCCCAGAACTGGATGCTTCTATTTGGTGTCAGGATTTCGAGGAAAAGGAAAAACACATCACGGCAGTTCACACAGGACTGTTGATATTGTCCCTCGACACAGGATGGCTGCTGTACCAGAAAGGACGAGTGAGTGGTTGCGCCTCATCGGTGCGACCTTTCCACTCGACGTTTTCTCGGGAACGGTGAACGAGGCCAGTTGTATGAGATTCAGACTTGAGAGTCTTCTAGCAAATGCAGAGAGAACAAGATGAAGATAGCTGCATGAAAGCATGAGTTGCTTCAACGCACAGCCGACGAAACAATTGCCCTAGTGACCGTTAGTTTCTTGAAACAACCCCAGTTCTGTTCCTTTGATCCTGGACGCTTGGCCACCCCGACTACCGACTAGGTGCATGGACTGTGTAGCTGTTCTGAGGAAAGTCGTATCAAGGCAGGCAACTAACACCGATTAAGGACTTGGAGGCGAGCACTCACCTTTCGGAGAGGTCTGGGGGGAGAGTAGCGCCTCGTATTTGGGTCATCACCTGTCAAAGAGACAGGCAGGCTTGCATATCGAGAGAGCGCAGTACGATGGTGTCAGTCCGCAAATGATATCTATTTAGGGTTAATGGAAAAAGGGCTTGCTACCCATCCAGGCAGGGAATGGCATTCATCATCTGAGCCATTATCCATCATGTCTGCCAGGTGCTTATCTTAAGTTGGCAAGCCACCAAAGAAGTGCATCACACCTGAGAAGCTGCGCTCTTATCTGAGATTTGATTCATCCAAGATAGTGATGTACCTTCAAAGAAGGATGAGGTGGTGCAGAAATTGCCATGCTGATCCACATTTCCAGACCTTAATCTTTTCCCTCTTCCTTGCTCTTTTTCTCTTTTTTTTTCATTTTTTTCTTCTTCCCCATGTCCATGTACCTAATCTTGCCGTGGAGGAGACACGACGTCAGAGGTGGAGACTCTTGAAGCTTGGAGTGCTGGCTGGAGGTTTTTGAGGGGTTGTCGAAGTTTGTTTCTGGGTGGGCGGTGGCTTGGTAGTTACCCTTTAGTGGGCCATGCTCGGAGGAGCAGGTAGTGACCTCTTGGACGGACTCTAGGGGCTTTCTAGGCGGGCTCTACCCGTTGCTACGAGTACGAATAGGCGCCTCTATCGAATCAGCTGCCTAGAATGGTGCCTGGAAGACATCTCCACGCCGACCTCCTCATACTCCAGGCCTGTCCTAATCGAAGGATTTTAGCTGGTCCGCAACGCACGTTAATTCAAGCCTCAACCGAAGTAGCCCGCATGATGGATCCCGATGATTGTCAACACCTGAAGCTCCTTCACCCATTCTCCACCCCTACAAAAGCAAAAACCATGCAAAGCACACGCAGAGCCCGGCTCCTCCCTGCTCAAAGTTGTCGCTCCCTGCAGGCATGGGCCCTTTACTACCTCGTTGCGTACAAGTTCGAGGAGACACGAGGAGAGTGACATCTGCTCGTGGCGGGCTGGACAATCCCATCCTCGTCTCTTTCGTCCACTCACAACCCATGCCATTCTTTTGACAAACTTCGTTCTGTCGCTTCTGCCCAATCGAACCCATTCCCCCCCCGGCGCCTCTATCGAAGATTCTTTCTCCTCCACCCACCAGCGGGTCCAGTTGGCATCATGGCTACCTCATCAGAATCCCCGCCACCATCGCCGAGAGTCCTTATCCTTGGACCAATGCTACCATACGCAGATCAAGCCTCACCAGCACTCTCGGCATCGGGGAAAGCTAGCCTTCTTTGCATCTTCCTGTTCTCTCTTGTTTCTTACTCTCTCCGTCTTGACCTCCATAAACCGTGCCAAACTGTCCGCTGCGAAGTTCAGCGACTCATAGCAGCTCTTAGTTAAACGTTCTGCTCCGACTGTCACTCCTTCCTACCGCATCACTAACGAACGGCACATGCCACCGATTTCCGATGTGGACGAAAGAGTGACCTCTTACTGCCTCTGTGTCAAACGGATTGTTCGTTACCGCAAGTGGCGCTGAGCTGAAATCAGTTGTTGCAAACATACACCAAATCCTCCTCTGCTCTACAAATAGCAGTATCCCCAATTCTCCCCAACGAGGTCCGAACAAAGAAGAGAAGTTGGATATCTCACGTTACAACCATGGCCAACAAAGAAGTCAACGTAGGGCCCATTGACGATGGCGATTTGCGCAGACACAGCGTCGGCACAGTCGAGATTCAAGACGCTCAAGGTCGGCGCAGGACGGTGCAGTTGGACGAGCTGAGTGCCGCCGACAGAGCTCTCGCCGAGCAGTTCGGGTACAAGCCGGTATGTGGAATGCGGATTACCCACGTTGTATAACCAGGAGCGAGGCTGTTCTAACCACCGCACAGGTCTTTAAGCGCGAATTTGGCTACCTCTCGACCTTTTCCTTCGCCGTCAGTATTTCTGGTCTATTTGCGACCACCGCTACCACGTTCGTCTTCCCGCTCGAAGCTGGTGGCTCTGCTTCAGTCGTGTGGTGTTGGCTGATCTCGGGTGCGGGATGTTTGTGCATTGCCTTTTCCGTGGCCGAACTGGTCTCTGCGTACCCAACCTGTGGTGGTCTGTACTACACTGTTTCTCGACTGGCTCCGAAGCCATGGGTCCCGTCCATCAGTTGGGTTGTCGGCTGGATCAATCTGCTGGGACAGGTCGCCGGGATTGCCTCGTCGGAGTATGGCTCGGCTCAACTCCTTTTAGCTGCAGTTTCCATCGGTCGCGACTTTCAATGGTTCCCCACCACCAACGAGACAGTCGGAGTCATGGCGGCGTTGACCGTGCTCTGTGGCCTCGTCAACTCTCTCTCAACCTATTGGATGGAGAAAATGACCAAGACCTATGTCATCTACCACTTTGGGGTGCTGATTGCCTGTGCGATCGCCCTCCTGGCCGTAACCGACAACAAGCATGACGCAAGCTACGTTTTCACTCATGTGGAGGGAAATGCTGGTTGGACACCCATTGGATGGTCCTTTTTGTTCGGTTTCCTATCGGTCTCATGGACCATGACGGACTATGATGCCACAGCCCACATTACCGAGGAGTGAGTAGTGCTCGCCCCTTTCGGCTCAAGAATTAGTATGCTAACCTTTGCAGAATCAACGAACCCGAGATCAAAGCGCCGTGGGCTATCTCCCTCGCTATGTTGTGCACCTACGTTCTAGGATTTCTTTTCAACATTGTTCTCTGCTTCTGCATGGGAGACGCGGTTGAAGTCCTCGCCTCTCCAATCTTTCAACCCGTGGCTCAGATTTTCTACAATTCCTTGGGCAAGGGCGCCAGCATCTTCTTCACCGTGTCGGCCTTTCTCATTCTCCAGTTTGTCTGCTGGACAGCCACGCAGGCGTTGGCTCGGACCGTGTTTGCCTTTTCCCGCGATCGGTTGATTCCTTTCTCCGGTGCTTGGACTATCATCAACCGATGGACTGGAACACCACTCTACGCCGTCTGGATCAGCATCTTCTGGTGCATTGCCATCAACCTGATTGCGTTGGGGTCGTACATTGCGATTGCGGGCGTCTTCAACGTGTGCGCCATCGCTCTCGACTGGTCCTACGTCATTCCCATTATGTGCAAGCTCATCTTTGGCAAGTTTGAGCCTGGGCCGTGGCATCTGGGCAAATTCTCGTTTGCTGTGAACGTTTGGGCGTGTGTCTGGACGACGTTTGTTACCATCATCTTCGTCATGCCAACCATCCGACCAGTGACGCCGGACAACATGAACTACGCTGTTGTCTTCTTGGTCTTTATCCTGGTTTGTGCCATCGTCTACTGGCTGCTCCGCGGCAAGAGATTCTACCACGGTCCGATCATTGAGGCAGAGATCCAGGACGGAGAAGTGGACAGCTCCAGCTCGGCAGTGGAGCAGGAGGAGAAGAATGGTGACCTTCGAGACAGAAACGCGACTCCTCATGTGGTCTAAGCGGGTAAGATTTGCGCACATGGACGTTGTGCAATGTCTATGGCAAATGGTCTTGGGCAGTATGATGAAGCAGTCTGCAGAGACGGGGATCGTGCAGGTGGAAGGGGATTATTTGGTTCCCATTTATGCCGGATGTCCAGCAGCATATAATCTGTTTATTTGAATGCGCAACCCTTACATACGACAATGATACCCTTGAAATGGCGGCAATTCCTTTCGATGGCCCCATTCGGTCTGTACCGAGTATTGTATAATTGACAAGGCAAAAGGCTTCCGAGCAGCGCGCCACGCTCCCATCGTCCGGTCCGGGTGACCGGCAGTGGTCAGCTAGGTATGTAGGTATGCGCTCCGTACACATGCAGTACTTTTCCATACATTAGGTGCTATTGTAGAAAACGTTGATTGTTTTTTTCCTTTTTTTTTTTTTCCTTTATGGCATTACAGAAAAGATTCAAGGCATGGTACAAAAGGTACCTGTGTGGGTGTAAGGATGGTCAAAACTCCACTAGAAATCTCTGCATACCAACGACCCAAATACTCAAATAGACGTTGAGACAATTGGCTTTTTTCCCCTTTCGTTTACGGCGATGAATGGTACTGGTACGCGTAAAATGACATCCACACTGCAAAGTAAATACCTACTCGCTTAGAAACATGTGTTGTTGATCTCCTGGCAGCCTGGTACCTAATGAGCTTGACTTGCTTGCTTGCTTGTATGGGTGTTCCTCGCCCCCCTATTTCTCCACAGCCTCGCGCTCCCTTTTTCGGGTCTGTTTTTTTTTCTTGTTTGGGCCTTGTCGTGAGTCTTGACACAGACAAGCTTCCACTCCGACCCGATTTCAACACTTTTTTTTCCTTTCTTTCTCCCCAATCGAGAAATAGATGGAACCTGAGTTTTTCTACGGGTATCGTTGTACGAACCGAGTAATACCCTTGGTGTTTAGTCGAAAACTATTTCCCATGAGGGGAGGGGGGGGAGGGATCTCTTGGGCGTGTGCTGGGTGGTGGTAATGCTCGTTTCCATCAGTTTTCTAACGTAAGTAAGAGGGGCACCCATGACGGTTCAAACATTTCAATACGCGCATGAAAAAAAAACCCCCCAATGTCTTTCCAAGCAAGTAAATTACACGGTAATGAATGATGCGTACATACCCCCCCACCCGCCCACACACACTTCAAGCTAAACCACCCGAACCGGATGGATAGATGGATACTCCACGTAACGTCCCTAGCGATCTTCAAGGGCCTCGCAGCCTTGCGTGGCGTACCAACACCGTCGGTGAGTTTGGCACATAAAAAAGGCGAAGTCACATGGGAATGAATGGGGAGTGAGATGGAGATGCGATAGAATGGGGTTGTTGAGAAAAAACATGGCAATGTTCCTCTCCACGCCTCTTTCTCTCTCTCGCTCCTTCTCTTCCTCTCTCGCGCACGTGCGCTATCTCCCGGTTTCCCAGCGAAAGATAAACCCGCGAGGGAGCGAGGGAGCGAAACGGAAAGAGAACCAAACCACAGGACCAGTCGTCAACCTGATCACGAAAGACGCAATGACAACAACCAGAATGGACGGTCAATGCAGATCACGAAAACAAAAGACTTTACAGGCAATACAACAAAACACAATTCAACTTGACACGACACAACACGACACAATTCAAATCAACTCAATGAGGATGGGGGAATGTCCATGCCAATGCGTTGAGACTGTAGACCCACAGAGCTATAAGAAGAGGCCCTCTCCTTCTCCCTCTCCCTCTCCCTGATTCATGCGGTCGTACCCATCTGGGATTGGCAACATTACACACACACACCCGCTCGCTCACCCTTCCCAACACTCACTCTTGACCACGGCGATCCATGTGCACGCAAATCACCCAGTACCCTTTGATGCCCTTCTGGAGCACGCCCGCCATCGTCGGATCCCACATCACTTTGGCAGGCACTGTTGTGAGATCGTTGCACGCCTGTAAGTGAATAACAGAAAAGTGGCGGACGACAACAAGGCTAACAAACTCGAATGATCTTGTGCGAAATAGTCAATATCTTTTGAACAAACCCCACCGGCTTCAATCCAAGATATGCGGTTCTCCTCGGTCGCAACCGCGACGATCCTCCCTTGGGTCGTTATGACACTGCTTGTCTCGGCGGCGCCAACCTGCATCAACGGTGTGGCTGTCAACCCCTCCGTCTGGCGTTCTGCGTCAGAACAGCCACAGCCGAACCAAAGAAAGGCTACTACACCAGGGGTCACAGAGCCAATTAACGAAGTACCAGTAGAGGAAAGCGATCGCGGCGACGGCTACTTGGGCCAATCCATCGTGTACAACAATTGCACCTTCACCGTGCACAGCAACATCGTGCACGGACCCCGTCCCGGCGTCGAGGGGCTCCGGAGGAGATCTACTCCATCTTCCAGCCCCAGGAGATGCTGTCGCACCCCTTCGCTCACGACCCGCGCTTGGGCGTCAGCTGGAAATTGTGGCGGACCGACGTCGAGAACACGTCGCCCGTCCAGTTCGAGTGGACCTGGCACGACGCCTTGCAGCGAACCTGGTACGATCTGAGCATGATCAACGCCGGAAACGCCGGGTGGCTCAGCCCCGTGGCCCACAGGGGGGAACCCATCGTTGGCGATGAGGATGGACTGGGCGCCTACGTCGGCAAGGTCGCCATCAAGCACGCCTTCAAAGTCGAGGGCATGACGTTGGTCCCGGAGGTCGTCGGAGGCAACTGCGTGCCACTGCACTGCGCGTCTGGAGAGGCGTATTGTACGGCCTCGTACAATGTGCACAACGACTGGGGCCAGCAGCATGACTGAGGGGAGGCTGTCGACTTGAAGTTGACGCTATGTGGTTGAGGTTGAGACTGGGCGGGGGATGACTGCGGGAGGTATTTTCCCGTGGAGTCGGAGGGTGAATGGCACACAAAAGTGATTTTCTCGTTCACGCTGGTCTCCTCTTTGAGTGTTTTGTTGGCAGGGATTCCTGGTTCCCGTTGTGTTGCCCTATGTGGTGAGGACACGAGCAAAGATGTCTGCTTCAAGGATGGATTTCGGGTAAATAGATCGCGGAATTGTGAGGGACAGGTTTGGTGTGTTGAAACCATAGACTTTGAGGGAGGAGAGCATCATCCACGGTATCATATGGCATGCTTGGGAGTTTTTTCCTTCGTTCAATCCGTTTTCAATGTTATTGTCCCAGAGCATTTCCCTGACTCGTCCGAGCATCGAGACCTGTCGACTCCCTTTTTTAATGGGCCTTGTCTCCGAGTTGAGGCAACAGGTCCCCGTGTGTGTCCTCCCAACAGAAAGCCATGTGGGCCAGGCAGCAGGAGCAGAAGCATGAGCAGCAGCATCCGATCCCCTTCTCAGCATTATCACTATCGCCATTGATGTTGCCATGACGATCATTTCACGCCGGCGACACCACCCTCCCCGCCACCCCCCGCCAATTTCTTGCGAAACACCTTCCTCTCGACCTCGCGGATCTTCTCCTTGTCCTCCATCTCGCGCTCGATCTCGCGCACCCGGGCCTCGCGCTCGTCGAGTTTTTGCTTCAACAGCGCCACCGTCTCCTCGCGGATGCGGGCGATTTCTTGTTTTTCTTTTTCGCCGAGAACAAGAGGATTTCCGCCTGCGCCACGGCCACCACCGCCGCCCTCGCCAACACCGACTCCGCCTCCGACAGTGGCGAAAATCTGCGACCGGAGCTGCTCGAAGCCGTACTGTACCAATTCCGCCTCGGTGAAGGGCTGTAGCGTGATCGGGTTCGTGTTGGGCGCGGCGCTCGTCACCGCCGTCGCGGGGACTTTGATCGCTTCCACAGCGGGGTGGATCGGCGTGGTGCGCAGTGGTGAGTCGAGTGGTACGGGTCCAGGTCCGCGCTCGTTGCTCATGGCTGTGGTAGCGGTGATGGGAGGATTTGGGAGACTCGATTCCGGCGAGGTCATGACCAAGTCGCCTTCGTGGTCTTGTAGAGGTTGAGCGGGTTGAGGTACAGGTTGCGCCGTCGGGTTCGAGACTGGACCGCCTCCTCTTTCAGGCGTCGTGTTGGGTGGTTCATCTGCGCTTCCGTCAACAGCAGGGATGGTCGCTGGCGCCGAGCCCGGCGGCTGGGCTTTTGAAGGGTCGTCTGCCATGCAGAGTTCTTGTAGAGAATGTGTGTTTGAGTTGTAAGTTTTATTGGATTATTCGACTGTGTACCAAGCCCCTCGTAGTTGGAACTACGGTTTTTGCCGCAAACTTGAACGTAACAGCGCTACGGTGAAGCAATACTCGAAAATCCCAAATATGTCCAAAAGTGAGAATGGAATACCACAATACTCAACGTCGTCTATCCTAGACCCTCTAAGCCCTACTTAATGAAGAACTGAACCAAAACAATGAGTGTCCGCGTTAGACGCGCACAGTGACAAATTTCCCAACTGCGGGAATGCCATTGGCCAGCAGATAAACCACGTAGGGTCCAGGAGCCAGTTTGACCTGTTCCGGCATACACGCTACGACCCTTTTTCGACCATTGCTCAGCGTCTCCCAGCCGTTGTTCTCAAGGTATACCATCACCTGGCCCATGTGGACTGAGTGCGTGATAAATCCCCCGCTGTATAGGACAACCTCCAGCGTCTTGACCTGCTCTGCAGTGCTAAACTCGATGGTCACTCGTTTACCACGTCTCAAGGTATATGTCGAGAGGCCCATCACCGTAGGTCTCCGCGACGCCTTGTCACCACGAAGGTATGGGGGAAGCCATGTCTCCATCCTGAACTCGGTGGGGAATGCCTTGTATTGATTATGGATATCAACATGTTGTTGGGTTACTGGCATTTCGTTGGGATTGCTTCCGGCAATGAGCACCGTTCCATCCAGAAGTAGGAAGGCGACAGAGTGATAAAGCCTGGCAATTGTCGTTCTTCCAGACACGGTCCAGTTATTCCATTTCGGATCATAGACTAGGGCTTCCAATGCCGGGTACCTGGCCAGTCCAAAACCTTGCGCACCTTTGTGACAGCCGTTGATCCAGAGCACGGTACCATCGAGAAGTAAAACCCCCTCCACCATTCCTCGGGGGCCTGGCATCGCAGACATCTCCCACAGGGGACGCTTACCCATCGGTTTCAGCCTTCCACAGGTTGCCTCACAAGGACTGTTGATTGCTTGTGTTTGTCCTCCGCCACAAATCATGATCTCAGGCTTATAGCGGTTCTCTGCACGTAGGGGCAACATGACGCTACCACCTGTGTTGGGATAAGTTCTGTGCATTCCAGGCAAGTCAGGCATTGTCCTGATGGTCTCATTTTTGGCCACGTCAAACAGCTCCGAGCAAGTGTCTGCAAAAATGAAGAGCGAACCATCGGGCATCAGGTGCAGAAAGGGGTACATCTAGTACGGCATCGTCCTGACCAAAATGTTCATTGGTATATTTTCGCCTTGACTGACACCATTTACATCGAGAATTTCGTAGGTTGGGTTATTGTTGCTGAAGTTGAATTGATTTTGTCCGTTTAAGCTTCCTGCTGCCACGAAGATCTTGCCATCTGCCAAGGTCTGTGCTGTTGCATACCATCTGTTGGAGGCCAATTTATTTCCAGGCTCTTTCCATGAATAGTTGCCACCTTCGTCTCCAATGTACCGAATTGCATCGAAGCCGTCCCCAACTGTCGGGTCTAGCCAGAGCAATGGGGCGTTCCCGCCGACTGTGACAAGCCGTCCATCTGACAAAAAACTCCCACCACAGCAAAAGGGATTTGTCGCGACTGACAGCGGACTCAGGTGATGCGTATCTGGATCGTAGAGCGCGGAATAGGCCCATCGATTGTTCGGCAAGCGCAGCTCGGAGTAATCCTCGACTTTGTCCAGGAACAATACTTTGCCCGAAGGAGGTAAAACAGCAGCGTGCATGACCGGCACTCCGGACCGTGCAATGACGCTGAGATAACTGCTGCCGATGTCCATTGGTAAAATATTCGTGTATAATATCCAGGCAGCCCGGTGATGGGGGAAGAGTTGGTCGTAAGAGAGTCCAAGTTGGTAGAAGATGTGAAGAAAGGCGACATCCATCGACAGGGACTGTTTTATGAACTGGCTGGAAGGCGCATCTCATGCCTCAGAGATGCTTTCCCAACACCATCATCCTCCTTTCCAAATGCCCCAAAGGCCCATCAAGTCACCAACTCGATCCTTGACGACCTCAACCACCTGCTCTTCGCGCTCGTTAGGTCTTCCCACCTCTTTGACTCGTCCGAACCCGTCATGTGCCACAACGATACAATCTAGGGCCGCCTCCAGAGTCCTTGCCAGTGACTCATGCCCCGAGTAATAAAGCCTCAACGCCTCCCCGTTGGTGCCAGCAAAGGCAGACTTCATTTCGATAGCTGCTTGAACCCTCCGGGGCTTTGCTGCTTCTTGATACAACTGAGTGTCACGGATTGCGCCAATCTCGAGAGGAACAACTACAAGGACAAGGACGTCTCTTGATATTCGTGCGATTTGTGTAATGTTCCTCATTAGATTCCTCAGCAACGCATTGCTCTGAACAAGGCCGCTCCGACGATGCGTGGCTGACACCGTCTGTCCTAAACCCTGTATCAAGACGATATCGTGGGGTGAAGTGCGTTTGCCAGCTTCTGGATTAATTGACGTGTTAGTCGCATGAGTCCGCTGGAACAGCTCCTGACTGATCTCCGCCAAGCTTTCTGCCAGTCCCGCAAGGTCAAAATACTGTAACAGTCGGACAGTTTTGAGAAGCTCGAGCGCAGCCGAGGAATCAGAGATGGTCTTTGTCAGAAGAACATGGAGCATCGGAATGCTTTGAGAAGTATGAGGAGTCACAAGGTACACATTTGGCAGTATACTTGAACTGGCTTGGGATTGCAATCGAGGCTGGAGGAGTGCTGCAGCAAGCGTTTGGAGGACGAAAGATCTCTGATTCCTCACAAAACGATCAGTTGCACTTCGCCTGAGCTTCGAGTAGCCCATATCAGAGCATGGGCCAGCTGTCACTCACCTTACTTCTCGGAGAGTTACCATCCTGCTCTTCAGTCGACCCAATTCCAATGACTCTCCCACCCAGCCAGAGCGCGGCAAATGACCTGTCAAGACCCTCAATCCGGATACCCCTCACTTCGCTTGCGTGTGGACTTTCCTGCGGCCTCAAGTCCTTTGGCTGGGTACTAGCTCCCTCGAGATCGATCAGCATGGAGGCTCGAACTGGTTCGACCAGTGTTGAAGTCATCGTATCCGCCATTGTTGGATATTCTCTTCAACCGGTGAGAAAAGGGGTAATCGGTCTTGAATAGTCATCGGTGGTGAGGGAATATGGCTTTATACTTCGGGACCATTTTAAACGTTCACTTGTGTTCAAGATGGCAAATATACAATGAACATGAAGTGAAGGAGAAATAGTCCGAGTTTCCACATTTCAAATGACACATATATCGTCATTCGAATCCCAGGCATTCGCGTATATACGTAGTCCGTACCTCATATATTCCGTGTACACAACAAGTGAATGGACTGGTCCCGCCTCTCTTGGGTCTATATCTTGAAAAAAGTCTTGAAATATTGCATTTTGGCCATAGAGACAGTATCTCGCAGAAACGCCAGGCGAGTCTAACTTGGAAGAAACACCCAAACACGATAGAAACAAGGAACGCTTATTTTGAACAACTCCTGGCTAGGAAAGACATGGCCCAAGTAATATACAATCCAGGGTTCTCTCATTATTACCGTCCATCAATAAGGCGGCCGGATGAGCCTGCCGGGTCGGTTTTCCTTCTGCATGTCCCCTACTGCCTCCGCGACAGGAACGGGAATGGCAGCCAACAGTGATCCCAAATCGAACTTTTCGATCGGGGATGAAGAGAGTGGTGTCGCACCCTTACGGCTTGTTGGCCGTGATGTCTTCCGAATACTTTGCTTTTCTCGCCCTGGCGACTGCGAATACACCTTGCCTGTGGGTTTTCGTGACTGGGGACTTTCAGGGACGCCCGCGACAGGGGTATCCACTGCAGCGTCCGCAGGTCGCGCTGGTGAAGCATCGCGGGGCCATGTACCAGGAAGGTTGAGCGTTGACGGGATCTTTGGTACTGGCGGAACATCCGCATCCGTCCGAGGATCCACTGTGACATTCGGCACGGTTGTTTGATCATGGTACGTGGAGTCTCTCGTTTGTGCGGTGCTGGAGGACGTCTGCGGCCTGGGTGGACTGCTCTCTAGACTCTGTTCGGTTGGGTTGCCAGTGGCCGCTACGTCGAGGAAGGACGGGTTACGGTCGTCGGCATCATCCCAACTAAGCATGCTGCTACTTCCGCTGCTCCCTGCACTTCTCCGAGAACTTGTCTGTGGTCTCCGCAGCGGGCTCTGCCGCCTTCCAGTAACACCATAGCCGGATAGAGCTCGCTTCAAATCAGTGACTCTGACTGTTGATTCTCTGCTCGAGGTAGTTGGAACCCTTGCAGGAGAGCCGGTGGCGCTCGCTCGTCGGACTTGAGTGAGGCTTCCTAATCCGCCCATAAGACCGTAAGTTGGCGTTGTGGAACCGTTTACCGTTGCCGTTGACTCTTTTCCATTCACAGAACCCAGAGGGCGAGTAGCACCGTTAACACCGAGGTGGTGGTTGGGTATGGAAGATGCTCCGGTCCTTGATCCCGTCATAGATCCGGCGCTCTCCTTTTCGACCGCAGCAATGCATGCTTCTCTGCTCCATCCTGCAGCCATCTCGTCTTTAACTTTCTGGGGGAGTTGATCCTCTCTCGAGGCTTTTGGCGGGGGAGCGGCTCCGTAACCGTAACCAAATCCGAGGGTCGGGACAGAGAAGACTCTCCCGGGTGACGATGGAGCCGAAGTCGGGGGCGTCAACAAAGCGTTGTCATATGCACTCGCAATCTCCTCCACGATATTTGAGACTGACAAGAACGGCTTGATTGTTTCCACGGCTTCTTCATTATAGCTTGAGCTTTTTTCAGTCTCCCTCCGAAGTTGTCTGATGTCTTCGACGGACCAAGCTGGGAATTTGATCCTCTCGAGCCAGATCCCAAAACGTTTTCTTCGAGAAATCTCTGCATTGATCTCATGACCTGTCGGACTCGTCTCAAAGTCGAAACTTTCCGCGATTGTCCACAGGTAGCCATGCACAAAACTCCCGACATTGACTCTTCCCGAGGTGGAGACAACCTCTCCATTAAGGGCTGTTTCCTGAAGTCTGAGGACCATCGGCAACCCGCTGCGGACCGCATTGACACCAAGACGTTCGACCAATTTGGTTAGAAGAAGGTAGAGGAGAAGGAGATTGATTTCATTCTCGACATCGTCAAGAATGCTGTCATAGACAGCGAGATGGAGTAGAGCGAGAAAATTGGATCTTGCAGGTTTGCTTTCTTTGCGGGATGCGTTGGAGACGGCCCGTTTCGCCACACCGTTCTCGCCCTGAAGTTTCTTGGACTGTGTCTGCTTTCGATTGCCATCTCGGGGTAGAAGCATGTCGCTCTTGTTGGTCTCAAGCTTCAGCCACGCCAACAGCGCGTCCACATACGCAAACCTCACTTCATGATCTTCGTCTTTGAGGAGCCACTGGGTGCCCTCCCACACTTGCACCCCGACCCGTGCACGTGCTTCAATTGGGGCTCCTCCGATGCTTCGTCTGCTATTAGCGCGAACCAGGATTTCTCTGATGACTCGGCAAGCAGTGACTCGTGCAGTTGCAAATGAGAAGAAGGTGGAGGTGGAGGTGTCTTCTTGTATGTTTGCAGACTCTGCAATTGCCTTCGTGGCGGCAGCTGGGTCATTAATAGCAGCTGCCGAAGTGGGGACTTCGGACTGTGGTGATGGTTTGAGCCGCGCTAGAATTGCTGTGAGCATGTCGCTGATCTGGTCGGTGTAGTAGATGTGGTTGGAAAGAGAGGCGATACATTTCTGTAGCCTCTCAAGCAATTCTTGCCGGACAGGTGATGCTGTCAGCTCTTTGGACAACGTCCGGGACATCTTGTTCTCCGTCAAGACCGAAGCTGGATCGAATGCCTCCTTGGTTACTCGATAGAACCCGAGAGTATCCTCTCGATGTGGCTGCGTGATGCGAGCATTTGGTCCCCCGAGTTGGAGGAGGACTAGCATGTGCTGGATGAAGCCAAGTAGAACATCCATGACGCTCAATCCAATGAGATTGACGGGCGAACTGAGAAGCCAATCGATCATGGTGGTGAGGACTAGCTGTTTTTCCAGAACTCCTTCCGCCATGGGACTTCTGACCAGTGTTTCCATGGCGGTAACAACAATGATAAAACGGTCCTGTACGGGTGTCCACCGCGCAATGGCTTCAAACAGAGATGTCGCCCAGTTGCCAGTCCTTGATGTTTCCGGCGTAACCTTGGGCGGGTTCTTCGAAGCAATGAATTTTAGGGTCAAAGCTGTTGCCAACCTGGTTTGACCCCTTGTACTTCCGATGCCAACAGAGAATATTTGTTTCAGGCACCTTAATGCCAAAGCTCTCACCTCCTCTTCAGCAACCTTGTCCGCACCGGCGGTGGTCTCGACCGCCGCAGCAGGATCGCCGTCGATAGTGTCGACGGTTGTGACAGTTGCGATACTCATGCGTCTCCTCCTGGCGGATTCGTCGTCCATCCTCTCGCTTGTTTTTGCCCGCTGCTGTAATGTTGAGAGGATATTCTCTTCTTCCAGCGACATGTTCTCCAGAATCACCGGCATGACCAGGTTGAGTTGTCGACTAGAATCCACAGACAGAACATCGGAGGCTACGACAGCCCGGATGGCCCGAAGACCAATTTTCCGCCATCTAAGAGAGAGAGGAATAGGGTCGTTTTGTTTCTTGTCCGTCGGTTTTGTTTTCAAGGCAAATCCAGCGTAGTGCTGGACGAGGGAGATGTACTGCTGAGCACGCTGCTGGTCGGCGGTGAGAGAGGCAACCTCGACGTATTTGCAGAAGGCCTCGAATGTAGGAATAGAGTCTTCCACCATGTTCACGTCCTTGGAACGGAGGACAGAATCGAGTATGGTGAGGACGGATTTGGAGTAGAGAGAGAGGTCACGGGGTGCTTTCTCGATGATTGCAGCGAGGATCTGGAGGGTGACCTGGACATTCCTAGGGTTCAGTTAGCAATGATCGTGGCAGAGTTATTGTGGTGCGCACCCGAGCCTTCCTTTCCAGACATCACCGGCGTTCTTCTTCTCCAGGAATGCGCCGACCTTCTGCAGCTTGTTCCGACGGGTGGATGCATAATAGAGAAGATAGCTGAGCTCGGAGGACATGGGCTTGACCTCCTGGACATTCTTCTGGTATTTGGGATAACATTTCAGGACAAGAACTTGGTGCTTTGGGCGGCATTTCTGCTTCGCGCTGTGAATGGGGTTGAGTAAGGAGCTCATGGCGACGATGACCGACGTCGGAGTGGGAGGTTGAAAGGGCTGTCATGGGGTTTGGGGCGAGATTATCACGGCATCGGAATGTCGCGTAGCATGATGATCGGATAGTGAGATGGACGTTGTGGAAGCATCTTGGTGAGACCTGGATGTGAACACGGAGGCGGCCAGTCGCTGTGAAAGCGAAATCTTCCTGCGAGATGACGATGAGGTTTGGCGAGGTTTCCCCGAGCGTCCAGGGAAGGTCGCCGCCAGCCACGGGGGGCTGTTTGGTGAATAAATACGAGGTAGCTACCTACAAGGTACCCGTGATAATATGCTCCACCACCATGTAATAACTAGATACGGAGTACCAGGATCTCTCTCTTGCTATCTTGGTCCTTAAAGCTCTCACTCCTCAGCTGGATTCAGACTCTTTCTCCACGTCCGGCACCTCTGTTCTAGAGTCCAGACTATTGAACGTGGATCAAGATCCCGTCCCCCCATTAATCAGACTGCACCTATCCACGGATGATCGCATCCCGCCTTTGCATAATCATGAATGTCCTCCACCGCACGTGTGTTTGTGCAACCACTAAAGACGACTTATGCGACAATAACCTCTCTCAGAATCCCCAATGTCACTGCTCTCACCCCAACTTCTGGGCTATATCGCTGGCGCATCCTCTTGACCCCGCCCGTGCCATACGTCAAGGTGATCACCAGACCAGTCATCGTGCTTCTCCCCTCGACGATCTCGGTATCAAGTGCAGTCGAAAGAGATGGATGGGACACGAAATATTGATCACATATGTAAGTGGAAGAGGTATAGAATGACTTGAACATCACCAGACCTCGTCCAATCAAGATGTCGTCAACGACACCCCTCATACGACCCTAGGCTGGAAGGGCAGGAGCACGTGAAGCTGGACGTGCTGGATTCCATGCCGACATGAGTAGCTCATGGAATTATGAATGGAGAAAGAAGTCCGTGCTCGGGCTGTCATGCAGCCGCAAACAGATGCAGAGTAGTGGCGAGGAATGCAGCAGAAAACATACCACGCTACCACAACAAACAGAGCTCGGGTGAGCAGATCTTGGATCTGAGCCAGGAATCCCGAGCCAGTGGTAGAGAGGACCGATCGAAGATCAAATCATCACCGCTCAGGTATCTACTCTGGGTAGAATGTCGTTCGATATGCTTCTGTATCCCTCTTGGCAGTAGCACCATCACCGTAGGGCATGGATACCGCTAGTTTTGCGAGAGAAGTTGACCAAACAGCTAGTCGAAGAAAGAATTATTGCCTGTAAAATCACATGTTTCCGATTGTGGGATTAGGTGTAGAATCGCTAGAAATGCCATATCAATTCAGATGCTCAACCAACGCTCAAAACACCCTTCCCTGCGCTGATCAGGGAAAGATGGTGGAATCAGTTCATGCTTTTGAAGTAACCTCTAAATATCTATCCCGTAATAGCAGCGATCTATATGGGTATCTGTGCTGTACTGCGCTGCAAATGTAACGATCCTCGCTGAAAATTGGAACGCCAACCCAAAATGTATTCGTCTATTATGCGTCCATATGCTCAATCTCGTAGTGAGACGAATGGGTGGTAGGAAGTTTGCTGTCTTGTGTTCGATGAGGCTTTTAGAGGACAGAGTTCGGGGCTCCAACAGCGATGTTAGGTCGCGGTAGACTGAAGAGAGGAGTCGTCGAGTTCTTGGGTGTATAGTAGAAGACTTCCGACTTCTTGGGCCAGTAGTAGACGGCCGCAAAAGGAGCGATGGCCGTGGCAACGGCGGGGACGGTTGCTTTGGCGAAAGCAAAGACGGCAGACATTGTGTTGGTTGAGAGAGAGCAGTCGGTAAGGTCTCGTTGGGAAGAAATTCGTCGGGGGTAGGTGCAGTTGTGTATGTACTGACTGTGTAGAGGACTGGGAGGTATTTGGGGCCCAGGGAGATTCAAGTCAAGGAATCAAATGGGCTGTGGATATGCAGGTGACAGAAGAGAGACCGATGTAAAAGAATGGACGATGGGATTAAATACAATCACATCTATCAACCGATGTAGCAACGTGGTGCGTGGACTGGTAGTAGTACTGTCACTTTGTTATCACCGCCCATAGCGGTCTGGAAACCTAAATTTTTCTGGAACAAAAAAAAACTCACATGTTGACCACCGGGATGCCATTTAGAGACTAGCGTGTCTCAGGGGAAACTTCCAAAGATAGAAGCTTCCTCCGTCCCTCCAGCCAAAATCCGCATGTTGACTACCAGTGTCCCCAACCACCTCCCAAAACTTTAGTGATAAGAGGCTGTGGATGCTGGCGCTGACAGGTCCCGAAGGCTTATCACCTATTATTTGACGGCGGTGTGCCACAAGTATCTCCAGGTATGGTGTTTGAGGTGCTTGGGAACCGAGAATGGCGGCTCGTCCTTACCTATGGATCCCTAGCTTTGCCGCGATCTTGCACGATCTAGCACCCAGACCTCAATTATCGCTGGTCCAGCATCCAGGAACCGAATGTCGTGCTTTGCTTTTTCACATGTCACTGAATTTCGGTTAAACACTCCTCCGCCCTCTGCCCACCACCTCGAATCTCTCATGGAGGAAATGACTGGATCGTCTTTCTAATGACGGCAGATAGGTTCTTACTCCAGATTTCTCAGCATCGATGCTGGATGCACAGAGACTCGGAGCATTTGAACCTTTATCGAAAAGCGTCATTGACCGCAGCAGATAGCAGCGAGAGCCGTAACCCTCTACCGGAGTAGAGGTCAAGCGGTAATACCTTCACGACTTGGTTGGGCTTACTCAGATGGGCATAACGCAGCCTTCGTCACCCCTGGTTCACTTCCAGCATGTTCAGAGTCACAAATATATTGTGGGAATTTTGACCGAATAATACTCAGTACATTGGGAGGATCTTGGGTGTCGTGTACCGCCTCGAGTATGGTTATGATCCTCAACCAAAAGCAGAGAAGTAACGTACAGACTCCACTATCCGTCTTTTTATTTCTATCAAAAGTTGCCAGTTGGGGCCGAAAACATTATATATTCACTTCAACCTTGTAGAGCGAGCATATACCTGTTGCCGCCATGAGCTGGGATCTGGGCTCCGTTGACCCACCGTGCCTCGTCGCTGGCCAGAAATCCTACCACCGACGCGACCTCCTCGGGCTCACCAGGTCTCTTCTCAATCGTATGTGGCGCCACGGATTCTTCGATCGCCGCTGGAAGCACTTTCATGACAGCCTTCAGAGGGTCAGTTGCTGTCGACCCGACGCTGACCGAGTTGAACGTGGCATGTTTTGTTGCCGCAAAACTTGCTGCTAGAGATCGAGTAACACTGTCCAATGCAGCCTTGCTTGCACCATAGGCAATCGAGACGTCGTCATTCGCCAGCTTGGACATGATGCTTGAGATGGTGACAACCCGGCCGCCTTTTGCGGGCAGATGTGGTAGGACTGCGGCGATGATGCTGATGGCGGAGAAGGTATTTCCCTGGAAGACCTTGTTAAAGTTTTCTAGTGTTATGTTGGCAAAGGGGACGACCAGATCGGGGGTGTTGAGAGCCGCATTGCACACAGTGATGTCGATGGTCTTGGTATCCAACCCACTGAGGACTTGGGGGATCAAGTTTGCTCCCAACTGCGGATCCAGCAGGTCGGCCTGGATTGCGATTGCCTTCTGGACACCCAACTTCTTCAACTCCTCCAGTGTGCTGTCGGCGGCTTTGGTGTTTCCGGCATACGTGATTGCGATTTTCGACGCCCCTCTTTGTGCTAGTTGGACGGTGACCGCAGCACCAATACCTCTGGACCCTCCAGTAACCAAGGCAGTTTTGCCTTCCAAGGATCCGACTTTGCTCGCTGCCATTTTTTAATATAGAGAAAATAACGTTCTTGAATGACAGTATATGGCACGGGGATTCATGGGTTCGGTGGACGTTTATCAGCAAGCATAGATACAGCAAGGCAGATATAGATGAATTAAGAGAACTATCATCTTTATATATATACCACTCAAGCACTGGATATGTGTGGTCCTCTGTTGGAGGGTCTTTCCGAGGCGAACGAGTCGTAAATTTTGGCATCCCATACAACATTACGAGGTTACACATTTTGATAGAAGCTACAGGCGCGCGCGTAGGCTTGGAAAGTTATAGTTTCCTATTCTCCTTCTGTGGGCATTTTACCCAAATCCTCGGGGAATTGCGGGGTAATTACTTTGTATATTGTGACCAAGACCGATGCATAGCCACCTGCCTGTCTGTTCACTCTTCATGCCCAGGAACGCATTAATAATATAACCCAAGGTCTTCGTGTTTCACGGAAATGGACGGAGAGAGCGCGAGAGAGGGTGTCTCCAGTCTCCACTATCGCGACATTGCTCATCTTGATGAAGAACTAGAACTATCCGAGGTCCATGGGACTTGAGCACCAGGCCTGAGGATATGGTCTCCTGTTTCTCGGAATCTGGTTTGATTGATGACTTGGGTCTCGAGATCGCGTATACCATACTACCCAGACGGTGATAATGCATTCAGATATGCGAGCAATCCATATACATACCGAGTACGAGCAAGTATATCGTCGTTACATAACAACCACTACATCTGTCTGCAGCCGACGGTACAGTAGAAAGACATCGGTATCCCAGAATGAAAAAGTGCTGCTTACCTCGGGAAGTCAAGGGTTGTGCTTAAGCGGTCTTTTGTTTGTCGGCATCTTCCCTTCCTCTGCTGTGTTCTGCTTTTTCTTGATCTTGGTAGAGTAGAGCTTTCAGCCTCAGTCCCACACACCGAGGTAGGGTCTCGGCTTGCGAAAGGAGAGATGGCGCTGCGCTGGTTCCCTCGACCTGGAGAAATTCTTGGTGCTTGGACACGATTCTCCCGTGTTTCATCTGGCCATTATCGCAGATCTGAAAAGATTAGGTGGCTCAGATAAGCGACCAGCCCGAGCGTTGGACGTTCATCCCGGTCGTCTGTGACAGTGTCGGACCAAAGTGATGGTCCCCACGTTTTTCCAATAACGAAGGGTGGCATGGGAGGTTCCGGGCACTGGGGAAACCGTGGGGTTCAGAAATCCAGGAGGTCTAGGGGGCGTGGGTGGTGTTCTCAGTCATCCGATTCGTCTCTGACATCTTGCAAAGTTCCACCTGTGGGAAAGTTCGCCCCGACATCGCAAAGGCTCTGGTTGTTGGACTTAGGGGTGGTTGGAAAGGTGTAGTCGGCGACAGTGGCATCGTAGAAGGGGTTTAAATTTGCTAGTTGAGCAGACGATAATAGGTATCTGATACTAAACTGGGGGAGAAAAAAAGCAGGGCGCAGGAAAGGAGGGGGAAAGGCTCCTCCTTCCCACGCAAATATGCCAAGCCACCTGTCCCCCTCGTCGCAGTGTGTCTGTTTTCGACATGGCATTAGATATTGTATTCCAACTCCCATCATCATAATAGTACGTGATCAAGAAGACTTTGAATCCGTCACCCCCTCGATAATGACCCAGAACTTGCGGATCTTGCCCTCCTCCACCATCAGCACATCCGCCCCCTTGACCTTGACCTCGACCTCGCCGGTCGCCGTGTCCTGCGGCCCAAACCCCCATGCGAGATAGACCATGCCGTGGTTGCGCTGCACGTTGCCCACGGGCACGAACCCCCACCCCTTGCGCGCGCCGAGCAGTTCCTCGCATTTGCTGTCGACCCCGTCGTGGCCGGTGACGACCGAGTCCGGCTCGTAGAAGGTCACGTCTGCGTGGTACGTTTCTTGGATGGCACGGCGGCGCGACTCGCGGTCCCGGTTGCTGAAGACGTCGAGCAGATTGGCGTAGGCTAGGGTGTGGGCGACGTCGGCGGAGGCCATTGTCTTTGTTTTGTTGAGCGTTGAGCGTTGAGCGTTGATCTGCGGATGTAGGTGTCGGCGTGGTTTCTCTGGGTTTTTGATCGGTGTTGTTACATGCGACGACAGGACTGAGGGACGGGGGCCCTACAGTATCGTGAGTCTTCACTCTTTTTATACATATGCCCATGTATCTATCCATCCATCCCGCGAATAAGGCCCTCATGTGAACGGTCGATCTACCTTCCTACATACGTAGCTGCATAGCTTGCCTACTGAATCCACGATCTAATCCGCTTTAAAAAGTCGCGGCCCCCGAGTACGCCGCAATACAACACCAAAGCAAAAGACCGTCCCCTTGCCGCCTCGGATGACATATCGAGGAAGCAAGGTTGTCCCTTGTTCAGCTCGCTTGATAGTTAGTCGGCCTGATCGGACGAAAGATGCATGAGCCATAATCCATCCCAGTAAGCCAGTTTCGATCGGGGAACAACGGTTGCCGTGTCTGTATCGAAGATGATACTGTGCCTTTAACCCCGACATATCCATTGCCTTTGAATTGTCCGCAATGCCATTATCGAAGTAGATACTCGCATGTCTAGTATCACCTCGCAGTATCTATCCAAGTCCCTGTCTATCTCCAGAAACACCCTGCCCATCCAATGCCTGCAAGAAACCAGCCCATAAAACCATGCTTGCGGTATTCAAGAAACCCGCCCTTCCAGACCTATCATCTTCCCAGATTGGTAGCTCCCCTAGAACCGACTGATATCCCTCCCAAACACCTTGACAGCCACCCATTGCACCACGACAAGGAACTTGTTCCTCCAACTCAGCGTCATCGTGAGATATGCTCCTCTCCAAATGAGGTAGGCCGCCAGCCCTTTGATCCCCTTCGCGGCACCACCACCGTTGCCATTGCCGTTGCCACCCTGAAGAATGGCCTTGGCTCCTCCGAGATAGGTCAAAACGCCTAAATTCCTGAAAGTAAATCCCTTCTGCTTCCGAAACTCCTCGGGGGAAGGGTGCTTGTTCAGCGTCTTCCCAAGCCAGAGGGCCTGCTGATTGGCGACTTGCGCAGTGGCTGGTAAGGCACCAGACATCAATTTGCTCGTGTCCCCCAGCGCGAACACATTCTTCATGTACGCCTTGGGCTTTTCATCTTCCTTCATGCCCTCGGCGCACGCTGTCGTCAGGTGCAACCGAAAATGGTCATCTACCAATATGACACCGGTTCTGGCGTCGCGCTGGATGATCCATTGTCGTTGCATCGGGTCTGTCAATTCTCCCTGGGTGATTTGTGCCGATTCTGTCGGGAATCGACGCACATGATTGAGCGCTTTCATCACAAACGGGTTGTTCATGTTTCCCGTAGACCACACACACATGCCAATACCGACATCGCCTTCTTCTTGCGTGTTGATCGTATAGACTCGTCCTTTGACTTGGCTGGCTTGATCCTGGCGAGCTTTTTCGTCGTTAGGAAACCCCTTTCGGAGTTCTTCGACATGGTGGGAGGTTTTGATCTCAATGTTCTGGCGTCTGTACTGTTTCACCGCGTAGTCGGCGAGTGAGGCATCGAACATGGGGAGAACCTTGGGGGCGACGTCGTAGAGACTGATGCGAACGTATCTCATGAGATCAGGGTGGATCTTGGAGAGGTCGTCTCTCAGGAGGTCCGACAGACAGGCGGCGAATTCCATCCCCGTTGGACCACCACCGACGACGGCAAAATGTAAGAGGTGCTTCTTCGTGTCTTCGGGGATGATGGGTAACCGTGCGAGTTCGAATAACTCCAGGATCCGTCGACGTATGGCAACTGCATCTCGCACGTCCTTCAGGAACCATGCATTTTCTCTCACGCCCTTGGTGCCGAATGTCTGGCTATAGGTGCCCACAGCAATGATCAATTTGTCGTAGTGGATGGGAAACGTAGGAACTTCATGCGAGCCGGTCCCACCCATCTGTACCTCCTTTTGCCACGGTCCATGAGGGAAAACGCCCTTCACAGCGTACCCACTGGCCGTCTGCTGTTCATTCGGTTTTCTCGGCCCCGTCATCGCGTGGCCTACATCTGGATCCAGGACTGAGGGTTCAATGGTAACGGTTCTGTCCGCAAAGTTGACATCGTCTGCCCAGCCTTGAATGTACTCCAAGCCACTGTTTTTCTTTCTCACGGACTCGAGCACGTTTCGGAATTCGAGGGTGCCCACGGTGGTGTCGTTGAGGAGAGGGGTGAAGACAAAGTATGAGCGAGGCGAGACGAAGACAACGCGGTATTTTCTCTTGTCCAGCTGGCGACCCAGGACATAACCTGTTGTACGAGGTCAGCGCTCTTCTTGGAACATACTTGGACGCAAGACGGGTACAGTACCTGCCCAACCACTACCCAAGATCACCACCTTTTCCCTGGGGTCGCTCGAGTCTTCCTTGTCTGTACCCTTGGTGATTTCGACTGGCGTAGCAAACCAGCGCCTCTGCCAATGCCTCCCGGAGATCTGATCAGTCCGCAACTCGGCCTTGTGGAGACTGGAGGCAGCGCCTCTGAGATGCCTCTGCCATTTGGGGAGCATTGAATAACGCAGCGTCACGGGTTTCATGGTATTAGCTTTGCTGGTTCACACACGCACACACATGCACACCAGAGGGACACGAGGCATAGGAATTGCAACGGCCACTTGAGCGCAGAGGATCGTCATGTTGGGCCTTGGGCGTGTTGGGGCCACCACAGGTTGATATCAATCAACTCACCAACCCTCCGATGGATGAGCGGAAGTTACCTCGCGTTAAGGCCCCAGTAGGACAGGGACAGGGACAGGGACAGGGACAATGCGTTTCCCCGAAAAGAACTGCGGAGAGTGTGTGTATCCTTTGTATTTTCCTACGTCATTTTGACATCGACCTTCTCGAGACGAGACGGATACGGCGGACAGAGCCCAAAGAACCACCAGAACAACCCAAAGACATGGCGTAACGTTCCCGTCACAGGTGCCACCAACCGCACGACTGAAAGATGGATACGAGAAACAAAAGCGATTTGTCGCCGGAGACCGAAGATGCTGACAGCTCAATGGAGGAACTGGCCTTGGTCCACCCACATCTCGTTCGCCGAAAAGGGGCAGAAACTGTGGCTTGACTGGATTCCTCAACGGTTCCCCCCCCCAGCCAGGTATCGCGTTCAGTGTACGAGTAAATAACTATCTCTGGGATGGAGTTCCTGTCGGGTTAGTGAGGCTCAACAAAGTTATCAAGTTCCACTGCGGCATTTGCTGTCGCTTCCCCGTTACTCAGCCTGGTCAGGGGGAGATTATCCCAGCACCTGGCGCTGCGTTTATCCCGGATTCAATACTAAGACGATGCCCGATTATGTCAAAACGGTGACAAGTAATGAAGACCCTACATCTGTTCTTGAAGCTCGTATCATCATTTCATGTTAGCCTGATGGACTGGACTGCTCAGACCTTGTCTTTGCCTCGAGTTCTTTGAGGGTAACAAGGCTGACAACAATCCTAACACGACGTACATATGTACACGACGCCTATTCCGCCCAGGTCTTTTGCCTCATGCATTCCATGACAAACGCCTCACCCACAATCTGTTGCTGGTTGCTATTTGCCTCAACCATGATAAATGTCGAAGCTCTGTTTTGACACACCTTTGACGCCGTGCTTGCTGCGCCAATTTCAGTATTGGGCCTGTGAATTGCCCCTAGCTGAATATTGACAATATCGCCGCCCTTGGAAATTGATCTTGTCCATTTGTAACGCCACGCCCGGTACCGTGCTGGAAAGGAAAAGAGTGAGGCTTCAGGCGCCGATCGCCCGACTGAAGAAGTTTAGGAGATAGTATGTCCAACGAAATGAGAATTACTGCCTCCTGGCATCGACGTGTCATGTCTCTGACTTCTGCCAGGAGTTGAGATAGGCCATTAGTCCAACTCCGATTAGGACCACCCCGAGCATGGACACGTATGGTGCTGACTGAGCAATGGCATCTGAGCTACTGCTTTTGTCTCGTAGAACCGTTGCCACTGCCCGCTCGAGGTGCTCAGGTAATCTGGGTGTGCGAACGTGGCCATTGGCTTGTGCAACTGACTGGATCAGGGATGTCGAGATTTGCTCTTCTTCCGCGTTGGTAGCCTCAGCGTCCTCGTCATCCTGGGTGCGTGTTTGATGTTCACGCGACTTCCTTGTGGATGATTCGGCTTTCTCGTTTTCTGCTCGAATCTTATCAATCATCTCTGCGAGGCTTTTCCGGGCGTTGGTTGCATCGGCTTCTGCTGTCTCTGCGCGACGCTGAAATTGGTCCACGTCTGCTTTTAGTCTCTGCATCTCCCCGAGAACTTGGTCCAGGTTCTGCTGTAAGCTCATCGTTCTTGCATCAAGTTCGCTGTTCGCCTCGTTTCCCACTTCTTCTTCAATGCCCTTCGCGTCGTGAGTAGAGTCTGTCGGAGTTTCGGATTCTTCTTCAACGACCGTGACCGGCCGTGATGCTGCATGTTGTTCAAGCTTTCGAGCACGTTCTTCAGCGTCCTCTCTGGCTGACCGTTCCTGCCTCAGCATATCTTCTAGTTGCTTCACTCGGGCGCCCTGAGAGTCAAGTTCCTTTTTGGCGATAGACAGTGCCTCGATGAGAGACATCATTTGACTGTTCTGAGTATTTGTGGGAGAATTTGATGCATTGCTGGGCGGTCTAGCGGTTTCTCCGCGCTTCAGGAGATTTGTAAATGATGTTGCGACAGGGCTTGCTTTCGAAGAGTCTGGCTTCTCCGGAAGTGGTTGCTGTGGTGGTGGTGCTGGGGGATCAGCGAAGCGCGTCATATGCTCCATTTTGGGAGCCTTAGCACGTCCATTGGACTGCCGTTGAGGAACCCCTTCTTTTGACGTGGGCTGAGGTCGGGGCGCTGCGGCCCCAGGTGTCAATAATGAGTTCAGAAACGCACCCGCCTGGTCGAGTTCCTCCGCCTGCTGTCTTGCTGCTCGCATCTCTATCTGCAAAGAACTGTTAGTTTCTAGTGTACTGGGCGGTTAAAAAAAGATGACTTACGGCCAATGTCTTGACAAGCTGTTCCACATTCAGAGGCGTGGCACCCCACATATTCATCCGTTGCTGCGCAATTGAACTCATCTGACTGCCCGCGACGCTTGATGGAGCCGAAGCCCGCCCGTTCGTTGTCGGTCCTCCAGGCCGGCTTCGACTGTGAAGCATTGGTGAACTTACAGGTGATGCCAATAGGCTACCACCGTGAGAGGGATCCAGGTCGCCAAAAGTAAGATCGAGAACGTTGTTGGTCGTTCCAGGCAAGCCTACATATTCCACCTTGGCTGAGACCTTGTGGTGAACAATGGTCTTTTGATCCTCGCTCACGATATCTATGCCCAATTCTAGTGTGTCGTGTTGACGGAGTTCATGGGGCTCAGATTCTCGATTTTCCGGCGAGAGTCGCTGTCCATTGACAAACGTGCCATTTGACGACTTCACATCTCTGATGAACACCTTCCCACTCCGATCTGCCCATACTTCGGCATGTTGTCGTGACAGCACCTTGGAGTCAAAATATCCGTTCACGGGAGTTGGAACAGTCTTTGCATTTGTCTGACGGCCAATGCGAAGGACTTCTGGATAGAATGGGAGATTGATCTGTTTCCTCTCGAACGTGCCATTCATCGGTAACAGTGCCAAAATCGCGGCTGGCTCGCCAGTGACCGTTCCATTAACAACTCTGGACCCATTCACTTGAGTTGTAGGACTCTGATTCGGCAGTGCTGGCTGTACCGGACTCTTTCCTACCAAGGAGTTTCCGATAGCCGTTTGAAGCGACCCGTTTGCCCGCGCATTGGAGACACTCGCGGTCGATTCCGACTTGGAAACAGGCCAGAACCCTCCCCTTGTTTTCTTCTTTGGTCCATGAGCGGGTTCTGATGAGCTATCACTCTGGGTAAGGGTGACCGTTGAACCAGAAGAACTAGTGGATGAGAGCGACGAGGACGAATTACTCCTGTGTACAGTCTTGCGTTGAGGTAAAAACATCCGAGACACTTCGTCAGTGCTCATTGCAGAAAACCCTCCTCCTGTGCCGCTTAGACCATTCCAATTGAGCCTGGATATATTCGGAAAGCTGGGAGGCGATGCCACTGCGGTCGTCATCGGGAGGTAGGAGAACAGGGGTTAAGCCGTAGGCGCGTGCGTAGGTGTCCTAGACTCTTGCGAGGTTTCGTTTCCCCGATAGATGAGAGGGTGAAGTGACAGGAGCGTAAGGAAATAGGGATTCGTCGTTGGACCTGGCCTTCATGTGTCGGATCTCTTACGATCGGCAGGATGATCAAATCTGTGAGGGGGATACTGTGTCAACCAACATGCCTCTGCCACGACGTTCAGGCAAGTCGTTGCAAAGAGAGGACCATGTCAACTGCGTCGAGGACGTACAGGGGATCTAGACAGAGTTCGGGATGGAAAATGGCTGCTCGCGTGCAGAGGACCGGATAGCGAGGGGTCTGACCGAACAACTTGGGCTGACGACTGAGCTCCGGCAGTTCAAGAAAGAATCGAAATTGAAATCGGAAAAGCGTGACAGTATGTCAAAGGAATGCGGCTGCCATCAGGTGGTTGTTTGTAGGCGACTGGTGTCTGTTTAGTGTCCCTTTTGATGTTCACGAGGATGCGACTCGTGGTTCTTTAGCAGTTCAGATTGACGCTTTGGAACTTGTGGAAAGTCTCCCCGAACCAACGGCTAAGTCAAATCACGTGCCTCAACCGTGGTCGGCGGCAATTCTTCCAGGCCCGATTGGCAAAGATGGGGGCTTCTCATCGTCACACCTACTGCCTGCACCCTCACCTTACCTTCTCCAATTTGCTCTTCGTCGAGTAGCCACTGCTTCGTGCAAGAACTGAAAGCACAAGGAAAACAACAACGGCAAGATGCCTCCAATGCCTCCTTCTGCGCAGCGGCGTGGGCCGTCATGGATTGATAAAAGTATGTGGTGTCGCGCCACTCTCTCTCGTTCGCACGGAAGCTAATGTCGCCCGCAGTGAAAATGGGAATGTTGATGGGCGGAAGTTAGTCAAACAATGGCAGCAACAAGACAGAGGAGAAGTGACCGAAAGACTGACTGATTCGCAGCGGTTGGAGGGATCATGGGCTTCATCTACGGTCCGTCGCGATCAGCGCGCCAGTCCCACGGTTTCACACTAACTGTGCTGTCAGGTACCGTGACGATATTTCAATACGGCGCAGGTCAGGCTGGTGTAATGAGGACTTTGGGGAAATATATGCTGGGATCTGGCTCTATGTTCGGGTGTGTATTGACGCCGTTCTCTGTAACCATGGTCTCTAACCAAATGGCTCGACAGACTCTTCATGGGCATCGGAAGCATCATTCGCACAGATTCACCTCACATGACATCGACAGCATGGGCACGATCACGATATCCACCTCTCATTCACCCGCGACGGAACCAGTTCTCGATCAACTCCCGATGATTCAATCCGAGGAAACAGAAGGAACAGAGAGAAAAGAGTACGGCGACGACTCATTGTATATACCAGTTACGAACGGAAGTGAACTCGGAAAAGTTGATTGACCATGGACGAGAGCGATAC